GGACGAGGGAGTCAAGAGAGGGGAAAGGATTCTTCAAACGCATCGAGCATTTCAGCGCCATCCGCCACCGTCCTATCGCCATAGAATCGGGTTATTTCCGCCTCCACATCGTTGTAAAAACTAGGCTCTCCGTCGGGGTCATCGGTTCGGGGCAGTGACGATGTTCTGCTTGAGTCTCTGCCTGGTCCTTGCTTTAGGTTTCTGTTCAGACCCACGGTGTACTTGTTAAGCATCGTGTTGTTCCAACATGTTGGGCATTCCACTTCTGCCCCAGTGTTCTTAAGGGCACGTAAATCGAAACCAGGACCGCACTGAATGGGGCTCAGAGCCCTTCTGACACCACCCCATGGAATTCCACCTCCATTACCGGCCAGACACAAGCTCTTCTTCTTTCCTTCGGAGCCCACAGGGGAGAAACATCCACATGCGTAGATTATCTATGGCTGAGCTTTGCGTTCTAACGGACTGTCCGGCCCTAAGAACAAGCCCTATACAAGACCCGTGGGACAATGCGGACAATTTCGATATCAAGATATCCGCAGCGAGTCTTCTGGTTTGCCGCCCAGCTGTCGAATGTTCCGTGTAGGTAAGAACATATCTCCGTCAAAATACGCATAGATGTATCACCCGCTTCACCACCTCTGGTGCACTCCTACTTGCTCCCATGCTCTGACTGGTCACCACCACCAACACATCCAGCCCCCCGAGATCCGGTCCATAGAACAACCCCTTTCCACTACTTTGTGATAGCAAGAAGAATCGCCGCAGCCTGCAGCCTGCAGCCTGCTTGACCTCGTTGGCCTTTGTCAGGTCCCAGGGGCCAAAGCGGGCTCGATGGAGTTTATCAGGCCGGCTTGGTAATTTGCAATCCACCTTGCCATGAGTAGTTGATCTTCGCGCTCTCTGTCGGTGTAGACCACAACAGACAACCTTGATGGACGGTGTAAAGCACGGGAGAGTCTCGCCAGGCTATTGACACCCACGAAGATGGTCACCATTGTTTCTTCTTTGACCCCCGCCAAAAACAAGTCGTTCGAGATGAGGTAGCTAGCATAGCTATTCCTGAACCCAGCAAGCGCCGCCGAACGGTCGGCGGGAGAACGGCGGCGGTGTAGACGCATGAACGATCTGGGAGTGGACGTTCTGTTGCGCAGGAGTAACTCCCGCTAGTTCAGTGGTGTCCGAGCAAAGGTAATGTAGAGCTGCATTCTATCCTGGGAGACAAGGACGCGGCTGCTACCGTTAGCTTCTCATTGGGTGTTGGTATAAGTGGGTAGGAACGTACAGATTGGGGTGCGGTGCGCATGGAATTCTCGTATCCACGCAACAAAAAGGGCTGCCTCCTGCATACAGATGACTGCTGCTGTGTCCGTGTCCTTGCGCCCCATATCCCCTCTCCTGAGGGACTCTACTTACCATGCCCCGCATGGATGCTGCTTGACACACCACTTGCTACCCTCTTCTACCTCAAGCACACGCCCGGCCATTGCCTCTGGTGCTAGCCAGTTCCTCCCGGGATCCGTTTACCTCCCGCCCTAGGGTTTCACGGACTGGAATCTGGTTACTCACTCTTTTCCTCTTGGATCGCGGCTCGGTTTCGAATAGACCGCAGGCATCTCGGCGGACACATCCTGTTGCCTTTTTTTCAAGGGCGACGGTCACTGGAACAGCTACGCTACCCTAGATAGAATAGGTTCGTTCCCGTCTGGTGCGATCATGGTTATGTCTCTCCAAAGTAGGCACTCGTCGTTGCTGTATCCCTTACTCCGCGAGATATCTCCAGATCTGCAAGCCAGGGCATATTGCAGAGTCAACTGACATATAAAGATCAACCGTACATCCCATGATAGGGTCCCTCGAGTGATTCGAATACCGGAATCTGGCTTCTTGCTTCAAACTTTCGTCTATGTAGGCCGCTCTCAGCAGTCGCAAATCATAGCGGCTGTATCATGGAGTGGATCATTCATCGGCTGGCCACTGCATTATGGATTTCGGGCTATGGCGGCCGGTGGGCTCTGCTCTGATCATATCTTCTATTCCATCCTGGATCGAATGGCTGTAAAAACTCGAGACTATGGCTATTTCCTCGGTCAATTTAGTACTGGTCGGTATCGACTTCGTTTCCATGAGCAGGGGGTGCGCGGCTGTCAATTGGGCGTCAACCACGTATCCAAGTGCGGTGTCATCAGGGTATGTGAAATCCTATGCCTGGAATTTTTGACGTTGGGTGCAAGTCTGTATAGAAGGATTGGAGAGAGAGGTTGGAGAGACTTCATGGCAGTCAAGTGTGATGAGCGAGCATTGCCCCGTTTTTCCAGCGTGCAAATAGGTGAAGTTGGGTGAAGCTGTCCACGGTAATTCCACCATCCAATTCTTGGATTGGATCAGAAAACCGGTGCGGCTCATGTAAGCTCAAGCAGTAGTAACCAAAAGGGCGGGAGCAACCACACGCTCGTACTCGATCATGGATCTTGGCAATCCGAGGGCTGTTCCCATTTGCGTTTGAACATTCCCGAGTCCATTCCCGTGTTTGGGATGATTCTCTCCGCCAGAGGTAACAGGCCACACCCCACCCAGTGACAAATTGCTGCCGTACAGGCGAGAAGCCAGGGACTTGTGAGCTTTGATGGTCAACAGCTTGATGGGTTCACGATTTGTGCACAGCCTAAAGGGCAAATCAGTCTTTGCAAGGGATATCATGTATCGAGCTAAGCGCCGCGCCAGGGACGAGAGGGGCCAACCTTGGAAGCGCGTCCTCGATATGGCGCAGGGACCTGTTTTAACAGGGCATCAATCTCGAGCTTCAGCGGCTGGACGGCCAGTGTCACATTGCGGATCCGAGCGAGATGTTCGCGATTGAAATGTGAAGTGAACTCGGCCAGCGCGAGCTATCGACGTTGGTTGCGAAAAGGGGATCGTGGGGCATAGGGGACCAAACCTGCGGGACTAGTTCAGTGGTCGCGTATTTCAGCCAGCTAGGCGGGTCACAACTTCTGTCGGTCGAATGCACATTCACATGCATTGGGAAATCAGATTATTGAACCACCCATTGTAGTCATCGCCTAGTCCCTGAGGACTGGATGGACCTCCATAGTGATTTTCACCTGATCGACGAACAATAGACAAGTGATAAGTACAGGCTAGAGCTCAACGGATACTGCATATACGTGTACCTGACGGTCCTGCAGGCATCGTCCCGTCCGCTCTCCACTGGTCCGCAATACGATCCTCGGTTCTCTTCTTTCGGATTTGCCACAGAACCTGTTCCTCGTACTGAAGAAATGTTTCGGCCAGGTCCTGGTCACTGGCAATTTGCCGGTCAATGCGAGAAAGAACCGTAACAAAAAGAAAAAAAGAAGAAGAAGAACGGGAAAAGGAAGAAAAGCTAGTCACTGCAGTAGGTATCCTCGCCCACCCTGGGCTCAATCCCCGCACCATCTCGACTACGACATGCCTCAGAAGACCGAGGAACGGACCATCATTTCCTCGTCAGATCCGCTGTCCGTATTCCTGGCGGCATGGTCAACCGCGCCACAGTGAGTTCCAATCCGAAACTCTCGAGATACATCGTTACGGGTATAGTAGAGCGCTACCACTTTCGCTTTCACGCACGCGCGTAGAGCGGTTTTCGGATCTCGAGTGTCGACTGTCAACATGACTATATTGTGGGACAGAGCGAGGGATGACATACCCATGCGCCGCTGAGCATTCTACCAAGCATCGAGATGCTTGGGCAATTTGCGCGTGAGGCGGCGTTGCACTTTGTTTGATTCATGGGGGCAGGACGGACGGGGCATTATCGAGATGGGTTGGATAGGGGGTACCTAGTAAGAATCTGTGCATGCTTCGATCAGTGATATAAGAGTTCAAAGTAGACTACGAGACGGAACAAGGAAAGGAAATCCGAACTAGCAGACAATCCATCCATTTCTTGGGCACCAGAGGGAAATGTCGATATAGGGCGATATAGGGCGAGGTTGAGAGATGCAAAAGAAGGGAAAAAAAAGGAAAGGAGCTTTCCGGGGGATAGATTAGGGTTTAAGTAGTGGCCCCCGAGCAACCTAGGGCTCAGTGAAGCGCGAAAGAAAGCAGGCATTGAATGAAAGATAGAAGATGCTGGAATGGAAATGGCGATGTTTATGAATGTGCTTTCACTATCTGGATGCATGGAAGAGTGCGGATGCATCCTCCGGGTCGATGAGAGGTGAATCTCACGGTTTCATTCAGGGGCAAGGGATGGGTGGGACTGGTTTGCATCTACCGTAGGCCGTTTGAGCCCTGGGTCTGGGGGAGAGTCGGGGGAGATGCGCTGTGGGTTGTGGAGGAGATAACAAACGGGGAAACGCAGTGAGCGGGCACCAAAGAGCGCTCATCGCTGGCTACAAATGTATCGAGACCCATGGATGCGCAATCACTCGCTGTTGTTGTTGTTGTTGCATTGCATATATGGAGATCAGCCCTGGACAGAGGGACGGGAGGGCAGTCGGGCTGCTGGGGTTGGTAGGCCATCTGCAAATCTAGCCCCACTCCACATGTAATCTAGAGCCTGCAAACGAGGCGCGAGTAAGTCCAGAGAGTCTAGCTACCAGCCAGCCTCTCTTCTCCTGCTGGTATGTTCTCTCATATGGAGGCCGTGCATGTTATCCTCAGTCTCTGTTCGCCCAGAGACACTGAACAAGAGCTTTGAAGAGCTTTTTGTCATGGCAGATTAGCGGATCTGCTGCGGGGGGGTCTGTTTGCATGGAGGGAGTATGGAGGATGTAGTGTGGAGTCGTGGTACGTGGCTCCAGGGCTTTTCGTATAGCCAGCACATACATACAGATGAAGGCTTTCCCCAGTATGTCTGGGCCCTGCCCCGCTACGAGGACAAACGGTGAACACGCAGTTCTAGCCCTGACTGCGAATAGGTCTCGCAATATGCAGCATTCAATGTGGTGTATGATTGGTTTCCATACTTGCAATTCGCATTACCCCCGAGCAAAACACGTCCATTCCACGATTTAACCATGCACAACCTGCCCAACCCGATACTCAACAACAATCTTCTTATCAGCCCCGACATTGAAGCGCCCCTGTCCGACGAACACACGTTTCTCGAGTTCCTTGTAGCGCTCGTGGCCGGTCTGGGAGATGTAATAAGTCAGTCATTCGTCTACGTAGGGGCTTCACCGTTCCTGCAATTCGCCAGATTTGGGGGGTGTAATTCACCTCAAAGGTCAAGTGGATGACTACAAGGGTTATTAGTATACATTTTGCATTCAAGTCAAGTAGAAAGAAGCAGAGAATAGAGTGGAGTGACTAAATGGCGACGGGGACATACAAGAATTCCCAAAAGGCGTCGACCCCTCCGCTGCCTTGCCAGTGAAGACGGCGGCCTCGGCCTCGGTGAGGGTGATGACTCCAGTGTAGTTGATGTAGATAAGCTGTAAAGGTGAGATTCGGTTTTATCTCCAGGTAGATTTGGCAGCAAAACGTACGGCCTCATCCTTGGTCCTATCATCGGCCCCGGTTAGTATCGTTCAGAAACAGAGAATCAGCTGGAAAAAAAGAAAGGGACAGAACGCAACATACTTGATAACCCCATGCGCATTCAACCGCAAATGCTTCCCATCCGCATCAGCGTGGATGTAGTCGTTTCCGATACCGACGAATTCGGCGTCGATGGCGGGGTCGAAGCCCTCGGCGCTCTGGAGCGTTCCGCCGAGCATGGGCTAGGACGTTGTTGTTAGGTCTGGTTTCGGTTTCGTCTGGACTAATGGGTGATGGGACTTACCACGACCTGTAGAGGGTTTGATCGGGAAGCGCTGCCTGGATTTCGATTAGTTAATGGGCTGCTTTCTGAGGTTGTTGATGGGTTTGCAAGCGTACCGACAGCCAGGGGCGCGTCGATCGCGACCTGTCATGATCCTCAGCGGTTACCAATCCCAGTAGTGGATGTTTGAGAATATACCTTCATGGTAAAGGCAGGCTTAACGCTCGGAAATTGGGCCATGATGAGTTAGGTGAGTCGATGAATCTGGTAGTTCAATTGAGATCAGATGCGAAGTCAGGAAGCTTTTCGCGTGCGCGGGGAGGGATTTATCTTCGGTTGAGCCCCGCACTCGAGAGGGGCATCCCTGGTATGTGCCACTCCAGACCCGAACGGCCGGATTGGTGTTCTTGATGACCATACATTATTATCGTGTCCACTTTATTATAAGTCTAGGCCGTGCAACCTTGTCAGCACGGAGCTTTATGTCGATTATTTGGGGAAAAGCTGCATTGATTGCCAGGAGGAACCACCTCGACCAACATATATTTTGAGCGCGGCCGGAAGCCTTGGGTGTATGCTCTGGATACCCTTCCTTCCAATATCCTCTATGCTACGGTGGACGTTGCCATACGTTTGACTTTTCTGGGATAATCCGAGGTCTTGAACCAGCTACAGCAAGCTACAAATGTCTTGTCGAGATGGCTAATAAAGCAGAGTGAGCTCATAAGCCCCTCGGCCGCAGTCCCCAGTCTAGGCTAACAACAAAGCAGGACATTTTGCATCACGATACTCACTGAGCCATATCAGACGGAAGCTGCTCGCCCGTGAATAATCCAGAGAATAGAACAAGACAGTCAGCAGGCGATCTTAGGTGGTTGATCCAGCAGCCAAATCGGACGAAGGAATGTGGCTCCGGAGCTCGTTCTCAGACATATCATCGCCGTGGTCTTCCAGACGACGCAAAGTGACGGCTCGACAGTTGCAGATGCCCTAAGTTCGCCGCTTGAATCTTATCGATCAAACATCTGCTGATCCGTCTAAACCCGAACGGGGCGAGCCAAGAAGGAGTTGGGGGTCGGAACTCCCCTGCCATCTCAGTCTGGAGCCGAGACCTGCAATGATGCCAAAGATGAGTCTGTGTGGCCTGAAGGTTCTCAGACTCGTCACACAAGCACCCCCAAGGTCCTTTCGATCAGCTGTTTTCCAGCCAACGAGCGATCAGCAGACCTCTGGTTGGGCGAACCAGCGCGTCGAATGTCGCACGTGGCGCCTATACGGGAAAAGACAGGCTTCGCAGCTCGACAAAAGGCGACATGTTGGGGAGAGATAAAACACACGGAAGAAGAATCTCCTCGTCTGATCTCAAAAGACACCGCAATCAAATCGATATAAAGGAGCGGAAGAGACAGCCAGAGCTGCGAAGCTGGCGGACGCTAAGCCTAATAGAGACGTGACCAAGCAGTGACGTATTCCAGCCGCCCGTTAGTTTTTTCCGCTGCCTCCGTTTCGAACAAAACGCGCGACGTCAATCTTTTTTGCCTCCCAGTTTGTTTTTGCTTTCGAATGCTTGATCGTCGTTTTTTTTTTTTTTAATTCTCTGCTCTTGCCCGTTTAGACGGCGCTTTTTCCCCATTGCGCAGCAGTTCCAATGATTTCGAATCGCCTCTGGCCGGTGCTCTGCTGTCTTGGTATTGCTGCCTGCGCGTCTGCGTCGGCCGTCCCTCTCACAGAGCAGGTTACGGGACAGCAGATCCTTGGGGACGCTACAGAGGCACAGCCATCAGGGCAGCTTTCCGGGCGGTTTCTTCATATCACAGGTACCACCGCTACTTGTTTTCGAGTTTGAGCTCAGCTCACTTTTCAGACTTCCACTTAGATACACACTACAAACCGGGGACGTCCATCGAACGAGTATGCCACCGAGATAAAGGCGCAGCGGGGCCCCTCGGAGCGCAGGGAACCGAGTGCGACTCTCCAGAGGCCCTGATAGACGAGACATTTCGATGGATAGAGGACAACCTGAAAGGGAACATCGATTTCGTGCTGTGGACCGGCGACTCCGCGCGCCACGACAACGACGAACGGATTCCTCGGACGGCGAGCGAGATTATAGACTTGAACGAGGTCCTGGCGGTCAAGTTTATCGATGTTTTTGAAGACAAGCAGACCCCGCGGGGACTTTCCATCCCGGTCATCCCGACGATTGGGAATAACGATATCATGCCGCATAATATTTTCAAAGAGGGCCCGAATCGGTGGACAAGAAGGTTTACCGAGGTGTGGGCGACGTTCATCCCGGAGCACCAGCGACATACGTTTGAAGAGGGTGGGTGGTTTCTCGCGGAGGTGATTCCCAACAAGCTTGCGGCCGTCAGCTTGAACACGATGTACTTTTACGAGTCGAATTCTGCCGTCGACGGCTGCGCGGCCAAGTCGGAGCCTGGCTACGAACATATGGAGTGGCTTCGCATCCAGCTCGAGCTGCTGCGAGAGCGCAACATGAAGGCGATCCTCATCGGTCACGTACCCCCCGCGCGAGCCGGGACAAAGCGGAACTGGGACGAAAGCTGCTGGCAGAAATACACCCTGTTCCTAAACCGGTTCCGAGACGTCGTGGTCGGCAGCGTCTACGGGCATATGAACATCGATCACTTTATGCTACAGGACAGTCACGACGTTGACATTCTTGCCGCCGGCGAGAACTCACAGCACGATCCTGATTTCCTCGTGCAGTCTCGCTCGACGTACCTGAACAGCCTAAGGGAGAACTGGGCCGAAATGCCGTCTCCGCCGGCGGATATGTCCCTCGATACCTGGTCAAATTCTGGACTTGCCGACGCCGCAGGCGGAGCGTTAGGGAAGAAGGAGCGGAGATTTTTCGACAAAATCGGCGGTCCCTGGGCAGAACGATACAGCGTCTCACTCGTATCTCCAAGCGTGGTACCAAACTACTTTCCCACACTGCGAGTGATTGAATACAACACGACCGGCTTAGAAGGCGTGCCCCTCTGGGCCAACTCGCCATATTCGGAAGACTCCATCGAAGCAGCCATTCTCGACGACGAGTCGGATGAACTTGACGAGCAACTGCAGAAGAAGAAAAAGGGCAAAAAGGGCAAGAAGGGAAAGAAGAAGAAGCCGCACTTTAAAGTCCCCGAGCATCCATCACCAACCGCGCCTCCTGGCCCCGCATACTCGGACCAGACGATGACTTGGCTGAGCTACGCTCAGTACTTTGCCAACCTCACGGCGCTCTACGGCGGGACATCCGAGGTCGACAGCGCAGCAGGTTCGAATATCAACCTCTACACCGTCGAATACGACACGCGCACGGACACGATCTACAAATTGAAAGACCTCACCGTGCGCAGCTACTTTAAGCTCGCGAAGCGCATCGCGAATCGGAACCCGCGCAAGGACGATATCCTGCCACAAGACACAGAGTTTTCCTCCACTCCCATCGAAGAATCAAAGGAGACGACTGAAGAAGAAACACAGGCGACCCCTCCCGCCGGCGGAGGAAAGAAGAACCAGAACCAGAATAAAAAGAAACACAAGAACCGCGTGTGGCGAACATTCCTCAGTCGAGCCTTTGTGGGCTACTTGTCGGGCGACGAACTCGATGAAGTTGAGAGTGAGAATTAGAATACTTATCCACATAGCTGGCTCTACTTGCATTATATTCCCCATTTTGGCTTTGTTTTAGCGATCCAGATATGATTTACACTGCACCACTGATATTTCCTGCACTGCGCGGTGCTATATACTCGCCCACCTTACATCTTGCCGCTCTTCCCTTTACATCATTTGGCCTGGCGTGGATTGGGTTTTCGATTCGGGGTAATGACTATTTCGTAATATACGTTATGAGATCCTGTGATGAGAATGTACATATGGCTATAATCATATCATGCATGACAGCACAGTGCGACCCCAGCCCTATTGTCAACACCCTCCTTACCTTCATGTGTGTTAATACGACAGCAGTTCAGATAAATTAATATCTCCATCTTCCTCTTCATGTCTCAAACGATACGGCGTTCTAAGTCCTGGAAACTGGGAACTCGGGACAAGACTTGACCACTTGGACACAGGCGTTCTTCCCAGTGACATTTGCATCGGACAGATATCGTCATTCAACGGCCATGACATGACTCCAACATGTCCAATCGGTCGTTGCTAAAATTAACTCTTGCTAATTAACACTGAGGCTCATCCCGTGCTGGGCTAAAAAATGTACTCCGCATTGGCGGTCAAGCAAGTCACCATGACCATGAGTGCCTGTGCCAGTGTTCCTCCTCCAGCCAGTCACTCTCCCGGTCGTGTTTGGCAGTCGACCAGCCCCCCGGGATCCATGGCGCATTTCATCAATCCATCCTGATTTGCTGTTGATCCCCGCGATGCCACGCTGGCAAGTTGGGTTTGGGACCTTGGCTGCCAGCTGTCAATCCTCATGAATTGGCATCCCGCCCTGGCTGGTTGGCTGGCTGGCCACTGCCGCCCACTCGAGCGAGGCTAAACTAAAGAAGCGCGCGGGCGCGGGCGCTGAACGGCCAACGCTGAACGGGAACTGGAACTGGAACTTGGAAGAACCGTCAGGCACAGCGCATTGCAGGATCTCAACGCATCGCAGTCCGGAGGATTATCTATCTGTTCCCTGCAATGCGGTCTGGTCGATTCCATTTCCCGTCTCCGTATGGGGTTACTCTTGTCGGTGCGGAAAGTGAGGAGATCCACTCGCAGTGGTGGTGATCCTATCGCATCTGGTCGGGCTGGTTAGCCTCTCAATCTTCTGCAGTTGGGCTCTGACACGTATCGAGCTAAAGGGTTGATGCGTTGTCCGCCGCCGCCCGTCTTCTGCCTGCCATTCAGTGTCAGTGCCATTGCCATTGCCACTGCTCGCGGCTGTCTTTCTCGTCATGACGATGATATTCTTATGACGCCTTTCTCCTGCCTCACTCTGGGCTAGAAGAAGCCTCCTGCGACTCCGAGATCGCGACGGGGCGTACAAACACCCAGTGAACGCCGTCGCCGCTCGATCTACAGATTGGGGCTTCAACGTCACCGCATCGCGGTCAACCTGCGTCAAACTGGCCAAGGAAATTCATCCCAATTCCTTCGGAGCAGAGGATTTTCCTTGCAGTGCTCTCTTTTGCACACGGTCAACACCAGTTGTGAACCCACTTTTCAACCATTGTGGCTGATATCCTTCCTTTTTCTCGGGCTGCCCCAACTTCCAAGCTTGATAATAATAGCCATCTTAAGCTCGCTGCCATTGCTAGGTAGCAATTGCCAGCCCTGCCAGCTCACTGCTGGCGACAAGAGTAGGCGACTGACTGACTTAATTCCGCCTCGCCGCCTTCCAGCTCGCACACAATGAATCAACGCTCCTTCCAACTCTTCAATCGCAAGCTCTCCGCCTCGAACATCGCTATTTGACTGTTGTAACCTCTTCAACACACCCGTCGGCGAATTAATGCTTCTTTCTCTCGCGCACCCGCCCTCCCGTGGTCGAAGAGCGAGGCCGCACCGCTCCCGAGTACAGGCAAACCGCCGACCCGAATTTCGAGGCCCTCGTCGTTGCACACAGCCCGAGATTGCTTGAAGCACTGACCATATTTTTTGATATTTTTGAGACATCGTTATTTTTCTTTTTCCTGCTATTTCTCACAGCTTTCTTCTTCTTCCCTGCATCTCAACTCTCACCGCACTGTACAGAATTTTTCACCGGCAGTATCTACTATCCTATCTCCTGGGAGGCTCAATTGTTTTGATATACTGTACCATACATCACGTTTCCTCTCGACTTGACAGTGGACACTTGGTAGGTGCGTGTGTTCGACCGTTCCCTGTGGACACCGGAGCTTGGTTTATTTTCAAATTGAGAGCTTAAAGCGCGAACGAATCGATCAGACGCATGCGCAGCGCAGCATGCAGAAGTGATAGCTCGTCGCCGGAGTTTCTTTTCACGACCCCTGATTGCAAGCAAAAGCAAATCATTCGACTCAATTGGCTTCTAAGCGCTGGCGAGCATGGAAAGTTAGGCCATTTCTAACCAGGCTGCCCTTGTTTTATCGACTGTTTGCGCGCGCTTCAAGGTGAGCTCTCAGTCTTTCCTTCCGTGCTCTTTCTGCGGATATCCTTGCGCTGAGTTGTCGCGGTCAACACATATATCTCCTGATCCTGCAAGATCGCGATGCTTGCTCGTTGCACCTAATGCTACTCTTGTCATTTTTGCTCTGCTTTCGGCATGGCTCAATTAATACACGATGCTAACATCAACTGCCTCGCGATTTTAGATCCGGCAACACTGGTCTTTCGGATGGCGTCAGCCGAAGTAGACCAGAAGGCCCTGGGCAATTTTGCCGCCATCACGGGGCTCGAGAACCCCTTCTTGTCGGCAATGCTGTACAAGATCCTCGGGCTCTCGGTGATGCTCTCGAACAAGCTGCTGCGCGCGCGCCGACTGCGGCGGTTGGACCCAACGCGCGAGACAAAGTCGCTGCAGCTGTACTATCATATTATATGGCTCTCGCGCGAGGGCCTACTCATCCTTGAGGAATTCGTCCTCCCTATGGTCGAGGGGTATGTTGAGCTGAAGATCTTGGCGTACAAGCTGAGGGCTTCGTTTTATCACATCTTTGTCCTGTTTCATAATCAGCCCGCCATTCATTCGCCGGGTATTACTACGAGTATATCCAGCACTGGAACTGTACCAAACGACGGACCAGAAGCGGAATCAGAACAGCAGGCCCCCCGAGAGCAACAAACCTCACGCCTCTCCTTTCGCGGGAAAAACGAAGTCCTTACAGTCCCGACCAAACCACCAAACACCACATCATCATCATCAGAACCAGACGCCACACGAACAAAAACAACAACAACCGCTCCGCAAGCACCACCGGGCCTCACCATCAACTATAGCCACAGCAACACCCTCGCCCCCGTGCAACCGCCACCTCCACGCCCAATCTCCTCCTCCTTCCTCCTCCCCGCGCTCGACTACACGCCCACCGCAACAGCCTGCTTCAACCACGCCGCCCTCCTCGCCGAACGCTTCCTCCCGGGCTCCCACCCTCTCCGCCTCTCCATCAAACTCGAATATGCAGCGTACCTCTACGACTGCCTGCAGGACGCAGCGGCAAGCCGCAAACTCGCAAAGCAAGCCATTGCAGACGTGTATAACGCCCAAGAAGGCATGGACGACGAGAGCTTCGAAGACGCAGCGGAGATCGTCGGACTCTTGGGGAAGATGGTCAAGCGCGGCGCCAAGAAGAGTACGAGTAAAAGTACTAGTGGTGGGAGTCAGGGTGGTGGTGGTGGTGGTGGGTCTTCGACGACGCGGAGTATGAGCGTTACACCCCGCGCGGAGAGTTCGCGAACGAGGAGTGAGGGGAATCGCACGCCGACTGCAGGTGTAAGGAAGAACGCGTCCGCGTCGCCGCGAACGGCGGCGACGACGCCCATGCCTGTTTCGCCGAGGACGCCCAAGGCGTCGGCCATACCGACAACTGTGAATATGGGGTATTCGCCGGCAGCTGTGCCTGATCCCACCATGATCAATCCGATATGAATGATTGATCTGATTCGATACCCGAGGCGCCTGCGATCTGAGCGCGATACGAGATGCCAGATGCGAGATGGGATCTCGAGTTCATGATTTTTATGTTTATGTATATTTTTACGGATTATGGATACGGATATGCGACAGTTCTTTTGGTACCACAGGCCATTTTGTTTAGTACTACGTGAGCTGCCGCTCCGATGGCGTCTGGCTTGTGCTTGTTTCTGTGTTTTATGGTTTCCTTTGTTGATATACCTTGGCTCTTGATCTCTCTCTCTCGTCTATGTTTTTTTGCCTATTCTTCTGGGTCCCGGCCTGCTTGTCTCTACGGCATGGTTGCTTGGGCAGTTCTGCTCTGGTCTGGTGGTGTCATTCAGGTTTACTTCACTGTATCTATTCACCGCAAGATAATTTTTCATCATCTTCTCTGTCTCCCTGTCCGATTCAACCTGTCCGAGCCTCAGTTACCGCTCGATGGACCGATCCAGTTGCAGCCTCAGGCACTACTTCAGCCTTACAGCCTGGAAAGTCAGGCCGCAACCCAGCCGCCCACTGGGGAAAAGAGAAGAGCCTGAGGCCCTGATCACTGGGCAGACGCAAACCCAATTGTCAATCCAAGCTCGACCAACCGCCGCGCGGCTGCATATGCTGACTTTATCCCAAGCCCCTTCAAGCTCGCCAACCAATAACGAACCCTGACGCCCGGAGAGTGATTCGTCATTGTCGTCTGGGCCTGCAGCCAGCTTATCGTTCTCCCTCTGGCTGCATTGAGCGCAAGCAAGCTCGAGTTGAAATAAGCCGAGTTGGAGTCGAGTTGCTTCAATATTCGCTCGATCATTCGTCGGTGCAGGGAGTATTTACGTCATCCACGCAATTTCTGCAACCATCTCCACCCCTCCTCCAGTCCAACTCCAGGTTTTTTTTGGAGGGGAAGCTGGGATTCTGGGAAAAGGATACCGATTTTCCGATAGGCAGCATCGATTCGATTGAGGTTTAAGACTTAGCCCGCGGGTATCTTTCGTCAATTGATTCCCTGCATCGATCGCATCTGACACCCCACACTATTTCCCTCATTCTTTCTACGGAGTATACTTGCTCCTACCTACTGCTGCACAGCTCGACGAGCTTGTTGTTGGCGCTTATACGGATACCGGACTGACAACGAGCTCGATCGACCCTTTCGTTTTTTTTTTTTTTGGCGGCGCGCTTTTCTTCACCGACGATCAACGGAGTCGTCCCCCGACCGAGCGACCGAGCGACCGAGCTACTGACCGACCGCCGACCGGTTTCGATTTCTATTTCGCTAAGCCGACTCGAGCTACCCACGGAGTTCCTACTATTGCCAATAATTCGCGCCGGATTCGATCGCAGAAAAAGATATTGAGAAATCGGGGAGTTGGAACACAAACGCAATTGAGAATTGGGACGGAATAAAACTTGGGAAGGAACAAGAAAATAAGGAAAAGAAGATACACGGAGAAAGGAGAGTCGCAATTATTGCGGTTGCTGTTGCGACAATCGGCATCGCCCACAGCTTCCTGTACAGCGCTTGTCTTCGAGCTTCCGTCTGTCCTCCGGCAATGAAGCTGCAGCTCCTGGAAGCTCCCAGTCCCGACCAAGCTATCTCGAGTAGGAATTGGAATCTCAGCAGCCGCCGCCGCCGCGCGTCTCTCTACATTCCAACCTCGGCGAATTGAGTCGTCCCGCGCACTCAGCAGAGCCTTTCCGCCTCGCCAGCTCCGCTGCGCTGCTCGCGCTCCGCGGAGCAAGCGACGAGACGACCATGCGGTCGGGCCTGCAAAAACCCGGCACGGTCCCGTTCCTCGCGCTGGTGCTGTTCTCGCTGCTCAGTCTGATGCCGACGCTCGCGAAAGAATGGGATTTGAGTTTGGATTTCTACAGCGTCCACCTGGCGTATCACTATCTCGGTCTCGGTCTTGGTCTGGGCGGGTTGGGTTTGCCGCGGTATGAGGGTCGACGTATGTGATCTGTCACTGCCCCTTGCATGGATTCATGCGCCCTGGAGTCTTGACTGGACGAGACTCGCTAACCCGCATTCTTAGATTCGTCCTCCCGCCTTCGGAATGCGTCAATTGATACCCGGTCGCGGCAGGCTCACGCCCATCCTCAGCGATTGACGACTAATGCCCCCTGCAAATCCTGGCTGCTGGGCGACTTGTACTCATCGTGCGTCGAGCGCGACCCAATCTCAGTCCCGCCGCATCACTCCGTGATGGGGCCGCCGCCGCGCAGCTCGTTCGAGGCTGGCGAGGGCGAGGAGGCCGTCACGTATGCTGCGCCTGCGCCTGCGGCCAAGGAGCAGCAGCAGTCGAGCATGAGTCTCACGCGAGGGGTAAGTGCGTTCAGGGAGTTTGTCATCAACATCAAGCGGTGGGACGTGGATGTGGATGGGGACGGGGACGGGGACGATCAGCAGCAGACTCTGAATACGATGCAGCTGCAGTCGGCGCAGGCCGCGGCGCAGCATGATTTTCTCGATGCGGCCGCGGTCGCGGTCTCGACGGATGTACCGACTGTTGCGAAAGCTGTTACCGCTTTGCCGTCCGGTGAGGGCGAGGACGGTCAGTTGGGTAGTGAGGCGGATCCGGTGGGATCGGATGAGGATTCGATATTAATGTTTCGAGTACTGGGTCTTCTGCGCGAGACGTGGCAGCGGGTCTGTCATGTTGGAGGACGGTATCTGGAGAGTTTGCGATCTACCACCGACTTTCATAAATCATTAATACACTCTCCTGCACCCGCCACGAATGACGAGCAAACGAGCTCAGACACGACCGAAACACCACAACAACCGAGCAAACCCCCATCGCTCGATTCCCCTCCGTCACACCAGGATCCGCTACATCATCATATACCCTCATCTAATCACCCTGTGTCGACTGCTGGCCAGTCCACAGACGCCGGACACCGACGAGACTCGGAACACATGCGGGGGAGCTCCATGGCCATTGTGATTGGCCTGGTCGTTGGAATCATGTGGTTCTAACACCACTTGGCTCTCGATCGCGATGACTGCTTATGCCGTCGACGGCGTCTCAAATTCTGCGGACGAGTTACGAAGTCACTACTTGTAATAGACGGGATGTACAGCGCATCCCACCCACCATTCGCTTGTCGAATGTACTAATTCCCCGCTAGGTTGGGGCTGGCGTTTTTCCAGCATTGGTGCTGGCTGTGAATTGATAGATAGGCCGATGCTGACTCATGGATATAAATGCTAATAACATTTCAAATACTTCTTCCTTTTGCAGGCGTAGATATTCTGAAAGCGGAATCGGAGGACAGATGTCCAGCCAAGCCGCCAAGGGTGCAAACCACAGCGCGTTACATAATGGCGCCTGATTGATAAGATCTGCCCCCTTCACGTGAGCTGATCCTTCAAAAAGTCTCACCCATTGATTCCCCTCGCGTTTCACTCTTGTACTCTCAAGTAGCTTTCTCACCCTTTCCCACTTAAAAAACGACCTGGTCCACGTAGACGACCATGGAGGACAGCCACTTCCGCCACAGCCCCTCGCACCACCCGCACCCCTTCCAGGTCCACCGCGACCACTCGCTCAACGAGGGGACGACCACCGCACTAGAGGATACAACCACGCACCGCGCAACCTCGTACGATGAAGAGGGCCAGGCACCGCCGCGGTACACGGAGGAAAACGACCCGTACCAGCTCGCCTCAAAGCTGAAAACCCCCGAGGAGATCCGCGACATGCACCCGCAGGCCAACATGTCGCGCAAGCGCCATACTACAATCTCACGGATGGTAGGCGCGTCGACGGCCGCAGCAAATGAGGTTCCTGTGTTACGGAAATTCAAGAGCGCCTCATCCAGGCGAGAACTGCAGGGCTTCTACCACGAGCAAAACGAGAACATCGAGCGCATGCTCAAGCCCGTCGAGGAGCACCGGCGCGACGCGCGCGAGCTCAACACGAATAACCAGCTCAAGTACAAGATTGCCATCTACGGGAGTTTCGGCGCGAATATCTGCCTGTCGATCTTGCAGCTGTACGGAGCCATTGCCTCCTCGTCGCTTTCGCTCTTTACGACCATGGCCGATTCGGTCTTTGACCCGCTCTCCAACTTGACCCTGTTGCTCTGCAACAAGACCGTCAACCGCGTCGACCCGCGGAAATTCCCCGCGGGCAAAGCACGCATCGAAACAGCGGGGAACATCTCCTTTTGCTTCCTGATGATCGCCGTCAGCGTCCTCCTCATCGCCTTTTCCATCCGCGACCTCGTTGACGGGTCCGACTCGGCAACAGGCGACTTCCACCTCCCCTCGGTCATCGCCGTCGCGGTAGCCTTTTGCACGAAACTCGCGCTCTTCCTGTACTGCTTCGCGCTGCGGAACCAAGTCTCGCAGATCCGGATCCTGTGGGAAGACCACCGCAACGATCTGCTGATCAACGGGTTCGGTATCCTTACGTCTGTGGGCGGGAGTAAGCTGCGGTGGTGGATTGACCCGATGGGCGCGATTATCCTCTCCGTGCTGATTAGTGGGCTCTGGCTGCATACGGCGTGGAATGAGTTTCAGTTGCTGGTTGGCGTCACGGCGGATACGAAGATGCAGCAGCTTATTACTTATATCTGTGCGCTGCCCTCTTTTCTTATCCCCCCATCCCCCCCATTTACAACATCTCCTCTCTTGAACTTGGTTTACTAACAGCGGGGCGCAAAGCAATGACCCACTCCCCAATGATCACCGCAATCGACACTGTGCGCGCCTACACATCGGGCCCGCGCCTGGTCGTCGAAGTCGACATCGTCATGGACCCCGAGGAGAGCCTGCGGGCGACGCACGACGTCGCCGAGGAGCTGCAGATGAAGCTCGAGTCGCTGCCGGATGTCGAGCGCGCGTATGTCCATGTTGATTACGAGACGACGCATAAGCCCGAGCATAATTTGAAGAAGGAGCTGTAGCCGCCTGTCGCCGGTTCTTGGTTTTTTTTTTTTTTTTTTTTTTTTTTTTTTTTTGAGGAGAAGGGAAGGGAAGGGAAGCGTGGGGTGTTTTTTTCGCGGGGATGAGATTTAGGGCGTGGGGTGGGATGGTCCCGTAATCATATGGATGGCCCAGAGCAAGAAGTTTGCATATTGTGCGCTTGGGCCTTGGGGGGGGGCGTGAAGGAGTGGCACTACTAAGGTTGCGGATCGCATTATATGCATAAGAATTAGGTATGGTTACAGCTGAGATACATATACCGTACTCCGTCCTCGTTACTCGGTCCCCATCGGGTAAATGCTCAGGCACTGGCATGAACAGCGCAACCTCACCACTCCCGCTCCACCTCAATCCCACGATGGGACATGGAAATCAGGGTTTTCACCGCTAGGATAGACCGCTAGTCAACTTGGGAGCGTACCTTCATTCCTCGTTGTCGTCAGGCGCGAATCGGGATATAGGTGGACGCTAGACCTTGGCGGCAATAGTTTCGGCCCCTTGCATCGAGATTCGCGCCGCGGGTCGTTCGAGCTAGAGTGACTGGCTTGCTCCTTATGCGATGTCGAGTCTCGGTGAGGTGGGCTTTGACTTGTCGAGGATACATCTGCTCTAACAACGCAAGTGCTTTCGACTCTGTGACCAGGCTGGTTGCACTCTAAGCTGTGTCTCGGCTATATATGGGTTCGAGTATATGAATGAAGGGGGTTCGTTTAGAGACGGAGATATACTCCGTACAACGCAGACCTATCCATTCCCTCGTGCCGGCCCAGCAAGGGGCCGTGGACGGCCATGAAGAACGTGATGGGTAGGCTGGTTCTGGCTCTGGGTTACTGTTGCATGCATGCATGATCTCATGGCTTGCAGAAGAACGTGAAGGTGAGCTTGCATGACCTGGCCGTGGCCAGTCGATGGCCAGACCGTATACCTAGCTGGCTAGCTATAGGAACCACATAACTATCCCACGCAGCCCCTTTGATTACAAACCTCTGCGTCTTTGGACTAGTTACTTGATGGTTCATTGAACCCTACCTAGCAGATCAGCTTTGCTATCCCAATGAGAAGACTAGATCCATCGACACAGCTCATACCAAGCGAGACAAGATCATCTTGAAAGATGCCCTCGAAATTCTTCCCCAACACGATTACAGAATGCCTCTTCGTCTTAACGGTAACCTTTGCCTTTGCACAATCGACCATCTTCTCCGGGATGGCGACTGTCATGACGGATGTCATCGGCCGGGATCTCAATATGCAGGGGGATGTTGTTTGGATTACGAGTGCCGCTTTGTATGTCGCTCCCATATATACCTTCCACTTTCCAGGCACCATCTTTCAATTGAATGTTTTCAATGGTTGTATACTGATGAAAGTGTTTCGGGTGACGAAGACTAACAAACGGCGCCTTCGTCCTCCCCCTCGGAACGCTCTCGGACACGCTCGGCCGGAAACCACTCGCGTTGACCGCAATGATATTGACGACCCTCGCAACGCTCGCCTGCGGCTTCGCTCCGGACGGGGTCACGTTGATCATCTTCACGGCACTCATGGGCCTTTTCTCCGCTGCGGCAGTCACACCCGCTGTGGGGACCTTGGGCTCTGTATATAGTGCCCCGTCGAAACGACGGAATCGGGCGTTTGCGTGTTTCTCCGCGGGGAATCCATTGGGGTTTGTTGTTGGGACGCTTATTGCAGGAGTTGTGTTGGAAATCACCCGGGGGAAGAGTCTGGGAAGTGGAGGGTTTTGGGGAGGGGAAGGTAGAGGTAGAGGGGGTGATGGGGGTGGGTGGAGGGTTTGTTTCTGGGTGTTTTGTGTGTTGACAGCTGGGTTTGGGGTTTTGGTCAAGTGGACTGTTCCGAAGGATAAGGTTGTGTTTTCGGCTCCCGCTGCTGCTGAGGGTGAGAATGGAAGTGGGAGTGGAAGGGACGAAGTCTCTGGGAGAGACATTGTGACGCCAGGTAGGGTTAGTGGGTGGGAGGTGCTGAGGAGGTTCGATCTTGTCGGTGCGGTACTTGTTACTGCGGGGGTTTCGGCGTTGTCCGCAGGTTTGACGTATGTTTGATCTCTTTATCCCCCGCCTTTCTGTTTGTGATATCGATTGGGCTGTGCTGGTTTCGTCTGGTGGGTGCTGATGCTAATGGAGGTATCGAGGATAGACTCACCGGAACCGCGCCACAAGGCTGGGCAACGCCATACGTGATCGTCCTGATAATCGTCGGCGTGATCCTCATCGGCATCTTCATCTTTTGGCAGTCGATATACAAGTTCCCGCTCATGCCGCTGTATATCTGGCGGGACCGGAACTTCTCACTCGTACCGTCCCCTCCTCCCATTCCCCTATGACCAAGAATGGAGCTAACAGGTGAGCAGGTAATAACCCTCCTCGCCACTGGCAACGCGGCCTTCACCAGCTCCTCCTTCTGGCTGTGCCTGTACCTGCAACGCACGCAGCGCCTCAGCGCCCTCTGGATCGCCGTCTACCTCCTCCCGCAAAACATCAACGGGCTGATTATCAACTTCGTCTGCAGTCTGATTCTACACCGGGTCCCACACCGGGTCCTCATGGGCGTGGGAGCCCTGGCGTACCTCGTTTCGTTTCTGTTGCTCGCCCTCCTGCAGCCAATTCGCTACTATTATTGGGCGTTTGTGTTTCCGAGTCTGCTGCTTGCGGTTGTTGGGGCGGATTTGCAGTTTAATGTTGCAAATGTGAGACACCTCTTCCCTCCTACGTCGGTTCTTTCTTCTCTGGATGAGCCAGTCAGTATTGGCAAGCGAAACTAACACAATGCACGCAGAGCTATGTCATGTCCTCTCTCCCCCGACACCAACAATCCCTCGCCGGCGGAATCCTCAGCGCGGTAAATAAGCTGCTTTCAAACATCGCACTGAGCATTTCGACGGCCGTGTACTATGCGGGCCAGAAGCACGCGGCGAGGAATGGTACTGACGGTGTCAGCGATGACTTTGCGGGCTATAGAGCGGCGTTTTGGATGCTTGTTGCGATCGCTGGGATCAATTTGGCGCTGGTGCCGTTTTTGAGGATCAAGAAAGTCGCGATGGAGGATATGAAGACCAGTAGTCCTATTAGTGGCAGTGAGGAAGGGTTTGGCGAAGTGTTTGCGGAAAAGAAAGAGGGGACGAAGAAGGAGGAAAAGATGGAGGTGTAGACGGTTTGTCGGGAGTATATATATTTGTGCCTGAGGCAGCTACTGATGAAGATAGGGATCTAATTAATGGCTTATCAGACAACAGCAATTTCATTTGACAAGAGCAAGAAAGATTGGATATTGAGATCCTCAACCTCAAGAAAACAATGTCCTGTGCTAAGGTAGTCCGAGACAGCCAGCCGCGTGACGATTCTTACAATGTAGACGCAGTCCCGATCAGGTGATCGCTGCCTGCCTCATCCCATCTGCGTGTCCAGTCCACGTCCGCTGACAGCAACACCCGGAACTCTTTCACTCGCTTACTCCTTTGACTGCTTATTCCTCTCACCATCTACCCCGCTTACACGCTCCTCTCCTTCCTTCGACATGTAGAAGGTTTGTTTTGCAACAACAATGCCGCTCTCGCTATCTGTCCCCAGCTTCCGATCTAACACCACATCGCCCCCACTTCGATCCCGCGATGCCAGCGCCAGCGGCACCGGCAGCACCAGCAGCTACTCCGCGACCCTCAGCGAAGCCCTCCGCAACAATCCCTTCGGTTTAGCGACACAGTCCCGCTCACGGACCCCGCTCGCCTCCACGAGCGAAGAGCAGAAACGCGAGCAGGAGGAGCTCAACGCCGCACTCGAGGCGCTCGTCCTCATCTTCCCCGACGTCAAGATCGAGGTCTTCCGCGAGCTCCTCGTGCGGTTTGACGGGAACAGTCGGCTACACGTCTGCGTTGAGCAGATCCTCCGGCATAAAGAGAAATGGGTCGCCGGACGATGGAACGTCCCCTCCAGCGGGGGCGAGGATACCTCCGAGAATGTTTCTAGTTCTAGTCCGGGCCAGCTGGTCCCGCGGGACGAGCGGTTTCGGACGGCGAACTACAAGGCGGCTGTGAAGACGATCCTGGCAAAAGAGTTTAGCGGGCTGAGCCGCAGTACCGTCGATGCGGTGCTGGCGGAGGTCAACTTTTGCTACGTGCGGGCGCGCCCGATACTCCAGGATCTCGCGCGCAAGACGTGGCGGGCGACGTTCAACAGTATCCTTCCGTCATTTCGTCGGAAGCGCGATAAGGATGATTCGCATCCGCTTATGCTGTGGCAGCGGCAGGCGGACGGCGAGGTTGTGCCGCGGTTAAAGGGGACCGGGTGCGAGGAGCTGGATGCGGAGCTGTATGAGATCCTGGTTGCGCCGTTGCTGCGTGCGCGGCTGGAGGAGCGGGAGAAGGAGGATCTGAGGCTGGCGGAGGAGTTGAATGAGAAGGACGCGGAGGCGGAGGGGGCGATGTACGAGTGCGAGTGCTGTTTTTCGGACGTCACGTTTGAGCAGATTTCGACGTGCTCGGAGAATATGCATGTCATCTGTTTCAACTGTATCCGGCATACGGTTCACCAGGCGCTCTTTGGTCAAGGTTGGAGCACATCGGTTGATGTTGGCAGGTCTACGCTCAAGTGTCTGGCACCGTCTACGCATGAGCGCTGTGAAGGGATTCTCAGTGCCTCGATAGTCAAGCGGGCTATCCTTTTCGACAAGGCTGGGGTTGAAACGTACGCAAAGTTCGAAAACAGACTTGCCTCTGATGCGCTGCTTCGCTCTCAATTCAAGCTCATCCGCTGCCCGTTTTGCTCCTACGCCGAAGTCGACCCCATCTATCATCCCCCGCCAAACGGCATCAACTGGCGGTTTCGCCGAGACGGCCTAATTTCTACGATTCTCACGATCATCATCCTTCTAGACACGGTCCCATTCCTCATTATAATCATGACAGTCCTCTACTTTTTCAACCCCAGCGCTCTATCCACGATTCTCAACAACGCCGTTACGAACCTCTGCCTCAAGCTGCGCATGAAGAAATTCACCTGCGCAAACACCACATGCCAGCGAACCAGCTGCATCACCTGCCAAAAGCCCTGGCGCGACCCACACGTCTGCCACGAACCCTTACTCCTCGACCTCCGCGCCACCGTCGAAGCCGCCCGCACAGCAGCAGTCAAACGCACATGCCCACGCTGCGGCCTCTCCTTTGTCAAATCCTCCGGGTGCAACAAGCTCACCTGCACCTGCGGCTACTCCATGTGCTACCTCTGCCGGAAAGCGCTGGGCCCGCCGCTGAAATCCGGCGGGAACCGGCGCCGCCCCCGCCGGCAGGAAAACATCGACCCAATCGGCCGCGCACTCGCCCTCGGCTTGCCCGCCGCCGACGCCGTCGGAGACAATGAAGACCCCATCCAAGACGACGCAGACGAAGCAGCCGAAGACGAAGAAGAAGCCAACGAGGGCTACCGGCACTTCTGCGAACACTTCCGCGTAACGCCCGGCGCGCGCTGCACAGCCTGTAACAAATGCGAGCTGTACCAAGACGAAGACGAGGAAGCCGTTGCGCGGCGCGCGGGCGAAAAAGCCGAGTACGAGTGGCGCATCCGGCACCAGATGGCGGCAGCAAACAACAATTCCAGCCAGAATTCCACATCTGCAACAAATCCCAATCCCAATCCCGCTCTGACTCTCGGTCTCGCCTCGATGAATGTCAACCACGACCTCTCGGTGAATACATCGCGCGGCAGGAAACAGCCCGGTGGGCTTATCTTGGGTCTCACGGGGAAGACCATGATGTATTGGCTTGATGAGGTGTGGCAGGGCGGGCAGTGGAGGGTTGAGGGGCAGGCGCTGGTTGATTGGGTTGTTGAGAGGGTTATTGTTATTCAGGAGATTTGACCGCACATCCTTCTCTTCTCTTCTCAAACCGCACATCCTTCTTGCCTTCTTCTCTTCTTCTCTTTTCCTGGACTGTTGAGTCTATCTCCCTTTTTGGTTTCGGTTTCATTTGGTTCGATTGGTTTCTTGGGATAACTTAAGCGTACACTACTACACTACACCTACACTACACGATACGCTATTTGGGAAAATTGAAACTCACCTCGAGTCGGCGTTTTTGGACATTACATTATATCAGATTGCATGGCGTGGCATGGCGCAGCATGGGATAGGACTGGAACTTTGGATTATCCAGAATGGTTTTATGAAAGACATGAATTTGGTCGACACAGGACGAAGAGAGAGCCTCGTTTATCTCATTCGCTGACAGCAGAGACCTACTCTAGTTTGTTTCGGATTTGTAGGATGTTGTTGGATAATTTACTTTCGAGTACGAATACAACGGATGAATGCTCTTCGCTCTCTCTTCCTTTCCTTTCTTGCGCGGAATATGGATGCTTGTGTAGATGGACAGCTGAATATGCATTTGCCATGTATCTACTCAATGAACTGGAGATTTGCTTCTGCCCGCACCCGGATTCTTGGAGCCGTCAAGAAGTGGCAATTGCTACCAAGTCTTCCCTCAATGCATCCGAACACAGCCCAACCACACCCACCGCCACGCTTCCCACCCGCTCCCTCAGCACGCTCACTTGACCTACAAAATCGTAGTTAGCCACCCTTCCCTTCGAACCCTAATAAGGAAACGGGGAGCACTTATAAAAAAAAGCGGGCCGCCCCCCTCCCCCGAAGAAGAGAAGAGACGACCATCCACACGAATCTCCACCGCAACAACCATACCAATTCCCATCCCAGTCAATCAATCAATCAACAACCGATTCAAAAGAACGATCAAGAAGACAAGAGAGAAAGAAAACGACCCCCTATCCCCAAGCACGAATATCAATCCCGGAACCACGCCGCTGATCGCTGCACAAGGAGGGTGAGGTGAGTGAACAGCAACAGACAAGCCTAGACTTTGAGTCCCACGAAGAGAGCTCCCGTCGCCGTTCGGGGGTTTGCGCGGTGATCGTTGGCAAGGGCGGAAATCGTGAGTGGGAGAGTTGGTGGGTTTGAGACGGGTTTTGTAGGTGTTGGACCTGATGAGAGAAGTGTGGATAGAGGTGAGCGACAGGGTTGTGACTCGCAAGCTTTTAACGAGAGAAGGGACTGTGAACAGCTATTAGAGGGTCTTTGGGCGGATGGGCTTGTCGGCCTTGATGACGTTCTCGAGGGACCGGTGTTCTTCTCGTGTTGAAAGTTACCCCGTGATGTCGAGCTCTTGTGTGTGACAGAGTACCTCCGGGGACAAGTTTTTGGATTCCTCTCCGCGCGCAAGGTTGGAGGGCAGAAGCGGACAAAGAACATCCATAAAAGCCGCTTTTAAGGTGAAGATAAGGGTGTCGGGGCCCATCGAGATCGATTTGCAATCTACATTGCAAAGAGATGGTTAACGCAGCTGATCAGGACCTTCAATAAAGCTGAAGCTATCGGTGGCTGGTGCCGTGATTCGGGGTCCGCTAGCCTAGTATAGAGGCGGAACCGGGTTGGTGGACAGATTGATACCGGAACGTGACAGCAGGCCGAGATCTTGACTTTCGTCAAGAACCATACGTGCAGAGAAGCAATGCTCGAAACCTTGCTACAAGCCAATCCGTTGGTCAATTCGAGATTGATCCGGTCGATTCGCTTGATTCCGACAAGTGGATTTCTCACACCAACAGCCTGGCTGTATGGCCGTGTGTAGGCAAGTCCAGATAGGACACCTGCTGTGTTCCCAACACTCTGGAACATCAATGGTTCGCAAATTTTCATTGGTCCGCATTGATGAAGACGCAAAGTACATCCAAGGATGCTCGATCCAGTCCACACGGTAAGCTCCCAGTCCCTGGTTCCAGGCATAGACGGACCCGTCCCATTGTTGATCCGCATGGTAAGCCAGCATTGGAGAACCGACGCGCGTCCGCGATTGGAGTTGCATGGTAGACCGTTTTTCAATTGCCGTATGGCTCTGGCGAGCTGCCTTTTGCCGAAATGAATCAGCTAGTCAGCAGCCCCCATGCTTGACTGCGAGGCGATTTCAACCGACGAGATGCATTAGGGTTAGATTCCTAACCCCGATCAAGTTGTCGTTGCTGGACGCGCTGAGTGGCCTGATCAGGATTAGGGGTGAGGAGGTACGATCTGTAGGGACCTTTGCAGGAAGAGGCGACACCACTGGGAATTCGACGGGAGAAGGGCGGTTTCGACGTCGAGGCAGATGACAAGTATCCGATTCCAAGCCATACACAGTAACACAGTCGTCCCTCGTTAAGATTGGAAGAGTGGGCCGCTGAAGCTGGGGAAGAGAAAAGCATCGAAACACGGATCCCGCGATAAGCACAAGGCGCGAGACGCGTTGTCACGTGAGGCCTTTCTTGGTGGCTGGTTCTGCCATGTGATACCGCTTCCCGCCGTTTCCCCAAAGGCTGGCCGGCATGCAAGCATCAACCCATCCCATCCCGTCTCGAGGAGCCACCATTACTGCCGAAAAGATCTCTATACGTCTCTAAGGTTTCAATGAGAATTGCTATCATGAAAGCTCTTCTACATATACCCGCTTGCGCAACATGACGTGACAATCCCAAAACCGACGAGTCGGCAAAGTCTTCATCCGGCGATCGCGGGGCTCTGGGGAAACATGCCTGGGGCATCCACTGCCCGCTGCCGTGGTTGATTGCCGTCCACAACTTCTCTTAACTCCTCCATCTTCTGTGACTGTCATTCCGGGGCAGATGCGTCCTACTTCGATACGCTCCTTTGCTCGTTCAGCAGTCTACAATATGAAGCATCATTTGATGGTGGGCACCTGGACCCGTCCGGGCCGCATCTATACCGTTGCCTTTGACGATGAGGCTTTGACTCTGGAGTTGGTCAAAAAGACCGACATTCCAGAGGCCGAGCCGATCTCGTGGATGACCTTTTCTGTAAGTGCATACCCTCTATAAAGCCAATTGATCTGACCGGAATAGCACGACAAAAAAACCATATATGGCGCCGCCATGAAGAAGTGGAACAGCTTCGCCGTCAACAGCCCCACCGATATTGTTCACCAAGTGTCGCATCCCGTTGCAGGACACCGTACGTCTTCAATTGATATATGGGAATGTCGCTGACCCAGTACAGCCCAAGCCGCAAGCGAAGACACCAACACCCGCGCCATTTTCGTCCTCGCCGCTCACAAGCCTCCGTACAACGTATATGGAAACCCCTTTTACAAATACGCTGGGTTCGGCAATGTTTTCTCGGTAGAATCCGACGGACGTCTGGCGAAGAACGTTCAGAACTACGAGTACGAGCCCAATACCGGTATTCACGGCATGGTGTTTGATCCCACCGAGACCTACCTATACTCGGCCGATTTGCAGGCCAACAAGATCTGGACGCATATCAAGGATGCCACAACGGGAGAATTGACGCTGGTTGACTGCCTGGAGGCTCCGGACCCGGGCGACCACCCGCGCTGGGTCGAGATGCACCAGAGCGGCAAGTACTTATACGCTCTGATGGAGGCTGGCAACCGTCTGGCGGTATACGTTATCGACGAGCGGACCCACAAGCCTGTCTTTACGCACATTACGTATCCTCTGCTTCCTCCTGGTATGTTCCCTCAAGCCAAGCGTATGCCCTATCTAACGAGTATAGGTCTTCCTCCACGAAACAAGTACCGTGGCGATGTCACTTTCACCACGCGCAGCGGCGAATACCTCTTCGCTACAACTCGCAGCAACCACTTCGATGTCACCGGGTATATTACTGCCTTCAAGCTGGGCCCGAATGGCAACATCGAGCGCCAGCTGTGGATTCACCCTACCTCTACCAGCGGCGGCCACTCCAACGCCGTGAGCCCATGCGATTTCAGCGATGAGTGGCTGGCCCTCTGCGACGATCAACTGGGTTTCGTGGAGATTTACCGCTTCAAGGACGAGAACCTGTCCCGTGTGGCCCGTGTCGATATCCCGGAGCAGGGCTTCGGCATGAATGCCATTTGGTACGATTAAGCTTACTAGACTATTTAAATAAACAAGCTTTAGAAACTGTTTAATCACTCCTTACTTCCGCTAATATATGGCTCGTAATCTCTTTACTAAAGGAGAAGTTAGTACAATTCCTACTCGTTGAGTATTGATACAATTTTGATACCATTTCACGTAATTAATTCAGTCGTTGACATCCTGATGCTCAAGAACATATATTCGGAAGTTTAACTTTCATCTACGGCAAGGTGGCCGAGCGGTCTAAGGCGCTGCTTTCAAGCGATAAGCTTCCTGTTACGGGATACAGCAGTGGGGAAACTCTCGTGTGTTCGAATCACGCCCTTGTCAATATCTTTGTTTTTGTTTCTCCAAACTGGGAAATGTGGATCGAGCCCTAACTCTCGAACTTTTGCTGCGAAATTGAACTTGTTAAGGCAGCCTGTCGTGCTGGAAATACTTTTGCTCAAGGACGAGGCTAGCGATTTGCTTATCTGAAGTATATTTCAAGAGCCAGTCCATGTACACGAGCAGCCTCGGTTCTCGAGTCGTGTAGCTCTCTCTGGCCTCCAGAAAACCTGCTTACAGGACCTTGCAATGTACTTTCCGATTCATCAGTCGGTCAGCCACTGGCTATAGAGACTAGTATACGCATCCACGGTTAGTTCGGACACACCTTGCTCCTTACTGCTTTCCTCTAGGAAAGAGCCTCTGGGCGAGGTCGTGCCTTCCTTGTTAAATTAGCTGACTGAGCAAGGAAGACAGGAGCGACCCTGTCCGACCTGCCTGGGCTTGTTCTTTCCTCTTCTAGATTAGGAAAGTACGCCCCGGCCGGGGGAGGCGAAGGGGGCGCATGGGTCGCGTTTTCCTTGGCTGGTCCTGTCAACCCAGTAAGAAAGGAAGGAACGAGCAACATCTCCAGGGCTGGCTCCTTCCTATTCTAATTAAGGAAAGAGGCCCTAGCCCCCAAGGTCGTTGGCTCTCTTGTTTCCTAATTATTTCTTTCAGAGTCTGTATACCCCGTCTGGGCTGACTCGATCGCTTGCCCTAAGGACTGACCAGGAATGGGATTGTAGATTTGGCGGGTGGCCCGGACTGGTTCATTCCTTCAAGGTACATCGTTCTCCGCACAAGATTACGTCGAAAAGCGAAGTGACTGGTATATTCGAGCGTGTGCAGCTTCCTCGGCAGCATCTTGAAAAGCAAAGAGATCGTCCAGACCTCAATGGTCTCGAGGAAGAATTAGGATAAGACTTACGGTGTTGCGTCGAGGTATCGTACCGTTATTGAGGTACGAAGTTTATGAGAGCACTACAGTTGTATAAAGGCATAGAAGAAACCCGCTTGCTTTTCTCTATATCTCTCTAAGTGGGCGGTCATAAACAAAATATAAATGCTACCTGGTATATGGACTCGCATCCAAACAATCAAACCAAACAAAGTCCTCGCTCACATCTACCCCAGATGAATAGGCTTATCCAGAGCCAGCATCAGTATCAGGATGGACGCTTATGCCTTTGCAACGGCCTGAAACGCCTGCTCGAGAATCCGCAAAGCAGTACGCAACTGCTCCTCGGTAATCGTCAATGGAGGCACAAACCGCAGGCACCCCTCACCTGCAGTGATAATCAGCATGCCGCGTTCCCGCGCAGCAGTGACGATCTCCGCAGCCCTGGGCGCGAAGCTCTCCGAAAGCTGCAGACCGAGGATAAGACCGCGGCCGCGGACTTCAGAGACGAGGTCCGGATACTTCTTCTTCAGCGCGGCGAAGCCCTCGACCAGGAGAGCGGATTTGGATTGGACGGATTTCTGGAGGGCTGGGTCGGCGAGGCGGTGGATGATGTGGTGTGCGACGCGGCAGGCGAGAGGGTTTCCGCCGAAGGTGGTGCCGTGGTCGCCGGCTTTGATGTTGTCTGCGACTGTCTTGCCCGAGACGATTGTTGCGCCGATGGGGATGCCGTTTCCGAGAGCCTTCGCGGTGGTGAGGATATCTGGGTGAGCGGACTCGCCGTTCTCGGGTTTCAGGGAGGGGTGGGCGTGTGCCCAGAAGCTGCCTGTGCGGGCGAGACCGCATTGAATCTCGTCGAAGATGAGCACGGCACCGACCTCATCGCAGCGCTTGCGGAGGGCGGCAAGGAACTCTGGGCTCGCGACGTGGACGCCGCCTTCGCCTTGAATGGGTTCGACGATGACGCCGCAGGTCTTATCGGTGACAAGCTCCTGCAGCTGCGCGACGTCGTTGTATTTCCCGTACTTGAATCCAGGGAGCATAGGCGAGAAGGGAGTCTGGTATTTCGGATTGGGTGTCGCGGAGAGCGCACCCATCGTGCGGCCGTGGAAGGAGTTGTGGAAGGAGACAATCTCGTGCTTTGCGCCGGAGGGGTCGCGGGCGCGGCCGGTCTTACGGGCAAACTTGATAGCAGCCTCGTTGGCTTCCGTGCCAGAGTTGGCGATGAAAACCTGCGCAGCGTCGCGCATGGCGCCGGACTCGCGGGTGAGTGTGATGAGATCCTTGCTCAGCGCTCCGACCCAGGCATTGTGGTACAGGTTCGAGGCGTGCAGGAGGGTTTCCGCCTGCTCGGCGATGATCTTGGAAATTTCGGGGTCGCAGTGGCCGAGAGAGTTGACGGCAATTCCGGCTGTGAGGTCGAGGTATCGCCTGTTCTCCATGTCCCACAGGTAGCTTCCCTTGCCCTTGACCATGATCGGGTTGGGTCGAACATAGGTAGGGACGAGGTACGGGGCGCGCTCATTGACAAAGGCGACGGAGACGGAGTCGGCGGCAGGGTCAGGTGTGATCAATGCATCCTAATCATTAGTATCCCTCAATCTTCAGTTTGAAACTGTCAATCAACTTACCTGGGCTCCTGCAACCGCAGAGGCATACCGGCGCTGCAGCGGTGACTCAACAGCGGAAACCAGTCGCTTTGCCAGCGGCAGCCGGCGGGCGGCGACACGGACGAATGTCATTACAAGTAACTCTGTTTGCTTCGTGAAAAAGCGAATCCAATTACAGCAATTGACAAGAGGAAAGAAGGTGAGGAGGAAAAGGGAGGGAGCGTGGGGGAGAAGAAGAGTGACAAGAAATGCCTCGTCCAAAATATCGACTGATAAAGTTAGCGATATCGGCCTCGGCTGCTCTTCTCCGCCGCCACTCCGCATTCTTCCTCTTCTTCGTCACCTCTCAGTTCGAGTCATCTTTTTAGTCCAACTAACCAAAAGTGACTCACATCGTGCAAAATAACGCATCGCATCGTATCCTAATCTATATCTGTGTCCACTATGACTCTCTCGATCGTATCCCGCCGAGTCCTAACTCGATCTTCCCTACTCCACCCGACGCGCGCCCGCGCCTTTTCATCCTCAATTCGCCGCACCTCAGACGAGTCGAATCCCTCCTCCCCATTCCGCCAGGGGCCTTCACCGCCTAGACTCCCCAAGGAAGAACAGGAGATCTTCGAGAAGCTACAGCAGCAATCTACCGGTGCATTCAGCACGCCGCGCGCGACGCCACAAGTCAATCAGTCGCCGGACTCTGAGGTGGTTAAGATCGAGGCCAAGGGCGATGGAGGCGAACTACATCCTGATACGAAGACCGGGCTAAAGCCTGAGTTTGAGGGGGAGAAGAACCCCAAGACCGGGGAGATCGGAGGCCCAAAGAATGAGCCGTTGCGGTGGGGGAGTGGTGGGGATTGGAGCTATGGGGGCCGTGTGACGGATTTTTAGGTGGTTTGACCAAAAATAGAGGTTGATGGTTTGTACATTAGTGGCGTTGGTATCTGTCTTAATACTCACTCTTCTTACGATATATACAATATGTTCAGGCTGTTGTGCCTGCTGCGGCGAATAAGCTAACGCCCACGACGAGGCATGGGCAGACGTACCGAGCGAATTGCAGGAAATCTGAGTCGAGTCACTCTCTTGTGATCAAACCAAATGCTGAAGCAACTAACATTCCTCTAATACAGCTTTCATGCAGGCCGCAGCTGTGGCAGCAGCATAGTGCTGCCAGTGCTTGTTCTTGTGGCTGTCGGCATAATCGCACAGGCCTTTGATCACGAGGCAGGGGAGATTATCCCAGATCCCGGATGCTTCCATCTCAAACGCGATGAGATTATGCTGGGCTGCTGTGAGGTCACGATGGTGCCCTGATTTCATGACAGTATCTCCGGACCCCACGAAGCCGAAGTGGACTCGCGGCTTTGGAATGACACCATCTGCTGATGCCTCCAGCAGTCGTTTACGCTGCACCAGCCGGCTCTTCTGGCATCCAACTTGCTGGCAAGTCAACAGTCGGGCCTGCTCGCACATCAAATCATCCTTCTCTTCATACGCACATGTCTTGCATGACGATGGATTGCGATGCTTGTGTCTATATGCATCGTGGTATAGTTCGTCTGTGTCAACCCCTGGGTATCCGGCTCTCCTAGATCCGAGTGTGTTCTGCAAGCCCTCGAGATTTTCTAAGAGTTTTGCCTCAAGGCGTTCTCGCCTCCGTACCCCTTTCAATTTGGCCAAGATCCCCCGCAGCTTAGGTCCGGGTCGGGAGACGACTTCTGGTCCAGACTTGCTCAGAAAGACGTCAGGGAACCTTCTGCCGAAATCGTATTGCACGATTCCGTCACTGATGACAACATCCCCAAGGATAAGATCCTCCCTGCCTTCTGAGTATGATGGCACTCCCCCGCATACCCCGACGACAAGGGCCAGTTTGATCTCCGGATAGCTCGAACGTACGCTCGAAGCCGCCTGAGATGCGGCGGCTTTTCCCACGCCGGCCATATGGATTAGAACGACGTTGTGATGTAAGATGTTGCCAAATGTATAAGCATTGTCGTCTCCCGCGGCTCGACCAAAACGCTCGCCATCTTCGTTCCATGTCTCGTCGAAAAGCTCACTGACAGCATCTGCTTCTAAAGGTAAGGCACAAAAGATGGCAATGCTGAAATGCGAACGACTGGTTGGTTTGGAACTTGAGGTATACGTCTGCGGTTTAATAATAGGCGTTTCCATCGTGGAGACTTCCAAAACTTCCCAGTCGTCCTTGTACGCGTGATATAGCTCGCGCAAAGGCAGTACAATCTTCTCATAGAGAATAGTTTGTCTATTTTCGAGACCATCGTCGGGCTTAGACAGGTCACAGGCGCTGCCTTTAAATAGTTCAGCGTCGAGACAGTTGTTGACTACAGCCTGATAAGCCGCACCGATCGTGTTTCTCAAATCACTGCTGTTTGCAGTGGTCCATGCCCATTCGTAGTAGTCATTGATCGTGGTTTTGTCCCACGCATAGTTGGAGGTCTTGGGTTTGAACGGCTGCTTTGTGGCAATCTCGACGAGAACCATGCCCAAGGAAAGTATGTTGGGGTACATGTGGAATAGGTCGTCCGCAATGCAGTAGTCCAATACCTGACCTTTGCGATGGTGGAGCTTGGTGATGAAATAAGGATGTGGTCGGATGTGATTGGCATCGCCAGTATTCTGCTTCATGATTTGGATATTCTCGTGCGTCCACGGCTGCGTCATCCAATGCGAGCTATAGTACTGCCAGACAGATCTCGCAATGGTGTACGCCAGCGTTATCTTCACCCTGTTGGAGAGGTGTACGGTCTTCTCAAGCCAAGCCGAAAGAGATGTGGAGTGAGGAAGGAAGCTCCGGCAGAGAGAACCGGGAACACTGTCGGCAAGTTTCATGACATTGTCCTTGATGTGGAAGTGAATGAGGGCACCCTTCTCACTTCCAATGAGCTTGCAAAACTCTCCGAGTTCAACCTTCCGAGGGCTCTTCATTGACGGCCACCGGCTTTTAGTCGAAGAGAGACTCCAATTTTTGACTGCGAATGAAACCCGTTTCTTCTGAGTCAGTTCGTTTCGCCTACACGAGGGCAAGCGCACAATGTTAGCGCAATCCTGATACTTTCAGGCTGTTCATACCTAGCAACAAGTACCTTCGCCTCCTTCCAGCGCGACTGGCAGTTAGCCTCACATGGCGTATGACCTTTCAGAAACAGTAAGTCAAATGAAACATCTGGAGCGTCCTGTTGGTCATGCTCAGGATCAAGTCGCAGCCGCGCGTAATCCAAGTGTTGTGTCGTGCATGAGCACGTCGAATACATTCTAAGCTGAGTATACAGAGTATTGTTGACGTGTGCAGGGTACAGTATCTCCTTACTCAGAAGGTGTCCATCCGGCACTTCCTCCGGAGTGTTCGTTGCATGCAAGCAATCCGCGATCAATCGAAGGAGAGAAGGGTATTCGGGATCATTCTGAACGAAGTGTAGCAGGCTCCGTTGAACATCCTTCGCTAGGACAATCTCAGTGGGTGTGCTTGATTCCTTGCACTCGGAAATCCTCCGGAGTGCACCAAGGGCCTCATGTTGGGCTTTTGAGATCTGCCACGGACCCTTGATAAGTCCCTGTGCATCTGTAAGGTAGATTGAGCGAGTACTTACTTACAGAACAGGCTTTGTTGACAAGCTCCGCAATCTTAACCACCTTCAGTTGGATCTCCCTCTGGTCTGCAAATTGGATTTGTTGCGTCAGGATAAACAGTTCGCCGCCCAATTGGGCAAATCGGTTATCCTGCGTGTCGAGGCCGAGACGTGTTGCTTGATTGCTGATCCAGGGAAAAGCATCCCAGCAAAGATCAACAATTTCGTCCATTTTCAACTGTCCTCCCTCCCTCGCCCATATCGTGATGGGCCTCGTCAAGAGAAGCACGACGAGGAAAAGCAAGAGGGTGCAGTGAGGCTGTGAAGCCTCATCGAGTCACGTGGAGCGCATCTTAGCGCCTGCCTTCGACAGGTGCCGCGGGGCACGTAATCACCATCGTTTGAGCCATCAATGCTCATCACATTGTCCTTGGTGGCTCTGAAGCCAGGGAGCTGTTTCGGGAAGCAGAGTTAATATGCCGGAGTTCGCTACAATCTTCGACGCTGCTACAGAATGCCGTTATATATTCCGGACGGCTATCACAACACCACGACTGATGCACCAGGAATGGGCCGAAAACAGACTCGCAGATTTCAACCTTTGGGCTTCCAGTGCTGGTGCCTCTGCTACTGGAAAAGCTTCTCTGGATTATCGACTACGAGAGAACTTAGATGCACATACAATCCTGATAAATCTCTTGTCGATGCTAAGGATCTTGGTACAGAAGTGTATAAGCCAGGGTAAAGTACGTGCACTCACAGTTTCTTCTTTGACTGACGCTCATTTGATAGCCGGCGAAGTTGGGTATACCGCAGCGGGACTATCTAGCAAAGAAACTACGAGCAGAAAGGATGATGAAGACAATATAAACCAGCTCACAAGGCTCACCGTGGCCATACGAAAGGCCGGAACGCGGGCTCGGCTTCAGAAAGCAGACAGCTCATTCAATCCGGACGATTCTCAACTCGTCACCTTGCGTCAACACCTTGAGTTCCTTCTTCTGGTGCGTCCTGATGAGCACGGAGGTTCAGACTCATCTGGGAAGCAACTGGGTCTGGCACGAGTGAATCCAATCCAACAACGACTGATAGATGCGAACTTGAGGCGGAGAAATCGCTTTCTGTATGCGCAGAAGCATGCGAGGAGATTGGGGCCCAATTTTAGACCCTTACAACCTACGCCAATTGCGATGGCACCGTTGGTAAAGCAAGTGCCACGCTCAGAAGCCTCGACGTCGGCCTACAGCGCAGGAGTCGGCGAACCAATTCTCGGGAGTACAACAACAGCTACGATGGTGGACGAGCCTATCGTGATTCCACCCAAGCAACAAGCCGCAATATCTACAACGACAGCCATTTCAGTAACAACAACTCGGATATCTTATCCAAAGCCTCCGGTTGTTCACGATGATCAAGCCCTATTCACGTGCCCCTGTTGCTGTCAGTCTCTTCCTGTGGCGATGGGCCGTGGCAACCATTGGAAGTAAGAATTTCTTTTCCAAGACACCGAGTCGAGCTAACTTTCTTGGTTTGCATAGGAAGCATCTGACAAGAGATATTTCCCCTTACACATGTATCCTTGAAGAATGCCCCCAGCCTGAGTTACTTTATGTAACCAAGGAATCCTGGTCAAGCCATATGGACAAAGCACATGGAAGTACGGAGCAATGGGTATGCCAGGTATGCTCCCAGAAGAATATATCTGCCTCATTCATAGAGCCAGTCGGGTTCACCGCGCACCTTCAGCAAGAGCACAGCAGGGGAATTAAGCCGCAGCAGATACCCATGTTGCTCTCCGCATGGCAACGCAAAGTCCCCGTCCAGATTCCGGCATGCCCACTTTGCTCGTTTGATAGTGAGGACCAGAATATTCTGCTCGATCACATTGCTGAGCATATTCATTCGTTATCGCTGAGGTCGTTACCTTGGCCTACGAGAGATGGCTCAGGGAAAACCGATGAAGACGAGGGAGCCTCCTATTTTGGCCAGCACCCATATTTTGACGTGGACAGCGCTCAACCAGAGCTCTCCTCAAGTTTGTCTGATATGTCCCTCTTGGATGCAAAGTTGGAAATCAATTCAGGTTCAGACGCTGAAGAACCCACTTCGAACAGGGATAGGCAGCAGCAGCAGTTGACGGAAGACGCTCTCGAACTTGTCCCAAATAATACATCAAAACAGGCGAATACGAGCGATTGATTAGGCATATTGAACGCACAGACAGACCTCACCGATGACAAGGCTGCGGCAGATAACAAAAGCTTAGCATCTGATCATTTCGAGCATCCCAACAGGAGATATCTCTACTCGGAGAAGAAAGCCATCCCGTTGGATCCAGACACATGGGTACGAATGGAGGACGTATCCAAGTGCAACGATTGCGGGAAAAGCTTCAACAATCGGCGCCGAAAGTACCATTGTTGGATCTGCGGTAACGTTTTCGATTCGGAATGCACAGCCACAGTTTCAGGGCAAGACTATGGCCTCTCGGACACAGAAATCACACGGGTCTGCAAGCGATGTCAAAACGGGTTCAACTTCCAAGCGAACCGTACAAATCCCGAAGCCTCGCTGGACCTCAGTCCTGCTCCACAACGAGTAACCTCCAGGAAGGACTTCGGGGAGTCACTCAAGCGTCGTCTCCGTCTCCCTGATCGGAAAATAGACTGGAAAACTTGACCACCCCTCTTCTAATGGCATGCCTTAGCCTAAGTCGGGGCCCCACAAGTGCCAGCCGGAATCCACTCCCGGCACGTGCGCTAGGACGTTTCTCCACACAAAATTAGGGCTGGGTGGCGCTCGAGCCTTGATGTTCATAGAAGGCGGAGGGTTCTAGCCTAGGGTGATCCAGATTTCAGTCCTGTATTACCTAAAAGACCATTTATGTGGGTCGAGGCTATTTTTCGTCAGCCGCGCTATGCGCCAGGATATTATGATCCATAGTGCACAACATGATGGATAGTTTCGCTTATAAGATTTGTGGGCTTAGGTATTCGAGGGCTTGCTGTGCTGGAACATAGCAACCACAGGGAACAGCCTACAGCATATCAAACGAGTCAGGTATGAGCCCAGCAATACATCTACGAGTCTTGCAGAAGTATAACTAACAGAATACTAACCTTAGTCACTCAGATCTCAAACAATGAACACAGCCATCATCGACTTCTTCACTACATACATCCTCCCTGGACGAGAGCCCCCACCTCGACCACCTCCTTCCTCCGAAGACACCCACGTCCCAGCTCTAGAGCCAAGAGGGAAACTATTCGATCTTCTTCAGAGAGTCTACACCCTCCACCACGCCTCAGGGGAAGACTCAACCCCAAAGGCAAGCGTAATCTCCCAAGCCGTCCAGATTTGGCACGAACTCGATACCTGGGATCCGGATTCGACTGAAGAAGGAGAAGGAGAAGAGGGTTCATCACCAGAGACCCTGCTTCTCTACAGACTATACAAAGATACAATCTTCCTCTGGACATACCTCATCGTCCATCCGGACGACGTGTCTGGATGGAAGGCCCAGGATGCGGTGCGGAATATCCTCTCTGGTGTTGAAGAGGTCAGGGACGAGGATGAGTTAGGGCTATTTGTGGTGATGCCGCTTTTCTTTGGTGGACTTGTTGCTTTTCTTCCTGAGGATCGAGATATCGTAGGAAGTACGTTTGAGCATTTGGAGGAGCATGCTTGGGGAGTTAGGCTTCGGGCCCCCTATGATATCGTCCAGCGCTCTTGGGCGTTGTATGATAGTGGTTCTCAGCGATGCTGGAACTGGATGGTACATGAACAGGAGGGAACATAACATTTCTCGTGGTACAAATCTGTCCCAGCTATATTCAAGATCAGACCTGTCCGAGGAGTGGATACTTTTTGAACGCGAACCAGAGCGGTACCAAACGATATCAAACCTGTTCAAGCGTGCTTTTTCTATCCTTTGAATATGTGAGGCTTTAGCATTGTCGAGAATGGTCAGCATATTCCACTCTCACTACCATAAGCACACCTACCTACCTCGGTGTAAGATGTGGCTGGTGACGGATGGCTCAGCCAAGGGCCAATTGGTGCGGTGCACAAATGCAAGCAGCAGCCGGGGTATGAAGCGGAGCAGGCTCCTACCAAACTCGGGGCTAAGAGCACATTCAACCAACACGACAAGAGCCAAAGCAGTCGGGGCCTAGAAGGGAATCTTGTTGAAGAAGGCGGGGGAGAACGAGAAGGAAAAAGAAGAGGCAAATGCAATCCAACTTTGGAGGCTGTGCTCCACTTGTTCGATACTGTCGCGTGTCAGCGTCGTCGAGGACCGGGCGAGACTCGGTGCGAAGACTCTCCCCACGGAGGGGGGCCAACCCACCCTATGGATGCCCCGGACTTCCGGCACACCCTCGCATCTTCTGGTGTGGGTTGAGGGTAGCGGAGTGTTCAAGTCACGCTAATTCTGGTGTACAACCTGCGTACAGGCGCGGTGCCACCAGCAGACCCTAATCAAGGCCAATCAATTACTTATCCAAGGTGGAACTTCGGGTCACCTCGTTAGTTACCTACTAGGCTTTTGGGGCCTTATCGCTGATATCCAATGAGGTAAATCTCTGTCGGCTGTGCTACTCGTGGAAGCTGGAGTACTGCCTCATTCTTGGCTCTGCTTACGATTGGGCTGGAGATTGCTTGCAGTGGAGCGCTGGGGAATAAACGCTGAAGGATTGCTGGGATGACAACGCTGATCCAAGGTCAGTGCGTTTACTCCGTACATGGGTTGAAAGTCACTAATATGGTTTACGGCTAGTCTTGTATTACCTCGTATTAATGCAGGATGGTCAGAACCGGGGGTGCTTCTCTAAGCCTCCTGGACTGTGACCTCATCAGGCTTCACCTGGCACTATTAATTATGCGCAGTCGCCATACTTCTTACTTATAGAATCTACCATAGTATCAATTGAAGCTTTAGAGCCCCTCTAAAACATCAGTCCGGTCCTCCCTTTATACTCATCTGTTTACCCTACATGTCATGGCCATTTCCACCGAAGCCCTCATCGGCATCGTCGCTGTCTCGATAGCAGCAGTACCAATCGGGATATCGGTCTTCAAATGTTGCACTCGGCGGAGACGTCAATATAATCGGCCCGATGTTGAGAGTAAGTGTGCTTTATCTCGCAACAACGAAGCTGGGTACTTAAATTGGTCTACCACAGATACTACTCCTGGTTTTCATGGACATCAAAGACCGTCTCAGCGTCCACATGGTACTTTGGACGTAATACGTCCCGCTGAGGATCATATCGCAATGCCGTTATTATATCACGGATCAGGTATGTTAACCTCTCATGACGTCCCAACTTACATCGACCCCTTTCGGATTCTGTCCTCTCTGCACGCGTATCAAGCTCATTCTTCTGACAGCGCGGCCCCTCAGGGTTGACACGGTCTATTTGAACATACAAGCAATTGTTTCGCAGTCGAACGACACTAGTCGGTTTTCTACTGTCTGATGGTGTTTTGCATGTGGTTTTCTAGCGGTTGGCGTTGGTCTCATGGGCGGGCTGGGCTCTATTGACATCATGGATGGCATTTCTCTTCACTTTAAGAGCGTTTTGTGTTAAGATTTCAATTGTTCATACCTAGGGTCGGACTTCAAGATCAATGGCAGGGACTTCATAGTTGATCTTTTCAGCTGGCTACATTTGGATTATCCTTTGGAAGGAGTAAGGAAGGTGCGGCCTTTGACCACTTTTTCAAATGAGGCAAGTGTGCCTGGTTGCCCAGGCACCCCAGTGCTGGAGGGCTCCAGCTGTTGGTTACTCTTTCCATTCTTGACCAACACACTAAAAGGACTTCTTAGGCCATCGCCTCTCTCAACTTTTTCAACTCTTCCAGTCATGCATCGCAGACCATGCACCCCACCCTGCTCGTTACCACTCCAAACACCATTTCGCACGCCCTCGATACCTATCGCCCATCGAAACAGCAGTTTCCTCAGCCAAAGACAGAAGCCTCCGACCTCCTGGGCCCGCATCTCGAAGGCCGGCACTACACCGCGTCAAGGATCTCCAGATCCCCAGATCAAGGAGGACGACTCTGAGACTATAGATGTCGTGCGACATCTATTAGCGCACATCAGCCGCACGCCCCTGTTGATCGGGATGGTGATAAATCTCTTCCTCCCGGAGTCGCTTGCCTGCGCGGCTCATGGGGTCCGTCTTGCTATCGTTGCCCCAAGCCCTACAATTCTTCTACATTGACCACGCTGACCCTTAGCAATGACACGGCTGCCTTTTTCGTTCTGTAGAGCAAGGTATGTCTAATGAATCAAAGGAAGGGGGTTAAAGACGGCGAGATTCAACGGCTGTTCTCTATGGCACTGCTGGGGAGATTGGGCCGAATAACACTGCGAGGGTGAGGTGGATGCGGGTAATCCCTGAGAACTTTGGCAGGGCTAAGATATTTTGTTCTTGCGAACCGGGAGAAATTAGTATACTCTCAGGCTAGGAACTGAGGCTGAGAGGTATGAAAGGAAGAATAGTCTTCTCCTAGCCCTAACTTAAATTAAACAGCACAGTAGTCACTTGTCATCCTCATACACCGGCGCTCCCAACCGCATACTCCTCTAATCTCTCAAAAGATATCATGACCTATATACCTAGAATACTTTATACCTAGCTCTTGTAGTCTGAATAAATTCCGAGACCCGTAACGAAACGTACTCGACTTTTCTAGGTCACACCATCTTTAATCGACGTCAAGAATACATGGATGTTCTCCGCAGTCCAAACCTCGAATTCACATGAAGAGCCTGCAGCATATACTAGGTAAAACATATACAGCCAAAGCCAATCAAAGCTGGCAGAATGGGAATACTCCGAACTCCGATAGGGTCCAACCACCAGCATCAAGCGCACAGCGACCCCCTCCCCGCTCCACAAGCGCGAAGCGAAGGATAGGCAGGTGGGTGCATGGGTTCCATGTTGTGGATCTTATTCACACAGAAAGGTCTGGGTTCGGGTTCCTGTCTATTACTGCCTGTTGGATGATTCCATTTTTTCCCTAGTCATTGACTCGAAAGAGTACTCGAATTATTAGACCGTTTAGAAGCTCCATCTCCATCTAGCGTCCCAGCGATTCGCTTCCTGCGCTTTGCTTGGGACGTGCGTACAAAATGCGAGTCTGCGATCTCAACGCAGATTTAGTTCTTGAGCTCAACATCACCATGCATGAACCACCACCAAAAGTAAGACACGTCACTATATGCATGTATGTACATGACGCACGTTACACAGGTCCATCGATGAGCCAATCCAATCCAAGCTTCGTGAGATCATGAGGGGATGAAAAAGAAATGAGAACACGCTCCGATCTCAGCTAGCTAGCTCGCTGGAGTACTTGAAAGACGCATTTGCCACTTTCGAGCTAGAAGACTTCCGCATATCGCAGTTCCTGTTCCTCATTAATACCAATTGAACAACCATTGGATGTGAGGATGGCTTTATCTTTATTAGCGCTGGTTGCGGCTCTTGGTCCTCTGGCCGTCGGCGTTTCTGCCTACACTCCACGAGCATTGATTTCCTCCGTGAGTAAGCAAGACTGGGATGCGTTCAACGCGAGCGTCGATGGACGACTCCACGAGGGGGTCCCGATATTCGCGCCTTGTTATAGCGTGTATAATAGGGAGAGCCAGGTAAGGACCGCCAACTAACTCCACGATATCGACAGCCTAGTTCGACCCTCGTTGATCATATAGTCTCCAGATCCCCGACTCCACCACCTGCACGACCCTCCAAGAATCCCGACACGACCAATCCTTCATCTCCTCACACTTCGGCGGGTATACCGAGTCGAACTGGGCCGGATGCCAGGCCACAGGCGACAACTGCGCTTTGTCAATGAGTGTTCCGGACTTGGTGACGCCGGTGACGAGGTCTTGTGCGCAGGGGAGTGTCCCCGAGCTGTATGTCGATGCGAGGAGTGTGGAGGATGTGCAAAGGGCTGTTAGCTTTGCGCGCGAGAGAAATTTGAGGTTTGTTGTTAAGAATTCGGGGCATGATTATGTAGGAAGGAGCTCGGGGGTTGGTTCGTTTGCGCTTTGGTATGTGGTTGATATCTCTCTCCTGCCGTGATCTGTTTGCTTGGTTGGGTTTTTGTGGTGTCGATGCTCATGCTAATGCTGATTTGGCTTTGTAAGGACGCATAATATCCAGCCACCGATTGAATTGACGAAAGGTTATATCCCCGATGCATGCTCCGAGTCCGTCGGAGACGTAATCACCATCGGCGCGGGCCAGCAGTTTGGCGAGGTGTACGAGTTCGCAAATAACCACGGCTACCGCGTTGTCGGGGGTACATCGCCCAGTGTCGGGATGGCCGGTGGTTGGCTCGCTGGCGGAGGACATAGTATGCTCTCGAACGAGCTCGGAATGGGAGTCGATAACGTGCAGCAGATCAGGGCTGTTCTCCCCAACGGAACATATATCACGGCGAACCGGTGCCAGAACCAGGATCTGTTCTTTGCGCTTCGTGGAGGTGGTGGTGGGACGTTTGCAGTTGTGACTGAGGCGAGTTTCCTGGTTCATCCGAAGAGGGCGATGCAGTTCGCTCGGGTGTCGATTGCCGGACTTAGTGAGGATGTTATCGAGGAGTTTCTTGAGATTGTTGTTGCGAATACTGAGAAATGGGCGGATGAGGGGTGGGGTGGGTATATCCTGCCTGCTGCAGTCGGCGGCGCGTCTACTGTTGCCATGGGCACTACGTTGCTGGATCTCGCTGAGGCCCGGGCTTCGATGCAGCCGCTGATCGATCTCGCGAACAGAGCTGTCGAGTCGGGGACACTGGGCAATGCCACCGTCATCACTGGTGACTACTACAACATCCTGCGAGCCATCATCGCACGCGAAGAAAGCCTCGTTTTCCCAAGCTCGGCGTTGGCTTTCTCGACGCGTCTGGTTCCTAAGGATTCGTTCCTCGGAGAAGAGAACCAGAAGCAGCTCTCGTCCACTTTGCATGATATTCTAACCACGGCACAGGGTCAGCATGTGCCCGCATCATCCGGGCTGATGATGTACGCCGTGACACCTCGCCTGTACTCGCGAACAATGCCAGAGTCAGACCAGCCCGGCGGCCCCGGCGCCTCTTCTATAACCCCTGCCTGGCGCAACGGGCTGTGGCACGTCATTTTCACACGGCAGTTTGACGGCACGATTACTGATCCGGATGTTGTTGAAGAGATCTGGCAGACCACGCACGACCTCATGAATCCACTGCGGAATATCACGCCCGGTGGAGGGGCATATCAGAACGAAGCAGATGCGTTTGAGCCGGATCCTATCCGTTCTTTCTGGGGAGGCGATAACTATGCGAGACTGCTTCGGATCAAGCGAGAGGTTGATCCAACGAATCTGCTCACTGTTTGGAATGGAGTTGGATGGGATGAGACGGATGAGAAGTATGGCTGCTATCCTGATATTAAGGTTTGATCTATCTTGCGCAATTGTTCAGCCCAGATGAATCTGGACCTCAGAGGACTCTATTGAGAGCGGTAGCTGATCATCTGATATAGATTTCGGCCGCAGCAAAAGCTGGTCCTCCCTCCTCCGTTCCGGATGCGCCTGAGACGAAGCCGAAAGATGAGCTCTAGAGCTATTGCCGTGAGTCGGGAAAAGGTTGGTTATGATTGATGACAATTTGTAACTCAATTGTTTCATGTCAAGTTGGATTATTGCGCCTTTTCCGCGTCGTCAACGAGAGATTCCACCTCCTTTTCTGTAAATCGATGAAAAAGCTTTTTCGGGTCGGACAATTCCCCAGCCGTATTGGCAGACTGGACATGTAGAACAGGGACGTCGAACTCGTAAACGTCCTTCCATTCTTTGTTGCCAGGAACCATTATGTCTACCTCGGTGTAGTCGAAAGGCCGCCGCTTTTGCAGCTGGGCCACGGTGTTTTTGGCGGTATCACAAAGCCCGCAGCCAGCGCGAGTGAAGAATGTCACCCGAGCGGCCTGGAGAAGACGGGCAGTTGGAAACATAAGGAATAGTGATGGTGACGAACCGAAAAGCAAGGAATGTTGTAAGGGAGCGAGTTGACCCGAGCTGATGGAACCTTCGAGCTTCCCCAGACTAAACCGCTTCGGGCTCTGACAATCAGCAGCTTCTGAACAAAGACCCCCTCCTCCCCCACCACGGTCTCCCTCTGTCTCTTTTCTCGGTCGAGGAGCAGCTTACGAACGATTTATAATTGACCTGCACAATCTGCTTAATCTCCGCTCACGATGGCCTCCAAGTGCGTCCACAAAGGCTGTGGGAAGGTCTTCACTGACCCCGAGGAGCCGTGCGTGTATCATCCAGGCCCGCCGGTATTCCATGAAGGACAAAAAGGTAAGTAGCTGCTCTCGCAATGGGCTCGTTTGGGCCATTTTCTGGGGATCCACGTCATTCGCAAGTACCCTCCGAGTTAGTGTCGGTTCTGACATCCCCGCTAACCTTTTGCCTCGTCTGATCTTAGGCTGGAACTGCTGCAAGCCCCGCGTCCTTACCTTCGAGGAGTTTATGGAGATCCCGCCATGCACGACTGGGAAACACTCGACGGTAGATGATACGCCTGCTCCGGCGAAGAAGGATGACGACGCTGCCGCGCCTCCGGCTCCCGCTCCCGCTGCCCCCGCCGCCGCTCCTCCTGCTGCGGTTCCTATTCCTACACATTCCCCTGCTATTCCGCCTCCTTCGAATGCGCCCACGCCTGTACCCGAGGAGCCGGAGTCGGATGACCCATCGCTTGCTATCCCGCCTAACGCTACCTGCCGTCGGAGAGGCTGCAATGCTTCGTACAACCCGGATGTATCGCGAGAGGAGGAAAAGTGTGTCTACCATCCGGGACAGCCTGTGTTCCACGAGGGGAGCAAGGGATGGTCATGCTGCAAGAGGAAGGTTCTCGAGTTCGATGAATTCCTGAAGATTGAAGGTTGCACGGATAAGAAGAAACATCTCTTCGTAGGAAAGGGCAAGCCGGCCGGAGAGGAAAAGGTCGAGACAGTCAGGCAAGTATTGAGCTTTCTCAGTCCATCGGACCAGACTAACAGGCTGCAGGAATGACTTCTACCAAACGGCGTCTTCGGTCAACGTCTCGCTGTACTTGAAGAAGATCGACAAGGAAAAGGCCACGGTCGAGTTCACCTCTACGGCCATCACCCTCGACCTCCCGACTACGGACAACAAGCGGTACAAGGATAGCTACGAGCTGTTTGCTCCCATTGACCCTGAGAAGTCCAAGTTCCGCGTATTGGGAACGAAGCTGGAGTTGACGCTGATCAAGGGAGATGGCACAAGCTGGCCGGTGCTGCGCAAGGATGATCCGTGGTCAGGAGAGCGGATTCAAATTGGCAGTGCGGCTAGGGCGTGAGATGGACGGATCCTCGACTTCGGTATCGAGTAGGGTACATAGCAGGCTCAAAAGCACGCACCCTGGAAAGAGTGCAGTTTTTAAATCGTTGCTTTGCAATAATATATTATGACTTTTATGAAGATAAGCTGGAGATAAACTAGAATCGGGACCCTGAAGAAGTGGCCTTGTAGCCTTATCGTAAGCAGAAGGCGGTGTGGCAGCAGCACCCCGTAAAGGACACGGTCGATCACATTCAAAGGAGCCACCCAGTCGGCAATCGATAGATTCACGGAGATGCTGGCCACTCACTCTTCCTTTCTCCCTTAGACCCCTTGACTACATTTTTTTCCTGAACGCCAGTTGATTTCTAGCACACCGCTACCGCCAAATATACACTAGAGGCGGTTCCTCTAGTCTGTATAAATCTCGCCCACTGCGGGCAGCGTGTCCACTGAAATCGCTTCATCATGTCTACAGAGTACACATACGATGAACAGGTGCGGATGACTTCTTGTCTAGCATATACTTTGCGAGCGAATATCTAATGCGTCTTTGCAGGGCCAATTCTTCCCGTACTTCATCATAACCTTGACCGGTCTCGTCACGCTACCTCTGACATACAACCTCCTCAAACCCTCCAAAGGTACAACTCAGCTTCATTCGAAATACTTTGCGTCCTTTCTGACAGTCTCGGATAATTACAGAACTCGAAAACACCGCTCCTCGGATACGCTCCGATTTCAAACCCCAGCATGAGGACCTCATCGAAGCTCAGAAGCGGAAACGTCTCCGCAAGGAGCGCCGCATCAAGCGCATAGTCACCGTGATTCTGGGTTACGCCGTTATCGCATACATGGTATACTTGATTATTGTCACCGCACGGTTAACACCAAAAATCTGGGACCCTTATGAGATTCTAGGCGTGTCAAGGGTGGGCTCTCTCTTCTCTCTCCCTCTCTGCATCCGCACTCCTAACAAGATCCAAGAGCGCCAACGAAAAAGCCATTTCCAAGCACTACAAACGTCTTTCCCTCATCTACCACCCCGACAAAATCCGCCCCGACCCCGCAAAGAACGAGACTATCGAGACGCTCAATGACCGCTTCGTGGAACTGACCAAAGCCTACAAAGCCCTGACTGACGAGGAAGTCCGCAACAACTACCTCCAGTACGGCCATCCCGATGGCAAGCAGAGCTTCAGCATCGGCATTGCTCTTCCCCAATTCATCGTGACGGAAGGAAATGGAAAATACGTGTTGCTGGTTTATGGAGCCCTGCTTGGCGTGCTGCTACCATACATTGTCGGAAAGTGGTGGTACGGCTCTCAACGTTATACCAAGGAGAAGGTCTATGTCGCTACCGCGGGCAACATCTTCCGCGAGTACAAGGAGGATATCACTGATGGTGGGATCGTCAATGCTATTTCGTCTGGCGAGGAATTCAAGGAGGTTATCCCACCTCAACACGCAGAATCTGGATTGGCGAAGCTCGAGAAGAAGGTACTGGCTGACGACGCCAAGTTCCTCTCTGAGCAAGACCGGGAGGCGATCAAGGGTCTAGATGACTTGAGCAGGAGAAAGGCACTGGCCCTGTTGTGGGCTTACCTGGGTCGAGTTGAACTGGAAGACTCTACTCTCGATGGAGGTACGTGGCGCGGAGCGCGAATCGAAATATCAGCACTAATTTGGCTATAGAAAAGTACGAAGTTGCACCCATTGCTCTCTCACTCAACGAATCGTTCACTGCTATTGCCCTAGCTTTCGGCAACCTACGCCCTGTTCTAGGGTCATTCCGCGTCTCCCAAAGTCTCATCCAAGCTGTCGCGCCTGGTTCATCTCCTCTTCTTCAACTCCCGCACTTTACCAATGAAGCTGTTGAATCCATCGAAGGTGCAGATGTCAAACACCATATCACCGTTCAAAAGTTCATGAAGATGCCCGAGGATAAACGCCGCGCTCTCACCGTCGGCGCCGGCCTCCTGTCAGAACAGCAGTACTCCGCCGCCATCTCCGTCGCCAAGCAACTACCCGTTCTCCAGATCTCCAAGGCCTTCTTTAAGGTCATGGGCGAAAAGGTTATCACACCCAGCAGTCTCGTCCAGCTCGTCGTCAAGGCCCGCTTCATCCCACCTGGCTCCACCAACGTCCCCGAAGTCAACCCCGCCGATCTCGAAGACATTGACCCAGAGGAGGGCGACCTCGATGCGCTTATGGGCCGCGGCCCCTCAAGAAACCGCTCTGTCAAGTTCGCCGACGGCCAAAACAAAGCCAGCACGATCCAACCGCCTCTCGCACACGCCCCCTATCTCGCCCGCGACCACTCCCCGCGGTGGAACATCTTCCTCGCCGACGCCAAGCAGGGCAAGATTGCCGTTCCACCATTCACCTTTACGACCTTTGACAAGCCGCTCTTCGACGAATCCGGCAAGCCCACGTACAATGTCCAAACACTGAAGATGCAGTTCCAGGCTCCGCCCCAGGTCGGAGACTTCCCCTTCGTCATGCACATGGTCTGCGATAGCTACTTGGGGCTTGATGCGAAGCTCGACATCAACCTGCACATCGATGACCCGGCCAAGGCGGCTGCTCTGGAGGAAGAGGATGATATCAGTGAGCCCGATGAGGGTGAGTCTCCCACAGATCATATACGAAAGAACACAGCTAACAAAACCACAGACTCAATAGCCGGCCAAATGCAAGCCCTCAAGACCGGCCAACCACCCAAGAAGGCCAAGAAGGCCGCAGTGTCCAGTGACGAGGAGAGCGATACCGAAGGCGACGAGGGAGACACCAGCGATACCAATACCGAAACCGACGTTGACGACTAGCTGTCCTGATTTCGTGTTTCGGATAAGCTCGAAGAAAAGAAAAGGAGAAAGAAAGAAAGAAATGATCTGTTTATCTTCAAGAATTTCAATCAATCAATCATACATGACTACGGGACTCGCGAGGCTCGGGCATTGCTGGGAGTACTGACTGGGTTATCCGCCTCCATCATGATCTTCTCGCTTGCCACACAATACCACCCACCATTCTTCTGGATGGGTCTTATTTACGTGCATGCATTACAATTTCGCTTTTTTCTATGATACTACTTACTTTATCCCGTTTATTATACCGATGTATTATCCATGAACTGAACTTTTTTTTTCCCGATATGTTCTTATTCATTCGAACGGTGGTCAATAGGATTGTCTTCTTTCCGACTCTTCCGGTTTTTCTAAAGAGTAGAAATCATTATCCCAGGTATCAAAAAGCAACTATGATAGTACCAAATCCCAAGCCCTCCGTCGAAGCAAAGAGAGAATGACTACTCCATACTCCCAGGCAAATCCCCTTCAAAAGCGCATCCCTCACCTATAGAAAAAAGCCCATAAATCTCCGTGACATTGGAAGAACCTGTCCTATCAAAACATGTTGATTCAAAGGAAGGAACAACCGACCTACCGCACCTGCCATACGTACGTACGCAAGAGACATGGTTTGCACCTGTCTGTCCTGACCTCGGACCGTGTCGCTCCTTCCTATATCTCTCACTTAGCAGCATGGATGGGAGGAACGTCCCAGGATTCTAACCTTCCGGTTCCGTTCGCACTGCCTATTTTATCTCCCACTCCGGTAGATTACACTCTTCCTTTTGTTTCCTTTTCTTTTTTGGGGATCCAGGACAAGTCTCTGGCTGGAGGTGTGAGTACTCGGTAGTGAGGAGGGCCAACAGTGTGCGATAGTGGGCCTGGTCGGTAGACAGTGAAGCCGTGGAGAGGCTTATCCGCCTAAAGAGAATCTTGCAAGGGTCACAGGTGGTTTGGGTGCTTGCTTAAAGGGTGGGCACTAGGGTTGTATACGTAGTTGTAACCGTGAGCGGCGGGTGAGGAGCATACGTAAGGCCTCGGAGTGTGTAACCAGATGCTGGCGTGATGTAAGAGGCTAGGTACTTGATTCCGGAGTTGAATAAGTGTATTGTTGGATAGTCGTGTCATCAAGTCATTAGGGTAAGTCGAAGTTGAAGTACATACAAAACAGACCACAACATGAATTGAGGGGATATCTGAATGACTATACGTCAAAACAATATAGTAGGAGAAAAGCAAACGCAGTTTTTTGAACGAAATTTCGACCCGCGGCTACTCGCACGGATACGCCCATCCCGTAGTGAGAGGTTGGTGGTATACCGTCTGTTCGGGCAAGTGCATATTATAGTTTCCAACCATTTCAACGGGCAGACCAGCTGCCGTAACAGCCGGAAGACCTCCTGAGGTAGTGACGATAGGCGAAAGTCCATTGTCGGTAGATTCTGCGCTGCAGTTGTTCTCGCCGTAGTATATGTACGGGTTTGGGAGAGCAGTGACGGGAGAGTGTACTGGCGCTGTACACTTGACGTCGCTCGAGCTGGTGACTGTCTCGAGAATCGGCCGCGGCAGCGGGGCGCCTCGAAATTCAGCGTGCGGGTAACCCGGATACGGCTCCGATTGCACAGACTGGTACTCCCACTTGACGGGCGCGGCACCTGCAGGAGACAGTTGAACCAGGCTTGAGATATTCGGCGCGGGGTCAGGAGGCGTGACAGGCTCTGGTGATGGGTCTGCAGTCGCGCAGCAATCTGTCGAATTCGATAGCACACGTAGATACTCAAGGTCTTCGCTATCGTGGGACCCATTTTTAGAGCTGTCTTCGGCTTGTTTGATCAATCCCAGACGGTCGAGTATGGCATGTGTCAATGGAAAGCCGTCAGAGGCCTCGACAAGAGGCTCGCCCGGGAACCCTTCTTTGCTAGTGCAAAGCTTGTACAGCCGTTGGAGTGCTTTGACAACGAGAGAATGGTGGGACTCCAGCATCTCAACGAACCTAGATTACACTCGTATCAGTTTCAAAGATATCTTTAGTCGTAAGGTTCAAAAGCGTACCCGCGAGAGTAGACCTTGGCTTGGGTCGCCTTCCTTTCCCGAAATAGACACGGGTGGTTATATGATGAACAGCGGTTGCATGGTTGCTTTCCATCACACTGTACATGTCAGTCCGAGCAATTCGATACGAGATTCAAGAACAAGCTACCTTGGTCTTCTTGACTCTGCAACGATCACAGGCTTTCAGAACATGTTTGCGTTTAACCCGGAAAACGCGTTGATCAGGCTTGTCCTCGCTCAAAGCCATGTGGTGACCATGCTCTGACAGAGACGATAATGTGGGAAAGTCGTATACACCATCGGGAAAGCCCTCGATATGTGACTTTGGGCGTAGCTTGGGTTGTCTTGACATTTTGCTAGACATTTGCTTGCACTGAAACGTACTTGAGAAGTTTAGGGCAACTCTGCGGTTTATCTGAGTGATATGCGAGCCTGATATGCTGCGTCCCGGCTCCTCCTAGTCACTGCAGGCTGCTGGAGGTGGGGAGAGGGGTAGTTCTTGACTCGCGGGAGACCCGAGTTGATGAAAATGAGATGTCACTTGGGACTGCCGGTGGCTGACAGATCTTGTTCAAGACTCCCAAGTACTCAGCGAAGATCATGATTAGCATGAAAAAGGTTGTTGTGCAGTCGCCCCGCAAATGCAGCTGCCAATCCTTCCCCAGTTAGAGACACGCCATAATATGCCAGACTGGGAGTGACGTGGATCATTCTGGTCTGTCGCGATATGAACTGGTGCGGTCGCTCGCCATGGGTCCACCGGCTGTGGCTCTGGTAGCCTTGCGAGTACTCCGTACCCAGGGCTCCGCGCATCGGCAACGGAGTCCTTGACCTTGCAGCATTGTGCTCGAATGCCAGGTTTGCCCTGGTGCCAACCCGCAGAAGTTGCTCATCTTGACAGTTCGACGACCCACCGCAAATTTGGCTGATATCGAATGATATTCATCGCAGCGCTCATCGGGACATCCCAGCCACAACCCTGATCAGTCGAGTTGGGCAGCGAAACGCAGAGTAAGCATCATGATCGCTCGGAAGGGCGACGGCCGTGGCAGGAGTCGAGGTCTTGGTGGTGGTAGAATTTGCCTCTCACAATTTAAAGTTTCCCATTTTTGCGTCTTCCCCAATATTCACATCTCGGATAAAAGAGAACCCACCCAAAGCCGTATAGCGCGAGAGTCCAAAGGTGAATAGCTCAAAGGGGTAAATAAACTGGCATCTCGCTGTCTTGCAGGGCGCCTATCGGGGGGTTGGACGGCTGTCATTGGCGCACGGGCGACAATCACCTTCACTCGGGCTATCACCTTCTGCAGTGATGAGCTCGTGCCTCATTCAGCACCTCGCCTAGGTTAATCAACATTGATCCAATGGCGCGAGCTCTCTTTGCTTTTTCCTGCCGTCGCGTCCCAACTCCATCGCCATGCAGAGGTTTTCCAATTTTGCTGCAAAATGATTCGTTGCACCGAACATTCGAGCTAGCCAGTTTCAGAGGCATATGAACCACATAGGGTCCTTCAAACTCTCTCAGACATTCTCAATCGCGGCCAAAGTTGATCAAGCTCATGAGCTTGAATGCAGGACGGGATAGCAGAGTTTGAAAGACTGATGGGTTCCGTCTGGCTTTCATGGCGTCGGGTACAGGACACCCAGAGGACAAGATAGAGAACCAGGTAGCATTTCATTGTGGACCTGTACGTTGTGAGCGTCAAAGATAGGGAACACTCATATGCAGGAGATCTGCCCAATCAGTGACCAGGTTATTGCCGTAAATCATGATGGTCGCACTTGATATGAGAAGATGACAGTCAGAGTGGCTTAATTCTTCATGAGCAAGACAGAATATGGAGGCTTGAAGGAGCCTCGCGCCGGTCAATTGGAGGTAAACTAGGGTTGTACAGCATGTCCTGACTGCGTATCTGTATGTAGCCAAGCTTATCGCGAACATACTCTGCGGCATGGAAAGAGTTGGGGAAACTGAGGTTGGTACGGAGATGGCAATTTGGGGAGACCCGAGCCCAAAGCTCCTGCCATTTCAACCACCGCCACAGTCGCTCCTTTCCGATAGTTTTCTTTGTCCGCCCCTTTTCTTCATCGGAGTTCTTCACGGGACGACTCGAAGATCGTCGCTGACTGCAAATCAAGCAAGTAGTCTAGTGCCTGCAGAGGGTCCGTTCACCTGCAGCGAAGAGGCCGAAGGCGAGTATCCCTGGTGTTCTCACCATGTCGACAGTCCAACTGGGAGATCTTGAGGTCATCTCAGCTAACAGGAAATCTTATGCAAGCACTTTGGCAGGCGTTGGTAAGAATCTTCTGCTGGAAATGTGGCTGTGCCAGCGGCTCTAATGCCTGGCATCTTATCATAGGTGCCAACTGGATAGGTGAACAGATCCCTTCGTTCAATTGACAGCGTTGGTAATCAGACAGTGGAACGAAGAGAGCCAGCACTGTCAATGAGGATATGCATGGGGAGCACAGGAGATACCTTGGGCACTTGGGGAGATTCCAGTGGTGGAAGAGTCCTGCGGGGAAACGTGACCTGGGCCAACTCGAGCAATCCCGTGATGCACAGAGGTTGAACCTCGCACACTGCATCCCCTTCACCGTGCTACAGAATCTCCCCTGGGATGAGGATTCCATTCATGGCGCACGGAGTTCTGGTCTCATGATGAGCTGCAGTTGCAGAGTGCTTCGTCGGATTCTTTTCTAGCCCTTTCCCACATTGTCGCCTCCTCCATAGCGGAATTGAGGGCTGCGTCAATTACCACGATGTTTCGGGCTGCTGTCAACTAATCGAGGGAAAGGGCATCGATTTATTATAGAGCTATGAGTCAAGCTCGCCAGATAAAGCGATAGAGGCTCGAGAGTTACAGAATCAACACATGGTCGGTCAGACAATGAAGCCCGTGCTCAAGCTGACTATGAGCAGATACCTGATTGTTGAACAGCTTTACGCATGTGTATGTTCAAGCTTCGGCATTCAACGACCTTAGATGGCTATGAATCCCGCTTTCTGGGAAGTAGACTGCCAGATCAGACCAAGCGGGTTGCAGACAGCTGCCAAGATTGCATCATAGCAGCGCAGTGTCGCCCTGCAGATGCTGTGATAAGGACTCGAGAGGCTTCCGGACGGTGACTGGCCGAGAGCCGTGAGTTGGCCTTCTCGTTGACCAAATAACTCGCTTACGACGCTCGGTATACTGTATACTGATATAGAGGGCAATGGCCATGCCCAGTGACTAGAAAGACTGAAGAAGTCGGCACCACGAAACTGAAAATATACTTGAATCGGAATGCGATAACTCCGAAGTTGAGCTACCAGTAATCGGGATAGGCGATTGTTGATGAAATGAGCGCGCGGGGGTCGTGTTGAAGGGAAACCTTGCGGACACCGGCAAGCAAGCCAAATCACAAAGAATGGGCAGGCAGCGGAGTGCGGAGTTAAGCACATTTGATTTAATGAGCAAAAAAGCAAAGAGGATCAAATACAGTAAAGTACATTCGGCCACCTGGTGGGCCTGGCTGTTCGAGCTGGCCATCCAGAAGCCGCAGCAGGGGCCATTTGTTTGCTACTCTCCCGTCTGTCCTTCTTATGGTTCAGGAATGATCACACTGGCCTCGCCAGATGCGAGGAGGTCGAAACTTTCCTCGCTCGTTGCTGTCGTTGGCGAACTGGAGGAGTGCAACTCCTTCTCTATGGTCGACAACGAAATAGCCGCCTGTTCTCTGGGCGTTTCCCACTTCTTAACCCCGATCCACTCGACGCCATCGCCAGCACCACGAAGGTTCACTTGCTGACGAGCCTTTTCGCGCTCCATCAACAAGAGCGAGGCTGCTGTCACTCCTCCCGAGGACGTTGATCCTGGACGATGATGGCTTTCATCGCCGGACAAGGCAAGTGTCCGGGCATGCCACTCGCCAAGGAACATGCCGTCCGCATCCACATTCTGACGCACCTTGAGCCACTCATCCATGTCTTGCCCGTACAACTTTCGCAGCTCTTGGCCCGTTGACTTGAAATTCTTGGCCCAATGCGGCCTCGCGCCCATCTCTCGCATCAGCCACTCAAATGCCTCGTAGTATCGGTCCTTGCAAGGAGGGTCGCGGTGGTATGGGCGGTAGAGGGTCGCGTTGAGATACAATGTCGGGCCTTCACGGTTGGTAGGGTCAAGGAAGGGTCGGGGGTTCTCGTTGAGACTAGTGTCTGCAACCCTAACCTCGACAGGACAGTGGACCCAGAGACCATCGACGGGAAAAGGGATGCGCGCCGTTTCAGCATCACCATGCAGCCAGGCGGACAATCTTGTAATCGCCTCCGGCCCCTTTTCCAACGGCAGAGCCCACTCATTGACAAACTGTGAGTAGAGGCAATTCATCAGAAGCCCCGTACGGGCCGGCTCAACGGCTTCAGTGACCGTCTTCTCAGCCTTGAATCCATACTGCATCCCAAAGACGAACCACTCCACCCAGGGCAGCATACGCGGGAAATAGTTCGACAGCGCCAGTAGGTTGTGGTAGATGTGATACCCAAGATTCTCCCCGTAGAAGTTCTTCGGCGGAGCCATCAACGGCAGATCCGTCTTATCCGCATGCCAAACAATCGCACTCTTCTGATACGGCATCCACCACACACGGACAAACTCATGCGATGTCCACAGCCCAGCGGACCAGTCATCCAACACACTGGACAGCGTCCGCCTCGTCTGCCTCCACGCAATCTTATACTGGTCCTCGGCCCTCAGAGTCACCTCGACGACAATCCCCAACGCCCCCAACGAGATCAGCGCAGCGCGGAAAAGCTCCCGGTTACTGCTCGCGCTGCACCGCACAAGCTGCCCATTTGCCAGCATCAGCGTCAACGACTCAATACACTCGGAGATCAGTCCATGCGCCAGCGAGCTCCCATGCGTCCCCGTCGCAATCACCCCAGCGACAGACTGGCTATCGATACTCCCCAGATTCGACAGCATAAGCCCATACTCGCTTTCCAGCCGCTCTCCGAGCTCCCACAAGCGTATCCCTGCCTCGACAGTGACCATTTTTGTCTTCGGGTCAACATCCAGAATTCGATTGAACCCGTCGAGGTTTACCATCCACGCCGAGGTACATGTTAGGTCGGAGGGCGAGTGGCCGCTCCCGACGACCACGATGCGCCGCCGGCATCGGCGCGCGAGGTTCACAACTTTCTGGATCTCGGGGAGCGATTGCGGCTGGATGTAGAGCTCGGGACGCGAGTAGAAGGTGCGCGCCCAGGTGTGGTGGAGGTGGTTCGACGAGGTGCGGAATGGCACCGCGGGGTCAAGCCGGGAGAGCTCGCGCTCAATGGTGGGGTCCATTTTGATTTGTAGTAGTTGTATAAAGGGAGATAACGTGTGTAAAATTTAATTGGGATAGAGACTAGGACATGATGTGCGGCGATCGTCCGTAGAAAGACAAAATAGCAATAAGAGAGGGGCAGAGAGAAGTTCTGAACAAAGAAGACGGCTGGACGAGAGAAAAATAATGGCGATGATGCGACAACGGCTATTTTTCGCCCTCGCCCGCAAGTGGGCCCGCCCGAACGGCCGAGATCTCCAACACGACTCGATAAGCCAGCCAGAGCATATCAGCAGCTGATAACATTATTCGATCATCAGATTCAAGCCGTGTTGCATCTAGCAGAGATTCTAGACCTTCAATGCAGCCACATAGGCATAATAGAGGCAATAATATATATGGTATATGTTATATGTTATATCAAGTGTCAGAAATAGCCACCATTCACCATTCACCAGAACATGTTGCCCTGTACGCCCAAACAGAAATCAACCAGATATGCCGCAAAAGCTCAAAGCTGGGTATGGCTTCGATAATACACATGCAAGAGAGTGACCGGATCGAGCCCGCTCAGGCTCCGTGGACAGTAGACAAATGCTCCCCCACTCCATCCGACGGTCGCTATACAGACCGAATGCAAAACTTGATGAATGCGTCTATGTATGAACAGGAAGGAGGAATCCCATCCGAGTGGGAAATTAAGACTCCAATAATCAATCACAAATGTAAGTAGTCGAAGAAGGAGAATGAAATCAGGATCGGATCGCATCAATGGCTGCGTTGAGAGGATACACTTGGGGGGGTCGTTGTAGTGGGCGTCGGCTCCACTTGCGGAACGCGCTGCGACATGATTCCGGGGCTCCACCGAGGGAGATGTAGCTCTTGGGGATGAAGGGTCGATCCTGGAGTGATGCAGCCAGGATGCCGTACTCATGCGCGAAGACCACAGCGGACGCAAACTCGGCCGGTCGGTTGGAAGCTTGTTCGCCAACGATCCTAGAAGGATGATTATGATTAGTCCGGAGCCAATGGTCCATTGCCTAGGGGTGTACTCACACATAAATCTCGAAAAAGGTATCAAGGATGTATATACCTTTCGGAGAGAGGTCCTTCTGGGAGAACGGCTCAATTTCTTGAACCGTGTCGTTTGGACGGATCACTGGAGACGATGAACCTGGACGCCGGATCCAAAATGATCGCTGGCCAAGCTCGTGGTCTACACGAAGCAAACGATGGCCAAAGTGCTCGTGCGCTGGTTTCAGCAGCCAGTGATTTGAGCGGATATAATCTTCGGTCTCCTTCTGATGAGGGAAGACTTCGTAGAAGCTGCTAGGCTCTTCACCCTCTGCGACTTCTTCGAATTCTCCCGTAAGTCCAAGATCCATGCCGATGAGCCGTGCGGCCCCGATCTCTTCAGCAGAACTGCCTTTTCCTTTCCAGAGATATACTTTGCCAAACATGGCTGACAGCACAAATGGATAACCGGTACATAGGTTGCGCGGCGCAAAGTCAACCTCGTCAAACACCATTTGCCCCAGATGTTTCCGCCCGCAAAGCATGAAGATAGCCGAAGAGCTAGATCGCGAGCTCGATCCACGCCGCGTGATGAGGATCCCGCCAAGTGCTTGGATAAAACGAGCGGGCTCTTTGCCTTGGCTGACAACCTCCAGTTTACAGCCATTCTCTCGAGCAACCTTTCGAGCAAAGGCCAAGGCGTTATCAACTGCTCCACCCCACACATCATCCCCGCACCAAAGGTGAACTTCTGATCGCGCATTGCCATCCTCCTCGAACACGTGGACGCACAGGTACATTGACCCTTCGAAAAGAATATACTCTTTGTTGGTTGGAAGGTCTTGCTTCTTTCCCTCACCCGTAATCTCCCATACTTGCTTCCTTAGCGTCCTGATCCTAGAGCCGTCATTCTTTTCCATCAGCATCAGCTGTGGATCAATGTTGACACGATCACTGGAACGCGGAAATGTCCTGAAGAAATGGGAGATTGCTTCGAGGGACTCATCGGCCTGAGGTACCAGCGAGACGGACGACCTCGGGGATGACGGCTCATCCGTAGCTATGCTGGGCCCCTTGGGAGGGACTGGCGGAGATGGCAAAGACTTTCGGAATGGCGAGGAGTCTCTCGACCGAGCTAAAAAGGCGTGGTGGCCGGTCATTCGCGGGGAAGGGTAGGATTGGTTCTCCCTAAAACTTGTCCTTAGTGGGGAGGGTGATGGAGACGAGTACTGAGCTAACGAACTTCGTGTCTGGCTGCCATGAGGACTTGATGGCGAGGTGGCAGGTTGCGATGGAGTAAAGGCCGACCTGATCGAAGGAGATCTGTCCTGACTATCCGCCTCATATACTCTGCGCTCCAGGATTTGAGGTCTCTTTGACGGCGTGGAAGGGGCGGGATTCGGACTCGGACTCGGGTCTTTCTCGGGTACTGGCGGTAAGCTATCTCTGACGGTCTTCGGTATGCTCGTAGCCGGGGAGGGAGGTTGGACAAGTTCTGTTTCTGAAAGAACATTCGATTGGACGCCTTGGTCAGGAAGAGGCCAGCCGCCTGAGGTATCGAAAGATGGTTCAGTCGGTGAAAAAGCAGTTGCGGCGGACTCTACGTCGGAAGATAGTGGCGGGGTGTCTGGAGAGGTGCTGGAACTAGTTTCATCTGGAATGGCGTCTGTCGAAGCGATTGTCTTGGGGGGTCGTCTTTTAGGGCCTCTTGCGCGGGCTTTCGTCATGTGAGTGAGCGTCGGTGCGGATGTCGAACTCTCGGCACTTGCACTGCTTTCTCCATATTTGGGTGCGGGCAAGCCCTTTACTGGACCTCCGGCCGCAACGGATGGGCCACGAGACAAGAGGCCCGCCAAAGCAGGGTTTATTCGGCCTGCGAGGCTACCTTTAGTAACAGGGCCATCTTTGACAGGTAGCGTGCTGGGAGCCCGTGCGGTGTCTCTCGGTGGAAAAGCACGCACCGGTTTAATGGCCTCCACTACCGGTTCCTCTTGCACTTTGAGTGCTTCATCTTCCTTTGGCTCAAACTCGTCATTCGTCTCAGCAACGGTGGCACGTTGATACAAATCCTCTTTTGGAGAATCAATATCTTCAATGCGCTCATCGGTAACAGTTGGCTCAGGCTGAGGCGGCGCAGCTCGCTCATGGTCACTAGAAGGATCAAGCGAAAGTTGGCGATTATGCAAGCGCACTGGAGACTTATTTTTATCGGCTGCGGCCGATGGTACGCCATCCGCTGGAAGCTCATTCTTGTCGCTACTCGGCTTGGCTAGGTGTTGACGCTTCAGGATCGCTTCTGGAACAGCTTTCGTAGGCGCATCGCTCTGCCCGACAGTGCTTCTGCGCACGGAACCACCATTCAACTTCATGGCTTCTTTCTGTTTGAGGATGCTTTCCCTGAACTCATCAACCCTCTGAGTTTTCTGTGGTCCTCCAGTGGTGTTCAGAGCTGCCTTTCCCCTAAGTATGTTGTTTTTCAGCTCATCCGGTGCGACATAATTTGATGTCTCTGTCTTTTTCAGCTTTCCAAAAACGTTCTTGAATTCCGGCTCCGCTGATGTGGACTGATCCTTTGCCACTTCTCGTTTTCGAAGGTTTGCTCTGAAATCAATTACTGGTGATTGAGGCTTTGGCCTGGTTAAGAGAGGATCACGAATGGGCTCACGAGGAGACTGTAGAGGCCCATCGTTAAGTCTAGGTGCAGGTGACAAAGACGGAGGTGCAGGTTTGCGTGTCACTGCCTTTGTAGTGCTAAACTTTGGTGCTTCAGCTGGAGTTTCAATGACCTTAGGCTCTGGGGGCGGGCTAGTCTCGGTCGAAGGGGTTTCCAACGACTTCTCTCTAGCAGGGCTGGTCAAGGTTGGCGGTTCTTCAGTCGGACTTGGAACACTTTGTGGCTCTTCTTTCGTCGGGCTAGCGATATCCATCTGTTCCTCTTGGGCTGGGCCAGGAGAACCCAACGGCTCTTCCTTGGTCGGCCTGGGAAGGTCTCGCGATTCCTCAGTTTTCAGACTGAACAAAGCTCGAGGCTCCTCTTTAATGGGGCTAGAGGCAAGCGATTCCTCTTTCGTTGGACTGGGGATGATTGGCGTTTCCTCCTTAGTTGGACTCGCACCAAGGGTTTCCTCCTTTGTCGGACTAGAGGGAGTGAATGATCTCTCTTTTGTTGGGCTAGAAAGAACAGGGTGTTCCTCCCTAGTTGGGCTAGATTCACTGGGATTGAGCACATCTGGAATACCAGAAAGACTTGGTTTCGTAACATGGCTTCCGAGAGGTGTAGTCCGCATCAGGCCGACAGGAGTGACTTCCTTGAAGCTGTTTCGGCGCCCTAAGTCTACACTCCCCCTCGATTGCCTTTCCTTCGCCCAGGATGTTTGCTGAGATGGTTGCCTTTTATGCCTTGGCGAGTCTGGAAGGTTCAGAGCACTCTCCAACCAGGAAGATTTCGTTGGGCTCCACCTTCTTGGGTCCATGGTCCTAGAAGTTGAAGGCGTTGTAGGCCTCGAATTCGAGTCGACCGGACTATCAACGCCCACAGAACTTGTAGATCTCGCATGTAAGCTGAGTGGTGGACGGCTAATGTTCTCAGTCCTTCGCGGCACTGGAGGTGTAGCCGGGCGTTCGCCCTCTTTTGTCTGAGAGACGATAGTTGCTTCACTGTGGCTTGATGTAGGTCGGACGGGTGACAGCGATGATCCTTCATGGCTCGATTTGGGCGTGGAGAATATATCGGTGTTGCTCGGAGCAGCAAAGCTATTGCGATTGCTCGTAAAGGATTCGCCCCGACTACGACCGGACGGAAGCTGAGCACTCCATCGTTTGGATATGCTGTCTGACCGCCTCAACATGGCACTTTGGACGAATCCACCAAGCCCCTTCGTTGGTGAAGTGGAACGCTCCGGGGAAAGTCGCCTTGGAGACGTCGGAGGCACCGTGTGGCCTTCCACGCCATCATCAGCCCTCGGTGGTTCGAATTTCGGCGCGCCAGCCAAAGGTATCGGCGAGCCAAGGCCTGTGGCTGTGGAGACAGAGGATACACTGGAGTACCGGTATCCCAGACTGCTGTCTGGCAACGTTGAGCTAGCTCGTGACGGAGGCGGCGATCGTTCATCAACAATTAGGATGTTCTCCTTCTCTAGCTCTGTGGCCTTCTCCACTTCGGGCTCTTTCGCCTTGGCTTCCATAAAAGGGTCTTCCTTCCGCTCCTCACCTTGTTTCTCCAGCGTCGGCGTACCACTTCCCTCCGTCTGGCGCAAGGAAGATGATTCCCGAGAAACCGGTATAGACGCCAATGGGCTCCGCAGGACTCCAGGTTCGTCGGTTGAGGCATTCGACATGGCCCTCCATCGTGTTTCGCGAGAAGGCGAAGTTGAAAAGAAAGTACGATTGCCGCTGAGGTCTCGAGAAGTTGGGCGTTGCTGCCAAGATAGAGTTCCGGCTCTACTCCGTAACGTGGGGGAAGCTCTGGGCGAAGCTTTGGGGGAAGCTCCCTTATCGCTACCACCTCCCAGCCTCGAGCCCGCGGGGCTGCTCTCTACCGATGTTGCAATCTCATCGCGGAATGAATTCGACCCGCTGTGTGTGTCATGGACCGGGGTACGAGGAGTCGGCTCGAGCTGTTCCGGGGGGTCAATCGCTCGGTGACTCAACGACGACATGCTCAATCGGGCTGGATCGAGGAGCGGAGAGGAGTCCTTTGTGGGTGAAATCGACCGTGCTCGCTCTAGAATGGGTTGAATTGGGAAACGAGTCAGCTTCTGAGCATGCGAGACGCTTCAAGTGATCTGTCCGACAGTGTTCTGACACCCGCAACCGAAGGGTAAAATTTCAGGGCGAAGGGAAACCGCAAATTACCAGCTCTCCGAGCCTGTCTCTCTTTTCGCCCCTGCAGAATCTCTTCTTCCAGCTTCCTTGTGCGTTCCTCATCCTCCTTGTCGCGTTTCTCGCCGAGTTCGCGGATGCGTTGGAGAAAGTCATTCACATCCTCGCTGCCGTCCGCTTCGGAAGTCGAAGTCATGGCCACTCTCGGGCCGGTCGAGATGAAGCCGGTGGGTAAAGGTCGCTAAAACTGAAAAACACAAGAAAAATTCGGGAGAGAAGAAAGAAAAGCAAAAAAAAAAAAAAAAGTCCCAGCCCGGTCAATGAAAGCAATGCGGGCCGAGGAGTTGCGTGTGATGCAAATACACAGCGAAAGACAAGGTGGGGAGGGTCGGAGTGAGGGAGGGGAGGGATGAAGGTGGAAGATAGATGCGAAGAGAGGTGGTGGTGGAAGACGATTTCTAAGGCATCATTTCTGATTGTGATTTTGATTATGACGATCCTCGAGGCGCTGGCTGTGGTGGTCACGCTCGATCTCGCTTTCTCCGCCTCTTTTCCTCCCTTGAGGCACGACTGAGCGAAGTTCAGCTGCAGTCGTCGGCGCCCCACTGGCCACAGCTGTTTCTTCCACCACGAACCGTCATGGATGCAGCGAATCCTCTGTTCTCGTGTTCTCGAGGCTTACTTCTTGCATCCTTGTCTGGTGCATGACATGCAGATGACCTCCAGGTCTGTTCGAAGCCCTCGTTTCCATATTATTTTGATCTTTCTACACGCGGAAGACTGTTTACGTTGTCGGCTCGGCTGAGACTGTGACTGTGGAGTAAATCATCCAAGTTCTCATTATTATTGCTCTTCTTGTTTCGCCCGCCCGCGATCTGGTTCTGCTGATGACGACAGTTTTCTCTATTAATATCAAGCCTTATTATGATTCGCGTCGACGGGGAAAATGCTTTGGCATTCCACATGAGATTCTCCGCTGCCTCGACCCAATCGAGTTAAACATCATCAAAGTCCGGTTTGACTCCAGCTCGGACCCATGGATCTTGATCGAACCTCACGCGGCTGCGACAACTTGAGTTCTAGGTACTCTCGGGTCTCTTATTGTATGTACCTACTCGTCGTGGCTATGAAGCTTGACCTCTCAATCAAAGTCGAGATCGGTTGAGAAAGGCTCGTGGGAGAAAGCATACTCTACTTCCTACCATCAGTACTCTATTCTAGCCTCTATCTATACTCTTCTAGTCTACTGTAATTATCTAAATTAGCTACCTACCCTTTTTCAATGGTAGAATAATCGTCAACCGCACCGTCGCGGTACTGTCGTTTGCCCAGTTCCCGTGCCATTGTTCTTGGTGTAACACCCGGCCTCTTGTTGGCAACTCCCTTCCCAGCCCCTCAGGACTCGAGAGGCCGATAAGCTGCCGATACGTTGATTACTTGATTGTTTTGGATCGAATGCCGAATACTTGAAGTTCAACGGGTCTTTTTGGTTGTACAATCAGTCATCTTGCATATGCGTCAGGCGTGTCCAGAGTATGTCTAATCCCCGGGATACCTATTCTCTCCAAGGGAATGTCTGATCTTGTTCGCCAACAGCCGTACTACACAATGGAGAGTTAACCCGACGATCTCGGTTCTGGTAGTGAGGTAAAACGACAATCTTATCGTCTACTCTTCGTCCATTTATGCGGCATGGTAAGTCAGTGTCACGTCGTGGTAGAATCCCTGTAGAAGAACCTATACGGTACGCCTTCACTGAGGTACCTTCGAATACATTGACAGTGCAGTGGAGTTTATGGATATATCGTTCCATACCTATCCATTTGCTAGCCTAGCTGGAGTGGGCGAAATTATTCTGTCATTAATCACTCCTTTTGACTTCGCAAACAGTGTCACCCGCGCTTATATATATAATTACTTGTTCGGCGTTGGTAATCTGGACCAGGGCACCAACTACGCTATATTCGCAGAAGAAAGAGAAAACAGATTACTCGTAAGCTACCGAGCCCCCTAAAGATAAATAGTATGCTTGCATAGTTCACTTTCAGATTTAGATATTCTTTTTAAAGGTGATTGAATTTGAGTGGCATCCGACATGCCAAATCACCACCCACAACCATCAGGAAATGCCCGTTCTACTGAGGAGTCATACCCGGAAAGGTCCAAAGCTGATTAATGGCAAACAGCGTAAGTGCCACCTAAGTTGACTATTCGTCTATAATGTCCCTACTATCAGCAATTTTATCAATATAGACCCGATGGCTTGAACTGAGCGTTTCAGTGACCAGGCGGGTTGCAGCCTAGTGGCTACCTGGTCGAAGCTCTTAGGTCAGATTTAGGGAGAAACATGCATCAAGAAACGCGCTGGTGGTGTAACGGTATCATATTAGCCTTCCAAGCTGGGGACCGGGGTTCGACTCCCCGTCAGCGCATCTTTTTTTCTCGATATTCTTTTTTCACGCCTAGCGCAAAGCTGGGCACGTTGGCGAAATTAAGGGATCGAAAAGAAAGACGGAATCACTGTCCACTACAGCTCAGGAATCGGCTCATTTTAAACTCTCTCTTATATTCCTCCCAAGAATCGTAGCTCGTTATATGCGTTCTATATACGCAAGCTCATCGACGTGAATGATCAGTAAAGGAACAACCGGTCCTTCGCATCCTGGACCACCCAGTCCAGGCCCTCGCGTAGATTCTTGCCTGTCATCGCACTGCAAGGCAGTATCGTCCATTTATGGGTTTTGATCGAATCTAGTTGTAGACGCTGCGGCAGGGCTTAGGCTCTCTCTCGGCAACGTAAAATCCGGCCTAGCAAAGAAAGGCAACTTACCTGCCTGACTTCGTCCTCGGTCATACACCCTTCGACATCAGTCTTGTTTAGGAACACCAAAAGGCTTGCGCCCATCAATCGCTTCGAAATTTGTAAGCGATGGTCGACGAAACTATTGCGGGCGGATATATCCGTACCTCTTCAAGCAGAAGGCCAGCAAGCTCGTCGCGGCAATCATCGACTCGTAATCGATCCGTTGCATCAACAACCCAGACCAGCGTATCAGTCTTTTCGAAGTAGTTTTTCCAGTACGATCGCAGTGTCTTTTGGCCGCCGACGTCCCCTGAGGAAGTGTTAGCGGGAGAGAGACCAGCCCCGTCTCAAGCGACCTCACAAATGTTCAACCGGTACCTGAAGATATAGTTAGCATCTCCCCGAGGCAGAGAACAGAACAGGATTGAAAATACCCGTCAAAATCGATCGTCTTGATGATAAAGCCCAGCGTCGGGCTGACAGTGGTGACATCCTCGTTCATGATCTGTTTGACGATGGTCGTCTTGCCCGCATTGTCGAGACCACTGCGCTGCTATTAGCGAGGTTAAGCAGATTTCTCTGGGAAATTTAAATCTTACAGCATCAAAATTCGCATCTCCTTATCCTTGAGCCTAGCTTTTCGGAGTATAGACAGCATTTTGGCAAGGAGAATCGTCCAGCAATCTCTTCTTGGCGGTCGTTGCGGATGAAAAGTAACAATATCCGAGCCCGCGATGGGCGAAGAGGCAGATTCGCGGGTCGAGAATCAACCACATCTCTTGAAACAGTCATTTCAAGAAGAGCCTGAGCCTGAATGAGTCTCTTCCAGAGGTGTCTGCCTGATTGGAGTCATACTGCTCTTTATAGTCACCTGGTCTTATTGCTACTGGGTTTCGTGTGCACTCACCCCACTGGTATACAGAAATCAGCGCAAATAACTAAGAGTTCTTACCCACGTGAAGGTAGAACAAGCACTATTTAAATATATGCCTTACTTAAGCCTGCCTATAAGTGTTCTAAAGTTCTGCTTTTCTCTTCTCTTCTCTGCAAGTCATTCTGTGCTACCCAGTGTTTAGCCCATTGTGCCATATCTTGACCCTTGCTACAACCATTCTTACTACTCGAGGTGAGGGAAACCCTATGCATAATGAAAGACAACTAAGAGAGACTCCTTTGTTTTAACACAGCGTGAGATGCACAGTCAACATGGGTAACATGGAAATCTGTGATAGTCCGGATCTTTGGTCTAGGATGAAGACTGCCAAAGAGATCCTGCGCACAGAAGGCTTTTCAAGCAAATACCGATCCCCCCCAAGCTCACCTATTGAGGAGACAACCAAGATCTCTTCTAAAATCAAGCCTGAGACTGAAGTGACCGAAGAGTTTGAGGTGAGAGCGATGGCTGTATCAGTGCCAGACCTGGAAGCTTCCTTCCCTCAAGACCAGACCCCAGAACTCGAGGACCCTAATCCTGCCCGCGGAAGTACCGTCATGTCTGCAGATTCGACTGTGAAGGGAGCCTCTCATTCACCGGCCATGAAACCCAACGAAGCCTCGAGAAATCCCCGCACTCCTACTCTTACTCCTGTTCCTTCGTTCCCTCCCCTATCTAAACAGACCACAATCGCAAAACAGCGCTACTACCCTGTCATTCCTCTCACTCTTGAAGAGGCTATTGCACGAGCCAAAGGAGCCAGTGACAATTACAATAGAGAATTATTGGCCACGAACCACAGAGAGGTGCCCAAAATTGTTGCTCCTGATCGCACGCCTACCCCCCGTCCTTCCCGCGCCTGTGTCGCCAGCCAAGAGACTCAGGAACCTCCACAAGTCTCAAGAAAGAGCCATCTCGCGCCTGTTCTACCCAAAAGAGTAACCCCGGTGACTCCCCTTGTGCGAAACGGCACCACTCTTCGCCTTCGAGCTCGTTCGCCTAAGCCTCTCGCACCGCAAAAACAGAAATCGCCTGTTCCTCACGCCCCTCACATACCTTCCCCTCTTGCCAAAGAGATCACTGTGAACTCATCTATAGCGCCTAACGAAGCACTTGAGATTGAGAACAAACCCGAGATTAGCTTCATATTTGGTAAGGTTTTGCTGCTGCTTCCAGTTTGCCAAGGGATGTCCGGACTAACACAAGAGTAGCAGATACAGGTGAAACTGGGATGATGTCGACCTCAAACAGCTCAGACACAGTGCTTATGCCTCCTGTGGGAGGATATAGGAAGGGCAGAGCACTATCTTATCAGTCCATGGAAATTGAGCGCACCCCTGCCGCGCAGCCGTTCCCCTCTCCCGATTCGATCGACTTTGATACTAGCAGCGAAGAATCGCATCCCTCTGACCATGAGCACGAAGACTGGCAGAAAGGTGTCACTGTACCCAAGGAGAATCGCCGCGATTATCTTCTCGGAGCAGAAGAGGATGTACACGAGGAGCTACAACGCTTGCAAAAAGCGGCACTGGTGAAAGCTTTCAGAGGAGGACAGGGAAATAGTGAGGAGACAGCTAGCCCCGAGCTCCTTGCTAGATGCAGAGATGGCCCAGGAACTGATATTCTCTCTCCAATCTATCAACACCTTGAAAAGGCCCGCTTGGCCCCTCAGGAGGATACACCAGACTACAGCAACCTTCCTGGAACATCTTACGTCTTTTCTGCAGAGGAGATCGATACAGAGAAAGACCCAAAGGTGCTCCAAAGTGAGCTGGAAACCCAGGTAGAGGTGTGGAGAGAACTCTACAACAAAACCCCTCGAACTTACCCATCGGTCTCGGACAAAAAACTCACTCTTTTCCCAGCGGCAGACGATTGCCATAAGAGAGCCTTGGCGCGAGTTAGGAAGAGTCTAGCAAAGATCAAAGACTTGAACTTTTCCTCCAAGTCGGAGACGACGGTGACCAAGCGTTCCAAGCGAATAGTGCAGGAACACGCGTGGAGCGATAAATTCATAGCCAACTGGGAGTATTGTCCGCACGGTATCAGTGATGCAAAGTGGTACCGTGCTCGGTTCCAGAGTTGGCTGGATGGTAACATCCCAAGAGAATGTTACGTGGACATTTTTCATGAAGCATTCTTCCAAGGCACGGCCCATGCAGATGGCGAGACATCCATGTTTATCTTGGACATGCGCAAGTACAAAAGTATCATCCATCCCAGTGACAAGCAAGGTTGGAACCACGCGCATGAGAGTGTTGCTGGATATATCTACAACATTATTGCGCAAAAGAAGAAAGCGGAAGAAGAGGACCACCTGCGAAGGGAAATGGACCGGAAGGTCCGACGGGATGCGCTGCACAGCCCGCGCTTAAGAAGTCCGAGTAGCCCGGTTGCAAACATATACCTTCGGCCAGCTGAAGAGAAGGATGCGCCAGGGCTTGAAGAAATAATTGACTGGTACGCCAAAAACTCGTCTCGCAGCCCAAACACCAATACCAGGACCAACATCGATTCCGAGCAAGTTCTCCAGCGCATCAGAGGCTGTCGCGAGGCGCAACTGCCTTTCATTGTGGCTGTTGACCGTCACAGATCATCCTCCAAGCGGCCGGAGAATATATTGGGGTACGCACTTGCAAAGGAGTTTGACAGTGATGCTTATGCCTGCCACTATACGGCCGAGCTGGAGCTGTTTGTCAAAGACGGAGAAACTAACCAAGGGATTGGTAAATGCCTGCTCGACAGGCTACTGCAAGCATGCGATCCATCATACGACTCAAAGGGTGGCTACCAGTTCCATGCAAGCACTGATGATCGCTCGGCCTATTACCCTGGTGGCAGACGCAGGCTCGCCAGGCTTGTTTTCACGCTTTCCTATGTGGGCAACGACAGCCGTGAGATTGCCGACCACAAGCGTGTCAAGAAGTGGCTTGAAGAGCACGCTGGATTCGAGGAGCAGGGGCTACTTTGGGGTGTTCGTGTTTGGGGGACCAAGTTGTAAGTGTGCATCACCTTTTCAGCGAGGCGCTGGCTGACCTGTTAGTCTGAATGTTGCCTACCTTGTGCGTAGCACCGGCCACAACAGGCCAGATACATGGGATAAATAGGTACGATCGGTATGACCACTCCGCCGTCATAGGTAATCCACGGAGAAGACGCGATTGGAGTTGTCGGATGTAGTTGAAGCTGGATAGGACGACGGCCAGTTGTGCAAGACATCATCAGATAATCGCGGATGGATAGCAATTGCGTGGCATTTGAATTAAACCGGGGATTTAATATGCATAGACTGGCATCTCCTAGTGGATTTGGACTTAAGAGGCTCGAGACGAAATTTGAAGTTATTCATGATTCCGAAGCATGATACCATAGTAAGAACCCTTGGGAGCCTCAGGCCTTCAATTAGACTGGTGGTAACTTAGATTGCCGGTGCTATCGCTGCCTCACGTGATCAGCTTTTTTTCCCAAGATATTTTTCTGCCGCCAGGTACGAGAAGCACCAGGACTACACGCCGGAGATCGAAGAGAAGAAGGAGGTGTTACCCAATTGATTTTCTCTAAAACTCTGATACCGCTTAATTTATCCATACCCTCCGAGTCAAATTCCACGAATACCTCTCATTCCCACGGAATGGCGCCCACCGCCGCCAAAAAGCGCTCCGCCGCAGACGACGATTTCGTCCTGACGCTCTCGGACGACGAGGATGTCACCCAGCTCAATGGTGCTGAGGATGACGATGCCGGCGACGAGTTCTCCACTTCAAAGAGCTCAACGAAGAAGCGCAAGCGGGACGGCGAGACCGAGACCGAGACCGAGAACGGACCGTCGAAGAAGGCGAACAAGAAGGTGAAATCGCATTCGCAAGAAAAGGAATCAGGGAAGGCTGGGAAGAAGGATAAGAAGGGTAAAGGCAAGGCCAAGGAGCAGGTGTCTGGTAAAGCTCCTGAGCAAGACGAGGACGAGGACGCCGAAGAAACGGAGGAGGAAGAAGAAGAGGATGCAGGCGAGGATGACGGCGCGCTAGACTCGGAGTTTGAGTTTGATGTTGGTGGTGTTGCGAATGAAGTTGTTGAAGGGTTTGACGGGTGGGGTGGTGATGGAAAGGATGAGGAGAAGAAGGGGGATAAGAAGGCGGTTGATATTGATGATATAATTTCGAGACGGAGGGCGAAGAAGGAGGCTCAGGATGCGAAAAAGAAGAAGAAACAGCAAGTGGAGAGTGAGAGTGAGCCAGAGGAAGAACAAGACGATGAGGATGTGGATGGTATGCCTGTGGATTTCGAGGACGATGAGCTACTCGCAAAGGATGGGTTTGGAATGGGTGCTGATGGGGAGGATGAGTCTGAGGCTGAAGGAGAGGGCGAAGACTCGGAGGAGGAGGATGATGATGAAGAGGAGATTGACAGCGACGATGAGGCTGCCTCTGATGACGACTCCGTTGCTACGCCGGTTCAACATCCCGATGACATGCCCTCTGATGATTCCGACGCTGAAAGCGAGGTCGATGCCGAGGAAGAAGCAAAGCGCAAGGCTTTCTTCGCCCCAGAAGAAAAAACAGATGTGCCAGTTACCGGAGCGAAGCGATCATTCCAGGAATTCAACCTCTCCCGACCGATTCTCCGTGGTCTTGCTGCTGTGAGCTTCAGCAACCCTACACCCATCCAACAGAAGACCATTCCAGTTGCTCTACTCGGTAAAGATATTGTTGGTAGCGCCGTGACCGGTTCCGGAAAGACAGCTGCCTTCGTCGTCCCTATTCTCGAGCGTCTTCTCTTCCGCCCTCGAAAAGTCCCAACCAGCCGCGTTGCGATTCTCATGCCCACCCGTGAATTGGCGGTCCAGTGTTACAATGTCGCTACAAAACTGGCTACGTATACCGATATCACATTCTGTCAGCTTGTCGGTGGTTTCAGTCTCCGCGAGCAAGAGAACATCCTCAAGCGACGGCCAGATGTAATCATCGCTACCCCTGGTCGTTTCATTGACCACATGCGCAACTCCGCAAGCTTCACAGTGGACACGCTCGAGATTCTGGTTCTCGACGAGGCAGACCGCATGTTGGAAGACGGTTTCGCCGACGAGTTGAACGAGATTCTCACCACGATTCCCAAGTCCCGCCAGACAATGCTCTTCTCCGCTACCATGACCGATTCGGTTGACAAGCTGATTCGCGTGGGACTGAACCGCCCCGTACGGCTTATGGTTGACTCGAAGAAGAACACCGCCGTCACATTGACCCAGGAATTTGTCCGTTTACGACCGGGCCGCGAGGATAAGCGCCTCGGATACCTCCTCCATCTCTGCAAAGAAGTTTACACAGGCCGTGTCATTGTCTTCTTCCGACAAAAGAAGGAAGCGCATCGTGTACGCATTGTCTTTGGGCTGCTTGGTCTGAAAGCTGCAGAACTTCATGGTAGCATGAGCCAAGAACAGGTATGTCTTCGCCCATTATTCACCCGCATGAGACCAACAACTGACTAAATTTGCAGCGTATCAAATCCGTCGAAAACTTCCGAGACGGCAAGGCTGACTTCCTTCTTGCCACCGATCTCGCCTCTCGTGGTCTCGATATCAAAGGTGTCGAGACAGTCATCAACTACGAAGCCCCGCAAAGCCATGAAATCTACGTGCACCGTGTCGGTCGTACAGCTCGTGCCGGCCGCTCCGGTCGTGCATGCACCATTGCTGCAGAACCAGACCGCAAGGTCGTCAAGGCCGCCGTCAAGGCCGGCAAGTCGCAGGGTGCCAAGATCGTCAGTCGTGTCGTTGATACCGCTGTCGCAGATAAGTGGGCCAGCACGGCGGAGGAGTTGGCCGATGAAATTGACGAAGTCATCGAGGAGGAGAAGCTTGAGAGGCAGCTTGCGCAGGCCGAGATGCAGGTGACGAAGAGCGAGAACCTGATCAAGCACGAGGCGGAGATCAAGTCAAGGCCCAAACGAACGTGGTTCGAGACGGAGCGTGAGAAGCGGGTTGCCAAGAAAACCGGCGCGACGGAGCTGAATGGTGTATCGAAGAAGGATAAGGTCCGACTCAGTAACAAGGACAAGAAGCGGCTGGACGATGCGCGACTGCGACAGGAGGGCCAGCTGGGAAGGAAGAAGAGCAAATCTGAGCGTGAGGACCCAAATATTGGAAAGGCGAAGCCAGGGAAAGGGAAGGGTAAGGGCAAGGGCAAGGGCAAGGGGAGAAAATGATTATATTCTATAGACCGCTGAACATAGCTCCAAAATGCATAATACCGGATATACTTAGGGTTTACTTGCCTTGGGCCGTAAAATAGTCTGTCTCTATTTCAGCCTCTCGGCCTCCGGCTTGATGTACAAGCAGCGCAGGGCCACCACCGGTATCTACGTTGTACCTGAGTACCGGATCGACAAATAGATATCCTCTAAACAGATATTTTATCGCCGCAATCTCAGTAAACAGTGGGTACTTATTGAATAATGCTGATAGATGATGGATCTCCCAGTAAGGAAACCAGAAAAAGACCGGTTTCGCTCGGTTACCAACGGACATAATTTATATGCCTCAGGCATCAATGCGGCCTTGGCTCCGGGATCGGCCCCGATGGCCAGTGACTCAATGAGAGCACAAGCAACTGCAGTCAGAAGACGAAGGTAGCATTGGCGAATTAACGGGCGCTTAGAGGTGTACTTTTGGACAGACCTGGCATAGATTTGAAAGAGCCAAAAATTGATAAAAAGGTCGCTAGTAGTATGTACTTGTCCAGCGTGTACAACAGCAGGTGGATGGAGGAGCGGCCCCGCGAATGAAATCATGGAACATTGAGCATCCCCGCCATCGGCAATGCTGAAAAAATTGACTGTCCTTTCTTATGCCCACGAGTGACGAGTGACTCACGCCTGTTTGAAATCCAGTGTCAATTGCTGGTTATATCTTCTGCGCTTTTCCCCCTGACCTTTACCTCTCTTTTGCTATTCTCCCTCTTATACAACCTTTCTAATTCTTCCCCGCGGCACCCCCACCGACTGGGTCTCCGACTACCCATCATGCCTATGTATGCTTCTTTTTATGCTCCTTTACTCCGGACAAGGCGAGTACTAACCCAGACAGGCTCAAAGATCCTTCCAAGAAATACAGGCCGTTCAAACCCCTGCAACTGCCTAACCGCCAATGGCCCGATAAGACTATCGACAAGCCTCCTCGGTGGCTGGCCACTGACCTGCGAGATGGAAACCAGAGTCTGCCAGATCCTATGGTACCTTCACACTCTCTATCAACAAAGATGTGACTGTAGCTAATCTTGTAGGATGGGGACCAAAAACTCCGCTTCTTCAAGATGCTCGTCGAGATCGGCTACAAGGAAATCGAAGTCTCCTTCCCCTCCGCCTCGCAAGTCGACTTTGACTTTACCCGTAACCTCGTCGAGACGCCCGGCCTCGTCCCCGATGACGTCTGGCTTCAGGTTCTTTCGCCATGCCGTGAAGACTTGATCCGCCGCACAGTCGAGTCCCTCAGGGGAGCGAAGAAGGCCATTCTGCACATCTACCTCGCGACGAGCCCGTGTTTCCGCCGGATTGTGTTCAACATGGACAAGCAGAAGAGTCTGGAGATGGCCGTTCGCTGCACAAAGTTTGCGCGCTCAATCACGAAAGACGACCCGTCGATGGCAGGTACCGAGTGGCAGTTCGAGTTCTCCCCCGAGACTTTCTCAGATACGGAGCCCGAGTTCGCAGCGGAGGTCTGCGAGGCCGTCAAAGCTGCCTGGGAGCCCACAGCCGAAGTCCCCATCATCTTTAACCTCCCTGCCACAGTTGAAATGTCAACACCCAATGTCTTCGCCGATCAGATCGAGTTCTTCTGCCGCAGCGTTTCAGAGCGCGAGAAGTACGTCGTCTCCGTACACCCGCACAACGACCGTGGCTGCGCTGTAGCCGCCGCCGAACTCGCACAGATGGCCGGTGCCCAACGGGTCGAGGGAACCCTCTTTGGTAACGGCGAGCGAACCGGAAACGTTGATCTCGTCACTCTCGCCCTGAACCTCTACACACAAGGTATCTCTCCCGAGGTCGACTTCTCAGATATCAATGCCGTCATCAAGGTAGTAGAAGAGAGCAACAAAATCCCCGTGAACGAGCGATGGCCGTACGGTGGGCAGCTGGTCGTGTGCGCATTCAGCGGCAGCCATCAAGACGCCATCAAGAAGGGCTTCAAACTCCGCGAAGACGCCCACGCCACCGACGACGACAAGTGGGAGATTCCCTACCTCCCGCTCGACCCTCAGGATATCGGCCGCACATACGAGGCCGTCATCCGTGTCAACTCGCAAAGCGGCAAGGGTGGCGCCGCCTGGATCATCTTGCGCAGTCTGGAGCTGGATCTCCCGCGCGCACTGCAGGTCGAGTTCTCCAAGATTGTGCAGAAGAAGACCGAGGATGTCAACCGCGAGCTGCGGCCCTCAGAGATTGTCGAACTCTTCGAGGACGCCTACCACCTAAAGTCGAACCCGCGCTTCACCCTCGTCGACTACAACATTACTACGGATCGCTCGCAATCTCCCGCGCCGCCAGAGCCCGGTAAGGCGCTCAACACGAAGAACCTCAAGCGTCGGTTCACGGGTATCGTCGAAATCGACAACCAGCAACACGCTATCACCGGCGTTGGTCCCGGTGCTATCTCTTCTCTTGCGAACGCCCTTGCAACCCTGGGAATTGACCTCGACGTTGTCGACTACAAGGAGCACTCGATCGGTCTCGGCCGAGACGTCAAGGCTGCCACATATATTCAGTGTACCGCTGCCGGCAGCAAGCAGCAAGTATGGGGTGTTGGTATCCACCAGGACGTGGTGCAAGCCAGTTTGATTGCCCTTCTCAGCGCTGCTAGCTCTGTACGTTCCCATATCCTGTCCTTTAATTCCACCACTGGCAGAACATACAACTAACAGAAAACAGTTCCTAACTAGCCGCGCCGGCTCCCCTGCCCCATTCCGCCCCCAACGCTCTAACACCTTCACCGACGAGGACCTCCAAGCGCTGGAGCTCCTCGCCGGCTCGAACGACGCCGCGGCGAAACTCACCGTTGGACAACCCGTGACCTCGAAGCCTACAGTAGACCTGGAGGCGCTGACAAAGGCGGCGGCTAGTCAGTAGGGTAGCAAACATTGGGTATCAAGTGATATTAGGTGAATGGCGATTTGATGTGACAGAATAGCTTGCTTGCACTTGGTTGATGTTGGCTATCTATTCGGGGAAGGGGAAGGGGACGGGAAGATAAAAGCGTTGCGTAGTATACCATTTGATAATGACTTCGTGAAGAGTATTGACCTGTCTAGTACTGTAGTTTTAAGTCGAACCGTCCTAGAGGGGGTACCCAATCGCCTATGCAACAATCGCCGCTTCACCGAACCTGTTTGGTGTCATTATACCCGATTTCCCAGACCCCAATTGAAGCCCCGCATATTATATACGGAGAACTATACGTATATGGAAGGACCAGGATCCATATTCCCGGGCAATTCACCCGATTCTCCGTCCGAATCTGCAGGATCCTGCATGGAAGATTGGGCGTCAGAATACCGCAGTATCACAGCCACAAGCTAATTACTTGCAGGCACTAATGATGACGAGAGTTCGGAGAATTAGACAAGAGATCTTGGAAGGCGCTTCCCCTTCCCTTCCCCGGATAAACCCCGCTAGGCTGAACGGCTGAAGAGTTGAATGTGCTTGGCCCTTCTCCAGTTATCTTCGGCTGAGCATATGTCTCTGATCCTCCGAGACTTGACATCCTTCATAGTTTCATCTTTGACTTGGCGTTCCTTCCACTTTGCCATCACTCCAGAATAGTATACTCATCATGAAGACAGCTTGATCGATATCCAGCTTCCTCTCAAAAATGTCTTCAGAAAAGATCATGCGATCCATTTATCTCCGCTACGGAGTAGACCCAAGGTACTCCATCTCCGCAAAGAGATGACGCCTTGTTCTCCGCATCGCCAAGAAGAAAATCTATACAACCACATTGCTGTCTCACCTCTACTCCCCCCGTCCCCCGAGCCACCGACTCCGACCTCCGATTTTCGAACCGGAACAGGGACTGATCGTCTTGAAGATATTACCCCGGACCACACCATGACGTACAGGCGCTTAGGGGCTGAGCTCTCTCAGATTTTCCTCCAGTTGGAGGGAGCGGTCGAGCGGGCATATTGCGGAGGATTAAGCGGAGAGGATTCTGTTTGCAGGAAGCAGGAGTCTGGGGAAGGAGGCTGAGGTCCGTATGCTGGTATTGGGATATATAAAGGAGGACTGCCTGACTGTTCCTATGAGGACATCAGGACACGAAAACAAGAAAGGCAGAAACGAAATCATCCACAGGAGAGGTTCTGCATTCGCTCATCTGAGCTACACATTCCAACATGCGATTCCTCTATGCTCTGAGCCTGGCAGGAGCTCTTCTCCTCAGGGGAGCCATTGCTCTCGATCCACGCCCAGTCGAAAACCTTGGCCGAGGTGTCGTTGCCGTCCGCGCAAGCGACGAAGACATACTCGTAACCTGGCGCCTGCTAGGTCTCGACCCCGAAGATATCGCTTTCAACGTCTACCGCTCCACCGGAGACAATGGCGAGGCCGAGCTCCTGAACGATGAGCCACTGACCTCAAGCACCGGAACAAACTACCTTGACAGCACTGCAGACCCCTCGCAAGCCAATACCTACTTCGTGCGCCCCATTCTCGACGACGAAGAACAAGAAGCTAGCGGCACTTTCACGCTCCCAGCCGATAACACCGTCGAGCCCGCCATCCGTATCCCAATTCGCGATTCAGGGCCGTTCAAGTTTGTCTGGGTGGGCGATCTTGATGGCGACGGGGAATATGATTTCGTCATCGATCGGATCAACACGCAGCAGAGTCTCGAGGCGTACACGTCGAATGGAACGTTTTTGTGGGAGCTGCAGTACGGACCCAATAGCGAAAACCAAAACAACATTGAGCCTGGCTCAACCGCGATTTCTGTCGGGAACTGGGACGGTGTAACTGTGTTTGATTTCGACAGTGACGGGTATGCTGAGGTTGCCGTGCGGATTGCGAACGGAGTTGTGTTTGGGGACGGCGAGGTCTTTGAGAACGACAACGATGACGAACAGTGGGTTGCGATCCTTGATGGCCAGACCGGAAGCCTCAAGGGAACAAGCCCCATCCCAACGGACTTCATCGAGGACGGCCCACTCGCCGCCCGATTTGGAGTCGGATATCTAGACGGACTGCGGCCACATCTCGTCGCATTCATGAAGAACCGCCAAGATGGCGGAGCCTTCAACCGCGTGATTGGAGCATGGACTTTTGATGGCACCGCTGTCACCGAAGAATGGATCTCCCTTGGCGACGACCTCGTCGGCCCAGACGGACACAACACCCGTATCCTCGACGTCAACGGCGACGGGTACGACGACGTGGTTGAGATCGGCTTCGTACTCAACGGACCCGACGGGACCAACCTGTACACTATGCCCGACATCGTCGTGCATGGAGACCGGTATTACATTGGGAAGTTGGACCCTGAAAGAGAGGGCTTGCAGGGCTATGGCATCCAGCAGGATAACGAGGATCTTCTGATGGAGTACTACTATGATGCTGCGGACGGCACGTTGCTCTGGGAGCATTTCGGCACTGAGGTCGGTGACGTGGGCCGTGGCCTCGCAGGTGATATCGATCCCACGCACCCCGGATATGAAGTATGGTCATTCCAGGGAATCTACAACGCGGCTTCAAATGAGACAACAACGGACGACCCCGAGCTTGCCCCCTGGCCGCAGATGGGCCTCTTCTGGGACGGGGACGAGTTGATGGAGTTGTACAACGACGGAAAGTTCGAGAAGTGGGATTGGGAGAACCCGACGACCTCTACGTCTCTGCCGCGCTTCTTCAGGGTAAGTACCTACGGCGCAAAGAACCCGAACAACTACAACCCCGGGTTCCTCGGAGACATCCTGGGCGACTGGCGCGAGGAGGTTGTTGTGACCAACGACGATTACACGGAGCTCGTCATCTTCACCACGGACCAGCCCTCGGATATCAGGTTGTACACTCTCGCGCATAACCCCGCGTATCGCAACTCGATGACGCTCCACGGTTACATGCAGTCGCACAGCTTGGATTACTACCTTGGGAATGGGATGAGCACGCCTGCGCAACCGAACATCAAGTATGTGGAGAAGTAGCTTAGTTAAAGGCTGCAGCATGAGAAGCTGGAACTTGGAGTGATGAGTGGGTAATGGTGTATGAACATGTGTATCGACGGGGGTATGTATGTACAGGACAAGAATGGGGGAGGACAGGGGTAGTGAGAATGCAACGTGATCAATTTTCAAGCAATTCAAGGGCTAATGCGGGGAGTTCGAGATCGAATTCATCAGGCTATGCAAGCAGCGAGTACGTAGTCGGTCAAAGTAGGGCTAGGTCAGGCGATACCCAAGACAATATGCGTGTAAGATCTGGCACGAGATGACATGGCAGAGCATGGTAAGATCAAAGCAGATTCCTGCGCGCACCATCCTGCCCGCGATTCTCCTCCCCGAACGCAGACTGGTACATGAGCGCCTCCTGAGGCCAGTCACCCGCATCGTCGTACGTTCCCGGCCCAGAGGGAGGCTTGGCATTGTAAGAGTCCGAACGGGGCTGGTACTGCGGTTGGTACTGTTGGTACTCCTGCTGGCCTGAATAGTACTCGTGCTCTTGCGGGTGCGGGTACGGTTGCTGCTGCTGCTGCTGCTGTTGCTGCGGTATGTAGTCGCGGTAGGGGAGCGTTGTCTCCGGTCCCGCTAAGGCCGGGATACCAGGCTGCGAGACGGGTCCTGTAGATGCGTGACCAAAGTCACCAAAATCGAAGCTTAGATCGCGGCCGTGGCCGCTGCCTGCAGAAGGTGTGATGTCATGGTCTGGTAGGAAGGGGTTCCCGTTGCTGTCGTAAGAAATGTCCGCGCTCGATGCTGGCTCCGCGATGTGTGGGATTTCTGGGATGGTCGTTGCGGCAGAGCTGTTGACGAGGGTCAATGACTCGGCCGGGTTCTCCATTAGAGCTGCAGGCGCTGCGGCCGGAGAGCGAGGCACGGGGTCCTCCGGGATGAGCGTTGATCGTCGCGCGCTGCCGCCCATAATGCTTCCGGCCTTGGAGCTCTTGCTGATGCGGTGCTGGGGCGCGGTGCCACCGAAGGCCCCGCCTTCCATCTCGCGGATGCTGAATTGTGCGATTGTGCGCAGTTTTCGGGTTACCCATGAGGCGAGGACTTTGCCGCGCTGCTTCTCGCCGAGTCTAGAGCGCGGGAAGTCGCCGTGGGAGACGAAAGCGACGATGTCGGCGACGACTTGGTGCTCGTTGAGGATGGCGTTGACGATGACGGGGACGAGGGAGGCGAGGTAGGCCTTTCGCGTTACTTCGACTACCACCACAATCATGCCGCCGGCTTGGAATACGGCACTGCAGGAGGTTAGTAAACCAGCCTATTAGAGAATGAATCGCACTTACCATCCGCCGGTCACAATGTTGCGGTGACACCTCTCAACGGAGCTCTCAATATCCATGGGGAAATGATTCAGGCCGTTGACTTCAAAGGTCTCTCCAATTCCTCCAAGGACGAAGAGTACCTGCATCTCGACTGGCTGACCGCCTGGACCAATTGGCCGAGTGACTGTGTGCAGGAATCCAAGATCGCCAGTGCGCACGAAGGAGGCATTCGGATCGCCATCGACAATCCGGCCGTTGAACCGCTCCAGATCGAAATCTTGCTTGGAGCCATAGAACGACTTGGCGCAGGCATCAGACTGGATCCAGATCTCTCCGTACTCACCCACCTGCGAGAGAGTACATGTTTCTGGGTTCACAATGGCGATTTGTGTGTTCACAGGTACCATTCCAGAGTCCTGTAAAGCGAGAGCCGTAGGGTCTGTATCAGGATCCACGGGCATGATAAACCCACGGCGCAAAGCGCGAAGATCCAGCCAGATTTCAACGGGGTCGATACACATGTACGACCTGGTGACCACCATAGGGTTGAGGACGTGGGAGTACACTACGTTGATAGCGGTTCGGTCCAGATTGGCTCCTGCAAAATGCAAGCGCACTTTTTGGTCTGCAAATCATTAGTCTAACAAACCAGAACAAACGAGAAAAGACTCACAAATATCAACACGTGGTCGGCCTTCGGCGGAAATCATCAGATTCTTGAGTTCCTGAAGCTGGAAACCCTTGCCAGGCATGGAGCTGATGGCATAATCCAACATTTGACTGGTAGCATACGTATCCTTGATCTTGTACCGAGATAGAGCAAGGAAGAGTGTCATGGGGTTCTGAGCAAAGTCGACAGGCGAGACTAGATACGTTGGAGCGCCAACATAAACTCCCATCAGGCAGGTATGGAGAAATCCAAGACCTAGAGTACTGCGGACGCTGCCAAGCACTGGCCGAGAGCTAGTCATCTGGCACGTCTCCTTCTGCACCTTGCACATGCCCATGATGGTGTCGTGGCCGATTGAGACAGATATTCTGCGCTGATCTGGCGTCCAGTATGTCCAGACCATGGCCGGCTGGTTTCCTTGCAGCCACGCGTCCTTCACGGTCAGACCAAGCTCCTTGCAGCCGTGAGACTGCTTCGAGGGCTTGGTTGTGTTGTAGATGGCTGGAACACCGATACGAAGAACTTGCGCGGACTGTTTGATATGTTGTGAAACCAGTTTCTGTCGCATCACATGGTCGACATCGCTGTTGACAATGATGGCCTTGATATGGAAGTCACTGATGACGTGGAGGAAGGCAGGAGCATCCTCGGAAAGACGATTCTGGTCAATAGGGGCAACGGGAATAGCAACCACGCCCAGACAGAAGCAGGCATGAACCGCGTACACATACTCTTCTGAGTGGGTATACATTAGGATCACATGGTCGCCCGGCCGGAGCTTAACCTTGTTCTTCAAGTATATGGCGACAGCAGCCACCTTCTGGTCGAACTTTTTCCAGGTAATTCCTTTTCCCTCCTTGCCGCGGCCATCGATAGAACAGTAGGCTAGTTCCTCAGCCTGGCGCGACACCCGCCAGTGTAGCAGATCGACGATGGTTTTGAAATTGTTGAGTGGCGTAGAAGTGCGGTCATCCATGACCACATCTCGGTAGTCGACGCCAGAGTATTGCTTCTCCAATTGCTCCAACATGTCCTGTCTGCTCTCCAAAGCCAAAGGAGACCAAATACCACCGACGGGATCAACACCAATGGGAAGGTTCATCACCGACCGCCCGACACCAAACTTGACATGTACACAGGGGAGGGTCCCTGCGTCAAAATCTTTTCGGCATAACATGTTACCGATTTCTTGTCTTCCATTCTTGATCACACGAGGGAGTGTGTTGGGCGCCGTTAGCATTACGCAGAAGACTCTCAGATGATGTTCCTGGTATAGGACTTCCATACACCTTTCTGAAAGAGATTCGAGGAGGGCCGAGTCTAGTTGCCGTGGCGGACCTCCCGACGTCGTTGGTGCTGTCGAGGCCGCATACGACTCTAGAACGACGATCGGAAGGTGCTCTTCGTTGACAAACACGTCAAAGGCCGTGCAGTCATGAATCTTGGGAATATTTTTCAAAGTGCTGACGACCAGATGTTGGACGAAGAAGTAGCGGTGCTCCGTTGCCTGTTGTCCATGCTCGACCCATTCAACCTTTTGGCGGATTCGATCCTCATACAGACCTAACACGAAAATCTTGCCTTCGATTACACAACCGAGTAGACCGGTTCTGAGAAACTCCGGCTCCACCAGGATAGGTGTTGGATTGCCCTCCTCGAATTTATAAGGCCGCGCGTGGAAAATGGCCTCCGTGTGCTTTGGTAAAGCCCAAAAGCCACCGGAGAGAGATGGCGAGTCGACCCAAATCTCGCCCACCACATTCGAGGTACACAGTAGGTTGGTTTCAGGATCGACAATCGCAAGTGTAGCATCAGGAAGAGGGTAGCCAAAGGCACCCACACGGACAGCATTGGGTATACTTCCGGCAAGCTTTTTGACGTCCTCGCCCATGGCCAGCACGACAACCTCGTTGTTTTTCAAAGCTTCTTTATCGAGAAGAACCTCATTGAGTCCGCCCTGCCCTTGCTCCTGAGGAGCTGGAGCAGAGGAGCCACCTCCGAGCAGACTACTTCCGAATCCGCTATTCTCGGACTTGTCTTTCTTCTCTTCGATCTTGACCTCCTCTTGTACAACGGGGTCCATTTCATGTGTCAAGGGACAGCCCATCCTCTCTTCCCCGCCAAGCCAATCCCTCACGCTGATCACCATGCCGCCATGTTCTGGCAAACAAAGCATTGGCGCAACGATTTCTCGCGCTCTTGGATTCCTCATCGGTCGAAGCCATCTATCTGCAAGTATTTCGTGGAACTCCGAGTCGACAGTAAGGGTATCGATAAGACAAAGCTTGACGCTCACGAAATTAGGTTCCATGTTCTTTTTGAAGTGTCGAGTGGCCATAGGATCTTGTTGGTAGTTGTAAGCGGTGATCTTCAGTCCAGGATAGTCCGCAGCCATAACGGTTGCCCGGTATTTCGTGACCAAGTGAGCATAAAGACCTGGAGTCTCCACTGCTCGATCCTCCATCCATACGGTTGTATGGCCGCCATATACAGTCAAAAGCACACCCAAAATCATACCAATGCCCTGTCTAGGGTCTAGATAACTGATGATAGTTTCTCCGCGTGAATGCGGTTTCGCAGACGACGGCACAGTTGCAAACATCGCACTCAGACAAGCCATCTGATGCATTATTGTCCGGTGGCTCATAACGACACCACGGAGATCTCCAGTCGGAGCGCGCGAGAACTCGATGAAAGCCAGGTCTGGCACGACAAGCGGGGGAGTATCGTCCTTTTTCTTCGGATGATAGCTTCCGAATTCGTTTGTCTTCCACCACTCCACTCCTCTGGGCCAGTTGAGCTTCTGAGTGGTGATGTCCCTCTGGAAGTTCTTGAGATTGTTCTCTGTCGTCAGTGCAAGATGCGCTTGTGTCGAAGTCAAAACAAGGTTCAGACTCTGGTAATCTTCAAGGCTGTTGATAGGGACAGCAACGACTCCAGCGATGAAACAACCCATAAGTGCCACAGCGAACTCTATGATTTCAGAATCGCGATAAACCAATGCTACTCGATCTCCGCGATAGAGATTACTCTTATCACGGATGACCTGAGCAACCTTTTCTGCTCGGCTGGCAAGTTTCTCCCATGTTATAGACGCGATCTCCTTGCCTTTTTGGTCCAAAACCCAGTAGGCTGGCTGTTTCCCACTAGTCCGTGCCCGATGCCTAAGGACAGTAGGAATGTTGTCAAAGTTCGACATTGGTGTGTTTTTATCATGAGGGTCGTGGACTGCAAACGGAATATCGCGGGGTTCAAGGGGTAATAAGTGCTCGACTGTTGGGCCATGTGGAAGTTCAGAGGCGGGGATAAGCGGTGGTGCCATGGCGGCAGTTGGCGAGAACGCATCAGATTGCGAATAGCGGTGGAATCCGCCACCATAGCTGTCCCTGTAATCCTCCTGCTGCTGTCCTGCAAAGTCAGAGAAATACCCTTGTTGGGATTCTAGCATTGTCGACTGCCGTGAAATCTCCGGCGGTGCCATATCAAAGCCCGTGGGCGCTTCGTCATACTGGCCATGAGGGCCAGCGGGGCTGAAAACATAATTTTGGCTCATCAAAGTGGCAGTCCTCGAATCTTCTTGTAGGGGAAGTGCTGGAGTAGGTTTCGGAAGGAAAAGTGAATCGTATGAGGACGCCGAAGGTCCTCGGCCATGATGAGATGCCGATGCGCCATCTCCATTGAATGGCGACAGTCCATCATTGCCCACATTTGGCTCATATCCAAAACTTCCGCGGCTGTATGCAGTATCGTGTCCGCTGGTTGCAGTAAAGGAATGTGATGGCCCGCCGGTGGTGAAAGAATGGGATGGACCTGAAGAGTCCGCGGTCGGTGGCCGAATGCTGAGGATAGCTGGTGGAGTTCTGACAGAGCTGGTCATAGACTGCAGGTGGGATTGAGAAGTACCGGGCGGGCTGTTCGCGAATCCCAGAGCTTCGGAGCCAAGGTACTGCGACAGGAGAAGGGTGCGCCGTTTCTGATAACTTTCGTCAGGTTAGCTCAGAGCTCTCATGGGAGTGCCATCGTCTCCTCTCCGTCTGACCGCCCATTCCCGAGCGTTCGAGGGCACTTCCCGGATCTCGGATATGGCCTACCCTTTCTCTGTGATATCGCCCTCCTAGAAGAACAAGCGCGTCAGCCAGGGTCTAGGGGGAGAATTGTCCGGTATACTCGAGAAGCATAACACGTACCTCATATTCCCTATCCAAGTCTCGCAGAGCGGACTGCAGCGCTGGGTGGTCCTCCGCCATGTTCACGGAGATGTGGTCGGAGACCAAACGAGGGGTTGTGATTCTAGTAAACGAACAACCGGGGATGCGGTACCCTCATTGCAGGCCGTGGACTGACTACTTTGCAGTGCGTGATATAAAGGAATATGCTCCCCCGGCTAGAATAAACCTTGCGAATTCGAGGAAGAGATCGGATTGATGAATCGCACGAGTTGTCTCTTCTCCGCGCTTCGAGCCACAGCGTCACCTGCCGGGTGGCTAACCTCACACAGAACGACAGAAAGGCACGGACCAATGAAAGCGGGCCTCGGCGGGCTGGCACCGCCACATCTCCGAGACATGTTTGAGACAACAGCGAACGGTTCCTGTGAACGAGGCTACACCAGTGTTGCTGTAAGTCGGGTTGGAAAAAATCTTCCGTCGAGAGAGCAGAGATTGTGTCGCTTAAGGCATTGAGTGTTGTGGCATCACCTGAGAAGTAAGTATACACATTTGCTCCAATGACCTGCGGTGCGCCCCACCAACCGCCGGCTATTTTTTTGAGGCTCAGGCTGTCTCACTTCAAATCTGTATCGGGAACTCTGGCGCGATCCGAGATATCTCTTCAGTATGATATTGCCTAAAACACCTGGAGATAGCAGTAAAGTAGGTTGACTTGGATCGGGTGTCATCTTTTTACTTTCGGACTATGCGCAGGAGAACCACGCGAACGGACAGTTCAACCATAAACCTTTCATCGTTTCTGAAGGACTACTAATATCAATAAGTAGCTTCAATGGACTGGGTTACGAACTAAATACCACCATGGTATATCAAGCCATCAAGCCATCAATTGAGACCAGAAGAGACGCCGACTACTTGACACTTAAAGGTCACGGGGTCACTAACCCGAATAAGACTAGAGAAATCAAAGTTTAATCACATGATTTAACTTCAATGATTCGTCACCAGCGCTGCCCTAGCACCCACAAAGCTAAGCGAACGCACCTCCATTTCCCAGGAAACATTTCTGCCGACCGACAGGCATCTCGACATCGAAGGTTCAACCACGACAACCGTCCCGACACCCTACGAACCCGTCCCTCGACAACAGGTGCATACGGTCAAAATGTCTGAACACGGCGAAGTCGAGGTCGAGCTCCCCGCTGGGGCCTACAACACCCTCCCCAAGGATGCTCTCGCCGAGCAGGGCACCGTCAAGCTCTTCAACAAGTGGAGCTACGAGGATGTTGAGATCAGGGATATCTCCTTGACGTAGGTGTCCCCTTGTTCTTTGCGATTGGGAAGCGATACATGTGGTCGAAATCTGGTCGAATTGCGTTCAGTTGTTCTGGGGAAATGGGCGACAGAATATGAGCGGAAGGGACAACTGAAGTGCGAAGGATTATCGACATTGGAGGAATGCACACAAATCCGAGAATGAACTCGTGCTGACATGCAACCTGCGAATAGCGACTACATTCAGATCCGCTCCCCTGTCTACCTTCCTCACACCGCTGGCCGCTATGCCGCCAAGCGTTTCCGCAAGTCGCAGTGCCCCATCGTTGAGCGTCTGACCAACTCCATCATGATGAACGGCCGCAACAACGGAAAGAAGCTCATGGCTGTCCGCATCGTTGCCCACTCTTTCGAGATCGTACGTGACACCTGCGGCGAATGCGCCCCGACTAGTTAGAACAAGAATTGGCGTAAATACTGACTTGGGCTCTCAGATCCACATCATGACCGACCAGAACCCCCTCCAGGTCGCCGTCGATGCCATTGTCAACTGCGGTCCCCGTGAAGACAGCACCCGTATCGGTTCCGCTGGTACCGTCCGTCGCCAGGCCGTCGATGTCTCTCCCCTCCGCCGTGTCAACCAGGCCATCGCTCTCCTGACCATCGGTGCCCGTGAGGCCTCTTTCCGCAACATCAAGAGCATTGCCGAGTGCCTTGCTGAAGAGCTCATCAACGCCGCCAAGGGCTCCTCCAACTCCTACGCCATCAAGAAGAAGGACGAGCTCGAGCGTGTGGCCAAGAGCAACCGGTAAAGTGGGTTTGTTGGGCGTATTCTCCGTTTATGGTCCTGGTTCATGTATACTGGAGTGGACGGGGAGTTTCTGGGACTCAGTCGATTTGCATGCCGCTGCACGACTGTATATACCTGCAGACAGTCGCAGAAGGGAGCAAGATCCAAAATTTATGAGTGAATCGGACGGCTTTCTCCTACAGTAGTTGGATGCGATCATGAAGACCCTAGACTTGAGTCGATTCTAAATGAAAAATCTATTCCCTTTTCTGTCATTACGCCGGACATGAGCACGTAAAAATCCTTTTCTCCAAGGTCGAGATCACACTTGGCATGGCCCGCCAGACAGGACATCAAAACCAAGGAGACTAAATCGGCTATAATAGCCTTGAACCGGAGTTTGGTCTGATTGATGCCTTAAGCCCTCCGAATGTTGACTGTCGAGGTCGAGACCCCATCTCCAGAGCCACCCGCCTTATCGATATGCGGTCCCGTAGACAGGAAAAAAAAGTTTCATCTTAGCGCAACGACCTCCGCTACAATTCCCCCTCCACATTTCAGCACTTCGAAGGGATCTGTACCTTTATAAATCCCTCGAAATGGTGAAACGGAAGTTAGGGGCCTTGGAGAAGGTCGAAGCTGACCTGTGAGTACCCCTTGGCTCTCACCGCAACCCTTCATTTCTCGCAGAGAATTTCCTCGCTAACAATATTCTCACAGGCCCAATTTACAACATAAGCTTCGAAGAGACCCGAAGTAAGTGGTTGCGCACACCTTAATCATCCTATGATCGAGCGATCACTGACCGGTCCGCTTGTCCAGGTCCTACATCGAAGATTTCCGCGCCCAGCACTACCAATATGAGAGCCACCGGGAAATTTTCATGGCTGCGCCCTCGTCGGCTACAGACACAGGAATCATCTCGCTGCGTGAACTGATCGACTTCATCGCTCATGTCGCCGACTGCTACCCAGATATCACAAAGAACTTCGGCCAGGAGCTCATTGATATGCTCACGCAGCACCATCTGCTGCTGGAGCCAGAGTTGCGGGAGAAAATCGTGGGGAGTCTGGTGCTGCTCCGGAAGAAGGACCTGATGGATTCTGCGACGTAAGGGCACTGATTCCATCTCCTGGTGTTGGGTGTATAGCTAACTTGGTGCTGGGTAGATTACTGCAGACTCTGTTCCCGATTCTCATTTCGACGCCGAGCAAGACGCTGCGCGCTTTGATTTTCCAGAAGATCCTTATGGATCTGCGCTCTTCGAATGCGAAGTCTACGAACCATAAGCTTAACCGGACCATGCAGACCGTTCTGTTTAACCTTGTGACTTCGGACCGAACCTCGTCGAAGGGTCTCTGGGCTATCAAGCTCACGCGCGAGCTCTGGAAACGGCAAATCTGGACGGACGCGAAGGCCGTTGAAGTCATGAAGGAGGCTGCACTAGCAGAAAATGAAAAGGTGATTGTTGGTGGAGTGCGCTTCTTCCTCGGCGGAGACAAGGAGCGTGAAGAGATGGAGGAGGAGAGCAGCGACGAAGAGGCGATCGATATCGGCAAAGTAAAGCACCAAGTCGGAATCAACAAGAAGACAAAGAAGAAGGCGCGCGCGATTGAAAAGGCAAAAGCGACTGTGCAGCGACGCGAGCGCAAGAAGAACCAACCTCATCCTCTGAACTTTTCCGCCCTGCATCTCCTCCACGACCCGCAGGGATTCGCCGAGTCCCTATTCTCGAAACATCTCCAGAGTTCAAAGTCGAAGCTCAACCTTGAGCAGAAGCTTATGGTCTTACAACTTGTCACCCGCCTTGTCGGATTGCACAAGCTGCATATCATGCACCTCTACTCCTACTTTCAGAAATACCTAACCCCTCGGCAACCCTCCGTCACTTCTTTCCTCGCCTCTCTCGCCCAGGCATCTCATGACCTCGTACCCCCAGATGACCTGGAACCTCTCGTCCTCAAGATCGCTAACGAGTTCGTCTCCGAGGCCGCAGCCTCCGAGGTTGCAACGGCTGGTCTCAACGCGATTCGAGAGATTTGCGCTCGACAGCCGCTCGCGATAAACGAAACCCTACTCCAGGATTTGGTCATGTACCGCAAGAGTAAAGACAAGGGTGTCGTGATGGCCGCTCGAGGTCTCCTCAGTCTCTACAGAGACCTGAACCCGGAGATGCTTAAGAGACGGGATCGCGGTAAAGACGCATCTATAGGACTCCAGCATGGCGAGAAGCAGGTGAAACGATTTGGTGCCCAGGAAGCCGGTGGCATCGAAGGTCTGGAACTCTTGGAGAAGTGGAAGGAGGAGGAACGCAAGAGGAAGCGTGCCCAGAAGGGCCTAGCCTCCGACGAAGAAGATGACGAAGAGGAAGAAGAAGATGACTGGGACGCCTGGAACGTCGAAGATGATGAGGATAGTGATGATTCTGGGGGCTGGATCGACGTCCAGAGCGACGCAGAGATCGACCTCAGCGACTCTGAAGATGAGGATGGCAACCGGCCCTCAAAGAAGGCTAAGCAAGCCAATGAGGACAAGACTGCAGACTCCAAGCCAGAGAATAAGCTGCCCAGCATCGCAACAACCCGCATCCTCACACCCGCCGATCTCGCCAAGCTACAGGAACTGCGTCAGGAAGCTGCCGTCAATGCCCTCGTCCCGGGAGCCAAGCGCCGTGGGCAGACAGCCGAAGCCCGCCACAACGACGACGCTCTCACAGCGGCCGAGATCGAGGGTCTTGCTGCTCTATCTGCTGGAAAGGCGACGCGCGAAGAACGTATTGCCCATGCCAGGGAAGGCAAGACAGATCGATCCGAACACAAGAGTGTGACCGCGAAGCGGAAGGAAAAGAAGGAGGAGCAGGGCAAGAGTACTACGAACAAGGAAAAGGCACGCAAGAAGAACTTCCTCATGACACTGGGCAAGGCCAAGTCCAAGGGGAAGAGAAGTTTGGTCGAGACCCGTGCGGTCCTGCGGGCTCACCAGGACCGACAGAAGCGCGGTGGCCGGCGGGGAAACAAGTAATCTCATTTTATCATAAACTTGAAGCTATACAGGCGTTTATAGATATTTCCATATGTGTCAAGACATTGTCTTTCTCACCACTGCCAGTACTTCAAACTCCGCACCACCAATATTCCCGCCCTCGTATATCCCCACATCTTTAAACCCGCTCTGCTCAAAACAACCCTCGTAGTCACTCCAGTCAACCTTTGGCCCTAACCACAAAATCTCAGCTACTTCCCCACCCCCATACGTCTCAATATATTTCATCAGAAGCTTCGGCTCCCGTGGGTAAACAAACATCCAGGCCTTTGCTTGGGCTGCCCGGGAGCACAGCTCCCATGTCCCCGTTACAAAGTTCATATCCTGTTCTTCGATGTAGAGATTCACAGAGGAATTGACCTCGACGCCTTCGATGCGGACATCGCGGTGATTCGTTGTTATTAGGGCTTCCAGCTGGCCCGAGCCAGAGCCGATTGAGAGGGTGAAGTGGGGGTGTGTAGGGAGGAGCGAGGCAAGGTGGGTGAGGAAGGGTGTGGAGAGGGAGAGGCAGCAGTTCGGGTAGAGGGTGGGGGTTTGGGTGAGAGATGGGAGGGCCATTGTGTAGTGTAATGAATGATTCATCAGATGAATATGACTTTGTTAGAAGAGGCTCGATCTTAAAGATTGGTTACAAGGTACAAAAAAACTGAGGACTTCCAATTACCCGAAAAGGATATATCAGTCGCGTCCCGAGCTAAATTCCGCGTCTTGGTCGCGTCGGCCCGCGAATCATCGAATCCCCAGCCTCTTCAACAAGGTTGTTCTTTCTGTCCGTCGTCATCCTGCATACGCCTCGATTCCTCTGCATCTCACTCCAATAAAGTCTAACACTGGCACGGACTCATTCCTTACTTCCTACATACTTCAATCCACCTCCATACAACCCCGCTTAACTACGTAGCGCCAACATGCCTCCCTCCACATCCAAACCCGATCTCTCCTCCAAAAAACGCCGCTTCCAACCCCCCATCACAACCTTCTTCTCGACCTCCTCCCACCCAAGCTCCAATGCCTCCTCGCTCTCTCACAACCACTACTCTGCCCCCACACACTCCCCAACTCCCGTCGTGGAATCAAAGGTGCAGGCCTCGCTGCTCTCGGTCGGCATGCGCGTCCGCAAGTCCGTTGCCGAGGGGTACAAGACGAACCATGCGAAGAACATGGACGAGAAACATACCGTCATCATCTCCACAAATTCTATACACGAGCAAAGCGCAAACACATCAATTCAGCCGAGCACCTACTCTACAACACTGCGCTCCGAACTCGCCCCGTTCAGCGGAATGGGTCGCTCGAACCAATATACCCCGTCGCTTCCGTATCCGGGCACATCGACCCTACACAAACTGCAAGAACACATGATAACAACCGACGAAGACGACGCCTTCTCCCTCCCGCCCAGCAGCCAAGAGTCCGTTGACTCGCAGTCCTTCAGCACTCCTCCCCCTATGCTCAAGAAACGCACACACAACGATTTCAACTTCGAGCCCTACGAGGATGACGAAGACATCGACCTAAGTTTCGATGAGATGGACAACAAATGGCAAGACCCGCTGCGTCTGAACCTGTCCCATCACAGTGTCAGCCATGCTGCTGGTACGAATATGCACGGCCGCACAATCCTCTCTCCAAGACTCAATCAGCAACGACGTCGGTTCCTCGGGGTGAAACACAGTAAGCCTGTCGGCGGCAACTCCATGGATGTGGATGATTTCGAGGAGCCGGCGTTCTTGAGGAGGCGCGAGGAGGTTGAGATGGATATTGTCGATGAGGTGCAGATGGGCGGGATGTAGATGTGATCTTCGATCCCTTCCTCTTTTTCTCCCTCTGTGCTCTATATGTGGTGTGTTGAGAGACTAACAGTATCGAGCATTGGCTGGCTTCGATGTTTGGCAGGACTCTACATTTTCTGTTTCTTTTTCATGTTTTATTATTGGTGTTGTACCAGGAGCGCTTCTGCATATAATACCCCTGATTCGATAGTTTGGGCTGGTGATGGTTCTGGTTCGCTTTATTGTATTATAGCGCATAAATTGGAGTAATGACATGCTCAATTTTCAGTTTCCGAACACCCGATTTAAGCTTCTACCAGTAGTACTGTAACTATAGCTTCATAATGCGTAACATAGCATACTCAATCTAGCTTAGGTACTAGGCCTAGGTAGTAATGGTTTTAATAGTGTACAGCAGCGAGACCGGTGCTCAAAGTTCTCTCAAGACGGCTGAGTGACCATCAAAGCCTCGGTGCACATTGCAGAGTAAAATCAACCCAAGTGAAGCAGGCCCCGAACGCCCACCTATGTTTCCTCTCTGTTCGTTTCTTTTTCTTTGTATCATATTTTTCGCATAAAAGCAAACCATCTATAGAGATAGGTCTGTCCAGCAATGGGGTAGTATGTTATGCTATGGTAGGTAAGAATATCCATGTTCATATGGACAATCACAACTCATCCTTCTTATTATACGTCGGCTTCTCCTTCTCCGGCGCGGACTCCTCCTTCACAGGCTCCTTCTCCTTGGCCTGCTCCTTGTCCTTCTTACCGTTCTTCTTCGGGGGTTTGTCATTCGACGCTTTCCTCGTTGCGGCGGCGCCCATCTTCTCGTAGATGCGGTTCATGACGCGCTCGAGACGCTTGAGGTTCGTGTCGATCTCGGCGACTGTGAGAGCCGCGTCGTCTGTTTCGGAGAGCTTCTCCTGCGCTGCGAGGCGGGCCTGGAGCCAGGTGTTGGCGGTTTCGTATGTCTCCGATAGGGAGGTTAAGTCGGAGGGTTGGAAGACGGAGTAGGTTAGAATGGCGGGGGTGGATGCGGAGGGTTCGGCTGTTGATGTAGAAGAGGAGGATGCGTAGGCGTCGTCTTCTAGGTCGTCGAGGTCGATCGCGGTTGATGCAGAGGCGGCAGTTGAAGTGGAGGATTCGCTCTCGGATGTACTGGATGATGACGCGGCGAGGCTGGAGTAGATTTCCTCGTCCTGTGCAATCTGCTTCTCCATGACACTGATGACCATCTGGGCGTTCTTGAGAGACTCTTGGAGGAGTTGGATGCGAGCGGGGCGAACGGCGTTTTCTTGCTTGCGCTTGAGGGCGGGTTCGACAATTTCTTTAAGGAACTTAAGCTTCTCCTTGAATTCGGGAGTTTTGGCGTCGGCGCCGTCGTCATAGAGCCAGTCGCTGGCCGTGGAAACCCGCTCAGTTAGGGTGGCGAGCTGCTCGGGTGTGAGAACCTTTGCAAACTCTTCGTCTTCGGCCAGGTCACGGCTTCTGTAGATGAAAGATTCCAGCTCGTTCAGGGCTTCCTCACGGAGGAGGCGTTCACGGTCTGAGGCGTCGAAGGCGGCGAGGCGGGCCTTGATGCGGGCGAGTTCAGCGGGGGTTGGAGCGGGTAGACCAAGAGGGGATGCTGTGATGCTGATGGGGATTGACTCCAACTTGGGCTGGGAGGCAACCTTCTTGCTCTCCTTTGCAGAATCCGTAGAGGCAGCCTCATCGGCGGAAGATGTGGCTGACTCTTGGGGCTCTTCACCTTCCAGAGTAACAGGCTCAATGGGCTCGCCATCCTCACCTAGGGGAATCTGTCCCTCTTTCTTGGAACCCAAGCCAAAGAATCCCTTGACGTCGTCAACAACACTTCCAAGCATAGATGGCTCCACTTCGCAGCTGACAGAGCCACCCAAAACCTCTGGGAGGCCATCACGGGGGCTGAGCCGAACAGAGAACTTGGTGGTAATGTTCGCAGCGGAACAGCCGAAGCTCTCCTTTAATTTGTTGGCGGATGCGGTGAGGTTAAGAGTCTTCACTCCGAGAACAGGTACTTCTACGACGTCTTCGGTAGTTAGAACCTGCTGGTAGAAGCTGAACTCAAAGTCTTCCAGGTTTTTCACCGTGACCTGCTTCTCAGGTCCGACTAGCGAAGTAGGGGTAAAGAGCTTCTGCTGTCTTTCCTTAGATTCTGAGGGCCACTTGAGAACAACAGGGTAGCCGGACGCATCGCTAGCGCGAATGTCCTTGACACGGAAGCTGGGGCTAAGGCCTGCTCCCTTGAAAGCAGCACCAAAAACGGCGGCCTCGTCGGCGTTGACATTGGTTCGGAGCTTGTCTGAGCCTCCGCAGACTTTCTCCAGTTCCTTCTGGACAAATGGAGTACGGATTGCTCCACCGTGAAGAATGACCGAGTCGATCTCGCTCAGCTGCAAACCAGCGGCCGCCAGTGCCTGCTCGAGTGGCTTTCCGACGCGTGCAATATGTGATTCTGCGAGCTCCTCAAACCTGGGTCGGGACAAACGGTACTTGAAGTTGACGTCCTCCTCGAAGAGGCTCTCGAAGGAAGCGCTGGTGTCGCTGTTGGCGCTAAGAACCTGGCGAGCCTTTTCGGCATCTTTCCAGAGCCTAGACATGGTCTTTCCATGCGCGCGCACATCTGAAGCTGTAACACGGCCCTTCAACTTCTTGTCTTCAATCAATTGAGCGATCATGTCATCAACGATGAGGTCATTGAGAGAGTCACCACCAAGGGTCTTATCCCAGCTCGAGCCCAGAACCTGAACTTCTTGAACAGTCTTGGTAAACTTTCCGACATCTTTGACCGTGCGACTTTGGAAGCGAAGCACGGTGGCGGTAGTAGATCCAGCGCCCATGTCGTATACAACGTGGTACTCGGGCGTCTGTCCGTCGGTAACACTGGGAAAGGTCCGGCTCATGGCGTAGTTGAGTCCAACAGCCAGACCATCACTAATAAATGCATCGACGTTTAAGCCCGCCAATTCTGCAGCCAACTGAAGACTTCTCCTCTCATAAGCCGTGTAGAACGCCGGATAAGTGATGACGGCATCCCTGACGTCGGAACCTTTGCCAGCCAAAGCATCAGCATTGGCTTTGATCTGCTTCAACTGCATAGCCAAGAGCTCCTCGACCAGGAAAGCGTCCTTCTTCTCCTCCTCACCGAGTCTGTTGCTGCGCAGTCCGATCGTGTCCCGCTCACCGGGGGCGCTCTCTAACCTCAACGCTGGGTACCGCTCATGGTATGTCTCGACCAGTTCGCCTTTTCCATCGTTGAAGGGAAGACCAAGCAGTGACTTTAGGTTTACGTAGACGTCGTCAGGGTATCGTGCGGAGAGAGCGAGTGCGTCACCGCCATAGAATCGCTCGGGGAATAGAGCATCGCTTTGTCTCGTGGGCTTGAAGGCGACAGCTGCCGACTCTTTGCGCTTCGAGTCCTTGGTGAGGACGATTTCCAATGGGATGCCGGGCTTCACCAGAGCAGCTTTCAGGTATTCCGTGCCAACATCGATCCCGAGAACTGCAGAACCCGCGGCAGCGGTCGAGGCGGGGAAGCTTAGAAAGAAAAGGAGGAACGGGAGGAGGACGAAGGATAGAACAGGCGAGGAGGAGAGAAGGTTTAACGAAGCATTTGTTCTTCGCCGGCCACCGGGAGCCATTGTCTATTTGTTGCCTGCTGCAAGAGGTAGTCGTGGTCAGCACTTGTCACAGGTGGGAGCGTCTAGCGTTGGCTACCATACCTTCGAAGCAGTCGGTAAAGAATAAATCAGAAATAAATGAATAAAGAAACGCCACAATCGAACTCTTTAAGCTTTCGATCGTAAAGAACGTTGGAGTCGGTCGTCGACCAATTAGCTGTAGATGGGGAAGGGGCGCGCAAAGATAGCACTTTGCGGGACAATTAGGGGAAGGTTTGGGGATAAAGTTATGTTAAATAGTGCGAAAAGCCATTCAGGACAGAATCACACAAAGTGCTACTGGCCACCTGGCAGGAAGACGTTCAGAGTCATAAATGGATGCGATGCTGAATAAAGTCGCCTTGTCTCCGGAGAGGACACGTTGGGCCCAGAACAGCCATGTTTGCACTGTTTGTCAGGACCCTGTCTATACTAGCAGACAGCTTTGTGGTTATTTGCTTTTTATTGTGCCTGTTCTATCGAGTTACTTTGTTCTATCAATCGTCAAAGTCGGAATCGCTCATCCAACCAGCCTCGTATGATTCTCGGATCTCTCCCAGTCCATTGACAAGATTCTCCCGCTCATCGACCCCAATGATGCGCCCTGCGACAGCCTCCAAGCCCTTTACCTTTTGAGCTGTTCGTGTGGACGAGGTAAGTGCGGCAACGACATTGATTTTCTGCCCTGGGGTCGGTACAGTGAGTAGGTCGTTAGGGAAGCTGTCAAGAATCGGGTAGTGGAGTGGTGTATGCAGCCTAGAGAACGTTAGCAAAGCACAAATTGAGCTAGGAACATGTATAGCTCACCTATGAAACATGGTCTCTGAATTGTACAGTCTCATTTTCCGCACCATCCCCAGATCTCCTTCTGGCGATGTGTCGTCCTCCTCAGGTTCGTCTCCGCGCAAGACCTGAAGCTGGTTGAATAGGTGTGATTCGTCACTGTCTGGGCTATCATATGTGAAATCTAGATCAAACTTGGTCTTGACCTTTGACGACCCTGGCTCAGATGATTGCACTTTACTCGCGCGTGCCGGCTTCGGAGTGTCGTTTGTTTCCTTTGGTGAAGTTAATGAAGCCTGTAGTTCGAATATTCGACGTATGCTGTCATCCCCCGCCAACAGAGACTCAAACGGTTGGTATGGCCGAAGACGAGTTGGAAGAGTCACACTTTCCATAGCCATGCTGATTAATGCGGATGTGTACCATTTCGAGTGGCTGTTGAGGAATACAGAACCTGGAAGCCGAGCAGGAGGATCCAGAATGGGTGTGTACATTGTAGCTTGAGGAGAAATGGCAAACAATGACCGAGCTTTGTTTACCTCGCGTTTTATCTTGGTTGTCTGCAGTTATTTAGCCCCGAGCGAGATGTTAGGCATTGGATAACTCACCTGATGGACCCTTTTGCCATCTTCGATTGCCCACACCAAGACGGCCTTCTTCCCATACTCGTCAACTAGTCTGTCCACATACCTAGCTGCAAATCCACCCCAAGCGTCGTCTGACCCTGTGAATATCTGCAGAGCACGCAGCTGATCACATTCTTCAGCAAATGGCCGGACATCTCTATCAAGCAGATCGTGCTCCTTGTCGAGATCATTGAAGAGCTCTTCGCCAAGACCCCACTCTTCGAACGGCATGATGTTGGAATTGAGCTCGAAGTCGTTTAGCTGAACAATCGAGCGCGGATGGTAAAAGACTCGGTTGTAGTCAGACCAAAACCGAACAGTCTCTGACGAAAGTTGGGGTGCTGCAGTTCCCTGGTCTAGGCTTTTTTGGTAGTCGCCCTGCGGAATGGGTTCAAGTCGTTGTAGAATTTCCTTGCCATCCCTAAACTCATTGAGCCATGTGCGTTGGAAAACCAGGAATGCGTGGGGAAATACGCGTTCGAAGAATGTGGAGGGCTTACCAGAGGCCTTGCCCAGGGGTTGAATCTTCCGCCAGTTCGTACAGAGCATTATTCTTGCGAAGAGTACCAAAAGCACCCTTCAGGTCGTAAATCAATGTCCTAGGGGTATAGGTCTCACCCCCATCTGCCCCAACTCCTGGTCGGAAGTGAACATCATGGTCCACTGGAGATTCCTCCTCTCCATTGTATGTAAAATATGATTCCTAACTTAGTATTAGCACTAGCTGGCATGATAGGATCCTACGGCTTTGTGTCATGCGAATTTACCTGAAGATTCCAGAAATGAGTGGCCAAGTAGTTCGCCCGTTGTCCCAGTTGAAGGGTCAAGATCTCATGCATGTTGAAATATATTTATCGGTAGGAACATTGACTTGTCTGCGAACTTAGCGGATGCCAAGACAACAGAGTGCAAGAAGAACGCGGAACATACATTGTGATAATCGATACCAGAATCGATACCCACACTTGTTGCGCTGTAGTTTAGACCCCGCGAAAGCGAGGAAATCAAATGAATCGTCGATCACCATTGTCAGTGCGCACGGGCCAATTTCAGCCACTGATTGATCATCGCGCTTGCCTCTTGCTGGGGGCTCTCGCCACGTGACTGTGGCCAATCACAAGAGTGGGGCGACCAGGTCGTCCCGGGCAACAGTCACGTGCTTGTCCAATCTTGCCAAATCGGGCACTGTTGACATGCGGATGTTGTGGTGCGTCACCGCCAAAGAAACATTTCTCCCCACACAACCCTCGGTTCGCTCATCCAGCGCACAGCTTTTTTTTGCATGCTTCAATGTCAGCGATATTGCAACATACTTAACAAATAGGAACTCACTTTCAGCATACATACGGCCATGGATTCGCCGTCAAGTACGAGGTCCAGCCCTTCGAAGGCGCTCAATCCCCTATCGCCGGAACGCATGAACCAGCAAGCGGTACAGAACTCACCTTCCTCCGTATCCGACGTCTTGCGCCTGCAACGCAAGGCTAGAGGTCTTTCCGATGTGCAAGCCAAGGTCGCATACCTGAACGGGTTGAACCGGAGTGGCAGCCCAGGGGTCGCTGGAGGAACAACATCAACAGGAGGCGCCGCAGCACTGCAAAGAGCGATCTTGGGGCGCGAGGAAGCAGAGACTGCTCTCACTCGTGTATCATCTCAGCTTTCCGAAGCGCAGTCCCGGGAACGCCGGATCAGCGAAAGACTCGAGTCACTCCTCGAAGAACTCCAAACCGCCAAAGAACGCCAGGCCCATGAACGAATTGTATTTGAGAAAGAGATACGAAAGGCTCGAAAAGAAGCATTCCGTGCTGGCTCTACACTTGTCAAGGTACAGGAAGAGCTGAAGCACGCGAAAGCCGAGTCGAAGGCTCTTAAGGAGGAAGTTCAGTCTGAGCGGGACAGCAAGGAGAAGGCGAAGCAGGAAGCCTTTGAGCGCGCTTACGCAATTGCCGGACTCACAGAGGAGCTCGAGGATCTCAAGGGACGTCTCAGAACTGCAGAAGCGAACCTTGAGCAAGAAATCAACAGGCAGAAGATCGAGAAGATATCTATAGCAGAAACAGGTTCCATCGCGACACAGACATCGACACCTCGAGGATTTAAGCGGCCCGCCGAAGAGATCGCCACTTCTCCACGAAAATCGTCAGACCGTATGTCGATTGGTGACACACCTTCAAAGAAGCTAAGACTATGCGACCCTCCACCTCACAGGGAAGGCCGGCAATACGGATACGGCATGTTTCCTCCTGCTCTTACGATACAGGAACTCATTGAGAATCTCGAAGATGAGCTTATGTATGAAAGGAACAAGAGGATTGATAGAGACGATGAGATCGAGTTCATGAAGGTTAGCTGCATGTTCAAAGCTTGCCAGTGCCGACACCTCGAATGGATGGAGAACGAGGCTCGTGCCAAGAAAGCGGCCAAGGCGGCCCAGAAGGAATTAGAAGAAGCCCACGTGGAGAAGGACGACAGGCTGGCGGATCGCGACGTCGGCTGCAGCGCAGATCCTCTCGAGCAAACGACACAGGAGACCTCCAAACTAGAAACTCAGGACGAGACCCTAACGGGAGAAGCCATGGAGATCGACCCGGAAGCCGAGCACATCCGGGAGGATATGCAGGGGGGAGGCAAAGTTGCAGTCAACGGGGAGGCCCAGCAGGAGACTCATCATCACGACCAAGAAGACATTCAAGGAGACGCCCAGGAGACTGTTCTTGAAACAGTCCATGAGGACATCCAAGAGGAAACTAAAAGAGACACTCAAGAAGACGTTCAAGAGGAAGTTGAGGAAATGGATGAATTTGATGATGAGGAACCTCAGGAGACAACCATCACTTTCTCACCCGTTACGGGGACCTTCCACACTATTCCGTCTCCCACTCGCTCGTCACCTCTAAAACAGACTCAAGACATGACCCCTCATCATCCCGCAAGGCTTCAGAAAGGACTGGAATCCCGCCCCGAGCTTGCCAGCCCTACTCCGAAGTATGAATCCCATCCACATGCAATGTCATATGAAACACTTCCTCAAAGCGAAGCTTATTCTAGAGATTTGTCTGCAGGAGCTCATCACTCTTCAACGACAGCTGAGGCGCGGTGGCAGCTTGAAAGCTCGAATGAGGCCGCCGCTGAAACCGGCTATGGAGATCCCAACGTCCAAAGAATCCCTCTACGAGCCGAAGACGAATCATCAAATAGCTTTGCTCCCGTCCCCGGCACACCCATCAGCCGGGAACAAGCACTGGCTCAAATCAGAGCCCGACGTGGTCGAACTAGCGCCATGAAGAGATCTGTGAGCGCCAATGACGCCGGTTTTCGCGCTGGAGGACTCAACATCACCCCAGTCCGAGCAGCTCGCAGAATTCCCGGTGTTGTCCAACAAAGCGACCCGCGAGGAGATGCTGTAAAGAAGTCTCGCAGGGACATGAGTGCGCCAATGAGGATGTTTCGCTAATGTCATGACCTTGGACATGACGATCTGATAGATGACTGAGAGTATGTCTGGTGTGGAGGTTCTTTCTTCTCGCTATTTGGTTTTGCAGCCACTGTCTCAAGATACCCCAGCATTCTTAGCGAATTGGCGTTTTTCACTTTATTTTTGAGTTATCTCCTCTCGCTGTTTTTGATTTCTGATTTGCCTTTGGAGGCCATTCTTAACATTGAAGTATTTTGCCTTTTTGTTGTGTTCTTACCCCACATCCGGTTTATGTAACATTTTTGGTCTTTACATAGATGCATTGCATTGCTCCGCAAGCCGGACTCAACCTTCATTTACAACACCCACTTGCATACTTATATACGCAACTGGCCTTGCAATTTCCTTTGTTCTACATTGTTTTCGGTAGATATCTACCTTTTTTCTTGTTCAATTTTCAGACATTATTCCCTGTACATACTTCTTAGGAGGCGCGTTTACGCACACAGTCCACCATACTATCCCTATTACCAACACCATTCGCCATAGTATCTCCTATAAGCTCACCTGAGTACATCAGATCTGCATACTGAACAATGATGCCATCAATCGGACTACGAGCAAAGCACGAAGAGTAAAGCATGTGGTACGAAATAACAATATATACAAGCTAAATTGAGGTTGTCCCCCCGTCGGCTATTGGAAAGCGGCAGAATTGCAGAGCATGCGAAACGCATGGCGTATGATATAATCATATGAGCGAAATACCACAGCACCGAATCCGTGCACTGTCAACGTACGCCCTACGTCCCCACCATAAGAGAACCAGCTCTTCGACGAAGATCCGGTCTGCGGCGCTCCATGTGTCCAGGCCCATTTCCGCCATGTCCTCCGCGGATACTGCGATGCGGTCGTTTTCAATGGCTTGATCCTGGTCTAGGAGCGGGGAAGTGGATTCGTCTTCTTGTGTTGGGTCGCGCGTTATTGTTGCGTGTTCGGCGGGATTGTTGTCCTCGTCGTTTTCTTCGTCTTGGTAGGGTGCCGAAGTTGGGTCGTTTGGTTCAGTCCCATTTTGATCGTCGTGTCGGGCAATCACGTCCGAGAGCGTGGCGAAGATCTGAGTGGTGAGCTGGCGGAAGTATGCAATGAGAGCGATTTCCGGCGGCTGCTTGGGTGGTTCGCCTAGCTGCATGCTTTGGCGGCGGATAGAGCCTGATGGTGGGCTTGGGAGATTGTCCACGCTTGCTAAGAGGCGTGCGTCTTGTTCGATCTCGTGCTCTTCTTCCTCCTCTTCAGAGAACCCGTCCCGCTTTTCGCCGGCGGATGCCCACCATATGAAAGAGGTATATGCTAGCCTGGTCCAGGAGAGAGGTTCGACAATCGGGCTGGAGGAGAATGTTGACGCGGCATCCGAGTTATCGTCACTGTCGTTGTCTTTGGACTGGGAGTTGATGTCCTTGAATGCGCGGCGAAGACCCTGGCGTAGAGCTGTGTAACGTCGCACATCGCGCTGCGTGGCTTTCAGTTCCACTTTTTGCGGTGATTTGCTGTGTAAGGCTGGGGAAGATATAGTGATTGTCGGGTACGTCTTAGCCGCGGCATTCTTGGAATGGTTGGGAGGCAGCGTGACGAGAATGTCGAATAGCTCTGGTTTCATGCTCAAAACACTATCCGTGCTGCAAGCTATCCAGGCACTGTCACTCTCGGTATCTGGAGCAGACCCCACAAATGATGAGAGGTATGGAATATCATAAACGCCGACGTTGAAAAGTGCACGAGGTCGGAGTGAGGGTAACATGTCCAGGGGAAGTAGTGGAAGAAGAGAATTAGGTAACGAGGCTAATAGAGACAAATCGTACACTAGGCAGGGTTAGCATTGGTTTAAATAGAGCTAGAGGCTCTCATACCATAGTTACATGGTATCTGTACTGGCGCTTCCGCCATGAAAAGGACCCTTTTGCGTAGGAGTGCCGCTCTATAAAGCGGGAATAAAAGGGGTCCGAAATTGCTAAGGAAATCAGGGAGCGATGATGCGGGGTGAAAAGGCGTCAGGGCCGGCCTGGGCGTTTCTAGCACCATAGCATCACTAATGGCTCGGTTTCGTTGTAGGTGATCAGGTTGATCACCGGGAGCTCTCAGTCGGAAGCTCAAAGGCGACTCGAGGGGTGAATCAGGCGGCACCGCCGATATCTCATTCGTGGATAGCTCGTACTTCTCCCAGTATTCGGATAATCGATGGAAGTCAAATGGATGTTCAGCGTGGCACCTATAAGTGAAATTGCACAGATTAGACTTGATTCCGGAATAACGATGCCAAAATAACTCACTGAGCCAGTTCCTTCAGATTTGGGGCATGCCGCCAGCTTTTCCCCAGCCTGCCCGAGCTCAACGGCACCAATACTCCAATTGAGAACATCTTTGCATTGCGCTCCGATTCATCCGCATCCTGCTTGACAAACGCGCTGATACCAGCATACTGTTCGTGTACAAAGTATCTAACCAGGATCACGCGGTCAGCGAGGCCAGTATTTATCCGGGGCACGGTGCATACACTAAATCTTCGGAGACATTGTGTAACCCTGATGGGAGCGACTTGTACTCGACAACCCCTTCAACCTCAACTGTTTCCGATCGATCAGCAAGGTGTCTGCGCCGAACAGAAGTGCGAACTCACCTCCGGGGACAGTACGCTTCCAGGTTACCATGTACCTATAACAGACTTTGTATTAGCCATGGTAAGACTAAGTAACAGCGCAGGCGTTATACAAGCTCACCCAGCTTTAATATCGAAATGGATCACAAAGAGCGCCGCGATGCCTGGCGGCGATTCGGTGGCCTGAGTGCGGGGCACATCCAGCCCCAAGGACTTTCTCTTCAATGAGTGACTGTCCATCGCGAAGTCACACTTTTAAGGGCAAGCATCCGGACCACATCAGAGCTTTCTTGGCTGGTGAAAATCACTGGAACAGCCGCATTGAAGCACGCGAGACGATGAGACGACGACATCAGAATCAGGAATACGGGGCTGGGATGCGGAGACGTCAAGCTCTTTCTGCCTGAGGATGTAGATCTAGCTATATACGGTTAGTGGTCAATGACAACACCCATCCCCTATTGGGAAATCAGCTGTTCGTTGATTCTCCATGCCGATCACAAATTCATCCGAGAATTTTGTCCTTCCATCTTTTGAATAATTTGAAGATTTATTAATCTGCTCCATCCTCGCTACCTTCAAGATTGGCTCTGTTATCTACGAATTGACGCAGAATGGAAAGCGGCAATCCGCATCCTTACTATCCCCTGGATGCACGAATCTACAACTACGCACCCAATGATGCATCCGTCCTCAGCTTGATAGCTACTGCTAGTGTGGGTGTCACGGCTCTATTAGGAGCTACTTTTCTATTGAGCACATGGATCCGACCAGCTCTAAGCATAGCAAGCCGGATTGCTATTTTGTGGTTTGTCCTCTGTAAGATCTAGCAACCAGCCCCCTGGTCACTGATGGAGACATACTGACTTAGAGACTACTCAGCTGGTACGCTTCACTGCTTCTTTGAGGGCTACTTTATGATCAACCACGATCGCATGGTCTCCGCCCAAGACTTCTTTGGCCAGTTGTGGAAGGAATACGCTATGTCCGATTCGCGCTACTTGACCTCTGACACCCTTGTTCTGTGTATGGAGACTATCACAGTCGTGAGTATCCCCTCGAGAAAGATTTGCTCCGTCAGGCTAACTATGTCACAGCTTCTGTGGGGACCGTTGTGTTTCGGAGTCGCCTATTCAATCCTCCATAACCACTCTCTGCGCCATCCCCTGCAGATCATTGTATGCATGGCCCATCTTTACGGCGACACCCTATACTTCGCCACTAGTCTGTACGATGATCATGTTCATGGGCGACCATACTGCCGACCTGAGCCCTTCTACTTCTGGGTCTATTATTTCTTCATGAACTTTATCTGGATCGTTGTTCCAGCTTGTGGGTTTTTCGCTTCACCACCTTAAGGATAATCACTAATTCGCTGTCTAGATTATCTATATCAGAGCATGAAGACGATCTCTCAAACCATGACAAAACTCGGCGCAGACTCTTTATCGCGCAAAGGTCAATGAATTAGTCAATACATCACCCAAGAGGATGGCATGGCCCTCTATCCTGGTTAAATATGTACAGCAGCCAAAATGAAAGGGTATTCCCACAGCAACTGAACTTGAGCGAGAATTTGGCGAAAGCTCGTTAATCATCGATCCATCGAACGCAGTTCTTCTTCAACCACACCCATCAAAGATGGCTGGGCTAAGTCTGCTGCATCTCAGGTGTTGTCTCCTTGTCCTTCAAGATTACCTTTCCCTGGCGCAATGCCGCAATTGCAATGTATGCCACACCAAACACGCCCGCAACAACTGCATAAGCAATGATCCCCCCTGCCGTGTTGTCCGCCAACTTCAACCCAGTACCGCCATTGATAATGCCGAGCAGAAGGAAAAAACGGCCAACCCAGATATGGACATGGGTCCACCAACCGCTTGACTGGGTCTTCCTGAATTTATAGTGATGCCAGAATCCAATGAACGGCTGGATGAGTAGGAATACAACAATGACGGTACCGAGGATTGTGTGCCCATTGTTGTGAAGCTTGGAAAATCATTAGCTCATCATAACTGAACTGTTGGTACTGCAACGGGGCTTACTCGATCAAGGATCTTTCCAACGCGGATTCCAGTGGCCAGGCCAGCAATCATCAGGGCATATCCAATTAGCTGGGCAGAGATATGTGCATATACGCCGTACTGTGATCGGATAACTCGCAGAAGGATTGCGCCGAGAGGGAAGATGATGCCGAATGCGATGCCCATGACGACTCCATGGGCTTTGGCAAATTTCGGGACCAGCGGCAAATCTTCGTAAATGATATTAGGGTTCATTCCGGGTGGCAATTGTCCAGAGCCAGCCCCAGCTCCAGGTGCTGCCTGTGCATTGCTGAGTGCCGCGAGAGATACTGCAAGACCAATGTGAGATGCCTATGTCTGCAACCAGGGCACAAGGGTACATACCCCACAGTGGAAGACCGTACAAAGCCATTTTGCGATCCATGACGTCTATTGGCCTAGAGAATGCGATTGTCTGCTTTCGAAGACGGTTGAGCTCTCGCTTCCTTCGAAGTCTATTGACGAGACGGAGACGGCTCCTTTATAGATCGCGTTGCCATCCTCCAAGAACACAGTCGGAGCATGTTCTGAATGCCATTGAATCATTGAAGCAAAGAGTCATCGATTGCTGTGTCTTGGAACATCAATCAAGAATGCGTATAGTTCCCAAGACACCGAGAATTGCGAGCGTCGGATATTGTCAATCGCACTGCCACCAGGGGGAGAGCCAATCAATCAAGCCAAGAGCGACAAGACACCGAGAATTGCGAACTTCCTCTTTGGACGGAACAGCACCGCCACGAATCTCGTATCGCGTCTTGGGTTCTTGATCACAGAGATATGATGGCTTGCGGGGAAGCCACCTCTCGATCGTCGCTTTTCTCCCTGAAACCGTGCGAGCAAGATTACGCTTTCTTTGTCGCTCGAATTTCGAACGACAATCGTCGGTGATGACTGCTCCTTGAAGGCCGAATTTTGCAGCAGTCAGGGCTCCTCAAATCGCTATCACTCACAAACATGGGCACTCCTCTAGGGTCGACTTGGACGGATACATCGCTCAGCGTTCTTGCACCGAAACCTTTGCCTTCATCTTCATCCTCCGATTCCTCAACTCCCCGTAATTATGCTGTTTTGAAGCCGAAGTCCTGCCTTGCGTGTCGAAAAAGAAAGGTCAAATGTGACAGGCAGCTCCCCTGCGGCAACTGCTCCCGATGGACTATCGAATGCATATTTCCGTCCCCGATCCGAAGATGCCCACGGGCCCGAACCAAAACAGGAGCAACGCGCTCGCGTGGCGACCAGGCGCTTCAGGACAGGATCCACATGCTCGAAGCACAGGTCTCTGAGCTGACTGAGACCGTTAGCGCGCAAGCTGAGAGGCTCCGACAGGTCACTACACCCGGGGGTTCGATGTTCCCCTTAAGTCACACCTGGGCTCATTCCGTTGCGCCATTGAATCCGTCTTTAGCGCTAGGGCAGACATACTGGCAAGTATTTCTGGAGAGGGTCGACCCACTAATCAAGGTGGTTCATCGGCCCAGTGCGTCTCGGATCCTGCGAAGCGCCATAGACAACCCTACTTTATTGAATGAGGGTCAGGGCGCGCTTCTACAAGTAATATATCTCGCTTGTATTTCCGCCATGGACGAGGCCGACATACAGGCTAATCTACAAATGTCCAAAGCTACGGCAGTCTCTACCTACCGTATGGCAGCCGAGCAAGCCCTAGCTCGTGCAGGGTTCCTCACCACCAATGACTGGAATACGATGCAGGCTCTTGTCTTATTCATTGCTTTAAGTCGACTGCAGAACAATCATAAATCTGCATGGACCCTCGCTGGTCTTGCAGAACGCCTAGATATCTCTCTAGAAGAAGATGGCTCGCGCTTCGGCGCCGAGATGCGGCGTCGCCTACGCTGGCACATGTGGTATCTAAACCGCCGTATACAAGATGACCGAGGCTCAAACCCCAACATCTCTCCAGTAGGAGTCGATCTCCCTCTCAACTGCCGCGACACCGAGCTTACCCAAACCATGACCACCCAACCAAATATGCATCATGGCTGGACGGAAATGAGCTTCTGCCTCCTCCGCTACGACCTCGCAACGACAGACCGGATCGTCGAAAGCGATGTCCCCTGGCTCATCAAAACAAAAGCCGTAAGAGAATGCCAGCACAGACTGCACACCCAGTATCTCGCCTACTGCGACGGCAGCGAACCCATCCACTGGCTCGCCGGCCACATATCCTACGTGATGATCACAGAGATGTGGATGAAGCTCTTTAGCCCGCAGTTCTTCGCCTCCTCTCCATCCTCCCTTGACTCCGAGGCCACTTCAGCCCACGCAGTCCGCGACCAACTCTTCGACGCCGCAGTCGACATCCTCGACACTCAAAAACGCCTCGAGAAAGAGATCGCTGCCCACAACTGGGAGTGGACGCTCAGCGGCTACTTCCAGTACGTCCCCCTAGCCTTCCTCCTGAACGAACTCCGCTGGCGGCGCAGCGATCCGCGGACGGACCGGGCGTGGGAAGTTGCGGAGCGATCATTCGGGCGGTGGTCGGAGGAGGCGAAAAGGTCTGTTCATGGGGTTATGCTTACGGAGCTTATGAGTAGTGTGCTGGTTGCAAGGCAGCAGGCGAGTGAGTTCCAGTCCATTGCGGACTCGTATCTTGTTCCCGATGAAGGGGTCTTTGACGACGCAGGTGGGTTTTCAGGGCTGGGCCAGGATGATGTTTGGCCGGGTTTGTTGCCGCAGGATATGTTTCAGTTTGGGTTGCCGGTTGAAAGGGTTTATCAGGTTCAGTAGGGGTCGATTGGTAGATGCTTAGGATATATGGGTTATTGTATATGCTCTCTATATAATGATGATCTATTCTGCGCTTCGGGGTCTTGATGCCGTCGTAGTTGTGAACCGTTGAGAAGGTACAGACCTAACATCATCCCAGCGGATATTTACGTCCTGAGTAAGATACACCAGCAATCCTTAAAGGCCTTCCGACGAATACAGAACATAATGGGTGTCAGACGCGGTTTCTGGCATCTAAGACCAGGGATCTACCCAAGGCTGGTTAGGGCTTGCGCTTGGTCGTGACTGTTTTTATGAACGGTTTATGCACATTCTGCATAAATCCCTTGCTGCTTGATAGATTGTTAACAAGCTCAGAACTGCAGATTTAATGGCGATCTGAGAGAACGACAGTACTTTAGTTCTGCTAGTACTTCGAGGTGGGACTGTTAACGAGTTGGCAGTTGGCATTGAAGCCACCAGCCAGCAGCAAGGGCCTGGCGTTTTGTGCTGCGCTTGGCCTCGCTGAATAGCAAAACTGACTCAAGTATGTAGAGTGGCCTGTGTCGACGTGTGCTTGGCCAATTTGACCCCACGGTGGCTGTCATTGAAACAGGTTAAACGCCCTTGGTAGGAAGAGGGGTATCTTTGCCATTGGCAGCATAGGAATGAGGCATGCGTTTGACCGGAAATAAATGGCATTGTGTATCGGATATCCGCAAGTGGCGGTCGCGATCTATAGGCAGCTTAGCTGTCTGTGGACAGCGCTGACGTGTCGGACGCAGTGTCGGGAGTAGATTGCAGCCGAGGGCCCTCTATGACGTCTGGAGGACTTCACGACTATGATTTGATGCCCAAACCGGGAAGCACACACAGACGGCTGGGAGGACTAAGTCGCTAACCGGTGTGAAGCAAGTCTACAAGAGCTTCGCCCTGGCGATCGGTCCCGAAATAGAATCGAGTCGATTCGGCCATTGACGCATTCCAGCCGGTAGATCGACGGGGGTAGTCGGTCATTATGAGACGAGTGTCAACGTGTGCACGATACATAAGCGGCCAGCAGCGCTGCAGGGTGCGCCCAGCACCTCTCAACATCGTCGCCTAGCGCTGAGGCGTAACACAGAGAGATGATGGCTCCTGTTGGCTCTTTTGGCGCCCGATCTGAGCTGTGGTGCTGATCGCTGGTTTCCCCGGCAGCCCGCGCACTAAGAACTCACTGGCCCAGACTCTTCTGCCTCAGCAGGATTTGTATACCGCTCGAGGTTGATCATCAACCGAGAATAATGCAATCGAAAATCGACCCATCTTCTTCAATCCTCAATTAGCGATCTTGTTTATCCGGCATTCTTTCTTTTGTTCTGTTCTGCTCTGTTTTGTCCTGGTGATTGCTTCAGCTGACAGGCGCTATCACTCGACCATTCGCAAGGAGGCTCGCCCGCTTTGGTCCCTCTGCCTCCTTCAGCTCCCTGCTTCCAATCTCCGTTGTCCCCCTTCGATCGCATTTTGTTTTCAACAGATCATTCTCTCTCTCGCTCTGGTCCAGTTATTCAAAGACGATTTATAGGGACTGAATCTTCAGGCAGGGTAGGTGGTGAAGTAGTGTGTTTCCCCTCCAGGTAAACAAAACAAGATGACGTCGCCGGGCTGTACAGCCGATGTCAACAAAAGAGCAAACGACAACAACGATCTATCTCGACATCTCGATCGCGAGTGAATCTTGGTTCGGGTAATTGCTGCAGATGTGCTAACTTTTGCTGTTTGCTATAGCCCTCGATGCCGCCTGCCAATAATCACTCCCCCGCGAACCGCGGAGGGAGTGCCAAATCCACCCCGATGAAATCCAAGCCCGTTGATATTGGACTCCCTCTCGGCCTCTACGATACCAATTCTGTACGGTCCAAGGTTCGCAAGTGGCAGCAGCAGGGCGGCGGAGTCATTACTGCCGACGATGTCATCTATTACGAAGACGATGACGAAAATCTTTCAACGCCCGAAACCAAACCAAGATCCGTCAAGGGGAGAGAAGAGCGAATCGCGACAAGAAAGCGAAGCAAGAGCACCCCCCGAAAACGGCTGGTTAGTGATGAGCACTGGAAACTGAATCGGACCTCGACCCAGGCGCCATCGTCTAGATTACCAGCGCCGAAGCGCATCGCCGAGTACACCACAAACGAGCCGGCACGTACGGCTCGTTCGGAGAAGGGAGGCGACAGGAAAGATGAAAAACTTCCTCCGCTGCTGTCCCCGCGTAGCAAGCGGCGGGAGGACGACAAGGAAAAGGCACCCCCCGTGTTAGTTATGAAGGAACGGGCGAAATCGCACGCCTCGCGAGATATTGACTCAATCATCGAGAAAATCGAGAAGGAGCATGCTTCGTACGACAAGTCCTCCAAGGCCACATCACGTCCTACGACAGCTGATAAGAACCGATACAGCACATTGTCAGAGCCTTCCCAGAGTCCGAAGAAGAAAGACACAAATTTGGATTACGATTCAGAATGGGCAGCTAGCGAAGCCGATTTTTCCGAGTTATCCAGACGGCGCGCACGCGGCCCTGCGCATTCGAAGAATCGCACGCCGGCGAAGCCTCCCAAAGGTGGCATTCTTGGACAAATAGTGGACGAATCAAGGAAGATGTTCAGTAAGCCAGATGCCCAGCCACCAAGGCAGCCAGTTCCGAATCGCGGGTCGAAGATCGAAGCTTGGCTGTCGAACACCCAGGATCCATTTCTGGATGACAAGGATGCGGACGTCGAAATCCCTGCGCCCCTGAAAACCCGAAGGAACAAGAGTATACACAGTTCATTTAAGGAGGAAGAAAGAGAGCCAAAACCGCGGATTTCTAGCCCTGAGCCTTCGGTTGATAGCGACTTCTCCCGAAGGACATCAAAACGGCGAATCAAGAGCGGAGGGACAGCTCCGAGCAGTGAACGCCCAAAGTCAAGAGATGATAAATCGGCCGCGAGGGAGTCGCAACGGGATACGTCTCCATCGCCTCAAAGAAGGAAATCAAGCGAGCACAGATCCCGACGATCGTCTTCGCGCAGTAACGGAGAGTCCAAGGGCAGGGCCGAAGAAGATGTCTCTGACATTGGAACTTATCCATTGTCTGGCGAATCCGAGGTGTCTGGTAACAACGCTCCAGTACCGCTCGGTCGGACACGACCTTTCCCTACTACTGGCCTCCATCGATTGTCGACCATAGCATCGGTTGAATCAATGAGTACCCGGAACGACGGCAAATCTGATATGGTGGCATCGGACGTGACGGAAAAGAAGAGGAAGCCTTCGCAAAGCAAAGATGATAGCGAAGAAAGGGACCATGTGGACCTCAACTCACTTTCTGTTGTTTCTTCTCATATGAAGAAGCTCACGACCCACGATGACTTGATATCCGTTCTTTCAGCACCAACAAGAAGCAGGAGTCTCCGATCTGCTAGGAGTCTTCGAAGTAACAAGAATCGCAACCCAACGGTCGCCGATATCCTGAAGGAACTGTCGCTGGACGAAGCCAAGTATATGCGTGAACTCAGGACTCTCGTTGGAGGAGTCATTCCAGTGCTTCTAACTTGTGTTTTATCACGCTCAGACTCGGCTATCGCTGCCGGGCTTTTCCGTCCTTCAGCGGACCCTGCAGACGAACTCACTTTTACAAAACCGATCGTGAATATGGGAGTTGCCATTGAGCGATTGAAGCTTTTGCACAAGCGCATTCCGCTCGAAGCAGCAGATGCTCTTATCCAGTGGGCGCATGGAGCACAGAAGGTTTACCGTGAATACCTCAAGGCTTGGAGGTTGGGGTTCAAGGACGTGGTCGTGAACCTTGCCCCTCTTGAAGAGGGCGACGAGGCAAACAATGCCGAGACAAAGAGCCTTGATGAAGGCATGTCTAGAGATGAGAATGGCGATGTGGTGGATGCTGAAGGGCAAAAGGTCGATGTTGCGTACCTGCTGAAGCGTCCGCTCGTTCGCTTAAAGTACCTTGCAAAGACATTCAAGGGCATCAACATGCTTGAGCCATCTCCCAAGACGGAAGAAGTCTCCGTTAGTTACCAAAACCTTGTGGCGGAGGCTCGCCGTCGCGCGCGGGAGGAAAGGGCGAGGCTCGAGGATGAATCCGCTGCCGCTGTCGACGCAACTCGCGCCCGTGATCCTGAAACCTTAGGAGCATTGACGGGCGTGCAAGTGGACAAGACCCGCAGAGTTAGAGCTCGTGATTTTTTCAACCTGTCGCTGTACCATTCCAGTGGTCAAGTCATCGATTGCAGAGCCGAGCTCCTCTTCAGAGACAACGCACCAGAACACGGTCCTGGGGGTGATTTGCTCATTTGCGAGATCGATCATGCGGACCGTTGGTTGCTCTTTCCTCCGGTGGACATTACATGCGTGTCCGCTCGCCATGGGGACAAGAAGGGAGAGCTGGTGGTCATGATACGCAGTGCGCCGACACAGGAAAAGCGCTTCCAAGAGCTCCTATCGCTTCAGATAGATGAAGAAGACGTTGGCAGGGAGTGGCTGCAGATGTTAGGCAGGACGCCCGTCCCACCCGCAATTAGTCGCTCTCAGAGCTTCATCGACCGGGCTAGGCAACGGCAGCGCGCGCAAACAATTTCGTCTCCGAATGATGTTTCGCTCGCTCAACGGGCCCCACCAAGCCCAAGCAGCATCGCCATCCCCATTGGGGAGAAGCCCACATCTCGTGCGTCGCGTCGGTCTTGGACTGCTAAGGAGGCGTGGTCGGACCCCAGCACCATCGAATCGACTGTTGCTACCGAATCACAAATATCATCGCAGACTGACATCACTCGGGAATCAGATTACGATGCCACTGAGACGGAGGTATCAGCCCCGTCATCATCCCAGCCCCAGCCAATCCTGCACTCCCGGGATCCACGAAAGCTCGTCATTGGCGATGACAAGTCTCCTCAGGGTCTCAAGCGCTCAGGGGCGAAGCGGATCTCCAAATACGGAGAACTTACCCCTCAAAGCCCTCTTCTGCCCCCCAGCCCTATATCAAGCCAATACCCATCCCCGTCAACTCCTTCCCGGGATGAAACCAAGCGGGCTGAGCAGGCCACAGCCGCTGCTCCTCGAGAGAAGACCCAGCCCAAGACCCCTACAAGGGCTGAGCCTGAAGAAAGCCCACGTATCTCCTCCACGCCTTCCAGGAATCTGCCATCCATTCCAAAATTACGCCAAGGCAGCAGTACTTCGTACATACCAGAACCTGAATCCGATGAGGAGTATGATATACTAGATTACAATGCTCTGCCCGAGACACCGACAAAGAGGAAGACACATTCTCGTTCCGGCTCTGAGTCTGATGGAGCAAATGGAGACGAGCCTCCACCACCGCCACCTCATTCTCGTTCACCTAGCTCCACAGGCTCTAGCCTCACGAACACGCCTGTCCTCAGTCCAACCGCAGCGCGCCTTAGGCGGCGAGGCTCTTCACCTTTGAAGCACGAATACGAGCCCTCTACTGCGTCGGACTCCTATTCCGACTCGGATACGTCGACCGTGCGACGTTATGACATGTACTCCGATTCAGATACCGTAACTGATAGCTCAGACGAGGACTCTGAGGATGACCTGCCCCCAAGGACGCGTCGAACGCCTTCACGCGAAATCACCAAACCCACGGTGCAAGGATCGGATCTCTCGCCTGCAACCAGTACACTATCTTTGTCAAACTCGACAAATCAGGCCGGCTACCGATCAGTTCCCTCCCAACCAAACAAGTCCTCTTCCACAATCGCCACTGTCTTTGCTTGGTCAGACAAGGGATCTTGGGAGAATGTCCTGCCAGACGAATGCAAAATTGTCATAAGCCCTGGTCTCGTTGAAGCGTACGAAATGAAAGACGACCCGCTCGCAAGCACGGCAGACAGCAAAGCTCGGCCTTTAGTGGCTCTGGAATTGACACCCCTAGTACCCATTCGCCGTGGAACAGCCATCGACATCAGCATCCGCTCCCCTCCTACTCAACGGTCCAAAGTCAACTGGAGCAACAACATCATGTTCCGCTCACGAAACGCGGATGAGTGTGAGGCCCTATACGGACTAATCAACCAGTCCCGTATCAATAACCCAACGTACATCGCACTACAAAATGCTCGTGGTCCAATGGCAGACCTTCCCATGCCGCTTGAGCGCACCGCTAAGAGCTCGGGCTTCTTCGGCTGGCCCCGCCGCAGAAAGAGCTACCGCGCCTCAGGCTCCCCCCGCTCTATAGCAGACAACTCCGAAAGCAGCGTTGGCACCATGAGCAGTGCCTTCTCAGCCATCAAGCGCTTCGGCGCGGGAAGCAAGATGTTTAGTATCTCTCGCTCGTCCGTCACATCCCGCAACCGCAACAAGGATGGCGAAGGAGGAAGTCTGTTCTCTAGCTCTGCTGCCTCCGGGGCCGGATCCAACGGAGGCAGCATCGGCAGAATCGCAGCCGCTATTAAGGGGGTCGACGGTATAGGTCTCTCAAACGCCAAGATCCGGCTTTATATCCGCGAAACCCAGTCCAAGTGGCGCGATATGGGCGCCGCACGACTGACAATTATGCCAGCGCCGCCCTCTGAGCCCCGTCGTCCCGATACCGCATTTTCACCAGAAGGACACACCGAGAGCAGCCCAGATACAACCCCTCCTGGCTCAGGAGCAGCCTCACCAGGACGAGTGGTCGAAGCTCAGAATCAAAAACGCATTGTCATCCGCGGTAAGACACGTGGTGAGGTCCTGCTTGACGTCTGTCTGGACGAAAGCTGCTTCGAGCGCGTCGCGAGGACAGGTATTGCAGTCTCTGTGCGTGAGGAGGCTGAGGAAGGACCCGCTGTTGCGAGCCAAGGCGGAGTCACCACAGGAGATTCGACAGTCTACATGATCCAAATGAAGGGAGAGGCCGAGGCCGCCTACACCTTTGGGCTTGTCGGGAAGATGAAGTATTGAACATGAACAACCGTTTGACGAACGTCGCATGAGTCGACCCTACTTTCGCTCTATATTCTTTCTTTACGATATTTGTTTGATTTATGTCTTGTTTTTGAGCATCTGCATTGCATTTGGCGGGTGTGGCACCTATTTACTCGATTCCCCCTTCGACTTGATATTTTACCTTTACATATCACCCCCACCGAACGCTAACATGTCTTCTCGCTTTTCCTTTCTTTTCTTTCTTCTACTTCTTATCACCTACAATTGATCATACACACACGTTATACATACCCGTACTCATACCCTCAGCTAGTTCTGATATTTTGATTTACATTACCCCACATGATACTACGTTGATGCCCTCCAGGTTATGACCCTGTGAAGCGTGATATATTATATTCTATACTAGACTCACACGATATCGAATCAAAGAGATAAACGAATAATAGTTATAAATTTCTATATTTTATAGCCCTGGAAGCCTTGCTGCAGTGGAAGAGCCACCTCACTCACCAGCTGTAAGTACTTAAGAAAAAAAAATCTGCTAAGAATCATTGAAGTGATGCCGTAGGTCTCTATTAGTTAGGGTATAATGGTAGCTATATACAATGAACACAACGATCTTCCTCTATAGATATGATGTCGCTAGAGCAAGTTTAATCCGACAGATCCACCGGCGACGCCGCAGTTCCTGATCTTATCCCAGACCCAGCTCGACTCGCACTCGCACTCCCACTCCCACTCCCACTCTTAACCCGAGATACAGACCGACTCAGACTCGCAGTCGGAACTGGCGTCGCAGATTCCGACTCAGCGGTAACAGGAGATAGAGCATCATCGCCATCTTTAATCTCCGGCTTCGTCGACTTTTTAAACAAAAACCCGACACGGTTCTCCTCATCCTTGAGTAACGTGAGCAACACCTCGTCATCGATAAGCTGCTCGAGACTCTGCTGTTCCGGGTCCGGATTCAGTTTCTGGTCAAGAGTCGGGGAGAGGAAGAAAGCCGGGTCGATGTGGGCGTATGCGGAGAGGGTTTCTTGGATTTTTTGCTTGCTGTTAGTGGCGGGGTTCGTTGTCGTAGAGGTGTGCTGTGGGTTGGAGCTTGTTTTCGATTTCGATTTGGAATATGCGCGGATTTTCGAAGCGATGCGGCGTTCTTGTTTTTCCATGTCGACATCTGAGGCTTTCATTAGGGTGTTAATGTCCGGGAAAGTTATATCGTCATCGTCATCATCGGTATCATTGACTTCGTCTTGATTCTCTCCAGCAGGAGGAGCGATGGATTCGTCCAGGTCTCTCGGCGAACTAGCTCCAGATGGAGCAGCGGTACTCCCACTTCCCCGACAAGAACAAGCCAAAAGATCGTGCGTTTGACAAACACTCTCAACATCCAACCGAAACAGATCTTTCAGCTCATCGCGCGAAAACTGCGCAACACTATCCTTGTGCTCCATAACACTATCCGCAAGACCCAACTTCGTAACCTGGCGCTGCCAGATCTTCTCCTCGAGACTGCCCTTTAGCAAGATCCGATAGATATGGCACGGCCGTTTCTGGCCATCGCGGTGAATGCGCGCCATGGCTTGGATATCCGTTGCCGGGTTCCAGTCTACGTCGAAGAGGACGAGGCGGCTGGCGCCGATGAGGTTGAGGCCTGTGCCACCGGCTTTTGCCGAGAGGAGGAAGGCGAAGCAGAGGTTTGCGGGGAGGCGGTTAAAGTCCTCGACTAGGCCCTGGCGTTTCTGGGCCGGGGTTGAGCCGTCGAGGCGGAGGAAGGGGAGGGAGAGGGAGGAGAGGAGGTTGGCGAGGAGGGTTAGGGTCGAGGTGTAGTTTGAGACGAGGACGATTTTCTCCGAGGTTGAGGTGCGGAGGTGGTGGAGGAGTTGGTCGAGGACACGGATTTTGGCGCTGGTGGATGGTGAGAAGTGGCGGAGGAGGTTTGGGGGTAGAGAGGAGAGGAGAGCGGCGATTGTTTCGCTTGGTGCGTTTTCGCCGTTCTTTGGCGAGAGTAGAGATGGACTGTTGCATAGCTTCTTAAGAATCGTGATGAGCTGCAAGGCGCTTTCTGAGCTGCCAATCACGGATTGAAAGACCTGTGACTCTAACACACTCTGGTATATCTTTGCCTGTGTATTGGTCGGTTTGCAGAACAGCACGTACTCCGTCTTTGGAGGCAGATACTTGGCGAGGATATCTGCAGTCCGTCGCAGCATAAACTTCGAAGTCAGCTCCCGGAGCTCTTCATTTCTCGCCTCTCCTTTCTCAATATCTTTCTCTGTCGCTTCCGGCTGTCTGCTCCTCACAATTGGAACCTCGAATTCCTTAATGAAGGACTTGAACGAACCCAGAACACCAGGGTTGACAAGATCCACGGCAGCGAAGAATTCCTTCAAGTCGTTCTGAATCGGAGTACCGGAGAGAATAATCCTCTTCGTCGCGTTCAGCGACTGGATTGCCTGTCCACTCTTGTTCTGTAGCGTCTTCAACCGATGTCCCTCATCCGCAATGACGATATCAACTCCATTGCCGCGTGCCAATCCTTCCTGAACAGTCCGAAGCTTCTCATACCCAACAATCATCACACTATACGCCTTGCCCATTGTGAAATCCGTCAGTCGTTTCCTCTTATCATCAAAGACAAAGACGCCGATTCGCTCGTTGCCCAGCCACTTCCGGAACTCCTTCCTCCAGTTGTTGATTAGAGTAACCGGGCACACGATTAGCGCTTTCTTGATGACGGAAGAAGCCTCGTAGATGGGATTTTGCTTCAGCAGCGTCCATAGTAAAGTTATCGTCTGTAGAGTCTTCCCCAGACCCATGTCGTCGGCCAAAATCGCGCCTTCGCCGTTGAACGACCTCATGCCCATCACACATTCGTAGAGAAACTTGACACCCTCACGCTGATGCGGCCGCAAGTGTTTACCGAGAAGAGGATCAACAACAACGTCCACAATCCGCCTCCCCTTGGGCACCGAGTCCGGCCGCTGCATAATCAGCGCACCAGGTTGTTTCGGATCATGGCGCGGTGTCGGCTCGTCCAATTGAGGAGGAGGCATAATCGTACTCTCAAGCAATGGCTGCTTGAGCCCACTCGAAATTGATGTCCTCTCTTTTGTTTGAGTCCTTGCTGTCGAGGGTTTCGACGCTGCATTCCGAGTCCGATTTCCGAGTAGCGGAACATAAGCCTTCTTCGGCGGCGCCGGCTTCTCATCTATCAGTATCTCCTCCTGCGAATGTGACCGCTTCACCTCCTCCTTCTTCGCCGGTAAATGCCGCTTGCCGGAAAGGTACTCTTTTCTTTCAATCTTGGAATCGACCTCGACCTCCTTGCCGCTAATCGAGAGCATAACGCCCGGTTTCAGTGCCGATGAACTGTACATGACCCTACCCATTTCCCGCCCCGAGATATCCTGCAGGTAGACGTAGCCGTCGCGGGTCGAGATGATTCCGTCACCGTCCCAGGTTTTGTTCTTCTTCGCGGTTGGTTTTCGCCTGTAAGGAAAAGGCAACCCGTTAACAAACTATTTGCAAGACAAAGTATATACGGTGAAAATTCGCCTACCAGAGCACGTTGAAATACTTCTCCTCACCCTGGTATCCCTCATCAGCATCACCACTCCCATTCGCCAAAACCGCGGAGCCCAAAACCTCATTCCGAACCTGCAACAACGGCTTCCTCTGCCCTGTCAACGCAGGGCGCGTCGTCGCTGTGCGAATCCCATTTCCAAGCGCGCTCGACGTCCGAGATAAGAGCCTGGGACGCTTCGTCGGCGGCCCATCATCGCTTCTCGTGCTGGTGCTGGTGCTGGTGATCGAGTCCGCAGAAGAATCCGGTGTCTTTGTCGGTGGTTTCCTTATTGAAGGAGGTTTGAAGGGCTTGAAGACCATAGCTAGCGAGCGGTGATGATGGTCTTTTCCGAGGGTGTTTGGTTGCTCCTCGGTGTTCGGTGATTGAAGAGAGAATCTCGGCTCGCGTCGCGACTCGACGGGACCGGGGGTGCGCGTGTTCACGTGACTCACCACTGTATCTCTCGCTCTTCAACTTGGGCTTCATAAAATACTTCATGTCAACAAATTGAGGACTCCTCTTAGAAATAAATCGAATATATGGAAGCGACTACCTACATGAGACGTGTCTCCCCAAAATAGAATAGGAAGGAGCAGGTAGAATTGGGGCGTTGGGTCGTTCCTTACTTATACTCGGTTGGTTATATAAGGAAGGCACGACCCCGGAAGACACTCTTTCCTAATATAAAACAGGAAGGCGTGGTTGATGGTGCTGGCCGTTCCTTCCCTACATAGTCAGTTACTCGAGCAAGGAAGGAACGATCCAGCTCCTCCAATCGCTCCTTCCTGTTATGTTTTAGGAAGGCACATCTCTAGGCCTTGGGTCGCGCGTTCCTTACTCAAGTAATAAACTATACGGGGAAGAAACGACCAAGAGATGGACATCCATAGTATGGAACAGGAAGAAGCAGCTAATAGTCGGAGTAGTTTGATTAATTATAAAGATAGACATCGGTCCATTAAAGGTTCGCGTACAGCGAATAAATAGGTATATAAAGTGTATCGTAACAACTGAAGTGATTTTAGATTCAACACCTCAGGTCTAAATCGCCAGCCAGGTATATAACTAAGCTAGATTTTGTATTATACCCGTATTCGTACAAGCCACCAGCTTCCACCGAACGAAAGAATGAAAGATGGGAGGGCGTTTATTTGGCATCATCCGCCAGAGCCCGGTCGGTCAGCGGGACGAACTTGGGCCCTTCATAGGATCCCATTTTGAAGAACCAGCAGATGGCGACGAAGATGGTGAGACCGCCAGTCATTAGCGAAGCGTAGTTCATCGAGGCGGCGTCTGTCGGCAAAGCGAAGGGGAAGCAGAAGATCACGACGAACGCGATAATGTAGATGCAGCTGAGGACGTTGATCACGTAGCCGATGGGGCCCATCCAGAAGTAGCCGCGGACAAAGGACGAGCGGCGGCTGAGAACGTGTGGGAAGATGGCGGCGAAGTAGGAAAGTGAGGACAGCTGCACGAAGCAGCCGACGAAGGCGTTGAAGGCGGTTGTAGAGCCGACGTAGATGCAGGCTAGGATGGTGATGACGCCGCCGCAGATAAGGGTGGCGTTGAAAGGGTTGTGCATCTCGGTGTTGATGTGGCCGATCCAGTCGGGGAAGGGGGTTGCGCGGTCACGGGCGAGGGTCCACAGTGTGCGACCGGCGGTGATATAGCAGCCGGCGCAGTTGATGACGGTAGGAAGGAAGGTCACAATCAGCAGTCCGAGGCCACCGCCCCTGGAGCCACTGGCTTGTCTGTAGATCTCAGCGAGAGGAAAAGCGCTGTCCAAGACACCTTGGATATCATGGACGGCATAGAACAAAGCAATCATGTAGAGCAGACCCGAGATGAAACCGACGCTCACCTGAGCCAAGACAGCCTTGGGAATGTTCCTGCTGGGCTTGGGGATTTCCTCGGCAAGATGAGTCGAGCAATCGGGCGTTCCGACACTGTAGGCACCGTTAAGCATACCAGCAACGAACACGAAACCATTGCTCGAGTATCCGGTTTGATTAGACCAAGTGCGCCAAACCTCCTCGTCAGTGGCATAGGGAATACCATTGACATGAGGCATGCAAGCACAGACGATGATTGTGATGAGCACACCAGACAAGATTAAGAATCCTCCGATGTTGTTCATCTGGGGCAGGAAGCGATTCAAGAACAGCACAATGGAGCAGCAGAGCCATGTGCAGATGATGAAGCTGATGAAGACATGCCACGCCTTCAACTCGAACCCGGGGTGCATCAGCGCATACATGGAAACCGTCTGCTGTCCCAAAATTGCAGATACCGAAGCACCTCCAAGGACCCAAGCCAAACAGTTCCACCAGCCGGCGAAAAATCCACAGACACGACCATACTTTCCAGCAGTCACAGAAGCCCAGTGATAAACTAGAACATCATCAGTATATGACGCAAAAAAGGAGCGGATTATGGCAAATCGTACCTCCACCAGCAGAAGGCATCCCTGAAGCCAGTTCAGCGATCGAAGCAGCTATCATCCAGTAGCAGAGCGAGACGGCGATGAATTCATAGATAACACCCGACGGCCCTCCATTGTACAGGGCGACGGCCACACTTCCTCCTTGGGCAATCCATGTGTTTCCGGTTGTGATGGCGAGAGCACAGATACTCAGCAGACTGTAGTTACGCTGAAGCTCCTGACGATGCCCAGAGGCGTTGACCAATTCCATGGAGGAGCGCTGTTCCTCTGTCGAGGCGGCATCGACGACTCCTTTCTTCTCCGGGTGTTCGGTCGCCATTGTGCGAGAGTGGAAGTCAAAAACGCGGTCGGTTCAGGTTCGCGGGGAGCTTAAAAGGGCCCGGAAACTTGGTCCGGAACTTGATAAGATCCAAAGCCGGTGGCGGGAGGAGTCTCAAATCCCAAACCGCCTGCCTGTAGCTGATACAGGACAAGATGCAAAATATTGACAGGCCTGGCTTCTGGAAGAAGACGGGGCAGAAAAGAAGAAAGGAAGCCCTTCACAGTGAGCAGAATGGACAATCAGGAGCAGCAGGAGAGTTTATAGAATGCGTGCACTGCTCCGTTTCAGGTTACAGCTGGGGGACACATGGAAGGTTCGGAGGGAGATTTCCATCTCTGGCCAATCACCACCAACTACAGCCCTGCCCGTGGTGGCGGCGTGAGACCAGAGCGGGTCGCAAGGGACTGCTCATTGGCCTGAGGCAAAAGAAAGCACATTCGAGCTAATCCTAAAGGGGGAGCTTGAGCAGATGGCGGCCAGGTTATCTGGCGAAGGTGTTCCTCGACGCTTGAGATTTGATAATAGAATGCTCTTTTACTCGGAGTACAGAGATTCCCCACGGATTCAGAGTGCAAGCTCCGTGTCTCGTTCTCCGCAAAAGAACTACCCCGGATACTGTTCTCCGTGCGCTGCGTTGGGCAGGTGCTGGAGGAGCGGCAACAGAGGTATGAAAGATTGCAAGTTATCGTGGATGCAAGGAATTAGTGCGCTGTTCGGAGCAGTAACCGATAAGACAATTCTATGACAGTTTCACGATAAAAATTTATGGCAGGGCTAAGGTAAGCTGGGCTAGTGCGAAGGAAGGGTGAACTAAGTCCTCCAAGTTGGCGGGACTCTTTTAAAGCTTATGGCCTCGAGAAATCATCCACATGGGGAGAGCACATCTCGAGCGTTCAACCCGATATCGTCGACACGCGACGGTTATGCACGTGGAACTTGGAAAAATCTTTCAAACACAGCGCGATCTCGAAAGGAGTGCTGTCACCATCGCGCATTTGAGGGTGTTCTTGTATGGATTATGGAGGAGCCCGGAATGCGCGACCCGCTTACAGTCGCCGCCGGATCGTGGGGTCTCGCCTTTGACTAGCAAAATCAGCCCATGGACGCGAAGCTGTGAACCATGGGCGCACTGAGCATTTTATCAGGCCAATTTCGATTAGGATATTCGATTACCTACAGGGCCTGCAGGCTATGTAGAGGATAAATGCGGTTATTCAGGGATGTTGCAAAAAGCCGTTCAGCATAGATGAATATCAACTGACAACATTGCTTACATGTGAAACATTTCTGAAAACTCAACAGGCGAGATTGCTAACTTTGAAGAAACCTCCGGGCAGTGGCGTTCTGCAAGGACGTTGTTGCCGCCATCGCTGCAACTGAGGGAATTAGCCTTGCAAGGATAAAGTAGCATCCGCTAGCCCCGCGAGAAGTACAAAAAGTCTGGACGCCGGACGGTAACCGGTTTATTATCACTCGCGATTATAAATAATCCTTTGAACTTTGTTATATTATCTGAATTACTCTAGTCTCTTGATAGTCAACCTCCGATGCAATCGATGTTCTAGAGTTCGGCTGTCGCCGAGAGATCGCTTGGCCACCACATCCGAAAAAAGAAACGTTTGCACCCAATACGAGCAGCGAGCGAGATCATACATCGTATGTTGCAGCATACCACAGGACACTACCGCGCCCGGTTCATGGTCAATTGGCCTCGGCAAGTGCACTTGAGTCTTGGAGCCCCGAGCACTCAAAAGGATTGTAGGTAGCAGCGCTCGCATCTTGAGCCCAAGCATGGCAATGATCAGTGAGCACACCGTACTTTCAATGGCCATGGAAGGCGGATCGCTATCCAAGCAGCCAGCCAGCCAGAGCTTGGAGAGCCGATGTTGCGGATGAGTGCGATGGAGATCCATCGCCTTTCAGCTCGCCTCTGGAATGCTCATGCCGGATCGACACTCGTAGAGTCGACTTTCTGTCATTGTGGGCCGGAGCACACGTACTCCGTAACAAGACTTTCCCCTCAATTTAGCCCGACGTTTCGAAGGATGATATGGACAAGATAAATCTCCGGCGCATAGCAGCCCGAGAACCACCGTAGCCGCTGGCACCCATGTTAAATAATGGGACGCTATCCCGGGGATTGTTCCAAAAAGTACGGGATTTGGCAGGGACAGCTGTGCATTCCAGCTTGGCTCCTCCACCGGAGAGACGGAGACTCGAGAATTGGAAACGGAACCAGGCTGTGCAAGAACAACTTGGAAAGTGTGCCTGGGTGGTTGAACCTTGTCGAGCTCGTCCTTCGAATCATGATCCTGCCCTGAATCCGATGCTATGGGCAGGAAGGTTAGTGGCTCTCGCTTAAAAGTCTGCAGATATGTCTGCACTGGTAGAACTACGCAATATCACTGAAAGTAAGCATTGCAAGAGCCAACTTTCTTGGCCGCTAGTTGGTAGTTGACTTGCACCGGCCGCTGGAGATGCCGCGATATCGCACGATGTTTTCGTCGACCCACCTTGCGACAACAGTAGTGGAGTTCTCCGCGCCCAGGCACGAGACACAGCCATTTGAGTGCAATTCCATCACGCCTCTTTCTGGATGTCTTATATATTAAGTTCCAGACGTGGCTGTTGCGATGTTACAATCGCGGAGCGCCCGAGAATTCATCCGGCTCGTCCTGGTGGCTGGTCAGCAGAATTCGTGTCGGCGGCTTTCCGATCGGTTTCTGCATCGAATCGTCACGCTAGGTAAAGCTGAATTGAGACAGACACGATGACCGATGTGCATGACTCGGCAGCGAAGTTTCACGGAAGGTTCGTGGAAGGAAGAACTGGCGAAACACGCCTTGACGCAAGCCAGAAGCAACAAGCTGATCGACCCCCTGATTTTGGGCTGTCCATACATACGGAGTACAGCGGTGGATGCTTGAGGGTCTCTGCGCTAACCGCAGTCGGTAAAGCCGCTGCGCAGATAAAGTTTTAACTAGGCCAAATGCTTGGAGATCAATAATTTAGCCCGTCTCTCCCCAGTGAGATATAAGCCAATCAGACTGGACTTTCAACAGTTGGTGGGCACCGAGCGGATCAAATTTGTGTTCCGTTTGCTTCGATCTTTTGGGACATCTCCTCGAGGTGCTGCGGCCGCCGATGGCAAACACTTCCCATCCAAGGTGGCCAGACGCAGCCTCTTATTCGCCAAACATCAAATTAATTCGCCTGGCCAGTGGACTTCTTCCAGACAAAGCATAGCCAATCATCCCACTGTTCCAAAATGCCTGTTCCTGGGGAATTCGGGACTCTCTGGTCGCCCTTGAGCTCTCGGCGACAGAACGTGTCGTGTTCTTCTTTTCCGCTTCTCCCAATTTTTTAGCGCAATCACTGCATGAACCTGCGTGTCACCGGCATAGTCTGCCCATCCTTCGTGACAGACAGCGATATTCCTCCAAGCTTGCCTGCGACTGGTCGCTGTCGTGACAACGCAACCAGGGTTCTGGGTTGATCCTTCGAGGCCTTCTTCTGTTAGACCCCCGCTCTCTGCGCTTTACTGCGCTTAATCCTTATCTTGAACCATGTACGTGCTGTGCCACTTATGAGCTATATATTCCCTGCAGCCCCTCCTTCGTACTTTACTTCTTTCGTGGAGACGCTGGCCCATCTACTGACCCGTCCCCCGGTATACAGGTTGCACGGCGACAAAATGGCCAGTTTAGGCGCCGAGTTTGGCCGGAGCTTTGCTCGAGAAACATGGACGCTCTACGGTGTCGGTATGCTCGGTGTCGTGCTCAGATTGTAAGTGTCCTCATGGACCTTTGCTTGATTTTGGCTTGGATCTAACAACTTGCAGTGTAGCACGTATCCGTCGACTAGGCATCCGAAACCTTCAATCCGACGACTACGTTATGGTGTTTGCGTCCATATGGTACACCATCCTATGTGTCGCACTCAATCAGGTTGCTTCCGGCGGAGGGTCAAATTTGATGACGGAGGAGGATAAAAAGAACTTGACGCCGGCCATATACGAGGAAAGAGTGAGGGGGAGTAAATGGGTGTTTGTCTCGGAGCATGCCTTTGTGCTTGCTATTTGGGCCATGAAGGCATGCATGTTGATCATCTATTCCCGCATCACGTATGTCTACCTCCCTCCTAGCAGTTGATCATATCTAACTTGTCTCAGAGAGGGATTACGCCAGAGGAAATGGGTCAACTACCTCGCCATCTACGTTGCATTGGGATTTGTCGCAGTCGAGCTCGCCCTGTTCCTCATCTGCAGACCTCTATCAAACTACTGGGCAGTGCCTACTCCCAACCGTAAGTCCACCTTTGATCTTTCGCCGTCGCTATACTAATCGTAGCAGCTCAATGCTCGACCTTCCAACATTACGAAATCATCCAAGGCTGCTTCGCCATTACCGGCGATATCGCCATGCTCCTCATCGGTCTCCCCCTCCTAATGCAAGTGCGCGTCCCGCTTAAGCAGAAACTCATCCTCGTCATCCTCTTCGGCATGGGCGTCTTCGTCATCGTCGCCGCAATCCTCACAAAGGTTTACTGCCTCGTGCCTAGGCTCATCTCCTACGTCTACATGAACTGGTATTTCCGCGAAGTCACCGTCGCCGTCCTCGTCACCAACCTCCCGCTCATCTGGTCCCTCCTCCGCGACGTCTTCCCCGCGCTCAAGAGCTGGACTGGTGGATCGAAGCGCGGGACTGACCGGTACCGCTCTGGCCCGTGGACCAGCAAAGCATCTGGACGACACTATGGACCACCGAGCCAGTTCAAGTCAGGCGACGACTTCCAGATGAACAATTATAACCGGAGTGTCGTCGTCACGCCGCAAAAGGACGCATCGAGCATCAGTCTCGAGACGGATACCCGCGAGCCGAGCGACGATGGCTCCGAGCGCGCGCTGCAGATCAGACAGGATGTCACCATTACCGTCCAGCGCGAGTCGCGGCCGATGGACTATAACCACCAGCCGCAGCCATGATTCTCATTACAGATAAAAAAGATAGACGACTTCCTTCGTTGTGTATATACTTTACACTGTGCTTTTTTGTTTCTCATGTACTAATGACTAGATATGCCTAGACTTGCGGCGTTAAGAGGTAGACTATTACATCGATACCTTCTGTCTAATACTGTAATACAATCGTCAATTGTTCCTGAGGAAGAAGCAGCTCAAGCCATCGGCTCCACGAGGGCCACATATCCGATCCCGTGTCCCACAGTAGGACCACACAGAACCACACAGCCGGCGACTCCGTGATCGGCTCCTCGAGCCGTGGAACCGCTTTGGCTTTTTGCCAGTCGATCACCCGTTCGTTACGTCCACACCGTACAGTCTTGGGAGATCTAACTGCGCTTCTAATCCTCCTACATTCATCAACAGGAGATTTCATCACACTGTTAAACGCAATCTCAGGCCGCAGAGGTGATATCGCTCTCATTAAAGATTTATTCAAGGACTGTGGCTAACAATAACTTCACTTCTTCAAGCAGGAGCCGATGGACCCACAAGTGATCAGCGAGCGTTCCCCAGTCTGAAAAAAACCGCGCATAGTTAACATCAAGGCAAAATGCAAACTCTTAAGTTTATTCTTAGGTCTATGCCTAATTCCCTCGTTTACTTTGCAGGCTCGTGCAGCGTGCTTACTTGAGCCTTGGGAACATTGAAGTACTTCAAGATTCACCACCCAGTTACTTTTAATATCAATCGCCATCAAGTATTCTGAAATTCAGGGTCTACGCACCGCGGCACTGCACTACACATCACCACACAGTTTTTCTCTACGTAATCTCTGTGCCCAACTAAATTCTAAAAACGCCAACCAGTGGCAGCCCCCGAGACTATTGCCATCTAGCTGAAATCCTAATTCATGGGCCACGTTTTCTCGGTTCAGAGTCGACTCCACAGCTACGCACAAACCCTGAGCCGTATCGAGTAGTGATGTGCATCGTGTCCACTGGTTCGTTTGTTCAACTTCATTTTCGAAGCCGTGGAATCGTGGATTCTGGAATGTGTGTCCTTTTACCATTTACAGTATAGTGGTACAACATAGGGCACGGCGGGTGGGAGTCGGTTCCGAAGTGATCTACATAAATGATAACATGGTTATGTCGCCTAGAGCCTGCATTATTATTATTATAGAGTAGTGGTATGTTGGGCGCTTGGACTCATCAAGACCGACGCTTGGTCCTCCCTCTATCCTACCTTGATACTTTCACTATTCTGGCGGAGACAGGGACCGAGCGTCGTGGTAACCTTGATCAATTTCTGTCGACTTTCACGGTTTGAAAAGGAGAAACCGACGGGATATGGTATCTAACCGATGATATACGGTAGCCCAAACGCAATCAAAGTATCTTAGCCCGAGTCTAGAAATTGGAGTTGGGGGCCTTACACTTAGGCCGTCCTTATTAACTTCAGGCGGCTTTTCACCTCGCTTCCTGGTCCCTGGCCAGGCCGCCAGGGGGTTCTGAACCTGAATCCTTCCCGGCCGTTGAGATTAGAAATGTGCAGTGTCAGTCAAAGAGACTTGGCAGGCACCAGCCAGGACTTTTCTAGAACAAATTCGGGTAGAATTAGATTGGGCGAGCGAGCACTGGTCAGGTTACCTCATTCATCGAACTAGGTAGAGACAAGGCTTGCGTACGAAGTTTACAAACCAGGCTCTGATCCGCTCCAAAAGATAATCTTCCGCGAAGTATAAAATGTTCCTGATATGAAAACTTCTAATATGTCTACTGGGTTAAATGACACTTCAAATCATAAGGGCAGAACAAGGCAGTATAGTAGTGGGTACCTCCCTCGATTCTTTTGATGGGCAGAGACCTCCAGGCTCTCGGTGTGGCATCCTTCACATAAAATACTGAGGGCAACGTACTTATACTATCTTATTTTGGATATTATCCCATGTCTTTATGAAAATGGCAGAGATACGTTTTGAGAAATATGAGCACAACGCAACAGAGTATTGGGGAGGTGAACATCTATCTATATACATATGTATTTCTGAGTAGATCTAGTAGCGGTCTAGATTGCTCACCCTGCAATTTCCTTACGTGATAGTTTAGGCAGTCCCATAGGTTACTCCTGATTTTCTGTCCGTAATAATACTTCTGCTAATGGTTCCAACCTATGAATCACGAGGGATCAAGCAAAATCCGAGTCAATGCAATAATACGTTTGTGGTGAGACGGAAGTTCATTTGCGTCATCAGAAAGTGCGTGAGTGTATACAGAATCAAAAGTGACTATGTTCATCCTCAACCAAGGAGGGTGTTATGAAGGCATCTCATGAATCTAGTTCCAAGCACCCTGCACCTTTGCATGCAGCAAATGCCGAGGACCACCCAGCTCAGCAACCGTTTCCCGTCCACCAAGCTCACCTATCTCAGGCTTGTGCTCGCTTGACCTAGATGCAGGTAATTTTCCCGCGGTAAGCTGTTGTTTCTTCTTCTGATGCCCCCAGAAGAACCAACATATCGCGATGAGCAGAGGCAGACCGAGGACACCGCCGACTACACCACCGGCGATGGCGCCGATGTTGAAGGTACCCGTTTCGGTCTCCAGATCGGTGTCCTCCTGATCCTGGGCTGCAGGGTCGCCGGTGGGCAAAGGCGTTGAAGTCGGGGTAGCAACTTGCTCTCGGAGCGCAGAGGCGAGTGTAGGGTCTGCGAATCCGCTGGCGGGCTCCTTGTAGATAATCGGTGGCACCTCGTTATGTTGTCTAGGTCGTTCCAATTTTACAACGTCCAGCGACTCATATCTGGATGTATCTGCTCGTCCATAGCCAAATCATAATTCTAAGGGCAACGCGCAAGACCCCGGCCTACCCATCTATCCTTCCATCTATCCCCTGGCTTAGTAGGCCGGGAGCCGAGAAATCCAAATCCGCTGATCATACTAGGAAAACCGCGCAGCAGGCACATTGTCAGCTAGTTGTACTAAATCCTGTTAAAAATGCCATAGCTCACATCTTCGATGCCTCCTTATCCCACACGAAGTATCTGGCGTCCAGCTGACACGGCAGCGCACCGGCTTTGATGCAGTTCCTATATAGTCCCGTACGCACCGTCAGATATTACTCAGTCCACTGAGGAACGGTCACCGGAAGGGTGGGTGGTAGTACGCACTCGAAGGCGTCTTTGAGAGCCACCCTGATCTTATCACGCTCATTCCGGTAGAGCGACCAGAACAAGTCCCGAAACAATTGAAGACCCTCAAGCTTCTAGATTGAAAGATAGTGGAGGAATCCTCTAGGCACTGTTCCACCACTGCCTTGCTCCGTGGCCCAATGCTGACGGACCCGTGGAGCTAATGGGCAGATATTTCTTGTGAGAGCCTCCGAGGGCTCTATCTCCAAGTACCCGAATGTGCGGAGTTCTTTGATTCTGCACGGATAACGTACTCGGAGCCTGCGTATGGAACCCTCCCATGTCGAGAAAAAGAAGATAAGTGGGTTTCCGTGAACAGGCACTGCCTGCTCGCAAGACTCGGTTACGGTAGGCAATGATCCAGACACTTACTGCATAATGAATGACCTTCATGACAGCGTCATCGCTAGGATCATGAGCCTTATGGCAGAAGAACGTTCCATATGCTCCACTAAGCGAGCCTTGTAAGACTTTATTCTCGAGATACTCGTAAGCTGAGAGCTGGTTGTTCTTGTCGCCGATTACCGATTCTAGAATCCATGTAAAGGCTGAGTTGTCCGTGTCTTTAACGATCTGGATTGTGTTTCCCAACCACTTGTCGAAAAAAGGGCGTTCAGTCATAATTTTAAGGGATGGAATAATTGAAGATCGTGTAGACGATTACTAGGTAGAGAGCAATGATAGACAACGGGTTGTGTAGAAAGCTCTGGGGGACTTGTGGTGTTACTACAGAAGAAATCTTATTCTCCTTTCCCCTCCCAAGACTAGCACTATGACATGATATCTTTGATTTCATCCTTATTCCTATAGGGCTTTATTCATTACCTAGGAGAGTACCTAGATCTTCATTTTTTTATGTCAGCTGGGGATAATATAAATGATAACGGTCAATTGAGGTATATATAGCTTTTCTGGGTCGAACTCGGAGAGCCCCCACAACCAAAACAACCAAAACAACACTCCAGTCTCCGCCAAGTAGATCGATGCGGCCTCCCATAATTCACCGTGATGCACGCACCCATGTCCCAAGTTCAATCCATCTCAGTCATTACTGACATGTGCCAACATATGCCTGTGACCTTGACAGCGGCGTAGCGAGCTCACAGGACAACGGCCGAATGACCATGCAAGCTCATGAATCCACAACATGCGTCTCAAACCCAATCGAGTTCGGCCCACACTCAAGGCCGTCCGCCAATTCAAACTGGACTTTGCAATTACCGGATTCCGAGATCCCCAGTCCAAAGTAGTCGGTAGTATCGTCTGAACTCCCCTTGGCTAGACTTTCGCCATCAGGCCCAAAGACCTCACACTCCTCTGGAATCCCACAATCTGGTTCCCGGAGCACTGGAATCCATACCAGGCGCCGCCGAAACATGCACCTTCAAGTTGAAAGTCCTAGCCCACGTGGATGCACGACTTGTAACCGTCAATGAGGTTTGCCTGGGAAATGGATTCGCCATCTTCGTTTAGCAGGGCAAAGGTGCTGTCCCACGAGTTGACGTTGCCGCCAATCCCGCCAGCAACGATCCAGGTTCCGGCGGCCCAGAGAGCTACGACTTTCTGTCCGGCGAGGGCGGGGGTTGCGCCGAGTGCTCGAGGAGGCTGAGAGCGTATGGGGTTTGGAAGTGCATTCTGTTCGGCGGTCTTTGGTGATTCGGGTATGGCTGTGGTCGACAGATTGGATCTTTGTCTTCTTGGTTTTCTTGATTGAATGACTTGGAGAGGAGCTGGTGAGATGAACCAAGACGGTTTTTGCATGCTCCAGATCAAACGATTGCAAGCAGGGTTATATACCTTCGCTCAGCGACCATAATCTAGTATCGTTGATGTATATGTGATTGTGGGCTTCGGACCAGACTTCCGCCAAAAACGGCCCCCGTCGCAGGACGCGGAGATATGACTTCATCTCGGGGTATGGGTTGGTGCAAATAGTATGGAGGAAGGGTGATCGTCGCGGACCCGGGAGCTTGGCGATAATATACTCGCGGACCTGGGGGCGTACACAAGCTTCCGCACTATATAGAATAAGTTAGTCCAAACGAGCTTGTGGGTCAAGCCCTGGTATACTGCCGTATACCGAGTCTCCGATGCATTTGGGGGCCAATTCGAACAGCATGGATGCCAACAATACCCTGGAGTATGACCTGCTTTTCCTGTCCCTGGCCTCACCCTTCTGCGTCATGATAGTCACATCCATCACGGCCTAGGCTTTGATTTCCCCTTGGGTATGTAACGGAATGACGGGTGGTGTGGGCTTTTCACGGGTGCCTGGGCTAGTATGACTTGTCTGTCTGCCACGCACCGTGATTCGCGCTCGCGCATAGAGCGGTTACTCCCGCAAGCCACCAGAATTCAAGGTCTTAGCCCCTGTATTCTGGAATACCTCCAAAAGTATGGCATGACGTATAATAACCTGGGGGCGAGATGCTGTTGCCAAGACCTGGAGCCTGGTCATTCTCTTAGACCTGAGGTCCATTCGCAGCCAAATGACTGAAACACGGAAGCGAATATTATCTAGCCCAGCCCACGTTTCTTCGATCTGGCGGCGCGAGAAAGGAGAAAGGGGCAAGGCGGAAGAAAGGGAGCTCCGCTCTGTTTCATGAATCCTGGCTCGGAATCATAGTGACGGCCGCTCTTGTTAATGGGGTTGGGTACTTTTGCAGGCCCAGATGCGGGCTAGGGAGGCGCATACCCTAGTTGGAATTAGGGATTTTTAACAACAATAAATGAGTCTACTGCGTTCGCTGTATCAGTGATAAATATCCTCTGTGACCTAGGCACACCTCTCTGTCTTGCACTTACGAAAGTAGTCTTGACTACCCAGGCTCCATATTCATCAGAGGCCTTCGGTCACACCCGCGAGATAGAGTATCACAAACGCAAAGTATTGTTGTTGCAAGAGAGCCACGTAGGGACAAATTAGCGTCCGCGTCTACAGAGACAAGCAGAAGGTACGGCAGGGGATTGTAGAAGGAAATGAACCGTGTACAGAACCCTCTCGATCAGAAACTCGATTCTATAAAGGCATCCCATGAATGGTTAAAATCAGTGTGTGCGGAGGAAAATACAGAGAGATATGGTCCTTGAGGCACTATCGCTTCTATTGACCCTGCGCCCAAGAAAAAGATCAGCTGGAAATTTTCACAGTCTTCCTTTGTTGGGTATGAGGAGGCAGAAGAAATCATGGAAGAAAAGTGAAAGAAAACATGAAGGTGTCATGCTGAATGCCTTTGCCTCCAAGCAACCAAGACAGATACTAGCAGGGACATGGCTGGGAGACCAGTGAGTGAGTTAAAAAGTCAAAATCTTAAAGTTCTCCTAACCTTCACTCCTACCCCATTCAACCTTCAGTAGGTTGCCCATCAAGGAGGGTGCAAAAATTATCTATTTTGATTGAATTTCCTACAGCCATTAATGTTAACTTTTTGTAAGTTGCTCTGTACACACCCTCAGCAACAACTGTACATTGTGAAGAGCAGAAAACTGAGAAGCTGAAATCTGAAAACCGCTCCAGGCCGAGTTCATAACGAGACACTGTAATGCAGAAATCCTAAACGCCAGAAAAAGACAGCAGAGGAAAGGAGAATATCATAAGTCATCAGAGGAACGTCTAGTCGTACAGATCCATATCGCCGCTGTTGTCCTCCATCTCAGCCATGGCGTCCTCCTCCTCATCAGTCATATCCAGATCTTCGTCAATCTGGACCTCATGGTTAGGGACGACATCAATGCGTCCGTCGCGCATGATGACACGAGCGACTTCGCCGTCTTGGATGCTGCCGCGTAGGATGAGGACGGCGAGCTTGTTGAGGACCTCGCGCTCGATGATACGGCCGAGCGGGCGAGCACCGTATGCGGGATTGTATCCCGCCTGCCCGAGGTAGTCCTTGACTTCTTCAGAGCATTCGATGACAACGTTGCGGCCGTTCTGCATAAGACGGGCCTGGACCTCGCTAAGGCGGAGGTCGACGATCTTGCGGATCTCGCGCTTGGTGAGGCGGTTGAAGATGACGGTGCTGGAGATACGGTTGAGGAATTCGGGGAGGAAGTAGTTGCGGAGCGCACCCATAACCAACTCACGGGTCTGGGGGTCGATCTTGCCGTCCTTGGTTGTTGGTCTGGCAAGGTATTCGGCTCCCAGGTTGGAGGTCATAACGACGATGCAGTTGCGAGCGTCAACGACACGGCCTTGGCCGTCTGTGATGCGGCCGTCGTCCATGAGCTGGAGGAGAACGGTGAGGACCTCCTTGGCTGCCTTTTCGACTTCGTCAAAGAGGAGGATGGAGAATGGTCGGCGACGGAGGGACTCGGTTAGCTGGCCGCCGGCATCGTGTCCGACGTAGCCCGGGGGCGCACCGATCATGCGGCTGAGAGAGTGTCGCTCCTGGTACTCGGACATGTCGAATCGGATCATGGCCTTGGGATCATCGAATAGGAACTCTGCCAGGGCCTTTGTGAGGAGCGTCTTACCCGTACCAGAGGGACCGCAGAATAGGAAGCTTGGAGGCGAGTTAGGGTTGCTGAGCCCAGATCGTTGAAGTCGGATCGCATTCGAAACAGATGTGACGGCCTCCTTTTGTCCGACAACGATCTTGCCCAAGTACTTCTCCATGTGCAACAGCTTGTCCTTTTCGGTGGTCTTGAGCCTTGTCACTGGGATTCCGGTCCACCGTGCCACGATTTCGTTGATCTGATCAGGGCCTACCTCGTCGGCAAGGAGAGGCTCTCCAGCATCGCCCTGGCGATTACGTCGCTCCTCATCGGCTTGTGCGCGTTGCTTCTCGAGCATTTCTATGTGTTGAGTGGTTTCGGGGATAGCGTAGTACTTCAGGTCTGCCGCGGTTTCGGTGTCACCAGACCGCTCGGCTTCCTCTTGCTTGTTCTTGAGGTTGTCCAGCTTCGTCTTGGCGTCTTGGATGGCCTTGTTGCGAGCCTTCTCAGCCTCATATTTCTCACGCATGGGACGCAGTTCTTCCAGGACGTTGGCTGCTTCCTGCTCAGCGGCCTTGAGACGCTCTTTTGAAGCATCATCCTTTTCACGCTTGAGAGCGTGGATCTCGATCTGGAGCTGTCGGTACTTGCGCTCCAAGCTGTCAAGAGCTTCCGGCTCGGATTCACGGGCTACTCTGACGGCGGCAGCAGCCTCATCAATAAGGTCGACGGCCGAGTCGGGCAACCGACGAGCTGTGAGATATCGTGAAGCAAGAGTGGCAGCGGTGACAATGGCGGCATCGAGGATCCGTACACTACCGTGGTGAACTTCGTACTTTTCCTTCAAACCACGGAGGATGGAAATTGTTTCCGAAACGGTGGGTTCCTTTACCAGTACCTGCTGGAATCGTCGTTCAAAGGCGGCATCCTTTTCGATGTACTTGCGGTACTCGCCAAGGGTCGTGGCACCGATACAGTGGAGTTGACCACGGGCGAGCATAGGCTTCAACAGGTTGGCGGCATCCATGCCGCCCTCCCCGCTGGCACCTGCGCCCATGAGCAGATGAATTTCGTCCACAAACAAAACAATGGTCTCTTTGGATTCTTCGATTTCCTTGAGAACACCCTTTAGTCTCTCTTCAAACTCGCCACGGTACTTGCTGCCGGCGACCAATGAGCCGACATCAAGTGAGAGAAGCTTGCATTGGGAGAGACTGGCTGGTATATCGGCGTTCACGATCCGGCGGGCCAAACCTTCGACAATTGTGGTCTTACCCACACCGGGCTCACCAATGAGCACGGGGTTGTTCTTCGTTCGTCGACTGAGGATGCGAATCACGCGGCGAATCTCCTCCTCACGACCAATGACCGGATCGATCTTTCCCTCGCGAGCCAAAGCGGTCATGTCGATGGTGAACTTCTTGAGGTTCTCATTCTCGCTCTCTGCATCCGCCGTCTTAGAGTCCACGCGCCTTGTACCTCGAATCTGTTGAATGGCAGTGTCGATCAATTTGACGTTGGGCACATTGGCTCCCTTGAGAGCGGCTTGTACTTGTGAGTCCTGGCAAACAGCCTGGATCAGGTGGTCCACAGCGACGTAACTGTCTTTCTGGGTCTTGGACAAATCGTTGGCAGCGTTGAGAACTTTCCGGAGAGGTGCGGAGACGCTGCGAGACTCTGGCGGAGGGTCTTGACTGGGTAGCTTGACTAGTGTCTTCATGAGACCACGGTGAAGGAGTTGGTAATCACCGTGGGCGCGTTCGACGACTTGTCGGAAGAGGGAGCTCTTTGAGCTGCCATGGGAGGGGTGAAGTGAAGGTCCTTCTTCGTCATCTCCGCTAGGATCGAGAAGGGCAACTGCAAGATGCACAGGGTAAAGTTCTGCGTTGGAATGCTCGATAGCCAGCTCGAGAGCATCCTGTAAGGCTTTGGTGGCCTTGTCTGTATATTTGTCGGTGTTCATGATGTAAGGTGGGGGAGACGGAAATCTCCGCAAACGGAGGAGTAGAAGGAAATGATTGAGGTATCAGTCAAGTGATGTATGGTATGAAATCTGAGAAGTGAAAACTAGCAAGCAAGGTACAAAGGGGTTAGACTATATACACGAGCAGACGATCTCGTAGCAGGAGCTGGATTCTTGTAGATGGTGCCCAACAAGCCTCCCGCGCCATGACGACTGATACTACGACATTCTCCCAGCGCCATGACGACACTACGAATTTCTACCGCCTTCCAGAAGTATCTTCCAGCTTCCCCCCACAACCGCCTCAGGCCATAAATCACGTGACTATGATAGAAATAAGTCTGGCAAATACGAAGCGGTAATGGAGGCGGTAAACAGGCATGCTAAATGATGCAAGCCCATCAAATTGGTATCTCCCTAGTGCTAAAACCGACCATGAACGCCAAGCATACACCTCAAAACATCGTTGAAGTAAACAAAAAGTCGTGTGCATTATGCATATGATTATGCTGACTCGGGACCGCCGTCGCGGCCGCAGCCACAGGAGTAACAGGAGTGGCAGGAGCGACAGGACTCTGAGCGATTCCTGGCCCGCCCCCTTCGACAGGGCCCGGGATTGAAGCCTCTTCGGACGACTGGTTATCTGAACCGTCCTGGCGGCGACGCTTCTTCCCCGCCACTTGTGAGTATTCGGCGATTGTCACCGCCGGGACGGGGATTTTACCCTGATAAAGGCGATGGCGGAGATTATAGATGTCGCGGACCTGAATGACAGTGGTAGAGTCCACGTGGCGAAGCTGCTTAAGAATTTGACTCGGCGGCATGTTGATGTCCAGAAGGGCTTTGATATATTGAGTCTTTTGTTGTATTTCCTCGCGACGGATGGAGGGATGGTCAGCAGGCGTGGGCGACGGGCCATGATTGTGAGCGCCATCGCGCACTTTGACATGCCATAGATTGTCAACCTTATGGTAGCTGATCCGCAGGTTGAACGGACACCCATTTCTCCGCGAGGGGTTCCTCTGTCGCTCTTTTGCGGTGGACTGATATACTTGACCCTGGTCACAGGTCATGTAGATGGCCTCGACTTTCCCCTCGCGGCCTTTATTCGTGCGCTTGGTGATGACTGCATAGTGATGATCCTGTGCAAACGACTTGATAGCCTGGACGGCCTCTGTTTCGGTGCGATACAAGAGCTCTGGAGGCGGAGGTAATGGCGGAAAGCTTGATAGCGGAACTGGATAATTGTTCGCCAGCGGCTCGGGAGGCTGGCCGGGGGGTTGCTCTGGCTGCTGCGGCTGTGATTGCTGCTGTGGCTGTGGCAGCTGTGGTTGTTCCATGGAGAAGAGTTTCAACAGCAGAGAAATCAGTAAAGGGGCATTGAGAAAACTATCGACAGCCCGCTCATCGAGGGCGTTCCCATTCCTTTTATGAGACTAACGTGCTGAGGAAAGAACCTTGAAACTGCCGAGCCAGTCCTCAGTTTCTGTGCTGAAGCTCGAAGCGGTGTGCCAAGCGGTAAGCTTTGTCTAGTATACGGAGTACTGAGTAGGTACGATGTACTGTCTTGAATAGCCTCGAATCAAACTCAACGATCCTTCGTCCTTCGATTTTCTATCTTTTACAAAATTTTACCTAATTCGGCGTTGGCCAACTCCTGCGGTTGCCTGAACGCTATTATTCTCCGCGAAGATCAGAGAACCAGGGCGTTGAAGACCGCCCTGCATCGTCGTCGCACAGCTCGACAGAGGACCGAGGGAATCCTCTTCCGCCACTCGCAGGGCGCCATTCAGAAAATAGTCATAACGCCGTTAATTATAGCCCAAGGAAACCCCACGTTAGCAGTGCGGATGTACCATTGGACCGCCTCGCTCCCACGACGCATGACATGGAACGCTAGGACTGAGAAGAGGGCCACTTGCCCCTCCCCGGTCGCAGCCTCGGAGGCCCGTCCGGCGGATCAGAGGGAAAGCCTGAGTGGCTTAATCGGCGATATCAGATATGGCGAATGCACCTTCTGATCAGATACAGATCACGCATTTATGCCTGCTTGTGCAGGTGATTTGGCTGATAGATTGCTCGCTCTCCAGAATATACTTGCGCTGCGTCTTTATCGTCCTTCTGGACAGGAATCTCACTCCTGCGTTCTCCGTTTCATGACGTCAAAGTGGGAACTGGAGAGATGCCTCGACCATTTGTGGCGACAAGGATTCTCACCACCTTCAACCACTCCGCTCCAACGACCATGGACGAGTCCTTCCACTTCGGTATCCTCATGTCCACTCTCGACCGAGACTAATTTGCTAGGAATTTTTCTCTCCTGCCGCCGTTGCCCGCCGTCGCTCAGACGGGTTGTCGCAAATGCTCGTCCGTTCGCCAAAAAAAAAAAAATCTCCCCCCCCCTCCTCCTCAGCAGCTTGGCCGGGGCCAGCTGCCAGGAACAAGTTGAACTTTCTGCCCCCCAAACTTCGAAATTGAATAACCTCCAATGGCAAAAGAACCAAAGCGGAGCAGCAGCTGTAGATCCTAATCCTGCACGCCGCAGCATAGCGGTCTACTCACGACGTGAGCCCACAAGCAAACTCGAGTATGGGAAGCCGGAAGAGGGTGGTTGAAGTTTCAGAGCGAAGCTCAACAGATGTAGAAGCCCTATAGATCAAGATCAGGATCTTGATACCAAGATATGGAGATCTTTATCTATGGCGAATATAGGTGACAGGTGGTGTCATCGCCTTGTCCTGACCCTGTTTGAGCAGCGCTGTGCCTCTTCTACCCACTCGACAAACCAGCAGCCAGTAACAGCGACTGCATTGTAGCACAGCGTCCAAACGCTGTACCTACCACCGGAGCTGTAGAACGCCTCTAGACTGCTAGGCTTCTTAGCCTCTCATCATCTTCTCCACGCTGTCCATATCCTTGCCAATCCAGGTTCAAGATTCTGGCTCGGGTGGCCGAACTCAAACCTGGAATTCCCATCCCATCCATCTGTAGCAAGCTCTGTGATATTCGTCCACAGAAGCCTTGACACAAGTGCACACCCCCCCGTTACGTCGCTGCCTTTCACGTTTTTACTCAAGGTTCAACTTGTCGGGTATAAAACCTCGACTCCTTCTCGAAAGCTCCGTAGACCCAAACATCCTTGATCTTTACAAGTACCTAGGAGCACCTTCCAAGAACTCAAAAAGGCTCACACTTCGTTTGCTACGCGGCAGCCGCCCCTACCTTCCGTACTACCACACGGTAGCTTATCTGGAAATTAATCCCCAAATTCTACAGAACGGGAGTGTTGGCACCAGACGCAAGGGAGAGACAGAGTCTCTGGATCAGTAGCTTCGCCGGGTACATATTCCCAGGTAGATAGTGAACTTCAAACGATTGTCCCCACGCCCATCAGCATCATCATCATTGATCGCGCGTGTGATATCATATTATCCTCGGAACGAAATCGAGAAGAATATCGGCACGAGAAACAACAAATCAACATGGCTCAATCTCAGAACCAGAAACCCATCTTCGTCGCAACCCACCCGCGGGCTTGCTCGACGGCTTTTGAACGGGTATTTTACCTCTTCCCCACCATTCCCCTCATTCTCACCATGCAGTTGCAATACTGCAGCTGTCATTCCAGCTGCCACCGCAAAATGAAGGTTTAAAGCTAACAAACCCAGGTCTTCATGACCCAACGAGACACAATCCAATGCATCCACGAGCCCTTTGGCGACGCCTTCTACTATGGCCCCGAGCGCCTCTCAGACCGGTACGAAGCCGACGAGGCAGGCCGGCAGGCAAGCGGCTTCGCCAATTCCACGTTCCGCACGATCCTCGACCGCATCGAGCAAGAGGGTCGCGAGAACGAAGGCAAGCGGATCTTCATCAAGGATATCTTGCACTATCTGCTTCCACCAAAGGCGAAGCCGGCTAGCATTGCGCCTTCGCTGAACAGGATCAAGAGGGGTGTCGGTACCGAGGGTGAGGATCCTCTTGCATCAGAGGCCGTTGGCAATGGGGTTGATGGGGTGGTGAAGGACGCCAACGGCCACTCTACGGGGGAGGAGAACGGGGAGAAGAGTAACGGCAACGGTGAGGCAGTAGTAGCGAAGAAGGGCAAGTCGCCGCCATACCCCTACAACACGCCCAGCGAGCCCGGAAATCCAACCGTGATGCCCAAGGAACTGCTCCAGGGCTTCCACTTTGCCTTTTTGATCCGCGATCCGCACTACAGCGTTCCCTCGTACTACCGGTGCACGATCCCGCCGCTGGATTCCGTCACGGGCTTCTCGTACTACGACCCCTCCGAGGCCGGGTACGACGAGATGCGCCGGTTCTTCGAGTATTTGCGGCGCGAGGGTATGATTGGCCCTCATGTTGCAACGCGGGAGCAGGATGCCGACGACATCCTATCCGCTGCCGGTGCCAATGGCAGCAGCAACAGCAATGGATCTGGTGTATCGCATCAGAAGCCAGTCGGAAAGCCCGGAGCGGACGTGGGAGTGGAGATTTGCGTTGTGGACGCGGACGAGATGCTGGATAGCCCGGCCGCGATGATGGAGGCGTTTTGCCGCAGTGTTGGCATCGAGTATACGCCTGAGATGTTGAATTGGGATAACGAGGGAGATCACGGGTATGCGAAGGATGCGTTTGAGAAGTGGAAGGGGTTCCACAACGATGCGATTGACTCGAAGGGGTTGACTGCCAGGAAACACGTATGTAACCCTTTCCTTTCTTTTTTTTTCCCTCTCCTCTCACTTCACTTGCCCCATTGCCCCCTTTTGCCCTAGACCCTGGTCGAATCCAGCAAGTCAGCCCGCACTTTGAAGAGGAAGGAGACCGCGGAGAGAGAGCCAGTCCAGCTGACCATATTGCCCCCAGCCACGCGCCCCCAAGTCTGAGGAGCAGTTCGACGCCGAGTGGCGAGAGAAATACGGTGAAGAGGGCGCCGCCCTGATCCGCAAGACCGTCGACGCAAACATGGCCGACTACCTGTTCCTCAAGCAGTTTGCCATGAAGGTCTAAGTCGGCCGAATCGGCTGATAGCCCTAGATGGCCCCAGTGAGGCGAGTAGGTATGGCGGTCCGTTAAGAATAATGAGAAGGAATTGAAACAGAGTTAGGTCTCGTGGGGGTTCTCGATGACGAGAAAGAAATTGGTCGTTCGCTCAAAGTTAAGGTTGTTCTTTCGCCCTTCGATGTCGTGATATTAGGCCTGATCACGCAATTGAGATCGGTCCTCCTGTTTTTGCAAGCCCTGCATGTTTTTCGATGACTCCATGACTCCATATTGGTCCGATAGCCTTTTTTGCTTTTCAATCGTGCGCTTCTGAATGGAGGGAGAATGTACCTAGTATGCTAGCACACACCGTCTAGTCTGAAGGAAGTAATTGTTCGTCCGAACAGACTCCATATTGGGCTCCTGGTGGAAGTAACAAGGAAGAAGGAATGAAGGGGTGGGAGTACTTTTGCTCGCGAGAAGATCCGTGAAGCCGGCCGAGTGCCCCGAGAGTCCTCAGTGAACTGGAATGTGTGGAATGTGTGGACTCTGTGAGAGAGGTTGAAACCGTCGATGGGTACAAGTGTGGATTGCACTATCCTACCGAGGTATATATCAGCTGCCCCAAGCAAACGCACCGAGTCAGAAAAAAAGAAAAGAAAAGAGGACCAGAATAACTCAGAACCAATCCAATCGTTCATTTCATCGTACAGAGAGGCAGAAAACCAACTGGGACCTAAGCCCGTCGTCCGTCCAGGCTGACCCAACCGCCAAAAAATTCCGTAGCAGAAAGCAAACAAACAAAACACGAGAAAACAGCGAGAGCATTCTATACAGCACTGTATCCTCCTCGTGAGCCTGTCCCTTGCAGTGTATTAACTACCCGCTTCAGCCAGTCCTGGAAGAGATAGGGCACGTCCCTGATCGTGTCGCCGTGCGGGAGAAGATCCCAGCCACGGGCCCCGTAGCGGTTATAGTTGAGCCACGAGCCGAAGATGAGGTATGCAGCGGCGCAGAGGAAGAAACTGAGGCAGTTGTTAGCAAGATCCGGCATGAAGCATACATGGTCAAGAAGGGGACGTACATGATAATCAACCAGGTGAAGAACCCCCAGTGCCCGGAGGAGTTCTCACGGCTAAGAGCGTAATTGTCGCAGGCATAGCGTGTCTTCCAGTTCAGTCGAAGCACGTACGACTCGTCGTCGACCGGTCCGAAGCTCTTGAACTGCAAGCTCCGCTCCGGTCTGCTACCATCGTCGAACGGCTCCTTACCCTCGTCGTCACCACCAGATACGCCGTCCCCGTCCCCGTCCTTTCTATCACCACCGTCACTTTCGCCTTCTTCCCTCGCACGGAGTCTCTGCTCCGAATACTCAACGAGACCCTCCAGCCCGGACTTGTCAGGATCGCACTCGAACTCGATGACCGCCTTTGCATCCTTGCGCTTCTTCTTCCCCTTCTCGCGCTCGCCAACTGGGTACCAGCCGCCTCCCCATTTAAGCTGTAACCCTTCGCGGTCCGCATCTAGCGCCTTCAACCGCGTAATCTCCGGGTCCTGTGCTCCGCCGCCCATGGATTCGAACCCGACAATGGGGAAAGCAAAGTTGTCGTGCTCGCCGTCGTCATACGTTGTGCGGTTGAACCCGCAGACTAAAAATCATTCATTAGCTTTCCTCCTGCTCGTATATAATATTAAAGGGAAGGGTCGTACTATTCCTCGACTGCTCGCAGGTTAGGTCGTCCAGTGTAGCTCCTTTTTTCCCAAGAGTACCACAGATGTTCAGGCGGTAGGTGACATTGTTGGTCAGACCCTGGTCCTGGTCCTTTTTAGCAGTGAAGATCTCGTGGACGCCGCCGAGCTCTTTCAGGCTGTATTTGTAGCCATCTTTTCGAATGTTGGCGCAGTCGAACGTGATCGCGGAAGCAAGACTCGGAAGGAGGGAGGCGGCGGAGAGGAGGGAAAGCGACTGTATTCGCATCCTGGAGAGAGACTATGAGCTGCAAAGAGGTATGTGGCTCCAGCGAAGATCGAGTTTGGAGAGAGCGCTGGAGCGGAGGTGATTCAGGAGCTCCGGCCGGGAATCTCGTGAGGCTGGGCGATGACGATGTTTTGGGCGGTGATCGAGAGTGCTCAGGCCGAGGACGACAGCACAGCAGGGACAGACAGATGATGCCGTGAGCGCGGGTAATGGACTGGCTGACTGAAAGCAGCGTCTGACCAGTGGTCGATGTAAACAGATTATGATGTGGTCGGCGATAGTTGTTGGTGTACAGTTGGAGAGTGTCGTCTGCTTCCTTACTTGACGAGGTCAATGTCGGTTTTCTGTTTCTCCGAGTTTCGATGGCAGCTCAGCTTTCAGTCATGGCAGGTCAACACCACAACAATAAATACACAACTATAAAACTCAAGAGATAAATGCGGGCTCTGAGCTAACGGGATTGTAGTTATATGTTCTACTAGTTGAATAATCCTCACCATCAAGTCGTTCGCTTTAAGAAGATGCCTGGAGCAGCTGACAACATTCAAGGATATCCTCATCAGATTGTCATGTGCACAAAAGCTACTAATAGCATCAGTGAGGCAGCTACCAAAGGTACATACAATTTACATGAGCTGTCAAGTGCCATAGTATTCAACAATCCATAGTTCTTTCCGTCATATCAAACGGACCGTGCTGTAACTATACTCCGCTGCCCCGCACAGACCACCAAGTCGACACCTCGACACCTCAAAATCCAGGAACCCAAAAGATCCTGAATAACATCACCTGGCGATACTGTGGCTCACTCTCCGACTTGCCAACAAACATACATAGACCGGCAAAATGCTCAACACACGCATGGTGCGCTGCCCCCATCCCCGCAGATGTCTAAAAAATAAAGTTAACATCTGCGACAGCTTTCAAAAGAAGACGAGGCCGCACTCGGCACAGAGGACACCGAGGTGCGCCGCGAGGACCAAGAAAAGATTAACCGCTTCAGTCGGCTGCATCAGCGCGAGACGGTGCTGGAGGAGCAGCTGAAGGGGAAGCAGGTATTTCCCCTTCTATCTCATCAAATCAAGGTTTCTGTGTTGGATTTTGAATTTGTTTTGCTATCGCGGGGTCGTTGACAGGATGGATGTAATTGTGCGCTAACCGTTTTCACAATGATGTGCAGAAAGATAAAGAGGATCTCGAGGAGATCTCAACGGAGTTGGAGCTTGCGGATGAGGATGAGTTGGTTCCGTATGTCTTCTTTTCTTTCTTCACTATTCACTGCTAACGCCTTATCCCAGGTACAAAATTGGAGACTCATTCGTTCATCTCCCGCTAGAAGAAGCGCAGACGATGCTATCTTCGTCAACGGAGCAGATCGACTCCGAGGTGGCCATGCTCGAGGAGACGCTAGGGGACCTGCGCGATGAGATGCAGCAGTTGAAGGTTGCGCTGTATGCGCGGTTCGGACGGAGCATTAACCTGGAGACTTGAGTGTATAGGAACTTCTTTAATCATCTAGATAGGTCTCTATGACACGATTTCAATGTGAATGATCACTGAATGGTTCTTGCTTGCGGAGCGCTATATATGTAATGCTATATACAAGATCTAGGCTAATGGTTCGAGCAAGTGCTGTACAAATATCGGCCGGTATCATAACGTAATCTCATTTCACGTGCGGAGAAATGCCACTGGCAGTAAAAGGCCGTACAAATCTGAACGTGAATATATGTCTTTCGAGCCTCACTTAAATCCGTGTCGGACTTAGATGATGCTCGCAATCGTCATGCGCGAGTGTGACGAACTCGGCTGGTTTGGTACTGAGTCCGGGCTGCCAGTGGTAGATTCACTGCCGCGGTACGACGGTTCTGGCGGCTGCCGAAGGAGCTGCGCCTCTCTTTGCTGCCGGTCGCGGTGTTCCTTTTCCGCGAGGAGATATTGGACCGTTTGCTCAATCCATTCCCAGCCCTCCCAGCCCTCCGGCTCTTCGGCTAGCCTTTTATCCCTGACGGCAGGGTTGACTGCGCCGCTGCGGAGCGGAGACATGTCCAACTGCGCTCCAGTCTCACTGCCCTCCCAGACCCAATTACCATTACTAGCGCCTTGCATATCGCCTGACACGTACGCCATCATTTCTTCGTCCGCCTCTAGATCCACCATCTCGCTGCGTCGTAACCGTTCCAAGAGGCATTTCAGGAAGAACACAACATATCGACCACAGGCTGCATTGGTCACGCGGGAATCCCTGATTGCGGCGCTAGCCCGGACACATACCAATGCAGCTTCGTATTCTTGGCGGAAGAGGAGCAAAAGCGTACAGCGCCAGAGGTGGGTGCACAGCATGGTCCCCGCAGCTGTCGCCAGTAAAACACGCCAGTCTCTATTCCCTGTGATTGGCGAGGGTCGCATGCATCGCGACAATAGGCGCGCCGTCTCCTGGGATACGGAAACACAGTAGTCGAGCGCTGCTGACCGAACATCAGGTGGGCAAAAGGGAGATATGTTATGACGGTGGAGGACGAGACGCGCATTCTGGAGGTGGATAATCGGGGCTAGGGATCGGGGCTCGAGGTATTGGTCGGATTTGGGGTGGAATTGTTCGGGGAAGACGGCTAGGCAGGCGCTAAAATGTCGTTCGAATGTCTCGAGGTTTGCGGTGCTAATGGTTGTACTTCGAAGAGCACGCGTTAGCTGGCCGATCGATCGGACAACATGGATTGTTGCTAATAACGGAGTAGTCTGCTGGCCTTCGGGCACGCAGCCGCCTTCGGAAATGAACTGCTCGTCGACGGGGCACGGAAGCCCAATGTCGCAGTCTTGATCACTGATAAGCACTGGCTTGCCCATATCGAGAGCCAGGATTCTGATCGGATTATGATTAGTTAGGTCAATAGGCAGAGCTGGACGGGGGCACAAACCTATCCCATGTATACATACCCCACCACACGCGTTTGCGCATTTCGCCCTCCAATGCAGGCCACGGGCCAGACTCTAGATGTAATCCGATTTCCTGCGCGACTCGCACGGCAGAACCATTCCATACCCAGCTAGCTGATTTCGAGTTGACTTCGTAGAGAAACATGCTGACAAGTAAGGCGGCCCGCGCCTGGTCCAGAGTAAAACTGTCTTGCCAGACATCAATCACACCACAAGATGTCCTTACAAACTCCTTGCCCTTTTCTTCTCTGTTTGGGTCCGAGGTATGCAGAGAGCCGCAGGCGAAAACGCCAAATAGCACACCCGCCCATTCGCGTGTAACTCCAAGAAGCGTTCCTGCACGATAAACATCCTCGTACTCCTTCAAGAAAGTCGGCCAGTGAATGACTGGTAACGTGGAGTGGATGTGCGCATGGTACTGGGCGAGAAGATGATGCGCAACATCTTGCGGAGGGAGGGGCGGAGGATCTGATGTCAATAGCGATTTCGGCCCCGGCGGGCGATATGGTGACGGAACCTTCCAAATCCCCTTACCATAGATGCGCAGGTTCGCTCTAGTATTGGATAGATCTTGTGAAACCGGAGCTCTTGGTCGGCGCGGGGGTCTGTAACCAATGTCAGGCAGCTTTAGCTGATGTTGTCCCATCCCGTCAACGTCAAATTCCAGCATATTATTCTCTGTTCTCATGATTCCCGATCGCACTTGCTGGAGTTGTTGCTTGGTCGCCCAGAGTTGTTTCTCTAGGTCTTGGACTTGTCTACAAATCTCATCAGAATGATCGTCCCGTATTGGGAATTGGTCACGAACTTGATAGAAGACATGCGTCTGTTGGTCTCCTTCGTAAACTGGCACCGAACTTTGCGGTTGGTGCACTCTGTACAACTAGTAGACTCGGAGGCATCGCACTAGACGAGGATGAAGTCAGGTTAGAAGGCGGAACTCGTTAAGGTGAAGCCTCGAGTTACCTTGACCTTGCGCTCGCGGCAGGCGTCACAGCTAGGGTCTTTTCTCCTTTGGCGGTACGCCCTCTTCTGCTGCAGAGGCTGCGAATGTTGGTGGTGCTGCCCTATCCCGCTCCCATGACGATACAGCCCTCCAGCGGTTGGCGCAGAGCCATTGATAGACGCATCCGGGAGAGTTCCCGGCCCCGTTTCTGATGGAGAGACGCTGGATTCATATGGATGATAGGTCGTAGCAGGCGTCGGCACGGGCGATTGCTGTAACAGATGTGACATCGGCAGCCCGCTGCTGGGTCTCGCCGGCTGACTAGACAGAAAACCGCCCGGTTGAGGAGGGGCAGGCTGAAAGGGAGCTGGGGGAGTCACCGACTGCACCGGAGGCAACTCATAGGGAGCGCCTTGGGGAGGCTGGCTAGTCCAAGAGCGAGAATAATGCGATTGCATAACGGTGCTCTAAACGAAGCCTCATAGGAATTATACACAGCACGCACAGCGAGTGTCTTGGTAGTCCCAGGAACCAAAAACTGGGAATCCCCCGAGTAAGAGATGAGATGGCGGCGGGCAGGGAAATGAGGAAGAAGCGGGGATTCCACCCGAGGAAGAAGATGACGGGCTATCTTCCTTGTGAGTGCCCAAGATGAACAACCGTCAAAGTTCAACAACAAGAGAGATGGTAATTCGGATCGATCCAGAAGGCAGGAACAATATTAATTTGCCCTGGGTGGCGACAGAGGAGCAAATCGGAATATAGCTAAGATCGCGCAGCAGAGACCCAGACGGCAACAAGGGCCTCCTGGATAATAATAATTAAAGTTGGAGCGAGCGCCAGTCGCATTGACGCTGAAAGGTGGGACTGGGGCTTGTCAAGGTGGGCAGTTTGGGAAATGGTTTAATGACGCCGTTGAAGCCATTCACGGATTCCAACTCCACCCGGCTACGAATCCCGGAGCGATGATCCAGAGAGGGTCGCAGGCGAAACGAGATGGCGCAAGGGCCTGTTCGTGACGGGAGGGGGAAGGAATTGAATGGACTGAGTCCCGTAAATTAGTACAGATTGGTGGATGGACGCCGCGCACTGCACTGCAGGGGAGTGCCTGGCGAAGGAGGAGAATACGGAGCGCGAATGGGGGCGGAAAAAGAAAGTAAAGACTGAAAGAGGAAGAGGAAGAGAGAGATGTACAGAAAGAGGGAGAGAAGAGAAAGCGAATCAAGGACAGGCGTTGAGAGGCGATGACAGCGGCAAAGAATCGCAAGGAGGATGGACGGTTATAATAACAATAGCATATGAGACGAATGTTGCCTTGCGGGTTGATCAGATGGCAGAAGGAATAATAAGAATCGGGACTACCTCGAATGTTCGGCAAAGTATGTCACTGACGGAGATGCAGGCGATTTCGAAACTCAACCCGAATCTGAGGAAAGCTTCCTCGATGCTTATCCAAGAAACAGAGAAGGGAAAGGATCGTTATTCGAGGGAGATTCGCAGGGATTGGCTTGAGGGCGAAATTGCACAGTGAGCGATTCCCTCGTGACAAGTGCCGAGAGGGTGCGAGATGGAAAGAGTACCATACAACCGGAAGAGCACTGCAGCGTCCTCCCGTCTCCAGATCCCATATGATGATGATTATTATTTAATAAATCGCCCTCTTATTATTCGCATGGATGTGCATTTCGGCTCGACTAACAAATCTACAGTTAGTGGTTTGAACTTAGCTCACCTCTAGCCTAGCATCCGTTCCACAGCCCCTCTCTCGCTGATTCAGTCAATCAATCAGCGTGCCTCGTCAGGGTCCTCCCAAGTGCCAGGAAATCACCCACTCCGACAGTTCTCGGCTGACCCCGGTTAGCACAGAAAACAATGGGCTGAAACAACGCCGGCTCCCGCCATTCCAGATCGAGCCTTCGAGGTCGGGTGCTGCAGAACCTCAGCGATGTTGTGGAGTACCTCCCGTAGATATCTACTCTTGGAATTGTGGCTAGCACATCAACAATGATCGAGCCGAATGGCGAGCTAGATGTTGATTATGCGATCGCCTGTCAAAATCGAGGGCAACCGAAATATACAGCTGGAGCGGAGAGATACATACTGCAGCGTACATACGGAGTCGACACGCCAACTTCACACCTCACTACTTGGATGGCAAAGCAATCACAGGCTGAGGCATCTTTTGCCATCCAAAAGGTGATTAAACTCGAGATCAGACCTCCCGCGATCGGCAGTGGCAGTGCTCGCTGCCTACGAGTACGTTGAGGTCCCTGAATTTAACGCGTCTCCTCCGGAGTATCGTTCGTCCCATATTCCAGAGCTTTGGTCCAGAGTCCCACAACGACAGGAGGGAATGGACATCCGGAAGCTGGCATAATCATTATTAACTTTGGGTGGCGTGGGGTTCGAACTTCGGGGTCAAAACTCAATATCACTCGCTGGGGCGAGCCACGTTTGTGATGGCAAACTGCTGCCATCTGCAAAGCAGAACAGGAGAGATTGCTTGCTGATCCTGAGGGAACAAAGTTGCCCTGCAGCTGGTGGTGGCCTTCTTCTCCCGCTCCTTCCGTTCTTGACCTCAAGGTGACAGGAGGCTTTAACTGGCCTCCTCCCCGTTGGACGGTTTTGCCGAGGAGAAAAGACGACCAAACTTAAAAATAGCTTCCCACGTTTGCTGGTCTTTTTGACCTTACCGGCTTTACCTTATTTTCAACCCTGCACTCCATCTGTGTGGCTTGAACGGGGCAGCGGAAGCACCAGCGTCCATCCAGACGTTGCCTTCATTTTACGGTCTGCGACTCTTAATTTCCTCGCTCCCCACCCGTTGGCTTTGTATTCCCAGCAAAAACCAGTCCGTCCTCAACTGTTTGGCGGAGCACGCCGACAGCAGCGGAACCGGATCCGGCGAACCTTTGCCCTCGGTATGCAGCCGGAGAAATGGACGGATAATTCATCATCAGCATACATGGGAACTGTGGCAGGCCAAGCGAATCAATATCGACCAAGAGAAGTACAGATGGGAGATCGCCCCCTCTCGGAATCCTTCCCTCGGCTGACGATTGGACGGGCCACATGGAAAGCGAACCGTCAAGTGTGACGAAAGAAAAGAAGCAACGGCACGAGATGGAGGGCAGAGGTTCCTCCTCCAAATCGGAGACGATAAACCATGAGGAGCCCGAACAATGATCCCCGGTCCCAATCACCGGCCGCTGGAGACTAAAACAAAATTGACAAGTTGACGTCCGTTTGTTCTGGATTCTTTCCTCCTCTTCTCCGGACTTCGTCCGAACCACATCCGTCGTGTCGTCACCTCCAAATCATTCGCTAAAAAAGTCCGCTTTTGGCTTCGACTGTGGTCATCAACGACCCATGGGAAGATCTCAATGAAATGTTAATTTTAAGTGGCCCGTCGGGTCGGTCCAAGGGCCTTTGCCTCGTGCCTGTGGCGGTGTCAATCAAGCGTCTCACCGAAAGTTATTTCCCTTGACGCGTTTCCTTCGACTCTTTTTTTCGGTTCAGCCAGTCGGCAGTGTTGGGTGACATTCTCTTGAGCACGGACAGCGAGCTCCTGGGTGGCTGCGCCGCTGCTGGGCCCTTGCTCAACCTAGAGCTTCCTCTTGCACGATGCAGAGTGGTTGAGGTAGTCTTCCGTCAACTCGCCCTCCTTTCTCTTTGCTGAGGAATCGTGTCAAGAGTCTCGCATCGCGCGTGTTTTTTTTTGGTTTTTTTTGGGGGGGGGCCAACAGCTGGGAATCGGGGCACTTTCCCAGTTGGCTGTCAATCTCAAATGCAACGGAAAATATCTCCTCAGCCAGTAGTCGACCAGGAGTCGACACAGCCAACCCCTCACAAGCAAGGAAAATAGCAGCGCCGCAGTCGCTAACAATTGTGCAGGGTTTCCGCATTCAGGCGGAGGCGCGGCTCGAGTTCATTTCCCCGGAGGCCTCATTTCCCCCACTGCCCAGCTTCAGCGGGACAAGAGGCCCGTCATCACTTGCATTGGGCTGTTGCAGAAATGACAGGGACACCCCCTCAGGACACAAAGCGAAGCAGTGCCCATGGCATGCAATAAGGGCTATCCCTGTCAGCCTGCTGCATGACCAACGCTGGCCAAAAGCCGGCTCATCCTCGGATTTTCCAAATAACCCTCCTCTGAGTGGTCGTGCAAACAGACTAACTCGGATATGGCGATATGCCGTGTTCCCCGCACAGACTGGGCGTGTTCACAGTTCAGAAAGTATGCGAGGTTACTCCTCCATATGTGTTTCTTTGGCGCGCGTGCATCCTCTCTGCTCCGTCATGATAAGAGCTCGTGTTCCCTATCATTTTCCAGTTTCCAAGCGCGGATTCTAGTTGCCTTCGCGACTGTCTGCTATGAATACGAAGGCTAATTCTCAAGTTTTCGGGAATTTCCACCATGAAACGATTACAGATGATCTATATGTGACACTTCCATGTCTATTCCTATTGGTAATACTGTTCGGTCGAGACTCGAGACCAGCTGATGCCAACAAACTATCCAACAGCAATCCAACAAAGCAACGCCAAGTGTTGGCAGATGACGAGGTGCCAACAAACCAGAGAATAAGCTGCCGCGCTTGGCTTGACAGGAATCCTTCGGTGCAGAAGGAGCGGGCTGAACGCTTATCTTTCTCATTGGACAAAAATCGTGCCTCGCTCTGAGCCTGATCGGCTCAAGCCCTACCGGTAGGGTTAACGATGATGGCGAGTCACGACTGATACAGATACATAAGCTGGAATTCTGGCCCCAGTGCTGCAACATATGATCCTTCTCCGTCTTACGGCATTCGGAGGCCCGTTCCACATTGGATCCTCGCAGGCTCGCACTCTCCCTTGAACCTCTTCTCCATCAGCCAGAGGTAGGACCGACGCGGTGTTGTGCTGCATACGTCTGTTTCTGTTGACCCTCAGAGTTGTCGTTCCACGTGGGCCATCAGGGATATCGACACCTTTCCTGCAACCCTGCAATTTCATGCAAACTATCCAGCCCGAGTCGACACCGTGATACCCTCCTTCGGGCACAATTGTGTTCTCACGAGTCAGACAATCTACTTCTTACTCTCACACCGACATGCAGCTCTGGACCAATCCAAGCCATTGGCCTTCGTTATTGGATCTCGGAAACGGCGGCTGATGTCAACCACAGTAGTAATTATTCGGCCTGTTTCCTTTCGGAGGAGCGATCCGACAACTCCACCCGCAATTGATCAAGTCATCCTCGGAAACTGATCCGATTCTTAAACGACCGACTCGCTTAGCTGGGTGATGGATTCTTCACGCTCACCCCACTTGATCTCGAGGATCCATCTTGTCGACGTAATCTGTCCTTGCTGGGCTGCCCATCAATCACTAAAAAAGCGCAGCGGTGAGCAGAACACAAGACAGTCGTAATCTCGTAAAGACCTTGCTCACCTCGGCTATTTTCTGAAGGGCTGTCAATGTTTCAGACACCTCAGTTAGACTGGGTTCGCCCATCGCTTCCGCCCGGGTATCTCATTTCCCGTCCTTGTCATGCAAGATTTGCCCTTGTCTGGCCAACCGGAGTTGATGGCTCGCGGCGCTAGAGCGGGAAGGCCCCTCTTCGGAAGCTCGGGTTCTACTCGCAGTTTTTAGGGTAGCCTGCTGCGGACCTGCGGTGGGCAGTAGTGCTGAGTGCGCAGTACACTGCACAGTCTTCGGATGGACGGCTGAACGGAGATTAGATACCACGCTGTACGGCTTACAAGTCAATTATAGAATCTTTGCCCGCTGCATCATGATTCACAGATGATCCTGCGGCATGCTAAACCTGCAATGATTATCGATGGCGCAGGGGGCCTTGAGACCCCGACTCTACGAATGTTGAGGCTAAGGTCGGAAATGGTTGCCCATCTGGAGACTGTGCACGTCCTCCTCCGCCCTGTGCGGCACGGCCTTTCTCCGCCCGTCGTGAAACTTCCCGCTTCAAGGTAAGTGGCTACTAACTTATGTTAAGTCTATTCAGCTGAATCAGCTCGAAGTTGGATCGCTTTATCAGAAAAGGCACTCTTTGCGAGGGAGGATCAGGCTGAGAGTCGAGATTCGGCTTAATGGAGCGCCATCGGAGATCCCCCGTCTCCGGAGGACAAGATCGTGCTTCACGACATGTACGAAGTATGCTCTCAAGAACAATTGACCGGCAAAACTCCAGTATGATCATATCAGCTTGCAAAGAGGACCCAACACGAACCCTTCGCGTTCGATGCGCCTGTCGAGCGGTCACCTCGGCTCGTTCCATTTTGCCACCACAGTATCCACAATCCTAGTCAGCCCCTCCATCTCCTCCTCGGGCAAAAGACTCAAAGCACTGGGGTCAATACTGCATCCGACATAAACGGGAACACGCATACGACGGGCCAGGATCTTGGCTATACGGGTGGCATATTCTTCTGTCGAAGGTGTCGTGTATAACGTCGTAGATATAGTGGAACGGGACGATGTGCGCTAGAGACGAGTGAATATAAATATTTAGCCCCGATAAGCGCCGTTGAGAGATTGCAAGCTCACGTCTGGCATGGCATAAATGAAACTTCCCATCGGTTTCAGACTTCCTGCTGAATCGCCGGGCGTCGATGTAGCCAAGAAGACCATTGTGCAGCTATCCAACACTGTGAGGTGGATATGCGCTGTTGTGTGCAAAGCCTTGGGGAAGGGAAATGACAGCTCCATTGGACGGGCCGGTTGCGTTGGTGTTGAGATTTCGGCCATTGTAGTTTGTTTTCTTGAGATTTTCTTGATCACTGCCAGACTCCTGGTATATGTTGACCTGGATTGATGTGGACTGGTCACTGAAGCTCTTCAACAAGGTTCGGTTGCTAGGTGCTCACTTGAAGGTTGCCCGCGTGCGCGGACTTTCCCCGCCCAAAAAAAAGCAGGCCCCGCACCCGCAGTTTCGCTTCACCACCAATAACCTCTCGATTTGAATGTCACGACAAGATCAAGACTTGCATCAACATAAAGCAATGTATCTCTGACGCAATCTATTCGGGATCCCTGTTTGATCCTATATTGGCTATCATGTCCTCAGTCACCTCGCCGAGTTCTAGCCCAATGGCTCCCAAATCACCCCGAAACACAACACCCAGCCAAGCGACGGAAGCAACAGAAGAAACGGAAGAAGCTCGCAGCTGGGCAGGAGATTTTGATCCATTCGCAGATCCCGATGAGAGACGGGTTCTCTTTGCAGCATTCGATTCCTTCAGGTGGGTAGTTGCAATTCATGGCCAAGGTATCTTGATTCTCCGTTGAGAATGGACTGCAAACCAACAATGTGCCATCTCTTCGCCTTTGTTTGAGATATATGAGAGGCCATGCGCTAACCAACTACATACAGACAGTATCGCAGGACCGCACACCTGAATACAACCCACCGGCGACGTCAGGCGTTCTGGGCTCTGCCCGCCGCTCACTCACAACTCCTGTCCGAGCCTCCTTTTTCTCTCATGGATAACTTCAACCGCGTCGACGATGCCATTGATATAAACGCCGATATTGCTGATGCGATTGTTGCCTCGGGGCTTTCGTCTTTCGGACTCTCTGCGAACCCGGATCCGGAAGACCCCTGCAAGAACTGGCGCGGGGTTGCGACGTCTTCAGATGTCAACAAGGCGCATTCGACAATCCGGCAGTTTTATCGTGATTGGAGCGATGGAGGTCAACCTGAGCGGGATGTATGCTACAAGCCTGTCTTGCAAGACCTCGATATTGAATTCTCCAAGAGGCTACAGGCTGGCGAGGACGTCAAAGTCCTTGTTCCTGGAGCTGGGTTGGGAAGATTGGTCTTTGAGATATGCCGCGCTGGTTATGACGCTGAAGGCAACGAGATTTCCTACCATCAGCTGCTGGCGAGCAGCTGGATCTTGAACCACACGTCCGGGGCGAACCACCACAGGCTGTATCCCTTTGCCCTACACTTTTCGAATCTGCAATCGAGGAAGCAGCAATTGCAACGCTTCATGATCCCGGACGTCCATCCAGGTGCTGCGATGCTAGAAGCCGAAAAGTCAGGAACCAAGTTTGGTAATATGAGCATGTCTGCCGCCGACTTTGTCGTTCTCTACAGCAGTCCTTCCCACAGGAACACCTTTGATGCAGTGGCTACCGTCTTCTTTATCGACACAGCACCGAACCTTATCCGTTACATCCAGGCTATCCAAAACTGCCTCAAACCGGGTGGCATTTGGATCAATGTCGGGCCATTGCTGTGGCATTTCGAGGACGGTCACCAGCGCACGCACAGCGGTGCTAGCGACAATGCACCTAACCAGGGCATTGGCGAACCGGGGAATGTTGAGCTCACAGAGGAAGAAGTGTATCTGCTCGTTCAGCGCATGGGGTTTACGTTGGAACAGATCCAGCCTATGGACCAGCGCCCTGAAGTCGGATACATTCAGGATCCAGGGAGCATGCTACGGTCGCTCTATCGACCGGCGCATTGGGTTGCACGAAAGAACCCACAATAACAGACCAACAGAAGGCCCCTTTTGGAGAAACCTTGATGATATCAAAATCTCCGCATGAAGCCATGAAAAAGTAGAGCCAAAAATAGGAACAGGAACGAGTCTGCCTTGCGGGATGCCTGTATGGGTATTGTGTAACGGTATGTACATTACGTGATTACGCGATCAGCGGTACAGCCTTCAGCCGCAGCCCAACAAAGAAACCCAAACCCACACAAATCTCTGGTCGAGCGCCTTGGGGCAGGGCTTAGCAGCGTGGCTGGTTCAGGCATTCTCTTTGGCGGCGGCTGCTGGTTCCATGGGACGCGGCGATTCTGGTCAGGGACGACAATAATAGAACAAACTACAGTTTCCAGAGCGTTTCTGATGTGGCTGGGGATTGCTATGACAACTTCACTGCATCTGGGACATTGAAACGTCGTACAACATGATTCAAGGAGTTCATGTCGATTTCGAGATGTCCTTTTCGCTTACCCTGTATATACTCCGTACCCATTTTCGAATCAGACCTCCAGGGATAGGCGCACAAAAGTCCCGATGTAACTCTCTCCTAATAATGAAGAGACTTCTGCGAGTACGAGCGGCGAGCCTCTGGGGCCCCCTCTTGTCGCGACGGTCGATGCTCAAGTCGATCGAGGCGGGTGTTGCACTTGGTCCCACGGGGCACCGCCCTCTGGTAGTAGCCGTGTCCAACGGTGCCAGATCTTGCTTCGTATTGTATCAAACCATACCATACTCCTACTCTTTTCAAGTTCTCTTACATTGTACCCTGAAGTTGTAGACGTCAGGAAATCAAAAATGCCGATTCTCATCATCGAGAATTATAGTGTACTGGTGCAAACCCTTCAATAAATATACTTAAGGAATGAGTCGTTGAAGGTCAATCCCTCGTCCTGTTACGGCTGGGGATAATCTCCAAATGGCACTTGTTAGGACTTAGCTCGTATCTGACAGGAACATGAATCGTTGACCTTTTTCCCTCCAATTTCTTCTCTTCCTCGTCTTCAATATTACCTGGAAATCGCACATTGGATCGTTTTCGTTTCTGCGAATTGTCTGACATTATTAATCGGTGGTTCTTTCTCCGACTGTTTGCGAGCACTGCGCGTTTCCTTGAGTCGGTCCGTCCGCCTATCGAACATCGCCCGTCAGCCTCAAGCATTTATCCAGTACGGAGCACTTCCATTCTTCGTCCTCAATCCCTTCTCTCTTGCCTCTCTCCCCCTCGCTGTCCCTGTCTCTCTACTTCTGTCGTTTCTGGTTAATGGTCTGTTTGTCTTCCCCCGCCGGCTGCCTGATCCAAGCGCTGCATTGCGACAACCACAACCCCCTCCTCCAAGCTCTTTCTCCGACTTACCTGAATCTCTGACAGGCACTGCCTCCTTCCATACGATACGAGTTCCACATCCGCTAGTCCTGTCGCTTTTTGCTTCCTGCCTCGCGCCCGCTTCCTCGCCCTCTTTATTTCCGCCCTCCCCCCCTCCTTTGTTCGACTCTTCCTGGCCTTCGCCATTCATATGGACCTGATGAGCTCACGGTTGAAATCGTTCAGCTGGAAGCGAAACAAGCAACAAAACAGCGTCTCTTCAGTAGCTTCTCCTCCTACCCAGCCTATTGCCAATCAATCGACACGAACGCTTATTTCCTCGCCGACTCTTACCCAGGCTTCAAATCCCGCTCCCGCACCCTCTGTCTCACTCTCAACCACCTCCGCCAGCTCCCCTCCCTCCGTCGCTGAAAACTCATCCAACACCAGTCTCCCAATGAATAATCAAAACCCGATGGGCCAACCGCCTGGCTACACCTACAACAACGTGGCCGGCCGGCCCACCAGCCCCATGCCCCCCGCCGGCCAACAACAGATGCCGCACCCGCTCAACACCAACCTACCTTATCCAGGGCAACAATCCTTGGGTGCTCCTCCCGTCTATGGAATGCAGCAACCGGGTTTGGGCCAGCGGCTGCCCTCATCGCAAGCTCCTTACGGGGTTGCTGCGCGCTCCGCGGCTGAAGTCGACGGGGGCGGCCGAAGTAAGGCTTCGCTGATTGTAGGCATTGATTTCGGTACGACGTTCTCCGGTGTCGCTTTTGCTTTCGCGACAAACAACGAGGCGCGAGAGGATATCATCACAGAGTGGCCTGGAGCTGGAACTCATACCAAGCAAAAGGTGGGTCTCTTCCCCATCCCCACCCGCAACACACTGTGGCGAGTGGTGCTGTCACGGGAGAAGATCATGCGGAAACAACAATAATAACCACTTTTACTATACAAATTTTGGCTAACGCCTTTGCTTTCAGATTCCGACTGTTTTGTATTATGATCAATACCAGGAAGTAGTGGGATGGGGTCCAGACATTGCGAATGCGCTGGCTCCCACTGGCTATCCAAAGCAAGGGGTCCAAAAGGTTGAATGGTTCAAGCTTCAACTGATGCTTTCGGGCAACACGTATATCGACCCCATCAACTTGCCGCCCCTCCCACCAGGAAAGTCGGAGATCGACGTGGCGGCCGATTATCTCTTCAAGTTACGCCAGGCGATGCGCGCCCAATTACAAAAGACCCTTGGCGAGGTCTTTACAAGAGAGGAACGTAACATCAAATACTACCTCACGGTCCCAGCCATCTGGAACGATGCAGGGAAAGCGGCGACGCGTGCGGCGGCTCTGCAAGCTGGATTCTTGCGAGATGAGAATGACAATCGCCTGACTCTAATCTCCGAACCCGAGGCCGCTGCCCTTTTCTGCGCCAAAACCGGCTTGCTGAATCTCAAGGTCGGTGATGCGATCCTAATCGTCGACTGCGGTGGCGGTACCGTAGATTTGATCGCATACGAGGTCGAGGAAGAGCAGCCGTTCAGTGTGGCCGAGTGCACCGCCGGGTCTGGTGACTCGTGCGGCTCAACCGCTCTCAACCGCAACTTTAGTAATATTCTTCGAGCCAAGATTCGAAAGATGAAGCTGCCTGATGGGTCCCGGACAGCTGGCAAGGTGTACGCCAAGTGTATCATGGACTTTGAAAACCGGATCAAGGCAGATTTCCGAAACAACGGCCAGAAATGGGCGGTGGATGTCGGTATCGAAGCGGATTTCCCTGACGCTGGAATCGAGGAGGGTTACATGACGTTCACCAATGAGGAGATTCTTCAGTGTTTCGAGCCTGTCGTGAACCGGATTCTCGAGCTGGTGCGCAACCAGATCATCGCTATTCAAGCGCAGAACCGAAACTTGCAGGTATGTTATAGATCACTTTTTCGATGGGAATAAGCCTAACAACCCGCAGAACGTGCTCGTCGTCGGTGGATTCGGTGCATCGGAGTATCTCTTCCAACAAATCAAGCTGCACGTGCCACCACAATATCAGTCCAAGGTGGTCCGTCCGATGGACTCTGTCGCTGCGATTGTCAAGGGTGCCGTGACAGCAGGTATCACAGAGCGGGTGATTACCCACCGTGTTGCGCGTCGGCACTACCTGATGGCCACGCTGCAACCCTTCAAGGAGGGCTACCACCCCGAACAGTACCGTGTTCCCAGTCTTGACGGTCGGGACCGATGCAAGTACACCCGACAGATTTTTGTGCAAAAGGGAGAGCGAGTCAAGATTGGGGAGCCGGTCAAGGTTAGCTTCTTCCGCCAAGTCGCGCCAGGAGCCACCCTCATGTACGAGGACATCCTGTACGCCTGTGACGAGGATGTTTGCCCTGAATATACAAAGGATCCACGTATGTTTGCCCTTGATTTTCTCTGATTGCATGACTCTAACCGCATCTTCTCTCCGCAGGTATCAAGGAGGTCGTTACCTTGACATCGGACCTGTCGCGCAAAAACCTCGAGACCGACTTTGAGCGCATGGACACTCCCCAGGGAACTTTTTACCGTGTATATTTCGATATCTACCTGACACTAGACGGCAGTGAGTTCAGCGCTGAATTAGTATGTCAAGGTGAAGTGATGGGACGATGCCGGGCAAAGTTCAGATAAGCCGATCCAGCTTTCTGGCAAGAGACAAATGAAGTTTCACGATAAACGAGAATCAGAAAAGCAAAAATGTCGAGAAGCTCCAGCGGCAGGCTTTTTTTACCCCTAACCCTTCAACCCTTGATCGTGGAAAAAAAAGAAAAAGAAAACAAAACCGGTGAAGAACGAGACGACGAAGAATGAGGCGGCATCTCCCACATTTCATCATCATCACTAAACGAACGATTTGGTCTCAGATCAGCAAATACTGCACTGGAAGGGCGTTTTATCCAAGACTTCGTTAATTTACAGTTTTTGAGGTCATCTTTTTTTTTTTCCTGTTCCCCTTCACCTCCCCTTTTTGGTTTGAGATAATGTTTCCTTTTTGTTCATCATTCACGTCCAGTTTCTTCAGCCAAGCCAGCACTCTTCCTTCCCGTCTTCTCGTGGGGGTTGGTTGGTTGAGTCTACTCTCCATCTATCTCGGTCCTAACCTTGAAGTTCCCAACCCTACCCCTATCTCTCTATCACCATCTGCCTACCTTTATCTACGGTCTATCTATATACTGGCTGTTGATTGCGATTGTGATTGTTATTATCGTTTTGGATACCTTTGCCCACCTGGCTCTAGCTTACTACTTATCTATACACACATACATAGTTATGATCATTGACTTACGATTTCTCTCCCTTGATCTACTATCTGTCCGGCTTTGTCATGGTTGATCCGCCGGGCCGGCTTAAGCACGTCTACTCCGGAGTAAGCAAACCTCGTATATTTGAGGTCCACTTTGGGAGCGGCAGCGTGGTACAATAATGTGGGTACGTTGACTTTCAATCGCCAGGCTTATGCTCTGATACACATTAATAGCAACGGAAATATAAACCCGAGGCGCATCCTCAGAAGAGCCTGTGACGCAATCTTGATAACTCATAACACACAGAGTCGATTTCAGAGCGGTTACTCATCTTTGGACCTCATGCATGACAGTTTTGTTCTTTTATTTTATTTTTCTGTATATATGTACTGATGGCTACCTGTTTTCTCCTTGAGATTCTCTAAGCATGTGCTCAAGTCAGCTTAGCCCAGCCTTGCTACCTTACTAAGGGCGACAGGGCACAGGGCACAGGGCAGACATGATGTAACGTAGGTCTTAAACGTAAGTCCGCCGCTTACCGTTTATCATCCATGCCTCAAACGAGCCCGTTTCGCCTTGTCAGGGCGCGAGGCGGCTGGTGGATGAGTTATGTATAGATCATTATTCTGGGACGCAGATGATGGTCAGGGGCGTCGGGTGAAGGAGCGCGAGGATTAAGCTGAGATGACGAGATGGGCTCTCGTAATGAGGGCCATACTCTTCGGGAAGAGTAATCGGAGCGATGCGGACTGACTCGACAAAGACAGAACGTGTTCCAGGGTGAAGGCAACGGGGGCGAGGTGGAGAGTCGATATAAACAAGGACATGGACAGGGACGGAAAGGAACAAACAACGAGCCCCAGCCAGCGATCACGAGTCTAAGACTCCGCGGCTGAGCTGTCCATTCTTCCCTGTCAACCCGACAGCTCTGGAGCCTGAAGTAAGAGGCACTGAGTTCCGCATCGAGCATGGGCAAATATGCAACCGCGGGAGAGAAAAAGGAATGACAGCTTTCTGCAGCCCCGTCGGGAGCTTCTGAGTGGCTGGCGTCTATGGTATGAACCCAGAGCCTTGTTTTGCCTTTTCTTTGCTTTTTTTCAGCTCCTCTTTTTTGTTCCCCTCTGTGTGTGTGCGCGCTTGCTATCGATCAAGTTCGTGCGCTCGGGTCCTCCCCAGCTAGGTAGGTACGTACCTGGCCCTTGGGTCGCGTGTTGCTTTTTCCTTGGGGCGTGATGTGGCTAGGAACTATGGCCCTGGCTTGGGTCGATCTCGTTACCTTGATTAGTTCCTCTCATGTATTCTCGGAAAAAAGAGTTCGACCTGGTCTTCGGGTTCCCCCCGGAGCCTCTGACGTAGCTCCTGCACCCATGCAGTGGATACATTTGAAATTTGCTTGCGGTCAGTTCAGTCTGGTAGAACGTAGGCAAGCAGGCAATAAGCGACAGCAGAGTGCAGGAATTCCACATGGTTCCAGTTCTGCAGCGCAGTATTACGGGGATGACCCCTCTCCTCAGGTCTCTTTGGCATGAGCATAGCCACAGTCTCCCATGTCAAGTGTCGCGCCCTCGACTGTCGTGCAAGAGTCTCATAGGCTCGACTCCAAAATGCGGAGAACCATCCCTGTCATTGCATCACATCGCATCAGCTCAACCGGCGCGTCCGTGCACCATCAGATCCCTGCTCAGCTCTCCAGCCTCTGATTGGATTCCAAGTCCGGGCAAAGGACGACAGCGTGGTGCTTGCCCTCTTGTGAGCGACGACTCGAGTGACTCGGCACCATCCCAAGCCGAGCTAATCCCAACTCTAGCAAGAGGCCGTGTGTCTGCCAGTGCTCTGGAGTAGTGCCGTTTGGCTGCAGAGCTGTAAATCCCCCTGCCCTACGATCACTTCGAGCTAAGGGCGGTCTTCCGTGCGCAACTGAGGGGGCTGCATTAGTTATATCGCGGGGTCGTGTTGTCCCTCGTTTGACCTGGGCCCTGTCCTTGTTACTTGATTACCCTCAGTCATATCGACTCGCTCTTTACCAATAGGCGTCTCCGACGGAGGGGCCCTCCCTTGTGCCCGTGACCACGAGTCTGACAGGCTAGAGACCAAAAGCAATGTGACAAATGTCATGTTCGGGCAAATAATTCCTCGGAGGATTTGTGTCTCTTCAAAACTGGAACGACGGTAAGAATGGGTAAAGAAAGGGGAGAAATAGGCTACAGCGAATTAGGAGTCACTAAAAAGGACCCGGGAAGAGACCAGAGAAGAAGCCAAAACAAGGAAAGCTCCCGGACAAAGAGAAAGAAGTGCGCTGTGGAAAAAGGAAAAAAGGAGCTAAATGCGATTGAGTCGATGACACGGGAAAGTTGAGCTCCAAAATTTGAGTTCGGAAAACTCTCGAAATCTCGAAGCTCAAACTGCAAGTTGAAGGCAGAAAATGCGAATAGAACGGGCAAACAAAGGGACCAAGAAAAACAAAGCAAATGAGAAAAAGCAATTTACCAAAAAGTGCCGGGAAACCTATCTTTTCTCTTGACACCGCCAGATTGAAAGCTCCCGCAATAATCGGACCAAGGTTGAATGGAACCTGGACGGCGGAGTGTTCTGGTCTGTAGTTCCTTGAATCTATTGATTTGCGGCAGCCGCGCTTCCCGCGATCTGGGGCGGTTGGAGCGCAAAACCCCAGACGGACAGTGGACCATTTTGCTCCATGGTTGAAATTTCCGGTTGAACAAAGATGGGCCCAAAAAAATCCAACTCTGGACCGGTTATGGATCGGTTTTCCCGCTTCGTTAATTTCTCTGTTTCATGTGAGTCAACTTTGCATGTAAATCCTCGGCACAATAGGCTCCATAGAAGTCGGCCAGGTCCACGATCCATTGATTCGCCCGCCAAGGAGCTCGTAGCGTTGCATCTTCTGTACTTAGATTGGCCATTGAGGAGTAACATGGCTGTGCACAGCAATCGAAAGGCCTTGCCTGCAAGGACACCTCATAGTACGTCACAGTTGACTTCAGGCCGTCTCTGAGGACCTCGTCCTTCGTGATAGTGTCAGCAGCGCCGAGAATCTTACCGGCCACTTGTCGAGTCGGGAATAATCAGGCAGACCCACAGGGCATCCCGAAAGCTGATGGAGTAGTATGGGGCTATGGATGTACAGTTTGTCTCTCCTCGATGAGGAGTGGTTGGTTTAAGGGGGTACGTACCAAGGCTCAAGAGGCTGTCTGGCAGCCGCCTGACGACGGGTTTTATTAATTTTGAGGCTGGTGACCACCGACGCCCAAGTTGGGGTTGGCCCACGCAACACCCCACGCACTGGCTGTCTCCAAAGAGCTCAACTGTTGCACAACGGTAAGACTATGTATGATCTTCCGCAAAAATCCCAATCTGGTGCTCAGGTGTCATGAAACAGCGCCTCCAACTTGTGCACTATTCCTGGATTTTTCTCGTAATTCGATCAGGTACAGTTTTCCCTTTACTTACTTTCCCTTTATTCAATTGAATTCTTAATAGCGTTTCTGTTGCTTTTTTGCCCTTTTTGCCTCGAGGGCGATCGATATCGTAGGGAGAGAAAAAAAAAAAAAAAAAAAAAAAAGACAAGGTCGAACACCGCAGGTACAGAACCTCAGGAACCTGTTTGATAGTAAAACTCAATAAAATACGCCTCCGGGCTTTGTGGTTCAGCTCACGAGGTCTGTCTTGAATAGCGGCGCACGGACGGATATGCGTGAGCTCGCCTGACGGTTTTCAAATAGATTCTCAGCACAGGGCCTGTCGTTGGCTGCTGCCTTTCCCCCATAATTTACACTAGATCGGGTTAGTCTTGTACATCATTTCTTGCGACCCATAGTCCGGTTGCAGCGGTAGTGACGACTTAGCTACATAGTAGCCTTGCGAATCTAGAGCCTGAGTCTGAACCTGCGGCACTCCTTGGAGTTTTCGTCCACTCAGCATCCCCAACCTGGCGGATCCTGCACCCCCCTCCTTCCATTGACCCAAAGCCATGGTGGAGCTGCTCAATTGACCTGAGAAAAAAAAAAGCTAGAAACTCTGCTCGATCATGTGGATGCTGTCAGGTCCATTTTCTTTTTTGGGGCGGCGAATTGCGGCTTTTGCGGGGAAAAGTAAATCGTATCAGAGTTCAACCAAGCACCCTGAATCCGGAATGCTGAGGTCCAAATTGTAGCTAATCGTATGACCGAAATGATGATCTTTGCCTAAGGCTGGCTGTACAAATATAATTGGAGCCATTGCCCTCATCGAGGGAGAGAAAGTTTCGCCATGTTGAACAGTTTCTTTTCGCCGTCTGGTCAGGTCCGTGTTGTGGAGATTCAAGCGCGCGAGAGACCTTGAAAGTTTCCTTTTCTTTTTCTTATAGCCTTTTGTCTTTTTCTCTTCTTCTTCTTCTTCTTTCTCGCATCTTCCGTCACAAAGGAAATGAAGACCTTGACATGGATTGGGGCTGCAATCCTGTTGCTTACCTTTATCGCCCTCAAGATCCGAAAAGACCTATTGCCGTCATGGCTCGCAGCCACAAAACGCCTAGCACAGCATGCCGGCTGCAATGACCTCAAGAGAATGGCCCCGTACCCTGCTCAGCCCATCAAGGGTAGGGAGAGGTACCGGGTCATGATGGACATTAAGAAGCTGGATGTGGAGAACTGGCTCACCCTCGACAAGAACTATATGGACGAACACCTGGTGCGTTGCCAATTGCTCGCCCATGAAGGGCACAAAGTCCTCCAGTGTCTCCCAGAGTCGTACGATGCCTGTCTGGAGGCATTGGAGGAGGTGGTCGAGTTTCTGACCCAGCGTTTTGCGAATATGTTCGAGATGAAGAAGTCTGGTGAGAAGACGATGGTCTACAACAAGATGACCAACGAAACGTTTGTTTTTGGCGGAGAAAAGAGTGAACAGATGGACCCGCTCGAGATTGCTGTGAGGTTGACAATGGAGGATCTGAGCGTTTTAATGAAGAATGAAGACGGAGAATATTATCTGTCAGTCAAACAACCAGAGAACTATCAGTTTGGTGTTTCTAACTTTGGCCATTGTAGTGCCGCAAGTGCGAGTCTCTTCCCTGTCGGTTGGACGGTAGCGGAGCGTATTGGATGGACGATTTCTCAGCTGCACAACCCAGTGCCACTGTGGCATCAACAGGTGGCCAATTCTGTCAGCAAGTAAGTTGGCCGTTGAATCGAGGAGAGAGAGAGAGAGAGAGAAAGAGAGAGGAAGGTCGAAACTGACATTTGCTCAACCAAGATTCCTATGCCGTCTCACACCGACATCTCCCATGGAACGCTCCAACTATTTTGTCGAAGTGAAACGGCCTGATGAGGATCTGTTTGAGATTCTGTACCGGCCTACAACATTATCCGAGGATAACCCCGACCCTTTGCCGCAGGACATTGTCATCCGTCGTGAGCGCCAGACCTTTCGCAGGCTTCCCCGAACTGGTGCCATTGTTTTTGGCGTCAAGACTTTCCTGACCACCCTGGAGGAGCTTCCAATGCAGGAACTGGAAAACCTAGCTCGGGAGGTCAAGAGCTGGCCCGAGCACGTTGGGGAGTACAAGGGGAGGGAGATCTGGGGAGCCAAGGCTCTCGAGTTCTGCGAGAAGAAAAAACAGCAGCAGGCTAAGGAAGCCAACGAAAAGTTGGAGGTGTGATGAAAGCATCTGAAGGTTGCAGTGGTGGTGAACAGGTGCAGCCTTTGAGGAAGGAAGGTGTGAGAGCTGAGCCAAAGTCGCGCTGGGGAGGCTTTCTGTAGCATATCTCGTCGTCATTGCATTTTCTGCGGGGTTTCTTTTCTTTTGTTTTGGGATCTGCAAAAACTGGGTGGGTGGCTATCTGATTTCAAAAGCATTCAAACTGCGTGCATGAGTCTGATTCTTCACTCTTGTCTTCTTTTGATGATTTGTTGCTTGGTTGTGTTGTCCTCCTGATGGTTGTCTTGTCCTGATGGATGGGCTGGCGATTGCATATGAATACTGGGAATGGAAAGGTGCTTGAGAAATGCTCGAGGTGGCTGGCGTAGGTGGATTGGTTTTAACAACCGTCAGGAATATCTTTTACCATAAAAAGCATTGACATGTTTGGACTGTGCTAGAATATATACATAGTGAAATCTTAATGGCCAAATCAAGGGAGTATATGAACATGTCTGAAAAGGGAAAAAAGGTCAACACAAAGGAGGGCGGACATTTGGCGGTATGGTCTATGCTCTTTCAGGTCAAGGGCGGGGGATTAATCTAGATGAAATGTATTGAGGCTGCATGCAATGCTTCTAGATCTTCGCCCGAGGTGGCTCATCTTGTTTCAGCCTCACGACACCCTGTTATTCTCAATGTCAGCCGGATAGTCACTGCCGGATGCGCCCCGATCCATGCATTCGGGTCAACGGGTAAGGAAAAGACCACCCATGCATTCGGGCCGAAGAAGAAAACATACCTCTTGCGTGCAGGTGGCAATCAACGTGCCGTCTTTAGCCCAGATCTTCTGCAGGACAAGGCCTCTCCCCTCACCCGCCCATGGGCTCTCCATCTCCGTCAACATCCATTCGTCTGCGCGGAATTTCCAAGGATTGTGAAAGTAGATGGAATGGTCAAGGCTGACCATCATTCCAATCTCCTTGTGCTCTGATTTACTTTTCGCGTCCTGGAGTTTACTTAACGCTCCCTCGAGCCGGCGTTGCAGGTCCGCCGACTCTTCCTCTTTGAGTTCGTTCAAGGACCGAGAGATATCCTCGTCATCGAGATCAGAGGGGTTCTTTAGCGCCTTCAGAGCCCTCTTCAGCTCCGCGGCTGATGTGAAGCGTGGAATATCATGTACTCGCGCGACAGTCCCGATGAAGAAGCTGTCTGTGATGTATGCAAGAGCCGAAAGGTGAGCGTGCTGAGCTCCAGCTTCTGAAATTCTTCCTCTGCATCGCACCCATCGGCGCACTTTCTTTTCCTCTGGAGTAGCACCGCCTGTTGTCGTTGTTGTTAAAAAGAGTGTCTCTAGATCCGGCCATCAGAACTCACGGTTCACAATCCCAGCCCTGGCCGACTCAAACGGTCCACCACCGTTCTCATCGAATCTCCTCAAGCCGCTCCCCGGTGGGGTTGGCAGAGGAACCGGAGGCATAGTAGCCGCATGCTGGAGCTTCTTTTTCCCACCGCTGTTGGCCTTGTTAAAACTCAACGTTGTTGTGAAGATAGGGCGACCTCGTTGCCGCGCCTGGACAGTCCGTGTGATGTAGCTTCGACCGTCACGGACTCGTTCGACGTGATAGACAATGGGAATCTCCGAGTCGCCGGCGAGAACAAAGTAGCAGTGCATGCTGTGAACGGCAAAGTCGGCAGGGACGGTTCGCATCGCTGCGGCGAGACATTGGGCGATTGCGGCGCCGCCATAAATTCCGCGGGCTCCTGGAGGATGCCAAAGGGGGCGAGTGTTGGTAAAGACATCCTATCAGACATTCCCAAGGTTAGCAAGATCAGACAGAAAGCGGAGAAGGAACTAAGGAAGAGGACGAACAGGTCCGATGTCATCCACCGAAGTCAGCTCAAGGACATTTTCGATCGGCGCCTTGGAGGAGTCGAGCTGTGGAGGCTCAAACAGTGTCACGCGCTTCGACATTTTGTGTTTGTAAAGTCTTGTAGGTTTTAACACAGAGGTGAGAGAATCATTGAATAAGGGCTAGGGGTATCTAAATAGTCGAAAACTTGAAGGAAATGGTCTGCGTTGCTCTTCGAATGACAGCCGACCATGTCTTCACGCGCAGCAGACCCACGGCCGCAGACCCATTGCGGTAATAGCCGAGGCGCATTTCGTGCCGAGCTAATAACGCAGTCAACCAAACACTCCGGCGAGTCCGGTCCTACCATCAACAAACCGAGCATTTATGAATGAGTAGTAATCAGAAATTCGATGAATATCCTCGGACCACTAGAAATGCATGATATACCAAAAGCCCCCAGTATCCCAAAACCCAAAACGCTTCTTACATGTAAAAAGAAAAGAGCACGCCGGCAACCCCTATTCCCTGTGGCAGGATGATGAATATTCCAAGCGATATACTTCGTGGTGTGTAAAAACATTGTGATTGTATCGCGAACGTGGTCGACCGTCGTCGGTTGATCGGTGAGAGCCCGTCATGATCCTTCGGCCCCCACAGATGCCCTCCGTGGATATAGTGCAGATCATTTCAACATCTTTATTTCATTGTTCTCATTACTTCGTGAGAGCCCGCAGTCGCTCAACTATAGTATCCATCTTCATGCCTGGGGGGAGGGAATGAACTCAAACGACCGGGATGATTGACTCGGAAGGTCTTTTGCGCTGCCTTTGGGGTCAACGACTTTCTAGAGGAGTTTTGGTCTAGGAGACGCTGAAGCTGCTGCCGCTGCATTTCCTCATCCGTTAACAGAATAGTACCACGGTTCGAGTCCATGGCGATAGCGTTGACGTCGCGCGAGTACAGCCAGAGCGCCCCCAGTGCATACAGGAACGCAAATGCGGCGGAGAAGCTCAGACTTAGAATCTCGAGAAGGCCCATGGGCATAAATTCTCGGCAGAGAATATTAAGGAGGACGTTGAACAGAGCGAGCACATTTGATATTAATCCAGGTCTAGGGTCATATTAGCCAAGAGAATTTCGCTCCGAGGGTTCAGGGCATACACGAGTAATGAATGAATCAGGAACGTTCGCTCGTCGTAATAACATAGAACCAAGAAGAGTGAGGCAGAGTATGCGACTCCGATTAGAATGGATGCGACGATGACGGTGGCTGTCTTGTTGACATTGGCGGATTTCTCCTCGTCTCCGAATGCGAGGGGAAGCACCAGGAACCTTATAAGCCGAGAGTTAGTATATGCAATCATTTGAAAAAGGCGCTGTGTCAAGCACATACCCAATGAGTGCCATATGCGACGACACTGAAGCAAGAAATCTTGACGAGCTTCGCACTGCGTGGTGGCTGGTGAGGGGTTGCGCTGGTGAGCCAATCTCGTGATATTGTGAAGCTCTCGACATGATGTGCTAGATGGCTCCTAGTCGGGCTTTCTATACAAGGTAGAGGACAGAAATTGCTGCTCCTGTGTATAAGGAGGCTCGCCCTTTTCTCGGACTCGTGACGATCTGCAGCGCGGGTGAAGAGGGAGACACGAGGCAAGGAGCTGAAATCGCGCGACGAAGCGAATGAACTGAGAAGCGCACGAGGGTACCAAGTCAACAGTCTAAGGCATGAGTTAAATCGTGATTATAGCTGAAAAGAAGCAAAGGTCGAAAACGAGAGAAAGGCTTGAACTCCAACTGGCAAGGGATGCGCTGCCTGAAGAATCAAAAGATGCTTAAAGGAAGAGGGATGTGATCATCTCTCAAGAACAGACCAGCCACACCAGTGGAAACTCTGCAGGTTGTCTAGACTCTGGAATCAACAATGAGCTGTCGATCCAGTCAGCAAATGACACTATCTTCAGGGCTCTCACCTGACTGGCCAGCGCTGCAGCAACGGTGTTCAGCTGGGTAACCATGAAAGCACTCTCAGTCTCCAGTCGGTTGAACATCCCTGCCCCCTCCCAGGGACTTGAAAGTGTGTTTGAAATTTGTAGCACCTCGACGTTCCGAGTCGCATATGGATTGCCAACATTGAGAACTCGAAGGAAGGTCGATCGCGCGTGAGGCAGGGTGTCCAGTCTGAAGCAGACTCAGCCACAACCTTGTGTGTGTTCAATAAGCAGCTTTGGTTACCTTTTTGAGGCTCAAGCCTGATGCACGAGTACGATGCTCCAGGTAATAATAATATCTATTTATAAATAAACATGCAAAGCGTGCCACGATCATCCTGGCAATCACAGCCAACCAAGGTTGTCGCTGACCTTGCTTCGAATGAACCAGGTTGAACCATGCTACACCGGTTGGCTTTGAATATTCGCTAGAATTCGTACAGATATTTTATTTCTAAACAAGAAAATGGTCGTTAAGACTTTTCGGCTGAAAAATCTACTAGAAACAATGTATAAGGCAAAATCTAGTGGGCAATATAATACACCAAAAACACTCACACCACAAGACTCTCAGTCTATTTGGAGGGGGCAATCTCGACACCGCCAGTGGCACCAAGCATACGCTTGATGTCACCGTAGATAGCGAACTGACCGGCAGTGATGGTACCAATCTGATAATGTTAGCGTAACGCCTGGATAGATCCCGGACTTTTCGACTTACCATGAAAAGACGAGCACCGATACCGGAGAAGGAGCCCTTGAGACCAAGCTCCTTGGCGATCTTGACGAGACGGGAGGTGGTGCTCTCGCCAGGGAGACCCTGGGTCTTGTTGATCTTGCTCAGCATGGTGTCGGCGGGCTGGGAGACGATAGCAGCGGCGAAACCAGCAAGGAGACCAGAACCAAGGTTGACACCGGTCTTACCAGCGTCGGAGAGAGTGTTCTTGTCGACGACGCTGTAGATAGCCTCGGAGAACTTCTCGAAAGCAACGAACTTGGCCATGGTGTAAGGGACCCTGAAGATTGGTTAGACTTGGATCGCTAATTTCTGTATAGTCAATGCGCGGTCGCGGCCGGATACTTACTGCTTGAAAAGGATGGGACCGAAACCAGAGTAGAAAGCACCGACACCCTCGTTCTTGAGGATCTTGCCGAAACCGCTCATGAGACCGCTAGCAAAGTCGGGCTGAGAGACGAGACGGATACGGGTAGCTTCGAGAGGGCAGAGAGCAATATCGGCGAAGAATTCGGCAGTGGCGGAAGAGGCAAGGTAGATGGCGGTTCTGTTGTTGGAGGCAGTCTCGAGACCAAGCTGGTTGATCCACTGCTGCTTGAAAAACTCATAACCACCGAACTTGAAGGCACCCTGGAGGAAGTAACCGGCAGCGGTAGGGCCGAAACCAGTAAGGAGAGCGCCAGCACCCTCGTTGGCAATGACCTGGCGGAAACCACCAATCATACCACGGTTGTATGTGACGGGGTCAAGCTGAATTCTGGTCTTGACGCTGTATGGTGAAGGGAAAGTGGCATATTAGCCAGCTGATCGCAAAGACAAGGTCCAGAGCTTTGCGGCAAGGCGCGCGGTTTGGGGATTGCATTCGGAGGACCTCGAAATAAGAAGACTACACTTACACATCGACGGGGGTAAGAGCACCGTGGGTGACGGAGCAGCAGACAGCACCAGCAAAGGCGAATCTGGAGTAAAGCTGGAGCCCAGAGAGCTGGGGAGCAGCAGGCGTAGCCGGAGCTTCCACCTTGGGAGAAGCAGGAGCGCTGGCGGACATTATTTCGGGATATGTGTCTTGCACACGGGAGAAAAGGATGAAGAAAGAATATAAAGAGAGATGGAGGAAGAGAGGAGAGTGGGGACGGAAGAGCAAGAGGCAATGGGAGGGCCTTGCAGTCTGGGATGCGAAGAAATTGAAGCGGAAACGCTGGAGGGAGGAGGATTTGAAAGGGATGGCAGAGCCTTGGCTGGCACTAACGGCACCGAACCCGAAAACTTTTCGCGTCCAATGCGGGAGACGCTCGGCCTCACGCCTTGCCACCGCTAAACTCCGATCGTCCGGCCAACCTCGAGCTTGTGGAAACCTGAAGCCGTCAGGAACGCGGTTAAGCTGCTTCAAGAGTTCATGTTACATCATCGTCATGGCTGTTATCAAAATTCTTCTGAGCTTGAATTAGCCATCTGCGCGGATTCAACGGGCTTCGTATGAGCGACCTAGGGACACGGAATAAAACCGGAAGATTGTCCGTTTACCCTTAACCTATTCTACAGCGCCCTCCAGGGCTGCCAGATCTCAAGGCCTGTCCCGAGCATTAAGGGGGTTTTCGGCACGTCATATCTTTCGAGCGCTTCTAACAATATATATATGCTGCCTCAGGCATCAACCAATATGACCGGAGCATTATCGAACGTATTTTGATTGGGCATGGATCTGCTGGATCTGATATCTATACACAGAGGTAAAGCGATGTACTTGTCACAACTTTTGGCTTGTTCAATGTTCAGCCTCTTTTGAACTTTGAAAAACTACAAGACTTTGTTATCACAGGACTTTGCAACTATAAGATGAGAAATATTGCCTCAGGGGACTGTACCCTAGCGCCAGGTCAAGACATTATCATAGCTAGTCTGATAGAAAGTAGCTGTTGACGGAATTTTCTGTTCAGCTTTACTCGAAAGCGGTAAAGGGGGGCTGCTTCCAACGTTCAACTTTCCAATGCAGTCAAATGTGACCTGTATTGCATGCAGGACAGAGGTATTTTCATTTGTCCCGACCTAGTAGCCTTGGGGTCTGTCCACGACGCAGATTCCTGATGGCTGCAGCTGTCTACACCGAACCTGCAATCTCTTCCTCGCACATCGCGAGTCCTGTATGCTGTATTCCAAATGTTGTCTTGTCTCCTATGCGACGCTTCATCTTGGAAGAGAAGAATGCCATCACTCAAGGAAATAAAAGGCAAGTGCTCACAGATTCCGAGATTTCTCTCTCGCTTTACCACATTAACACAGAGTCATGAGCAGATGAAGTTGAGAATCTCCATGAGCTCCCGTCATGGCACGCCTCCGACAACTCTTTAATGTTCCAAGCCTTTGAATGGCATGTCCCTGCGGACCAAAAACACTGGCGCCGCCTCCGTCACGCATTACCTACTTTGAAGACCATGGGAATCGACAACATCTGGATACCTCCCGGATGCAAAGGGGCAAATCCATCTGGAAATGGATACGATATATACGATCTCTACGACCTAGGGGAGTTTGACCAGAAGGGCTCCCGTTCGACCAAATGGGGAACCAAGGAGGAACTGCTGTGCTTTGCTTCTCGTGCACAAGGCCTTGGGGTTGGGTTGTACTGGGACGCTGTGCTCAATCACAAAGCTGGAGCTGATTTCACAGAACAATTCCAGGCAGTCAAGGTGGATCCACAAAGTGCGTATGTACTCTGACACTTGACGTCGGACATACCAGTTAACTGTTACCGGGATGCAGACCGAAACAGAGAAATCTCGACTCCCGAAGAGATTGGAGGCTGGACGGGATTCGATTTCTCGGGCCGTGGTGCCAAATATAGCTCGCACACGTACAATTGGTCTCATTTTAGCGGCGTCGACTGGGATGACATTCGCAAGGAGAATGCCATATTCAAAATCACAGGAACAGACAAAGGCTGGGCGACCGATGTGAGCAATGAGAATGGTAACTACGACTATTTGATGTTCTCCGACGTTGACTACTCCAACCCCGACGTTCAACGCGATGTTCTTCATTGGGGACATTGGATCAATACTCAGCTGCCTCTTGGTGGAATGAGGTTGGATGCAGCCAAACACTATTCGGCTACGTTCCAGAAATCGTTCATCAAAAGAGTACGAGAACAGCAAGGAGAAAATTTCTTCTTCGTTGGCGAATATTGGAAGGGCGAGGTTGGTGTGCTACTCGACTACCTCGAAAGAATGGAGCATCAACTCTCACTCTTTGACGTTCCTCTGGTTGAACAATTTTCAAAAGTCTCGCTCACAGAAGGAGCTGATATGCGTTTGATTTTCGAGGGCAGTCTTGTCCAGCAACGACCGGAGCATGCAGTTGTAAGTCCTCGTCCAAGCAAGCCCTAACATGTCTAACTCGCTTGAAAGACGTTTGTTGCAAACCACGATACGGTAGGGTTACAACTATGATGCTTAGGATAGGCTCATCTGACACTCTCACAAAGCAGCCAGGACAGTCCCTAGATGTAAGTACGCAACAAGCTGTGTTGACCGAGCTAACGTTCATGCTAGACTCCCATCGCGCCGTTCTTCAAACCCTTGGCATATGCCCTAATCCTCTTGCGCGACAAGGGCCAGCCGTGTGTATTCTATGGAGATATTTATGGCATCGGGGCAAGCAGCAAACATACCTCGCTACCCTCGCCCGCCAGCAATCTCTCGGCTCTCACACAGGCCCGCAAGCTCTACGCAAACGGAGCACAGAGAGACTACTTTGACAAACCTAATTGCATTGGTATATTAGTTACTAACTCCTAGTATGGCATCTACTAACGGTTACTTTAGGATTTGTCCGCTACGGTAACGCTCGTCATCCATTTGGACTCGCTTGTATCATGAGCAACGCTGGTCCATCTCGGAAGCGGATGTACGTCGGCCGGGTCCATTCTGGAGAGAGATGGTCAGATATCTTGAACAGCCGCCCAGAAACCATCAAGATAAACAGAAGAGGCTATGGTACTTTTCCTGTCGCTGCATATAGTGCTAGCGTCTGGGTGAACTCTGCAATAGAATGCAGGGAGAATCTACATCACTTCCTCTAACGCAGCGAGCAAAGCAAGCAATTAATGTAGGTACATTGTGTTTTTGAACGAACTCAGCTACATATAAGTTGGTCGGAAACAGTATAGTAGTTAATAAGTGCTGAATATTTAATTCTACGCCCCTATGGGAGTTGTCGAACTCTTATCTTTTGTCGACGAATTGGGACTGAGTGGGAATTCTCCGTGTCATCGGCAAATCATATCAGAAAAGCACCTCATTGAATATACGGGGTATGGAGCAGTGTGGATTTTGTATGAGATATCTAGCTTGCGCGAGACTTGATGCTGTACAGGTGTAACTAACTCGTAGGCTTGGCGCAAACCATTAATAATCGCAGCTAAGAACAGCCCCAGAATCCCGAGACCACCACTCGAGCTCCCCAGCGACATCTCACACATCTTCGCCACCACTCTCCTCGACTTGATCATGCGAGCGAGACTAGTTTTGGCAAGCGCAAAACGATAGTCATCGTGCTCGAGGGTCGCTCCCTTGTCCTCTCTCGCCTTCCACCTCTACTATGATTTGAGTTTCCCTCCTGCATTATCGCAATGTCTCCGTACCTTGGGCTCTCCTGGGCCCTCTCGCTCCTTCTCATCGTTTCCTTTACAGCCCTCGTTTCGTCAGAGCACACATCCAACTGGGCCGTTCTCGTCGCTACCTCTCGCTTTTGGTTCAACTATCGCCACCTCGCAAATGTCCTCTCCTTGTATCGAACCGTGAAGCGGCTTGGGATCCCTGATTCCCAGATCATCCTTATGCTGCCAGATGACATGGCATGCAACCCCCGAAATGCTTTTCCCGGAACCGTATACAGTAATGCGGACCGTGCAGTGGATCTCTACGGTGATAACATCGAGGTGGACTATCGTGGTTACGAGGTAACAGTGGAGAACTTTATCCGTCTGCTGACCGATCGGCTGGATGAGGACGTCCCGCGCAGCAAGCGTTTGAATACCGATGCTGGAAGCAATGTTCTCGTATACATGACCGGACATGGGGGTGACCAGTTTCTCAAATTCCAAGACGCCGAGGAGATCGGGGCGTGGGATCTGGCGAATGCGTTTGGCCAAATGTGGGAGAAGAAGCGATACCACGAATTACTCTTTATGATCGATACTTGCCAGGCAAACACCATGTACACTCATTTCTACTCCCCAAACATCGTTGCGACGGGATCCAGCGAACTCGACCAGTCGTCCTATTCCCACCATGCGGATAATGATGTGGGCGTTGCGGTGATTGATCGTTGGACATACTATGTGCTCGAGTTCCTTGAGAACCGTGTGACGAGCACCAACTCAAAGCAGACACTGGGTGACTTGTTCGACTCGTATGATGAGACGAAGATACACTCGAACCCTGGAGTGCGGTGGGATCTGTTCCCAGGAGGTGAACAAGAAGGCCGCCTACGCACGCTAGTGGACTTTTTCGGAAACGTCCAGAGCGTTGAAGTGGAGAGGACAGATGCTGATGAGCCAGGTTCGCTCAAAGAGGATCTTGTTGAGCTCGCCCGACTTGTCGAGAAATGGCGGACAATCTCTCAAGAATATGCCACTGCCAACAATAACTCGATCCAACAGGATGGCGAGAAAGCCTCAAATGCCTATGAAGTAAAGAAAAGAAACGTCGGGCCTGTCAAATTATCAGAAGAGACTCCTTGGGAGAAGCGGTTGGTTGGGCTGTCAGTCTTGGGTGCGTGTGCTGCCATCTGGGTCGCCGGATCAGCCCTGGGTGGCACTGTGTCCTGATATTTGCATGGGTTATTTGAGCGTTATTGGCATTAGATTCTTGGATACTAGCTTGAGGACAATCATATTGCATACTCAGTTAGACTCTGGCATCTTCGTTGATTCAAGTATAGCGCATTCCGATCAAATGCGCCTGTGGTTTCTTTTCCATAAGCATATTAGCCCGCATTCAAATGAACATCTCCATCGAAAAGGAATGGAATTTCGTTGCTGTCATCAACCTGCTCAAAAACCCTTCAAGGGAGTAGTCGGCTTGGCGCACGTGCCATGCGCTCTGGACGCGTCGAGCGGAGAAGGAAGCGCGACTGAACGGACCGGGCAATCTCACACCTGAGAGCGACTAACTACTAAACAAAAGCAGCGCAATTGCGATTACCGTTACCCTCTCGCGCCTTGCTTCTTCATTTACAATTATAGGGGCCTCGCGCTGCCCCAAAATATTCTTTTTTTTCCTCTATACTGTCATTTGTTTTTCACCCTTATGAGCTACGGTACTCATAATTATAAATGTGCTTCTCGACGCGTCAATTACGCTAGATCCAGCCAGCGCTTCGACTCGACTCGACTCGACTCGGTAGAAATCAGACGGACGAGCAGACCGACAGATAACAAACGATGTATCTTCCGCGCCAACTAATATCCCACCTCTACCTCCAACTCCTCCGCTCGCACCACCCCCTCTCCCCACCCGTGCTCATCCTCGTCGCCCTCGAATCAGACGCCCTCTGCGCCTGCCGCATCCTAACCGCCCTCCTCAAACGCGATTACATCCCGCACAAGATACACCCTGTTGCCGGGTATGGCGATCTCTCGCGCGCCGGCGAAGAGCTCGTCCGGCCCATGCAGACGGGTAATGGGGGCAGCGGAGGCGTTGTCGTTTGTCTAGGCGTCGGCGGGCTGGTTGATCTAGGTGAGATTCTGGGGTTGAGCGGCGAGGACAACGACAACGCGACAGAGGAGGATATGGGCGGTGTCGAGGTGTGGGTTTTTGACGCGAGGCGGCCGTGGAACCTGGCCAACGTTTTTGGTGGGCAGACCCAGGTGCTTGCGGAGATTGATGGGAATGCTTCTACGGTTGCTGGGAGGCGGCAACAAACGTGTGGTGTGGAGAAAGGCCGCGTGACGGTTTCGTATAAAAATGGTGGTGGGGGGATCGTTGTTTACGACGATGGAGATATAGAGGAGGAGATGGAGAAGGAGAGGGAGGCTTATTGTGCTTTGATGGAGATGCCGGAAGTTGATGAAGACGAGGAGGACGACGATGACGAGGAAGAAGATCAGGAACCGCCATCGAGTACGGACTCTAGGAAGCGGAAATCCTGGTCGCGTGAGGACGACGACGACGAGAATGAAGAGCTTCAAGATGACGAGGAGCCTCCTCGGCAGCGAAGGAGAAGTAATTCTGTAAGACTCAATTGACCGTGGAAGACGCGACGGATACTGATTCTATACCCCAGAACTCGTCAATCGCTTCATCACCAACGCGTGTGCGCAGGACCGAGCATGACTCCTCAAATTCCTCACGCTCCGGCACACCCGTGTCTGACTCGCCCTCGCCGGCGCGACAGAAACAACCATCCGCGCGATCATTACGACGCCGACTCCTCCGAATGAAGCGCAAACACGAGAGTGTGCTACAGCAGTACTACTCGTCCGGAACGTCCTACTCTGAACCGATCTCTTCTATAATGTACTCCCTTGCATCGGAATTGGGCCGTGAAGACAATGACCTCCTTTGGCTGGCCATCGTCGGGGTCTGTAGCTTGGAACTTGGCGGCCGGACCATGTCCGGAGTAGGCGTCTCGAGCGCGTCCGAGTCGGGAGGCTTGGCGGGATGGGGTGGAGAGCGCGGAGAGCGAATACGGCAGATTCTACGCGACGAAGTCCATCGACTCAACCCGCCAGATCCTTCCGAGCGGGACCGCGATATCAGAGGCGAGGTCACAGGCGTCATTCCGACGACTGCCCGGTCTCCCACCGACAAGTCCATCCGATTATCCCCGGAGCCTCGCTTTATCTTGGTTCGGCACTGGTCACTTTACGAGAGCATGCTTCACAGCCCATACCTCGCGTCTAGGCTGCATGTATGGACTGAAAACGGGCGTAAACGATTGCACAAGCTACTGGCAAAGATGGGGATCAGCCTGACGCAATGCCATCAAAACTATACGCACATGGACATGGAACTCAAGCGGGTGTTGCGACAGCGACTGCTCAAATATGCTCCGATGTATGGCATGGACGGGTTAGTGCCGTCAGAAGCGTCTGGGCATGCAGCCTCCCGAGAAGGATGGGGCTTTGTACGTTGTTGGGGCTGGAAAGCTTGCCTGTCTGCCACAGATGTAGGTGTCATGATTGGCGCCATCCTCGAGGTTGGGCCAGAGGAAGTCCCTGGCGCATGGGATGCAAAGCGCCTGCCTCGGATACGAAGGGCGCAAGAAGGCAGTTCTGGCCCCGACGACGACGCAGATACAGACCCATCGAATCTTCTTGCCCGTTTCTGGACAGCATACGATGCGCTATCACTAACGTCAGAGTCCCCAACGCTTCTCATGGAAGCGCTACCCCTCGCTCAGCATCTACACCGGGCCATCCTCCGAACAGGCACGTCTCTGCTGTCCAAGCATCAGATTAGGCACCTGAGGGCGTTTCGTATCGCAGTCGTCAAGGACGGCCCTGATGTCAAGCTTTTTACGAACCCAGGGGCGCTGACCAAGCTAGCATTGTGGGTTGCCGAGGCCATTCGCGTGCAGGAACGAGACCGCAGTGACACTCTCAAGATCGGCAAGAGGCGAGCAGCCGGTACACCGCTGGTCCTTGCAGGGCTTGATGAGGATCGTGGACTCTACGTTGTCGTCGGCACTGGTGGCGGAGGTGGCGTGATTGACTTTGCTGCTCTGTCTAGACGTCGTGAAGAACGGCGCAAGAAGAAAGAAATCAAGGAGAAGAAGCGAAGCGAGCGAGAAGAGGCTCGTGTGAGACGTGCCGCCGAGCGGGCTGCAAGGGCAGAGGACGGCGAGGAAGACGAAGAGGAAGAATCGGAGGAGGAAGAGTCCTCTGAGTCGTCTGAATCCGAGTCTGAGGACGAACAAGACATGAGCGGTAACAAGCACCTTTTACGCAATCGATTCGGTATCGCTTTCCAGGAAGTCGTACAAGAGACGAACACTCGAGTGCGGATCGACAGCTTCGAGCACTGCGTGGTCGAAGTACAAAAGGAAGATCTAGGAGGGTTCCTTGAAGCCCTCAGTTTCCGTAGTGTTGTTGGTTGAGTTTTCCCCTCCGGCAGCACCCCCCCTTTGATTTACTTTGTGTGCTTCATTTTTTTTGTTTACTGCGCTCGTGATCTATACCATGGAAGGTGCAGGCTTTGGTTTGAAATGGCCCTATTCGATGAAGACGGTTTCTATCATCCCCGACTCTTCTCTAGACGCTTTATGATGTTGGATCTATACAGCCATCCATTTTGTTTTTGCCCGGTTCTTTTGTTTGCGGAGGTGTTGAATTTCCTGTCTGTTCTCATCTGCTGCGCTCCATCATGACCCCTTTGCATATCCCGCACATGCCCCGGCGCTTCTGGCGTTTTCTTTGAAAGATTTGAACTTGACTAGCATGAGTGAGAGGAATTGATCGCACTTTTGCACGATATTTTAGAAGTCTTCGGATAAACTCCGATCGACCCCGCAATACCAGTCTCCAAGTCCCAGGAGTATATCTTCCCCTCAGACGCCGACAACTTGCATCGATTGACATTGAAAGCAAAGTAGACTACCTGAGAAAATGTCATCATACCCAATTCTTCCCCGCGATCGCACCATCGCCTCCCTTCCCCCCGAATACCCCTTGGACGCCCTCACCCATATCACCACACTCCTCTCCACCTCCCCGCGCCGCCTCGTCGTCCTCGACGACGACCCCACAGGAACCCAAACCTGCCACGACATCTCCGTCCTAACAGTCTGGGACATCCCAACACTGAAAACCGAGTTCCTTTCCTCCTCAACCGGCTTCTTCATCCTAACAAACTCGCGCGCCCTCCCCCCAACCGCCGCCGAAACCCTCATCCGCGAAATCTGCACCAACGTCGCAGCCGCCGCCGCCGAAACAGGATACAAGAACCAAGTCGACATTGTCCTCCGAGGCGATAGCACGCTCCGCGGCCACTTCCCGCTCGAAGTCGACGTAGCGCAGGATGTCTTTGGGACACCACCAGTGGATGGCTGGGTGCTAGCCCCGTTCTTTTTCCAGGGTGGACGGTACACGATTGACGATGTACATTATGTGCTTGAGGCGGGGGATCAGCTCGTCCCTACGGGCGAGACGCAGTTTGCAAAGGATGCGACGTTTGGATATCGGTCTTCGAATTTGAGGGATTACGTGCGTGAGAAGGCGCCTGGAAGGTTTACCGATGACCAGATACATTCTGTTACTCTAAAGGACATCAGACTGGGTGGACCCGAGGGCGTCTGCGAGAGGCTCTTGGGGCTCCCAAGTGGAGGAGTGATTATTGTGAATGCAGCGGCGGAGTCGGATATGCATGTTTTTGTTGCGGGGTTGTTGCTCGGTATGTACTCACGACCTCTTCCCATGGTCCTTTAGCTTCTTGTACTGACCTAAATTGTACAGCCGAAGCAAAAGCCAACAAGCGCTACATCTACCGCACAGGCGCAGCCTTTGTCTCAACCCGCCTGGGAATCCGCTCTATTCCCCCAATAACATCCACCCAGCTGCAACTCCCACAACCTCGGGAAACCGGCGGATTGATCCTCGCGGGCTCGTACGTCCCCAAAACGACCGCGCAGCTCGCACACCTCACGAAGACCCGGGGTCCCGATACCCTCGCGGTGATTGAGATGGATGTCAACGAGCTGATTACGTCGGCGGAGAGCGCAGCGGGACTGATTGAGCGTGTTGTGGAGCAGACGGAGAGCAATCTGCGAAAAGGCCTAGATACACTTGTCATGACGAGTCGGGGGCTTGTGACGGGCGGCGATGAGCTGGAGTCGTTGGCAATTGGGGGCAGGGTTGCGGAGGCGCTGGTTAGGGTTTTGGAGGGGGTGGAGGTTCGGCCGAGGTTTGTTATTGCAAAGGTAAGCTCTAGTCACGTTAATATTGCTCGGGCGTTGATTCTAATCGGCAAATAGGGTGGGATTACGTCTTCGGATGCAGCTACGAAAGGCCTGCGGATAAAACGGGCTCTGATCGTTGGGCAGGCGGCGGCGGGTGTGCCGCTTTGGAGATGCGATGAGCCGACGTCGAGGCATCGGGGGGTTCCCTTTGTTGTTTTCCCCGGGAATGTCGGTGGAGAGTCTACTTTGGGTGATTTGGTTGCGGCGTGGAGTTAGCCTCTACACCTACTGTATAGGTCGAGAGCATAGAGTTAAGAAGCACTCTACTGAGAAATGGAAAATTGGTAGAGTCGGTGGCCCAAGGCCACGAGAATATCTTCCTTTATTTGAACTATGTAGACCTAGCTGGACCGCCAGGGATGCTGGGAATCAAAAGACACGTATAGTACGTACAGGACGAGAATTGACCTGCCAGAGTAGAAACCCAAATGGACGCCTTTCGTAGAGTATTTATTGATTTTTGAATCACGTATGCCATCGGGAAGAACCTGAACCTCATGCAAAACGCGTCTCCTTGTCTAATAAAGAGCGCTTCTCTTGACCGTAGTCATGTGGTGAATAGAGAAAAGAAAAGATTCCGTAGCGAAAGTCTCGAACTGGAACGAGAGAATGCGGAAGATACACCAACCTTTGTACAGCTTCTGACACGAGGCGAATCACTGGATCACTGTGTTCCTTGCAGTCAGAGTTAGCTTGAACTGTTGGTTCATCATTACATCGACCCTAGGATTAGGATTTATCGTGTGCAATTGTCTCACGACTTGATGGGGACCTGCCCCGAAGTGCCTGTTTGTTGACGAATTATTGAATATTCACCTTCACGCAGGCGTAGCAGTGGCGGAGAGTCTGTCGGAGGGGACTTGTCGTTTGGCAGCCGGTGCGGACGAATCCTAAACAGAGTGTTGGTATTAGTTATAACTAAAAGTTAGAACTCTCGGGCGCCAAGTGACACGCGGTAGCCTGGATTTAGTAATATAGACCCGCACGACGGGTGTATTTCATGACGGGACCGTGGTGTTGTAGTATGAACTTACGTCGAGAGACTCGAAGCTTCGTTTCTGTCCGCCAGCTGACACCTTTTTGACGACTTTCTTCTTTGGCCGGGTGGGCCGGGTTTCTCCACTCTGAAAGAGGTCATCCGGTAAATCGTAATTGCGTATATGGGTTATGGACAGGTCGTTAATACCAGGTTGGTACCCGGTCCAGGACGTGCACGTGGACTTGAAGATTTGGGCATCAGACGAGATATCCAGCGACCGCGATGCGCCTATGGAGAGTCAGTGAGTTTCAGCGAGGAGTTTCAGCGAGGGTCCCGCGGTCGGTGTACCTGGATCAACCGGCTTCAATTCCAGCCCAATATAGTACGTCGTCGTATAAATAGTTCGACTGTCACCGTTGGCTGTTTCTTCGCCCGCAGCAGGGACTTTTGCGTCTTCTCTTCCGTTCTGAGCTGCGGCTTGGTGAGCAGCATCATTGATCTCGTCGGTTGTTTCTGTCTTTACTCCCTTGTCATGATACTTGAGTGACCCATTCTTGACTGCCTCGGCCTCCTCTTCGCTATTGACCTTGTGAATTCTCTCAAACCCTTTGGGAAATGGGTGTGCCACTGCAATGGTGGATTTACGGTCCAGTGCTCCGACCAAGTGTCGGACTTTGGACTCGACGAGACCGGACCAGACCGACTCTGCTTCCTTTGTCCTACTGGACGCTGTAATACTGAGGTAGTATTTGTAGTCCTGGGTGAAAAAGGAGTGACGCGTGAAAAGGTCATTCCAGCTTGCCTGCTTGGCCCAGATCTTATCAACAATATCACCGCCGCGCTGAAGCTCGCGCAAGATGACCGCTTTGGTTGACATTGAGATGTTGTGAGTTGCGCACATGGAAGGGTAGGCAGGGGTGATGATTGGCATTAGATGGAATCGATCACCGTGGTAAATCTATTATGAGGATGAGTGAAGGTCTCAAAATGTACGGTTCCGAAGCGTACCTTTGGATTCCAAACTTTTATCTGCAACGGCCCGTCTTCGATTTGCTTCAGCAACACGGGTTGGGGCCAGGCCCATTTGTTCATTATCCGGAAGAACTTGCCCACAATCACAGAGCCAGTTGCCTGGGGATACAGCTGACACACTCTCGCCACTAGCATAGCCCAGGCGACACCACCTGGGAAGCCAACAATATTAGAATAGATAGCACGACGCTGAGCCCACAGCTTGATTGCCCGCAAAGCAAGGCGAAACGTCTTTTGCTGCGGTACCAATTCCAGAATCTCATCTGTAACACGAGTTCCATTAAGAGATCGCACTTCCTTTTCATCAAGGCCCCTCAGGTAGTCGTTGTTTTTCAAGTCGAGATTCAATGGAATTGACGGCAGAATCAGGCGGGCAAAGATCAGATCAATGCTGATACCGGATAATTCGAGCTTGATCAAGGGTACGAAAGCATCCGGGACTGGTGTCATCTTTTCAATAGCTCCTTTAGGAGCCATCTGTTCAAGCAGTGGTGGGAACTCGGCGAAGAAGTCATCGATCACAACGTGTTTAGGCCCGAGAACTAGGGTATCGATATCCGATCCTTGAAACCAGGTAATCGTCAGTTCACACCCATTTCTATACTATCAGTGTGCTTACCCGGTCCATAAACACCCAGGCGATAGCTTCCATATGTGAAAATCTTGCCCCCTGCTGCCTCCACAGCCGCAGGTGAGAGTCCCTTTTTGCGACTGACCGCTTGAACAAATGCGGTTGTGACACGTTGTAAAAGCTGGAGTACTTGTTTCCTATGCGCAGAGGAGAGTCAATCAGGCTGGAAGACCGAATCTGACGGGCTTTGCTTACCTTCGCTCTGTCTCTGCCGGGCTCTCAAAGTTGTTCTGAAGCTTAAGCTCCGCGATCAAGTCATCGTTTGCGGAAAGTTCCTCTGCGGTTGGCAACGTGGTGGAAATGGGAGGGGTCACGCCCCATTGTCGAGCTGGTGTTGGCGCTGCTGCCATTGTAACTGTTGCTGCCTCAGTGTCGCGAGACTATGCGATTGCGGAGAACGGAAGTGTTACGGAGTACAAGGAACGTCGAGTGGGCGGGAAAAACAACCAAAGGACAAGAATTAAAAAAAAGCCTATGGGTAGGTAGATTTATTCGATTAGAAAGAAAAGGAAGCAAGGGAAAGTATTGAGTGAATGGAGCGATGAAGCAACAGCGCGTAGTGAGCAGGACAAGGCACATCCAGAAAGGCTTGAACGGTTGGATCGCCGGATGACTCAGCGGTCTCCGTTTGCCCAGATATCATGGTCGGAAATCATGTGACTGTGTTCTTCTCTCTGCGGGGGGTAATTTCTCCTCTGTTTGCTTATGGAGAGCATTGTCAAACTTTGTCCATGAGCAAAAGTGGGAGCGAAACTGATTGAGGCAGTCTGATTCTTGGCACAGGACTACTGTCTTTAAGTTTGAATTTGGCACAAAGCGACAATGCCAGCATCTGCTTCGTGCAGCAGGCTAAAGGCTCAACGAATGGGAAGGGCCAGCTTCTCTTCTGAGGTGCTGTTCTTTTGAAATAATTCAGACAGCTGCTCATCAAGCCACCTTGCATCGACTTTACTATCTCCAGGGCCGCCGGCCCAATCTGTTTCTGCGTCAACCCCTTAGAGCGGCGCTCAAAGGAAGGCAGTACTTACGGCCCCAGATGGAGGGGAAGACACGGAGAGTGCCGACGCCTGGGCTCATGCATTCAACTTCATATTCGGAATCCTCTGGCCTTAACGTGGCTGTTAGCCCATGCCTTTCTGAAGGCTCTGGAACTTACGGGAAGTAGAGATCCGTTTTCGCTGGAAGGACCAGCGTCTTGGCTTTTATCGCAGCCATGGCCTTTTCGAAATTGCCACCGTATGGCTCTTGCTGGCTGACGTCGCCGTTCTGCCAGGTCTCTGCCATTGCTAGTAGGTTTCCTGGGTCTGGACGCACTCGCATTAGTGATACCATTCGCCTTTTGTGACGGGGCTGCCCTACCTTTTGACAGAGCCCATTTTTCCCAGAAGCCCTGCAAGAAATCTTCCAGGTCTTTAAAACCCAATTCAGTCTCGTACAGCTTCTTCCGGTAGAATGTTTGTGAGAAGCCCCTGGGTTTGGTCGAAACGTTAACTCTTCGCGGGCCATGAATCAAGAAGGGCATGTTACCAGCCAGCATAGCCTCTCCCGAATGCCTTCAGTCCTACTTCTCTCTCACTGTCACTCCAGGTTCTCAAAGTCTGTCCCGATACAATAACGCCGCCTTGCCCAGATCCAGCTGAGCGGATACCCTTGGCTGCGAGCAAAGCACTCTTGACTCCCTCTAAAAAGACTTGGTTGTGCAAGGAAGTCCTCGCCGCCCCACAGAATGGGATAGCCAAGTCCATGAAATCAGGATACTGCGTCGCCCACTGATAAGTCTGGGCGCCTCCCATTGACCACCCGATTACAGCACGCAGATGCTTGATTTCAAAGTGCTCGGTGACAAGCTGATACTGGGCCCGGACGTTGTCGTAGAAGGTACATTTCGGCCACTCTCCGTCAACGGAATAATTTGAAGGAGAAGTTGACTGGCCGTTCCCAAACAGCGCAGGGACAATGATGAAATAATTCTTTGGGTTAAGGGTCTTGTCTTCCCCTATAAGCCAAAAGTTGTCTGAGAGGACTATAATTAAACTGGGTGTTGGTCATTTCATGGTCATTTTTGTGGAAACACCACACTTACGCCCAGAAAACCACGTGGGATACACGATAGCAGGCGACTCCGGGTTACCGAACGTCTTGTATGCTATATGGGCGTCGATCAGCTTTTCTTTGCTCTGAAGCTCCCAATCGCCGAGTTTGTAGACCTCGTAGTCCTGCTGTGCCATTGCTGCGTTTCGTCGAGTAGAGTGTATGCACGAGTTTATTATCTTGAATTTAGGCTCGTTTCAAGGATACTTGAGGTTATAATGTCAGGCAGAGTGATGCTTCTTGTGTCGCTGCTCGCTCTGAAGAGAGCGATGAAGAACAATCAACCAGAAGAATGTCTTCTGATTAAGGGAGATGCTAAGCAACTGAGCTGACTGCAGAGCATTCCTCTGAGGTCCGTTGCATTGAGGGGTCAAGTAGAAAGAGAGGGGTCCTCATCACAAGCTCCGGTCACGGGATAGAAACTATATCCATAGTACTGATAGAGAAGATAGAAGGCCTATGAATCCGCTCGCTTAGAATCGGAAACAGATACCACTGGGTCTCTTGTAGTTATCAGGCTTGAATAAGGGGTGTTTGACATCTCGACACAAAAGAATGTGTCTTTTGTGCCATGGCAGAAGTGATTCACATACTTCTATCTGCGATTACGGTTTCTCTGAGCTTATAATCTGCTGCCAGGAGGATTGACAGGATGTACTCTGCTGCTATCCCATCCTTTGAAGCGTAACACTATTGACGTTGGCCGCTTTTACGTTCCACCTGCGGGGTTCTCGGCCATGGAGGTCTGTCATCGGGCCGACGCTCGGTAATGCAGCGGTATTTCCACAGCTCTGTGGTCACCTTGGAGGCACAGGACGATCAGAGAAGCCCGGGAAAATTGCCACGGGGGGCGTGGAGTTACATCGCTCTCTCCTTTTAATCAGCAACTTTGGCGTCTTCACCCGGCGATATCATGCAACAGTGCAGCAACAAGATGATGTTTTCTTTTATTTCAAGATCATTGCGCAAATTTCCAAGGCTTCCTTTTCAGATACCGTAAGTTTTTAGGCATCAATGCCAATCAGGACTGTCAAGTATCTCATGTTAACAGCAATGCAGCACCGCTCAACGTCTGAATAGCATCTCGCAAAAGCCTGGCGCTGTTATTTCGGGAACTTGTCGCCAAAAATCTACCATGATCAAAACGTCTGCACATTTCAAGGTCAGAGAGGATTTTGACAAGATTCAAGCATCCCGTCCAGACTTCCAGCGCGATGCAGGAGTGACGTTCTCGAAGCCACCAAAGCCAGACTGGAAGGAAGGCGATGGTGGAAACGACGGAGGCGAAAGTCTGAAGAAGCAACACATTGAGATTGATCCTCACGAAGAGGGACGACCCGTCTCATCCAACTATAAGCTTCTGGTATCGGGAATCGTCCCTCGACCAATTGCTCTTATCAGCACAAAGTCAAAAGATGGAAAAACCGCGAACCTGGCTCCATTTAGCTATGCTCAGGTCATAAACCACGATCCGCCACTCTTTACGGTGGGCTTTGTAGGCTCCCTTGAGAAAGCCAAGGATAGCCTGAAGAACCTCGCAGAGACGCAGGAATGCGTCATCAACATCATCTCGGAACATTTTGTCGAGGCCGCCAATGCTACCGCTGTGAATGCGCCCTATGGGGTATCGGAGTGGGAGATATCTGGTCTCCACCAAGCACCTAGTTCTGTTGTGCAAGCTGCTCGCGTGAAGGAATCGATCTTGTCAATTGAGGGCAAGCTCGTTGAAACCAAGGAGTTTGAAAGCCGGACAAGCCCGGGAAAGAAAACCGGGGTCCTGGCGATCATTGAAGGAGTTCGGTTTTGGGCCAGAGAGGACGCTGTGGATGAAGAGAAAAGTGTCATTGACTTGAAGGTCTTGAAGCCAATCAGCCGCTTGGGAGGCGTTTCGTACGGGCGAACAACCGATGCAATCGAGATCCCAAGGCCGAAATTTTAGAAGCTCCATATATACTCCCATGAAAGCTCATGCCGTGCTCATATATATTGCTCCACGAACGCGATATCCAATAGATTATACCTGCGGAAGTCAATCGTTGTATGCAAGTGTAGTTGTGCCATGGTTGATAGCCAAGTTTCAGCCTCGTGGTAGCTCCCATCCTTTCAGATGCTTTTTGACCCTTGCTGGGAAATCGGGCCGATATTCGGTATAATGGACATCAACCAGATACGTTACCACGAAACGTGGAGTCAAAGATGAGAGTTCGAGCACGTCGATCAGATGGAAGGTCAGGAGTGAGGCAAATGAAAGTGGTTGGGTCTCCGGACTATCGCCGACCGGATGGGTCCAGAGTGGGTTTCCTCCCCGTTACTCCAGCACGACGCTGGGGTCTCGCCCAGAACTCTGGAGAGGTTCAGAAAATCGGTTCACATGACCACTGTCAATCTTGAGTCCAGGCTTTGCCCTTTGGAGGCGTTATCCGGCGCATCGGTGCTGATGGGCGGTCTTTCTCCGATCATGGAACCCGCAGAGGCGTACCCAAACTCATCATGCGCACAGAAAAAAAAAGTGATTTTGTGGATCTGTCTGGGAGTGATGATCTTATGACGGAGTACTCCGTTGGCGAGATCGTATTGCGTCTGGGTATCCGCCAGGGAGATACATAGTTGCATTCAATAATTCATTTGACTCTAGTGCGGGCAAAGGAGAAGCTCACCCAGGCTCCAGGAGTGCGAATGTCACGGGTCACATGGCATGCTTGATCCGTGGTGGAGATCAAGGAGTTGGATGACAGCTGTAGGGATGTCTTTTTTTTTATCCTGTTGCTCCTTTGAGACAATGATAAAGAGGTGATTGGTCTCGGCTATTACATAAAAATGCGACTCCAAGATGGGCTGGGGATGTTTGTCTGGATAATTTCCTCATAATAATGAAAGCTCTGGAATATATGCGCGGAGGGATGCAGAGACGGCGCTTGGGGAAGGAGAATACGTAGAGATTTTGAAGGAAATAGGCGGTCAGGGTGGTTTTCCAGACCAGAAAGAAACCGTAACGATTGCTCGGTGTGCATCAGATTGTTGTATACCTATGAGTCGGGTTGAGTAACGATCTCAAGTCAACTATCAACGTGTGATCGAGGGAGATTAATTAGTTCCCTGGTTCCGCCACTGCGCGGTCTCTCAGCCTTTCTTTCAATAGTATCCTCCAACTCCGGTTAAATAATAACCACAATTCTGGAACCCTTGGGGGAGCTAGCTTAGCAGGCGCAACGACGCTTTGAGACCCCCTCCTCAAACCAGCAGCGCACAGCTCACAGCTCAAGCTTCCACTCCTGCTTTCCCCCCTGGACCCTGGCATCCGGTTTCCTCTCCATTTGTACTATCAACCTATCCTATTCCTCCATCCTCAGCAACTCACCGACCACCGCGTGGGATCCAACCACGCCCATGGACTGTTCGCCTGGTCGGGTTTTGCCATCGAGACACTTCCCACGCTACGTATTTCTTCGACCGCTGATTCCTCCTGCTGCGAGCCCATAAGCTTATCACAACCGAAGCTTGACTGCTGGAACCACGATCTCAAAATCGCTCAGATGCCAGTGTGCTGTGACCACGGATGACCACTTGCTCGCGATGAGCCACCCTTCTCCCCGGAAGAACGGCGGCAGTCATCTTCCCCCTCCAAAGCAGATCCGCTTCGTTTCCACCGACGGTCAGCCTCAAACGAAGCGCCGAAGAGTAAATGCTGCGTAAGCTTTTTCCTTTCGATGCCTCCTTACCAGTTTGTCGCAGTAACTGATGCGTGATTCGTTTCGGGTGTATGCAGGTGCCGCACTTGTCGCAAACGCAAGATACGATGTTCCGGTGAGCAACCAGGTGAGACTCATGTGCCTTATACAAATACCTTGCGCTAGGCTCACATATTCCCTTAACCGCCAGTTTGCAAAACGTGCTCGGATTACAACCACGAATGCCTCGGTTATAGTGAACCCGCTACGACTCATGTTCGAGCGCAATCCGACACAACCTCTCGCACCACAACAACTCCATCCCTGCCCACCCCAAACGAATCGGCGGTTTTGCGCGGATCTCTAGAATTTGAGAGTCGGCTCCCAGAATCCCCAAGATGTGCGACATTGCCCTCCGCTGTGAACGGCCCTGGGAACTCCCCCAAAGTGCTCAAACCGCCAAATATAGAAGGGCCGTCTCCTTCCCAGAATACATCTGCTCGAGCCTCAAAGGACAGGGAGCAGCACACAGCGGGGGAAAGTCCGGAAAGTAGTATGTCCCGAGAGATCCTGATATTCCCTCGTCCTTGCGCCCATACTTATCCTTCTTCCCTCAGATCGGACTTCCGTGAGCTCAGTTGGCCGTACGCATGTCCCCTACTTTAGGTATTTTGGACCCACGGCTATTGTCCCTGGATTCAAGCAGATGGTCTGTAGAACACCTTTGAATAGCGTATTTCCGGTAATTAATTTATTCCTCAGGTTGTTCAAGTGCGGGGCTCACGAAAGAGCAATGCGTCATTGTCATCAGGTTGGTGCTTCCTGCCTGCTCGGCCCCCCTTTATTTTCTTTATTGAGCACACTCGACTCATCCCGGATTCTTCATCCAGATTCATTATCGCCACTGCGAAGTCCTAAGCTCATTGAAAGAGGGCATCATCCACTCAATGCTATAGCGGCTACCGAGGACAATCGTGATGCCAACACTATCCCCTTCTATGACCGCGATGATTCTTTACCCGTGGGCAACTTGGTGACTCACCTCTGCGAATTGTTCTTTGTGCATTTGGGTTGTAGCTTTCCATTTTTACGACGAGACCGTTTTCTGCGTGATCTAAAGGAGAAGAAAATCGATACCATGCTGGTGGATTCCGTTTGTGCCTTGTCCGCTCGATTTTCTCCGCATCCGTTGTTGAGCCCGCCTCAAGCGCCCCGGATAGATGGCTCGCAGCCTCAGCTGGACACAACGAAATCTAATCGCGGTCAACCGTTTGCCAACCGGGCAATGAGTGCGCTGGTCGAGGCTCTCTCGTTCCCGACTCTATCCGTCGTCCAAGCATGTCTACTTCTTGCCTATGAGGAATTCGGCTCCAATCATGATAGTGGTCTGTGGATGTACTTGGGCATTTCTATCCGGATGGCGCAGGACCTCGGAATGCAGAAGCTACAAGGTCTGGACTACAGCTATGGTCGGACAGGTGTGACGCCAAGCGCCGTCGTGACCGGGCAAGCCTCAAAGCTCAGGGAAGATCAATATGACGATCCACAAATTGGTTCGGGCGCGACCAAAGGATCACAAGAATCAGAAGACCAACGTGCGTGGGAGAGAGAAAGGGTGGACTCGTTCTGGAGTATCTTCTTTCTTGACAGGGTCATCTCATCCGGCACCGGACGGCCGGTCACCTTGCGCGACGAGGATATAGAACTCCGTTTCCCGCTCCAGTCGGAATCCCAGCTTCCCAACGGTTGGCCAGCGCCATTTCCACCTCTTATTCGTATCATTCATTTGTACGGGAGAGTTACAGATCTTATCAACGGGATGCAGGATGCCAACCACGTTACAACCGATAACCTCAAGAGGTTAGCTGGGATGGAGAGTGATCTAACAGGTATGACTTGTCGCGACATATATTCCTTGTGCCAGGCTGATTTATCAAGGAATCTACCAACGTCTATCGCCCAAACTTCACTTTAATGCGGCAAATTTCCAGGCCTATGTCAAGGCCAAGGAAGGGACAAATTTTATTCTTCTTCATTTTGTAAGATATATGCGTTGTCGTGCTCAGTGGACGTCAAATACTGACCTTATTCAGTGGTTCCACACCGTAATCGTCCTTTTACACCAGCCGACGCTTTTACACTCCTTTGGCGGCACCATCCAACACTTGTACCCTAACAGCAGGGAGCTTTCAATGTCCTCAGCGAAAACAATAGCGGACATTCTATCCTTCTCCGAGCTTGTCGATGGAAAAAGCTTTATCGGCAATCCTTTCACGAGTCAGCCGATGTACATTGCGGCGTGCGCTTTCCTCATGGAGAGCGCCTACTACTCTTCGCCTTCTTCCCGATCTGGCTCGCCTTCGAGCCAGCCATTGTTAGCCAACCAAACCAGTGGCTTTGTTATGCCAAACATGGACTCTTCGAATCCCTCAGAACGAAAGCCGACAACGAAACACAGTCTGCTTGCGTCTGCTGCGAGAGAAAACTATCAAAGGTGTTACAAAGCTCTAAAAGCGCTCGAGACTTACTGGGAGGGTACAAAGTATATCCTGACAGTCTTGGACCAGAAAGCCAAGGGCATCATGGATCCTTTGTTGTATACCGAAGAAGAGATGGAAGGCACCTCCGAAACACCCACAGTTCAGCCTATTGCGGGCACTAACTGGCGACAAGCCCATGTAACGGCTGTACCAACCAATGCTGCAGAAGGACCAGCACCCGGCGCCCCTGATCCTGGCCAAGGTGAGATAATTTTCCGCCCAGCCTCAAACTTATATCATAGTAATGTTTTTTCAGCTATTGGTTGGGCTCTTACCAACGCGACCAATTCCTCGCAGCCAAATCTCAGTCTTCTGTATCAGATGCCCGCTGCTCAGGCCGAGCCTGCATCTGAGAACAAAACTTCGTATTCATCTCAATTTAACCATGGCTATACCAATCTTCCTTCTCAACCGGGCGTCGGACCAAGTCCGAGCCCGTTCCCCCGAGACCTTGAGCCCACGAATACCTCAACCGCCGCTCATGAATCCCATGTATCCTCAGGCCGGGTAACAACGTCCGATGCGAACCTTCTGCTTGGCCTCAACACCCATTACCCAGGCCCTACGTCCCGTCCTCCAAATTCCCAGTCAGCGCACAATCAAAATATCCCGTCTTCATCCTCCTCTAATCTCGACCCACAAGTGGCTCCATACAGCTATATCCCCGTTACGACGAGCGATCGCCACGGCAGTAATCTCTTGACCTCGAATTTCCACTCCGGTGTTAATCCACACATGGGCGATCTTCTCATTGAGAGCCAAGACATTGATATGTCCGCCCTTCAACAACAGGATCAATTTCCTTTCCCAATTAACGGACTGCCCTGGCTGGAATATCTCCCTCAAGATGTTCTCAGCTACTTTGGCAGTGACCATCAAAACTACCCTCTCATGAGCCCTGACGAAGGCCCTCAGCCGCCTCACTAAAAATCAGCCTGTTACGCCTGTTATGCCCATCGATGTCTCTGCTTTGCCACGATTTAAGAAGGAGTCCCCGGCGTCTTTGGTCGTTAGATCTTCCATCTTTGACGAAAATAGAGCGTACTGGCGTTGATGCTTTTGCCCCTACGTTATCTCTAATAGTCCAATACGTCTTGCATCAGCGAGCTTGCTTTGAATCACCGCCAAATATCGCCCAATCTAGCTGCATTGCCTGTCACAATTCTGATCGTATGCCTGTTGTTGTTGAGTTTCTGGAGGATGGCTCATCTGCAGCGTTCGTGTGTCGTAAAGACCATCTCTTGTTATATACGACCTTTCGAGGAATCTGTAAATACAACGATAACAAAATCTAAACCAGAATACTAATTCCCAGTTGTGGTGTCAAATTGCGAACTGGTCTTCTTTGTGAAACGTTGGCCTCAGGCTCACATGGTTGCCCGGCACAACCGGGCGGTGAAAGGGGCCAACAAACCATCAACTGATGCTCATCAACCCTGCGAGTGTCGGCGATTATGCTATGAAGATTTTGCTATTATTATGAATGTTGTGATCTTGAGGTTATCACTTGTCTGATTCGGAGGTGAGAATAATACCTATCTGCTGTGCAGACACCCTTATGCTGTGTGTATTGAAATACTGCACTGATGCCGAGCTAATCTATATAGTGTTTTCGTCTGCAGCAGCCCATATCTTATTATCGAGGCAACACGATGGAAGGAGAAATTGATGAGCAGCACTTGGAGACAAAGAGGGAGGAAGACACGTCGGGCTCGATTTCTACAAACGCAAATACAACAACACCGATCCCCGAAACAACCATCTCACAAAAACTACTAGATGAAACCGAGCACGGCTCACTTGATGAAAACATGCAAATGGTAGCGCAGGATAGCGGTTACAACTCATCTGGCTCCTCAGCCCAGCACTCTCCCGACGGATTACCAAGCAATCATGCCGAGGACGACATGGTCCACACCCGATCGAGAGCGTCTAGCCGTACATCGATCTCGTCAATCCCTGCTTCGATCTTGACGAATCTACCGGACACAATGAAGTCCATGCATATGCGCGAGACACACGATTACATGTATCAGCCATGGGACGCCCACTCACCGCGGGCTGTGCATACAATTCGCCAGCGCGAAGCTTTTCGAAAGCCTAGCTCAGTTAGAGCAATGCAGATGCATACGGAAGATGAGGGCGACGATGAATTCCTGACGCCGCCTAAACGACGCGGTGGGCAGCGCATATCCGACATCTCGATTCGCTCAGTGGGCTCATCGCCGCTCAAGCGGTCGCCATTCTATTCGCCGTCGGGGCCCGTTAGCAAGCCCAAGGTTAAGAAGGAGTACCCGCTTGTTCTTCTTCATTGCACTTTGTTGTCGCCGTCGCTTCCTGTCCCTGGGTTGGTGGGCCACCCGGAGCGTCAGAAGATTTTGAGAGAAGTTCTGCCATCAGTATACTGGAAGAGGTGGAAGTTGCTTGAAGAGAAGATCGGCTCGGGCGTACTTCGTGACCGTGGTGTGCTCATTTCGCATCCAGAGGATATGTACGATCTGCTTGAAGAGCGATTACTGGAGAGTCTGGAACTACAACGGCCGCGTCTCGACCATGGCCACTTCCTCGGCCCCGATGAGACAGAATCGGATCGCGAAGACCGATTGGCACACGAAGACAGCTGTACAGAAAGTGAGGGCGAAGAATGTCCGGATTGTGGAGGCCGACTGGCGCGACACAACAACATCAAGAAATGGGAGATCAAGGTTTTTGCCGCCAATGGGTTGATGCGCGCAGGTGCTTGGGCTGCAGCCTGGAAAGAGATGGAAAAGGTTGATGTGGAGGTTGGTCTCTGGCTGCCGGCTGATATTAGGGCAGAGCTGGAGAGAGAGATGGCCCAGGGGTTGCCGCAGATCGAGACCAGCCTCTCTGTCCCTTTGTTGCAGGAGCCGGATGTGACGACTACTACCCCGGTTCGTGCACTTACACCAAGTCCTTCAAACATTGAGCCGAATTCTCGTGCCATTGAGAGCTGTGAGATCCCCTCTTTGCCGACTTTCTCCCAGCACACTCTTAAAGACAATGGCAAGGCAGACCCGCTTGCTCCAACATCGTCACAGGATATTGACCTGCATACCCTGTTGATCAACTACATCCGTGTGCTTGCCAGTGACCGACGCAATGTTGCCATCGTGTTTCTCAGCATTCTTGTCGCCTTTGGCGCGATTAACTCTAGGGCTTCTGCGCCTACCTTGGAGTTGCGACCATTCCCCGGGGATATGCCAGGTTACGCGCCTTCTTCTGCGGTTCCTCAGCACACGACGCAGACACTTGTTGAGGGCCAGAGTGCTCAAATCTTGTCTGTCACAAGTCTAGAGCAGGAGATTGTACCTGCGCCGGCTGCTATACTTGAAACGATTCATGGTCTGGGCGATGATGCGACACCCCAAGCCGAAGCTTCTGCGGTTGAGTTAAAGGACCCTGCAGCAATCACATCTGAAGAAGTATCTGGTGAAAGTACTCTGATCGCGTCGGAAGAACATGTCACGTCTGAGGAACGAGCCATCAGCGGGGAAGAGGCTATTCCTGAAGAGCAAGTCATGTCTGCACGGGTAGAAGAGTCACCAACAACTAGTGTGGCCGCGTCTCTGGATCTTCAAGCGGAGAGTACGACAATCCCCTCGATTGAAGATATTCAGGATCATCACGATAGTCTGGAAGACGGGCGGGACGAACTATCTGATTCAACCGAACCGACCGAGTCAAGTGAACCAGAACAGCCAATTGACCTCAGCCAACACATTGACGAGGAGGATGAAACCGAGCCTAACCAACCACTGGAGCCACTAGAGCCGGTCGAGCCTAGTAAAGACGAGCCTAATGAATCGTCTGGCCTAGACGAACAGACTGAAAAAGAGGGCGAAACTGGGCTTAACCAACCGCTGGAGTCTTTAGAGCCTATTGAGTCTACTAAATCGTCCGAGCTAGACGAACAGGCTGAAGAGGAGGATCAAGCTGGACACATCAACCCAATGAAACCCACTGAACCTAAACTGGATGAACCAGTCCAACCAACCGAACTAAACGAACTGAATGAGAAGGACGATGAGAACGATGAGAACGATGAGAACGATGAGAACGATGAGAACGAACAGACATGAAGCAACTTACGACCGATATGAGACGAAGTTTTGGACTATTTTGGGTTTCTATGGATCTTGCTTGTTAGCCATCCCTTGTCTTTTTTTTTTTTTTTTTTTTTTTTTTTGCATGAGCCAGATAGTTAGGGTTAGTGTGCGACTTGCGTTTATAAATTGACGATATACCACAATTCCCGAGACGGCGTTCTATTATACTTACCGACTCTCATCGACCATCTTTTGAATCCATGTTGTGGAGCGTCTGTTAAACGGCTCTGATAAATATACAAGATCAGAGATCAGAAATCAAGAAACATGCTAGCATTGTTAACCCACAATAATGCCTGCCCAAGTGTCCCAGCAAAACATCACTCGAGTCTAATGCAGACTATCGTGAGTTAGGGTGATTGGCAATTTTTTAGGATTTGAAATTCATTCCTATCACAAGTCTCTTCTGGCCAGAAGTCAGGTCACTCCTCAGGTAACTTATACATCCGGCTTAGTCATCTCAGCCCCGCCATCAGATAAATTAGTTAAGACCGAAGATTCGAGCCCAGCCGTGACTCAACTGCCCCTCACGCTCAAACAAAACAGCCATCACACACGCATTTTACGTTTTCCCTCCCACCAGATTACCGACGTCGCACTTAACCAGCGACCAAAACCAAGAGCGAAAACCAGCCAGCAAAATGGCAGGCAAAAAGGGTGCCGAGAACTCCAAGAAGGCTGCGGGGAACGCTCGCGTGCGTCATTTGCCCTTTTCCTGATCTACCTGCGTGGAGCTGGAGCTTGGAGCTAACTTGGCTTGGTTGAATATATAGAAAGCCGAAAACGCCGCAAAGAAGCAAGCCGTTGAGGACTCGAAGCGTGCTGCCGAGGAGGATAAGCAGTGGTCCAAGGGATCGAAGAGCGCTGCTAAAAAGTTCGTTTGCCTTTTACCCCCTCCCCTTCGGCATCTACCTCCATCCTTTCACGAATAGAAACAGAATCACTCACACGAGTTTACACAACAGGGAGGACGCCGAAGCCAAAAAAGCCGAAGCAGCCCGCAAAAAGGCCGAGCGCGACGCCCTGCTCGCCGCCGAAGAGGCCTCTCAACCCTCCAAGCCCAAAAACACCAAAGCCGCCACGAAGAAGAACGCCGCCCCCGCACCCTCCCGCAAACTCGACCTCTCCCAACTCGACGACGACACGCCCAGCAAGTCCTCCTCGGCCCTGAACGCCTCGGGCATCGACAACGCTCTCGACGCTCTCTCGCTCACGGGCCGCGACACGGGCAAGATCGACCGGCACCCCGAGCGCCGGTTCAAGGCTGCGTATGCGGCGTATGAGGCGAGGAGGTTGCCAGAGATTGAGGCGGAGAACCCCGGGCTTAGGCGGAACCAGCGCGTGGAGCTTGTGAAGAAGGAGTTTGAGAAGAGTGAGGAGAATCCGTTTAACCAGGTGCATGTTGCGTTTGATGCTTCGCGGGATGAGATTGCGGCTGTGAGGGATGCGGAGAGGAAGAAGGTGGAGGCGAGGCTTACGAAGTAGATTTTTCTCTTTATTTTCTTACGATATACCCGATCTTGATGTGGAGGAAGGATAAGTGAGGTTTGGAGAGGATGGAACGATAAACTTTTATATACAGGCTATATAGATGACGAATGGCAAAACCAAAAGGGAAAGAGGTATCATATATCATAAAGTCTAATCCAGATGGCAAGAAAACGGGTTAGTTCATGACAGCACGAACATCCCATACATAAACACTTTCATCCCACCCAACACTCGCACACCACCCCTCACTCCCAAACAGACACCAGTCCACCCCCGTCGCAAACTCCGTATGCTGATTCATCCTCCCCAACTCAGCACCCATGACCGGCGACGGCCCAGAGCGCATCAAATCCGTATCCCCAACGACCCCAGCAGGCGACTGATCGCTCCAAACGCGACATGTCATATCGTAGCTCGCGCTCAGCAACACATTCGACAGATGCGGCGACCACGCAACCCGCCGCACGGCATAGTCATGCCCCACCATTACAACCTGCGGTCCCTGCTGCGGCGCCCGGATATCAAACGTGCGGATCGTCCGGTCGACGCCGGCAACAGCAACAACCGACGGGCGGTACTTGTTCCAGTCGTGTGTGAGCGCTTCGGAAGGCGGACATGCTGCGGGCGGGGCTCCGGCCTTGCCCGGTATCGGCGAGACGGGTGCGGCGTGGATTGGGATCTGGAGCGTCAGGTGGTTTGACGCTGAGGCGGGTGTCCGGAGATCATAGAGGCGGAGGTAGGAGTCGGACGAGACGCAGGAAAGGATATCCGGCGAGTGCGGCGAGAACGAGGCCGAGTACGTGCAGCTGTGTGTTGGGAGGGTGACGAGGGAGTGTGGTCGGTTGGGCGACCAGATGCGGACGGTGCCGTCCCAGCTCGAGGAGCAAAAGGTGTCCTTTGCGACAAGGTTCCAGGAGACGCTAAAGACTTCGCGATTGTGTTCCTTCCAGTTTTGGATGGGGAAGTCGTTGAGCGTGCTATCAAAGAGCTTGATGCTGCCGTCGCCGGAGGCGGCGAGGACTTGGTGTTCATTAATTTCGGACCAAGCGAGGTCGTAGAGGGAGTCTTGGGTCGTGAACCTGATATTGTTAGCCAAGTCCCAAAGGCAGCTCGAAGCCCCGAGAGACACCTACCACTTGGCCGGGACGATGCCGTTTGGCGTCAGTTCGAGGATATATAGGCGGCCATTGCCGACGAGGCCAAAGTTGGCAGACGAAGCGACGGCTAGTCGGTTGTCAAAGAAGGAGGAGTATTTGACCGCATAGCCATTGTAGCCCTCGGTGCGGAAATGGAGCATGTCGAGGAGCTGTTGAGGAATCGGGGAGTTGAGGTGTGGAGGAGCAGCAGATGGCGAGCGAGCATGGAAGATTGCGGGGAGATTCACGACGCCCGCAGCCCACAAGCCGAGGTTGCAGTGCCGAGCTTAAAGCGGCAACGCCTGACTCCGGAGTAGGGCATTCCTAGCATCATCCCAAGCTAGGGCTGGGGAGATGGATAAATGGATGTGTGATGTGAACTGGTATAGCTACCAGCCATTGATCTCCAGATCACATCACTTGATGTTCTTTGGACTCCGTTGACAGCGTGGCAGTATCCCATATTTCAGCCATTCGCCTCTTTGTTCCTTTGCTCGAGACTTGTTTTTGCGGCGTTTTAAACTTTTGTCTTCCCAACACATCCTCGGGGCGCATAGTAGCAACAAAATATCAAGTTGGATGACTGCTCAGGTCAATGTGCTGAAATCCTGGACAAGAATCACCATGACACACCAGTTTGACCAGAATATATACAAAGCCCTAACTACTTACCACGCTGTCATTCTCACATGACCCATACCTTACTTAAGAGCTTACACGGCCCTTATCCGCCATATCTCCTCAACAACATCTGGATTACTGCCAAGCAAACCCAGAAACTCTCCGGGGAGATTCTGAGTGGCTGCACCATCACATACCCTGATCAACAGTGCGTCAGGGTGTCACAAGCCCATCAGCATCGATGCTGTCATCCCAACCGAACCAATAGTCCAAGCGCGCCTGCAATTTCCCTCAGTATATGCACCGTTTGACTTTTGCTTTACCAAACGGTATACTGCAATCAAGAGCTGATTATGGACCCATTGGCTCCGGAAATCGCCTTGCATACGTAAGGGTGGGAGAGAACATGACACGACGGGTCCAATGATGTAGGCAAGGGTTAGATAAGAGTTCCGCATCGTCCGACATTGCCCAACTCAGGAAGCGAGGCTGTGACAAAGGCAAATGGAAAGCACGTTGTAACCAATATAATTGCAAATATCATGGGCTAAAAACACCTTGAAGGGCAGAGATCTGACGGTGTAGCCAATGAAGATGGCGAGCGTAAGCGTACAGCCCCCACAAGAGGGTATACGGATTTCAAATAATCAGCGATCTCCTGGCATAGGAGGTCTGTAGGGATCGAGTAACAGCCGCCTGTCATTCTTAAAGGCGTGTAACGGGTCTTTCAGCAGTCGTCTTTCCCGAGTTCCAGCTCACCACGCATACCTAGCAGAAAACCATCCTTGCCCTAAAGAGAAAAGGCACAATGTGGGGTATTACGCTTCCACCCTCTACTCCCGTGGTATACTCCATCTTCGGCATCCAGCGCCCTCCGGGGAAGGACGACAGTGAGCAAGAGCTGCTCATTCAACGTTTCACCAAACTCCTTACCGACCATCCCCGCCACATCGAGACCTTGGAGCAAGACACTCCCGTCCCAACGCGCATCTGGCTCACGTACTGGCAGTCCCAGGCAGATTTCCAGAAGTGGTGGACCAGTGGTCCCGTCTCAACCTTCTGGGACTCCCTCCCCGACGACGCCGGCGTATACCGCGAGATCCTCACCGTACCTCCGGGCCTCACCCAGCATGGAACAAACAGTGGCGATCGTCTCTCGGGAGGTATCTCGCATCTTGGAGAGTTCGAGTCGATTCTGGATAAATCGGGATATTGGGGTTGTTATTATGATCGCATGGCGGATGTCACAAAGGAGAATAGGTTCCCTTCTCCAGTGACGAAGAAGCCAAACCGAGTCTCCTCTCCTCTAACGTCCATTCGGAGAGGAAGGGCCACGCTTCCCACCTTACCAGATAATATTATTTTCGTCGTCGAGGGCCAGGATCACAGCTATATCTCGCCGGAAGAAAAGAGCCACTGGATGGATCATTTTGATAAACCTGTCGAGGACTGGATTGGGGACCTTGTTGCGGCCGGACCGGAGAAAGGCATCCTCGATGCACGGGTTTGCTATGACCCTAGCAGTGGAATATACCGTGCGGCAGACGCAGAGCCCCAAGCGTTGAACTTTAACCGCAAGGCGCAGCTGTTCTATTTCCTGGATATGGAGGCCATGGAGCGGATTGGGAGGCAGAATGCAGGCCATGTCAAGCTCAGAAGGAAGTTCATGCAAGACTATGGACCCGGAGGGGTGGCCCAGGAGCTGTCGCCAGCGCTTTGCCTTTGGGTAGAGGCGAGTATCTTGAAAGGACACGATGTGGAGTGTGAGTATGTGGGATGCGTGGAGGGAACGGGACTGATGGGGTTGAATTGGGAATCGGATTAAGCGGCTCCGGAATGTCAGCGCTTGTTGTACATTGCTGTTAGGACTTGCATATGAGCCTTGTTTTATCGGTTGTAAGTCTAAGAGCATTAGTAAGGCTCTCTTCTGACTGAGCTGTTCCAGAACGTATCGAAACCATAATGGAGAGCACATTGTAGCTCATGCACAGTGGGAAGAAGTTATGATCCAGGGCATTTTCAGCGAGGCCCCAGCTTGGAGGATGAATACCCAATATGTGTTCGTCAGTGCTGGGGGCTTTTCCCGCTCATTGGTCTTCAGCTTTGATCAATATCTGTGTTGAGCTAGCATTTATTGCCTCCATTTCGCCTGCAAATCGACGTGATTGAATAGAAGCCTCATATTGCTCAATGGCCAGTGCTTAGCTCGAACCGGCGAAGCGGTTTGTCTAGACTCTGCTCAGGCCAAAAGCTTCGTATAAAAATTTGCAGAGACCCAGTAAGTCTCGGGTCTTTTGTCTCATCCGCGATAGCCTTGACAGCATTGCGCAGAGCTTGCGTCGGGTTGCAACTCTCATCTCGGCAACTGTGGCTGCACAAAACGTCCCAACGCCGCCGCTTGTATTGGAGAGCTCCCAGACATACTGGCCACGCCCATATTCAGGGAGAACTTGTCCAGCCGATCTCCGATGGATCGAACGTTGACAGACGGATTAGGTGATTTGGGCGAATCGTCTTGTACCGTTTTCAAAGGGCACTCGTTGTACATCTTGGACTCTTGCCTCAATGGGACGTACCATGGATTCTTCTGGTAAATAGCGGCAGGAGAGACTGTATTTGCGCGGCCTCTGCGATCTCGATCTGACTGTAGCACGCTCGTGAGCTGGTCCAGCATAGCGAGGGAGGAGTCTATACCGCCGCAGGTTAGCTGCGCTAGACTTCTCACGTAAGATGGTGGAATTGACTGCGAGGAAGCCGCTGTGGATGTAAGGCTTTCATCTTCGGGGATGGTCAAGAGTTGCGCCTTGAGATTGTTCAGGCACTCCTTTGATTCGGAGATGCCGCCCAACAGGGTCTCGACTGTCTCGACCTGTGAGGTTAAAATGCCCTGGGCGGCTGCGTAGTATCCAGGACATTTTGTAATCTCATCAAAGGCATAGTCCATGATGCGGCCAAGTGTACTCTCCCGGCTTTGTTCCTCCTCCTTGTATATGTCTTTGGTTATGCTGATCCAGTCGGGGTCGCCCAAGAAGCATGGCTCCCCAAGCACAAATGACTCTGCAACGAGAAACGGCCTGAATGAGAGCAGCAGTGTGCGAGAAATTCCTGTCTTGTGTGCTGCTGCCCCTCGAGCACACATAATCTGACGGATACCGCGAGTGTGAGAAATCCACGTATCCTCCGAGCTGCCATCTAGGATCTCATACCCTCCAAGCAAAACGGACGCAGCGAGCGCTTCTTCAGTCAAAGCAAACGGCGTCTGAAGTAACGACCGGAGACAGCCAACTCCCCGACCATACATGCTACGCGCGTAATCTATCGCATTCGCATTGCCCTGCAATGTCCCCATCTGAAACATCACCAGCGCTCGGACAGCCCACATCAACGCATGCGAACGGACAGATGGTTGCAGCGCACGGAGAAAGTCCATCCAATTCGTGTCGACACGATGGGAAAAAGACGAGTAACTCCGGGGAAAGTAGTACATGAGCCAACCGTGAAAGGACTCGGTGGTCTGAGTGCTAAGCGCCTGTTCGGCCAGGCGAGGGGCCACCAGCTCATCAATCGTAAGCCGCGGTAGTAATATCGCCGGACGATTGGGTTTGCGTGCAACCATTCGAGATGAGGCTTGTGGATCTTGTTTCTGCCTGCGGGACTCGAGTGAGCGACGATTTTCGTCGGGTTTCGAGTGCCTTTCTGGCCCAAGGTGCGCTTTGTCGTCCTGCAAAACCAAATTGGATTCGTATTAGTCCTCCAAGCTCTGTGGCAGCTGTAATTGGGTGGCTGGGCGCGAAAAGGGGCTCGAATACGGGATATTTACCACAAAGCTAGAACCCATCAGGTACCTTGCCGCGAATGACTTCAGCTTATGTCGGGTTGTTTGAACAGGGGTGTTGATTCCGGCCCGCCGACCTTTTGCAGTCTCGGCAGGATTGCAAATGCTTATGACGCCTGACCGAGAAGCGAGGAATCTCAGAAGAGTGGAATCCGAGAGTTCGGATTGGAGCCTCTGACAAAACGCTGCAGGGAAAAAGGCTTCAGCCTCAAGGCCCAAGTCTCTTAATCAAGACTAGTGTACTCCGGATTAGTAGTAAATGCCAATAATATGCTTATACCTAAACTGTTCCAGTGAAACTTTAGGGGACCTCTTGAACAGGCTCTTCAAAATACATGAATATGAAGCTAGCATCTCAAATAGCCATGTCCTCTCAATCCTCAATTATTTCCCTTGGACCTATATCATGGCGAGATTGATAGACATGCCTAGCCAGGCCTGAGTGAATGGTAAATCTATCTAGAGCCTGATATGAGCCACTGGTACTATATACTCGCTAGCATGGTCATGAATAAACAGGAACCGAAATATAATACACCCAAAAAGAAGCAACCCGAGGTATAGTAAAGCTCCGCGGTAGATATAACAAAAAAAAATGTACGCCGCCTAATGCAATCGAGTTGAAACCAAAACCACAACAACAGATAGTTAGGAAGAAAACAGAGGAGAAAGGTGGTTAAACTCAGGCCTATAAACAGGCAAGCCTTTATACAATCTTCCCCCCACCCCGCACCCACTCCCTCATCTCGCCGAGTTTCTCCATACACTCCATGTGCCTCTCCTGCGCGACTTCCCAGTGCTCCCGCACCCTTCTATCCTGACGCATCGCCTTCATGTAGGAGGCGTACCCACGCCGAGCAGGTCGCGGGGCATTGGTATGCGCATTCCCGTTTGTGATGATGTCGCTCTCGTCGCCAGAGTCCCAGGGCGCCTCGTCCCCACCTAAATAGGGAGAGTCACCGACGCCGCCGATCCAGTTGAGGGCCATCTCCGTGGTGTTGCTTCGGTGCCGCGCGGCGAAGTGATTGAGCATCCGGCCGTTAAAGGTGTCCCACTCGCGGACGTAGACGTTCATCTCAACGAGGTATCTTTCCCAGGCTACGCGGGTGATCGCGTGTTGTTTGGAGCCTGCGCTGGAGGGGGACCGCAAGGGGGGTTCGGGACGTTTGGGTGGGTTTGGGCAGTTCAGTTCGCGGGCGTGGGTTTCTCGCACAGTGGCCTTGGGTGCCTTGGCTCGCGATTCAAAGGGTAGTGTCGACGAGATGTCCTTCAGGTCATCTAGGCCGGTGCTGTTCGTAGATGTAAAGGGGAACACGCCGCCTAGACCTTTCATATTCAAGGATGTGTTTACGTCTTTGCCAGATTTATAAGTCGTTCGGGCTTTCGCTGCTGGTGGGGCTGTCTTCTCTTGTTTGCTGGGCGGTCTCTCAGGCGCTGGGGTAGGACCGGTAGCCCTGGCCGGCAATTCATCGTCGAGGTCCATGGCTTCGGCGTCCGCTGCTGGTCCTTGGTCGTAGTCACCATTGACAGTTGATTCGGCATCCTCTGCTTCCGTGGCGACACTAGCTTGCTGCGGTGTAGGCCGGGCCTTCGCCCCTGGTCTGTTCGGCTTCCGAGGACTCTTTGTCCGCTGCGCGTTAGCTTGTCGCTGAGGAATGTCGCCCCCTGGCAGTGCATTTGACAGATCATGGAACTGGAACGCTGCCGCCCAATTATTTTTCAAAAAGTTTTCCGGCGTGAAAGGCATTTGTTGCTGTGCCGCCGGGTCGGAGTGAGACGGCTTGCCCTTGGTAGATGTCCGCGGCGGACTATCCCGTGTTGACGGTCGCCCACGATCATTCGGAACTTGAGGTTCTTCCTCAGCGTAGGCGAATGGCTCTCTCCGGCTGGATTTACGTAGATCGTCGTGGCTGCTGCTCTTGAAAGTCCCATTCTGGGGAAAGGTCTTTGCAGCAAACGAAAAGTCGGCCTTCTTGGAGAATACAGGAGTGTCGGAGTTGTTCCTCGCTGAGCTCGCAGAATCAGAATCATGCGCTGTTCAATCTATTAGCAACAAGTCCGCCAAAAAAAAAAAAAACGTGAACAAGATAAACGTACCAGCTCCAGCATTCCACCCATTAGTGCCATTCAAGTTTGTAAACTTTTGCTGTTGCCGAAGCCTACTCTTCGGCACAGCCTTGGGCTTATACATAACCTCATCCTCACTGCCATCGCTCGAGCTCGTAGAATCATAGTGCCGTCCCCTGTTCGCCTTCAGATTCGGACTCGCGCTCCGATGCCGTCCGCTCTCCTGCGGCGTTGGACTCGGGGGGTTCGTCCGCGGCCTGGAATCCGAGGTCTTTGGCGAAGTCCGCGTGCTAGCTGACCGTCCGAGCATAGAGCTAGAGAAAAACGTCTTTTCGCCTCCCGTCGAGGCATATTTGCTGCTGGTCCTCTCATACTCGGGCGTGTTCACTCGTTCGGTGCCGTTGGGGTAGTCAGTCGCTGCCGCGGCTGGTTTCCGCGCGGTCGGAGAGGGTGCGGGTGTAAACCGCTCAAAGCGCGAGGCATTCCTGTACGACGCCGTGTTTGCAGCCATGGGCTCATCGCCGCCTGCCGACCTTGGCGCAAAACCCTGCTTCTTCCTTGTAGACTGCCACTGCGCGCCGGTATCGGCCGGGGTCGGTTGTTTCGCGCCCGTATGGACGTACTCGTAGGCCGATTTTGGTCGTGCGGAATGGCCATTCGGGGTCGTCCCCGTCGGCCTCGTAGCCCCCGGCTGTGGCGTGCGTCCGCGGGGATCAAAGGAAGACCATCCGGGCATAGGATTCCCCTTCATCTCCTGGAACCCCCGATAAGCATCCGCACGAGTCTGCGTTTCATCGCGCATCTTCTCCCAAGGCTGTTTCGGCGCTGCCCGTGCATAGCTCGCATAGCGCTGGGCACCAGTCGAGGGCCCATGATGGAAGGACTTGGGACGTTCAGCAAAGGGTGCCTTTGTATTCGGTTTCGTGGTGGGAAACCCCGCAGTCGGGTCCCTGCGGGCAGAGCTCGTCTTTGGAGGTCCGTAGTAGCCGTTGCGCAGTCGCTCGGTGTCGTACTTTAACCGTTGGCCTGGGTCGCTGAGAATCTCATGGGCAGACTGGATCGCCTGGAACTTGGCGTTGAATTCCACCTCCCTCCCTGGGTTTCGATCTGGGTGGTATTTGAGAGCTAACCAACGTCAGCTCGTTATTGCTTTCCCCTGCAGTACGCAGACGCTCCTCACCTAGTTTTCGAAACTGCCTCTTGACATCCTCCGGATCTGCATTGGGGGCAAGCCCCAAGTCTGCATAGTAGTCTCTCCGCACATCTAACTTGACCATGGTGAAAAAGTGGCGTGTCCGCGGGCGTTCTGTAACGAGACTATAAAGCGGATGCCACTATAATTTCGTATGTGTCTAGTCCTGCTGTACATGACCCTAACGCGAGGGCAGGTGATGCCTTGCTCGGCGGTTTGCGTGATGGGTAAAGCGAGTCGAACGCGAAGACGGACGTATGGAATGCGACACTCGACAGATTCCGAAGGGGCCGACCGACTGCTCGTGGAAGGATATCGAATGCGTTCTATAAGCTCTTGACAAAAGTCAGCTCATCTTCTTCCAGGTCAAGTCGACAATAAGTCAAAAGGAACCACGTACCTCCTCATAAACCCCGAAAAGGTTGTTTGCTCCCTTCGTTTACAGCAGCGCATAAACACTTCAAAACGTGAAAACTCCAACCGCGATCCAAATCAAAATCTCTCTCGTTTCAGCAAGCAACAAAGCCGAACCTCGCCCAGTGCGTGTATAGTAGCACAGTCCCACAGGCTCAACTCAGCAGGACACCAAACAACGCAGGACCTCGACGATCGCAACGCAGGAACCGGACGGAGGACAACGATGACGATAGCGAGGACAGCGGCGGCGGCGAGCGACACGGAGAGGAACGTGATACAACCTGTGAGTCTGTGACGGTTGCACTACTAATCAGCTCAGTTCGCGTGGACTTTTTTTTTTTTGCTTAGGGTGGAGTGAGGGGAAGGATCCGAAGAACGGGGACGGCCGATCATGGGACTGGACTGGGCTTTCCAACTGACGTAAAAGCGAGTAATGTAGATAAATACCTAGGTACCTGCCGACTGATCGAGAATTGGGCGATCGAGAATTGAGTGATCGAGTATGGCTTGATTGCTTCGGCTTCAGCCTCACGCTAGATCTCTGCTGGACAACCCCTCTCTCTCGCGGAAACAGAGAGGACGAGAAAGAAGGAATTCAGGTAGAAAAGTCACGGCACAACCAAGGGATCGGGATGCAGTGCGCTGTCTCGCACGAGTCAGCCACGACAAGCCAGGAGAGAGTGATGGGAATCCTTGATTCTCCTGGGGAATTTTTCGATGGTTCGCTCAGTGATCTGCCGCCAACCCAACCGCCCGCGAGAGGGATTATAGTATGGCCATCGCTGCCCAATTCTAGGCTTCGTTCTCGATTCGTAAAAGTATACGTTGGTTAACTAGTGCCTCGTGTGCTTTCTTGTGTGCTTTCTCGTGTGCGTGCGTTGGGCTAATTCTCTGCCTCATGTCGGCCTTATGCACGACAACCTAGTCAACTACCTAACTCGAGCCTTACTAGCCGCCATAGTATAGATCTGAGGCAACTCAACTGGTATCATCAATCCGTTAACCCAATCTTCGTTATTTCGAGGCTAGAATAGAAAGAAAGATAGAAAGCAGTATATATAACGAAAGAGGTATATATAATCAAAACGCGAGTCGGCTTTCGTAAGATCGTTTCGCCCATCGCCCCCAGTAGTTCTTTTATTGACCTGACCTGAACCCCAACCTGTCCAAGAAAGAGAAACAGACTCCGAAGAGAGCAAGTCCAACGGGACCTTTCCAAAAGGCCAAACTCTAGATACCCGCGCCAGGGCCTGGTCCTGTTCCTCCCCCACCAAAGAAGTAACCTTCCAGTAAATCATAATTCGGATTCTCCCTCCAGTCATGCTGAAAGTCGACCGCCATGCCGAAGCCAAGGTCGATGCCGACGCTGTGGCCCATCCCGTGCCCGAACGAGGGCATAGCCTGCAATTTGTAGTCCGAGTTCTCGTCGGAGCCCATGGACATCTGGCGATCGATGTTAGAGGGGTCATAGTCTAGATAATCAAGGCCGACACCAGGGTTCTCCGGATCTGTAGGCTGGAATTGGGGAAGACCCGAGGGCGCACCGGCGCTGTTCGGAGACCCATTTTGAGGAGAGTTTGCGTAGTAGAACGGCTGTTGTGGTTGTTGCTGTGCCTGCGGTGACACGGGATTCTCGAACCCACCATAAAACTCCATGGATGGGTTCCGCTGGGGATTCGGTCGTGCAAAGGTCGGATCTGTGGTTTCGGAGACGGGGTAACCCTGCAGGGGTTTGCCTATGCCGCCGTTATTCTGTCTATCGGCGAGCGCGCCGCTGTCAAAGAGGTCGTCGAGGTTCATGTCAAATCTCGGCACAGGGCGCGACTGTCTCATTTGTATCTGTCGCCGAGAGCCGTGTCGCTGCCGTTGGTCGATGGACCGTCCGGTATATTGTCCTGATCTATGCATCGTGTTGTTCTGTCTGGACCCGCTTGCTGTGGGTACGCGGCTCAGATCAACCTGTGGCCCGAACCCTGTTGTCGAGAGGCTCATTTCGACAGTCGCTTTGCTCATGCGTTCAAAGGCATCGCGACATGCCTCTGCCGGCGGGCACTTGTGCATCAAGTCGCCGAGCACGGACGTGGCCGCAAGTACAGTGAAATCCACTTCATCGAGGGTCTGCAGGTTATAATTTAGAACCGCCGTGCTCATGTAAGAAAACGGGAAAAGATAAACATACCAGACGACTCCGCACCCAGGGCGAATGCCAGATCGCATACAAGAACGAGATACCTGCCATGAAAATATGGTGGGTAGCCAGATACGTATAGTTGACCAAACGCACCCGATGCATCTGACGGTAGATCCGAATCACCTTTTGTCCCGCTTCAGCAACCTTGTAGTAAATATCATCCTCGTCCTCTTCATCAACCTGCGAGAACGAGGGGCTCGAAACATCCTCGGCGGGTGAAAGCTCGTCTGCCAACTCGGCAGGGACAGTGAGGCTCTGCTGATATAGCATAATAACAGCCTGCCAATAATTCAGTTCAAGAAACTCGAGCGGGAACCGCACGCCCGTGTCCTGCGGCGCAGGCGCACTCCGCTTCCATTCCAGCAGCCGCCGATCGACATCCCTTCTCCACGAGCGGAAGGAATCAAACCCTTGAAGGAAAGGTGACACGACATCGGCACGCATGAATGTCTTGGCTCCATGCGGGACTCTTTGCCGGGCAAAGCGGGCTTGCTGATGCTGCAGGACATCCTGAATCTCCGACTGCAGCAACCGTAGCTTGAAGTAGTGGAAAGCAGAGTGTTTATAACTTGTGGCCCCCTCTGGAGGCCGTATTATTCCTGACTTGGTAATGTATTTGTCTTCCAGAAGAGACGGGAATTCCGTGCTTATAGCCTGGTCACTAATGCCAAATGGGCGACCGACGCAGCAACTGACAAGACGGTCGAAGCTGTAGCAGCACCACCAGAGCCTTCGTCGGAAATCCCTCACCCATTCTCGACGGCCTCGTTCCTGGACGTCAATGCGTAGTTTTCCCTTGTTGTTCACTTCTTTGTCTTGTGAGCGGGTTATGTTTTCATTTCCAGGAGCATCAATGCCAGTGCCGTCCTCGTAATGCAGGCCAAGGTCGACCGCGAGACGCATTGCAACCCCGACAATGTACCAGAGACCAGGTGCAACGGGTCGAAGCAACGCAAAGCTAGCAAGAAGGAGAACGGCCTGTAGCTCCTCCAGAGCGCCGAACCCGTCGGTGGATGCAGAAGTGGATAGGAAAGACTCGAGGTGAACAATGGCTGAAGCATGGTATTCTTCCGGTTGGTATTGATGACTCGACATACGCTGTCTCTTTGTTGCAGTCGGCGAACGGTCACGACCCTCCTTTTGGTCGTCCGCCGGCTTGTCTTCAAATATGATCCCAGCACCGATTGCGAATACTATGTTGAGGATGTACAGACTGCGAGGGGAGCGACTCCTCTCATCAACAGCATATGTGCGGTCCAGCAGTTCCATAAAGTCTACACGGTGGACAATAGGTATTTGCGGGTTGGCATGCTCGAAGTATAAATCCGCTAGTCGCTCGGCTAGTTCCCTGTCGGGGAATGCTGCACACTTCATCATCGGCCTCGTTTGCAACCCGAAAAACGAATCCCGCGTAGTACTTCCTCCAGTGCCCGTGGCGCTATGAGGGAGAGGTTCCTTGGGACGCAATGGCCCGCGCTCCGATGCATTCCCCGGGACTGAACTCTTCACTGCAGCAAAGACCACTCGAGCAAAGGAAATGCCCGAGGTCGAGCCTAGATAGCGTGGGTCCGAGGTTCCTTGTACCGAGACCATTCCAATATTCGAAACGAGATTCTGTATCCGCCAATTATCCTCTTTCTCAGGGTCCTGTTTGTTTTCCGCGTCTTGGCCGCTTCGAGAACCTCTCTCTTCTAACCCTAGGGCGGCATGCCCATCTTTCTCTCTCTTCGCCCGTGCCCATTTATCATTTCCATCAACCGCAGATGTCTCTGCCCTAGACCCTTCCGGAGGTACCATGTGTGTTTGTGTCAAGTTATGCCCTGCCTCCACCTTGATAGCCTCTTCCTCGTCAAAGGCCACCGCTTCTGTATAGTCAACGCCGCTTTCCATCAGGCGCTTCTCCAGGTACGCAACCCGAGCCTCGAGAAAGTAAACATAGCTACGCGGGATCTCGCGCTTCGTTATCGGATCGTACCCGACGCAGCGAACGCCGGCCTTTTCGCACGACTGGCATCGCGGAAGTCGTTGGTCGCAGCGGTTTTTGCGTTGCCGGCAGCGGTTGCAGGCGGAGACATTGCGAAAGGACGAATTATTAGAGGCGGAAGAAGAGGGAGCCGCCGCGAAACTCTCGCTGGGAGCATGCTGTGCGGATAGATCGGGCGGGCCAGCGGCGGCCGACTCGGCGACGGGGTGTGGTCGTTTTCTCCCAGCACCACCACCGGTTGGTGAGACCGGAGAGGTAGGATTCAACATAACGGGGAACGAAGGTGTGATGACCAGAGCCGCAAGGGTTCCACCATGTCTCGGCTGTGGGTTCTGCAAGGGCGAGAGGTTGAATACGGAGCCGTACTAGTAGTATAAAAGGAAAGACCGAGAGACAAGTCAGCAGCACTCATGTAGACGATGCGTTGCTGACCCAGCGCTTCGCTGTCCGCCTGGCAATCCCGGTGCTGGATTAGGCACTAATTCGCCGTGGATTCGTGAGGTTGCGCTGTGTAATTTCCTTTTTGCTAATTCTCCGAAACGCTGGTCAGGCCAATGGACGATTTTGGCGGCAGTCCGGGAGCGCAGTCGCAGCGCATGACGGAAGAGCACCCGCGACCACCTGGACAGAGAGGGACAGGCGAGGAGGGAAGCGAGATGATAACGATCGATCGAAAAAGCGGCGGAAAGGGGAATATGCAGTAGCGAAGGAATGGAAGCCAGACAAGTCGCGATAGGGCCCTGCTGGTGGAGATTTTGAAAAGGCTCGCTGGGAAAGCCTAGGACGAGTAATCTCGCAGTAAGAGAGATATGCGTGGGGGCAGTCTACCTCGGTCAGGAATCGCTCAAGACTCCATCCATCGGGTCCAGAAGATTCGGAAGAGGAAGGTAGCTCGAACAGTGTGCTATAGAGCTAAGCATTGAAAGGGTATATGACCTTGCGACCACCAGGATCCGAGTTAATCAAGAGCTCTCATCTCCAACTCTTGAGGCGCTGAGAGATCGATCTCGATGTAACAATACCTGAAATTACCGAGCTTACACGTGACTATGAAAAAGAACTTGAAGTGCCCACCATTGGTTACTGATAAGGTTGATTGCGGACATTTTGAATCCATTGAATGAAAGCATCGAGTCAGCCTCCAACGCAACCTTAAGAGGTCTGATAATATGGCATTGGACTTGTGCTTGGCACCACAGACATCGTTATCCTGAAGCTCGTCTGTCGCTGCGTACGAGTGCTGCTGACTGGTACCATCTTCGACAGGCCCCGGGCCGTCCGTTCCAAGTTGTTCAGGTGCAACCCCGCACTGCAGTAACGGCTGTGTTCGGGTTGCCCAGCAAGCGAGAGTACAGGACGATCAATTCGAGCGGGGGAGGGGCCGAACGAATTCCCACGGAATGGTGTGTCTTCAAGAGGAGACTGATGAGTAGGGTTAGGTGAGGATTTCGGAAAGTAAGATGGGATGATGAAATGGAAGACAATGGGAGTCCCCATGATCTATACCAAGTAACCTTAACAGTAGTCAAGAACGAACTTGAACATTGAATGGCATGGATAGTAGCAAACTCGACAAAAAGCCTCCCAGATGCATGGATAACGCAGATACCGACCCTCCAGAAATGCTTGCGAAATGATCCTCCAAATAAAACAGATATCCTCCTTAATGCTTTTGATTCCCAACACATGCATGCATCCAGTCTATGAACAGCGCCAACCCAGTCTTGATCATGATCTAAAAACGAAACGAAAGATAACACGCAAAGGGCTAAGACAAAGAGAAAATACGTGAGGTCAAAAATAAACAAGAGAACTGAAGAGAAAAGAAAATGTAGCCGCCAAATGTATGGTCGAAGGGAAGAAAGGGAGGAAAAATGGTCAAGAATCGAAAGATATTTAGAAATCCCAAGTCGGACGAACGGTTTGGATTTGCTCACGAATTACTCATGAGCAGTCCGGGATTTGATTGTTGTCGGTGAAGCCATGTTAGGCACATCGAGCTCGTCGACACTTGTGCGAGCTGACGAGAGCAGTCTCCGCACTTCTTCGGGGCTTCCGTCTTCCATGTCTGCAGCAAACGAGCCCCGCACGGGGTTCCTACCCATGGCGGATGCGTTGTCCTCGGTTGTCTTCTCGTCCATGTCTCCCTGTGGCTCAGATTCTTCTATCCAGAAGCTTTGGATAGCACCAATGGCGCAAACGATACCGCACGCCCACCAGGAGATGACAGAGTATCCACTGTCAAGCCCCTTTGAGTGAAGGAAGCCGGTTATACTCGGGCCAAAGGCACGGCTGAGGCTAGCTGTTGATGCAGCCGCACCGTTTATGGAGCCCAGGACTCTGGAGGAAGGTGCTGCGTTGGCAAGGAGGATGGCAGTGGAGGGAAACGCGATAACATGAAAGGTGATCTTGCACATCAGGGCGGCATAGGCGACGGTCATCTGAAGCTTCTCGGGCAAGAGGATGAGATACGGAACTAGCAAATAGAGCGGCGGCCAAACGAGCAGGACGAAGCGAAATGTGCGCAGGGTTCCAAAGTGGCGAACGACGAATGGGAATAACCAAAGCTGGGCGATCATCGAGTATACACCCTGGACAGCGAGCATTAATCCGATTGTCTTGGTGGAGAGCCCTAGGCCACCAGTGAACTTGAAGGGCAAAGTGACATCGGTGTCTGACTTCGGCGTGCTCAGAAAGACGGGCATCAATTGGTCGAAGGAAATACTATGGCTATTGTCATGTCAGGCATGTCAACAAACAAACAATTCGCGGCCTCCCCGGTTAATTTCTTTTAGCTCCCCAGTTATCCTTGGGTTGCATTGGACGGCGGTGCACTTACTATGCAAGAATTCCATATCCGATAATGTTAAAGACAACTTGCCTCGTAAAGGCCTTGGCTGTTCCACCTGACTGCCCGTCCATCTGCTTCTCAATGTCGTCATCATCGGAAAGAGTGTCGACCTCTTCCACTGGGCCCAAACGAGGCGAAGTTTCTGTGCTCCTGTATGGTGGCGGGGCCATCTCATCATAGTCGTCAAAATAGCCAGAGTCGGCTGTGTCCGCTTTGACATCTGCCTCCGCACTTTGCACGCGAGAACCCCCCCAGCACTTTGCAACCAACCAATTGCCCAGCTCCAGACCACGGTCACGACGATGCTTCTTTTCCGGATGCGTCTCCTCCAAGAATAGCAAACCAACCACCACCCCAGTCACCAAGATGACAACACAGACCAAGTTGGGCAGCAGGAACGGGAATTTGTCGAAGATGGTATCGCGTGAGAATAGCAAAGGATAGTTCTTGCATGGCTGTGACAACGCACCGCCCATCGCAGGACCAAGGATCGACCCCAGACACCAAACGAAAGGCAGAATGGAGTAGGCGCGAGGTTGATGCTCCTTGACAGTGACAATCTCCGCAACGGTTGTCTGCAGGACGCCGATATTTCCGTTCAACAGGCCACCCAACGCCCGAGCGATCATAGCTGTCGGCAAATTGGGAGCGAATCCAAAGACAACCATGCTGATTGCGGTTCCAATCAAACCCATGACCAGGACGGGTTTCCTGCCAATCTTGTCGCTCATTCGGCCCCAAAACATGCCCGCTGAGAACTCCGCGAAAGTAAACGAGGATGTGATCAACCCTGCATACAGGGCAATCTTGCGATCATTGTCCGTCACGTGAAACGATTCCACCATGTGATAGACATAGGGAAAAATCGACATGAACGCGATTGGCTCGCAGATTCGGCAAAGTGCTTGTGTAACTGTCAGTTGCTACCCGAACCTCAACAATGAAATCTGATGCTGAAAAATTTGTGCATAGGACAGAAAAACAAAGGGGGCCAAGTTCCGATAAACTCCAGCTAGAGATTGAACCCTGTCGAAATTGGGCGCAAAGAAAACATTGCAGAAAGCATCCATACTCACCTAGCACAAAAAGTTGGCGTATAGGAAACGCCGACCAATCACCACCACGCTCCTCATGTCGCCGGCTTCTGAGAAATGACGGGCGTCTGAACATTTTGCCTGGTGAGCCCTGAAAGACTTTGGCGGCCAAGTGAGGCAATTGCGAGGAAGCAAGTACTGGGGCTCCCTCTTTGCTAGAAAGTGGCAGCGAGCGCAAACTTCGGCCGGGAGGAATGTGTCGACGTTCCCAAATGCTCCGCTGATACTGAAGGGAGGAATGATCGTTATACCAATGGGGCTCTTTTTTCTTGTCAAGGGGCTGTCCGCATTTCCTCCCCTAGCCCGGGCTGATTCGAATGAGACAGGGCAACTTTTGCTTCTTTTCGTGTCCTAATATCCTTCTGCTGTTTGCCCAAAAAACTGCGAGACTGTGTGACGACTGCAAGGGAATCCAGCCAGGCAAAACTTAATTGAGACCCAATCGGCGGAAGAAAGACTCCGAGATGGAAGTGCTGGACCACTGCGTCTGGAAAGGTTGGAATGCGGCGAGTCAATAGGGACAGTGGACGCAGAGTCTAGTAGTGGGAAGTGACTCGAGCACTGAGATGGAAAGGGGAGTCAAGTAGGAGCTGGCAGCAGTATAGTAGTTGATCCAGTAGGGAAAGCAAGGGCTGGAAGGAATATAAGTAGGAGGTCAAAGTACCAAACGGATGAGAGGCCAATGTGAGGAAGGAGGATGATGATGGGAAGAGAATGTCAAACAGGGACGGGAAGGGAAATTATTAAATGAACATGTCTGAGCAGACGACAGTCAATGGTTGAATATGTGTATGGGAGGACTATGGAGCCATTTCGGTTACAGCTTGTACAAAGCCCAGGATGCAGGATGCAAGTTGGCAGCAAACAGTTGAGAAGGATATCAGAGGATCCACATCTTTGTTTCTCCATGTCTGTTTTTCTGACTGGAACTTTTTTTTTTCCTGTAAAATAAATAATTCATTTTCAATTCTTGGGGCGGACGTTTTCAGATAGACTGGGTGGAGAGAGAAAGAGAACGAGAGATGGAATGAATCGGGGCAACCCGACTGGCTACCCAGAAACCCACCAAGCAATAATGGGGTACGACAGATGGGGAGCAGGGATAATAATTCTAGGGAAAAAAAAAAAAAAGGTAAATCCAGGAAAAAAAGACAGGGCGAGAGCCCAGGCTCCAGGGCAGAGGCTGGAGACGGAAAATGGATACTGAAAAGGGGTGGAGCCAATAGCAATTGACGACAGGATAGATACTGGACCAAGCATCCACGCCATCCATAGGTCATTTCAATGGATTTCAGCTGGGGAAATCCGTGGGCGTTGGGTATAACTTAGCGTCTGGCGCCCTGAGGGTTGTTGGCCAGGTACTCTCAGGTACCCCCGGGTATCGGTGCAAACCGAAATCCACGCACAGCGTTGGCACGACGTGTTGCTGGTGCCTTTTGGGATGGAAGAGAGGCAGCCCGATCACCCGGATGCGGACGGGGCCTGCCTACGTGTAGAATTGATGCCAGGGATCTTATGAGTTACGGCAGGGGATGTATTTGGATTACAGGCAGGTGAGTGGGATCAGTCAATAATGAATCAACCCCGGCGGCTGTCAGGTCACCTGGGATCATGGGATGAGTAGCAGGAAAGGGCGGAACGGGCACAAAAGAAAAGAGGAACGAAGCAGGAGAGGGGAAAGCCAATGGGTTTTGGAGCCGCCGCAGATTGACCGGTAGACCCAGTTGGCCCTGAGTCCTGGCTCCGGGGAAGAGTCAAGGTGAGGACTTGGAAGCGCGCTAAATTGGGCTGTAAGGACGATCGGCTTTCCAGAAGTCTGGTTTTAGTGCGACTCAAGTGAGATGATAGATCTAACAGCACCAGCCCACTTCGCAGCCCCGTTCCACCCCAACTTCGCAGAGGAAACGGAAAAAAGGAGCTGAGATTCTTTTGCCCGCCTCCACAAGGGGCAGGCTCAAAATCAACAAAAATGAGGAGTAGTTTGTGATTATCATTTTTTTTTTCAATTGTTGTGTGTAGCAAACGGAATCTCTTCCCTTCCTGTGTATAAAACTAGGAGCTGTCATCGGAGTTTTGTTGTAAAGGGACAGGCGACAGACAGGTGGACAAACAAATTCGCCCTCCCTCGGACCAGGGCTTGTGACCTCTGACTCAAGCAACAAGTAATCAGCTCGGATTTCCCTCGCTGCAAGAGGCGCAAATCATGGGCAAACAAAGCAGAACGAGCTCAAAAAAGGCCTTGTTGGAACCAGAGGGAAAGGGGGAAGAGAGAGGATGAAGATGCGGTGTATTCGATACGGCGCTTTACCAGGACCGAAAATTCAGATTAAGCTGAGCTGCGTAGTTGGGTCAGAAGGAAACAGCCAGGTGACGATCAGAAACAGGAAGGTAAAAAAGAGGATTGAAGCGAGCGCAATTGGAAGAGGGCAAAAGGTCGGGTGGGTCTGATACTGCCAGGAAAGTGAGCAGTCCATCATCATCAAAAGGTGCCAGTTTCACTCCCAAATTCCAACAACCCCTACGGTGAGGGTCTGGAAACCACACTAAACCTTTTTTTCCAATGTCCATTTCGTCACTTCGCCTGAAGTGGGCCTAAAGCGGGTTGATCGGGGAGAAAGATTGATTGACGTCTAGCGTGCCGACCATCGCAAAAGGGGTAAAAGGAGTTTGAATCAACCTATTACTAAGTAGTACAGAAGTGCCACGGCCATCCAGGGGAGCAGCATTAGAGCAGAGCCCAGATACTCCGTACGAGGCTGGTTTTCGATCTGATAGTCGCCTGGTTGATATTTCAGCGGGTTGCACAGTGAACAACCCGGTGCCTGGAAGATCCCAGCTCCCAGCCTATGGACGCGAGGAGGTCGACCATTACATATTGCAGCACCATCAACAAGCGTTGGTTACTCATGCGACCAGAACTCTATTTGTCGGCTCTTGACTGCCGTCAGTCTGACGAAAGTATTGATCCTGTGATATGTATGCATGGACAATTGGGAGCTTCTCGCAACCATCCTTCTGTCGGTACCTGGCAGTTGAAGTTCTCTTCAGCCCGCTCTTGACGTCACACTCCAGAAATACACCGAGTCGACCAAGAATATGAAACCACGCTTTGGTCCTTTGCCCATCTCTGCCCGTGTCCAATTGCCATTGAGCAGCCTTTATGGCCCGAGAGGCTCAGGCGGTGCCTCACCTCGCCCTGCCCGGCTTTCCGGAATCAATCACAACTTCAAGTGTTCAGGTTGGATCGAGAGCGGCTTAAACCGTTCCAATGGGGTCTGGAAAAATGTTCCACTTGAACTGCAGCAACGCTAGCTGGAAGTGGAGGCCCCAAAGGATTGAGGCGCAGTCTAAGTATCGGTAACTTGGCTAGTACGAACTGTATTTCTCCCCAGCAGAGAGTGAAACTCAGGGCAAGACTCTAAAATATTCACAGTCGTCCATCACTCTACGGTGATAGCGCCTGGGTTTGCGCAGGTCTGGTCTGGAGCCACGCGGTCAAACGAGGTTGAGGAAGAGAGGGGCAGAGATGAGATCGAAGAGTGAGAGATGCAAGCCTGCAAGTGATCGCTTGACCATATTACTGACAGCACTCATCTTGCAGACCTAGGTGTGTGATAGGCTCGACAGATCATTAGACCCATTTGCCTCACAGTGGCCCCAGAGAAACGAAGGATGCCAGGTTGGAATTATTGTGGGTTCAGGGAGAAGAAGCGTACTCCGATAGGGATTGATTCCAGAGAGCGACATCATTCAGTGTTCTCCGAGAATCTCGGGGAGATCGTCATCAGGCAGGTTTGAAGTTCGGGAAAAATATACAGGGAGCCAAAACATCCGATCGGGATACGAGCTCCACGAGATTGGTGGTTTCATCGTTTCCTCTGCACGTCCTTGATCCCGTGATCTTGAGGCAGAAAGGGCCATAATGCAGCGCTTACAGTATTATTATGAAGACGACGGACGGCCTATTTTGCCTCTTTGGGATGTAGAAGCCATCGCTTGTCTCTTGAAAAGAAGAATGAACCGGCATAGTAGGCTTCCTCTAAGATTCCGACACGTTGACCTCTTCGGTCTGAAGGTCGAATGCTCCTTGACATGCTGGAGATCCAGATTCTATGCATATAATGCATGATGTTCATCGTGCGAATTTTGACAGGCGCACTGACGGTAAGTACATAGTAGTCCCTTGGGCCGCGAAGGCTAACGGGGTGACCCGCAGGATGATCCATGGAACATCATCTGGCGGTGACAGGCGAAGGTTTTCGAAGTTGGAGAACCTCCGATAGGAGATGAGAGGAAGCTTGCGGATTTGGAATACTTACATGAGTCAAAAGCAGCAGGAATTAGGCCTCCCTCTCGAGGCAGTATCATCATCGTGTTCGCTGGTAGTATCCATTCGGAAATCCGGGAAGAAAGCAAAGACGGCAGAAAATATCATCGCAGTCGTGCTGCGAGTTCTGCCTGTATGCATGGTCACCCATCATGTGAGCTTTGGCCAACACGGATCTGTGCAATGGTTCGTTCGGCCGTTGACGATCGAGTGTTTCGAGACAACGGAGATTTGCGACGATTGGCGCCTCGCGGGGGCAGTGTCGCTGCGATGCATGAATGTTGGGAGAATGAAACCAGTCATCGTGGGTGAATGTCAGTACCGGGCACGGTAAAAGAAGACTAATGATTCATGACCTCAACCGCCAGTGAGGATGGACCTTGAAGCAGTCACTGTCGATACGTATGTAGTTAACCTGCAGAAGTGGGGGTGGGACTGGGAAGAATCAACTCACAAGCACACCACCCGACCCCGACAGTAAGCGGTGAGGAGCAAACGTTGGGTACCAGACAAGAATTTTTAAGGATGAATTGGGATGCAGGACAGAGCTCTTTGGCGACTTGACGACATCTGTCATGATCCTGGCTGTTTTTCTTGCTGGCTGCATTGTCGGCGCGTGTTTAATTCACTGACCACCCTGCTGATAGGCCAGTCAGCGGTGCAAATCCTGCTAGTTCGGGCAGAAACAGAATCGGCTGTTTGACCTTTGTTTTATTATTACATGCCTCCAGCCTCTCAGTCTTGACAGT